GTGCCTCCGCTGCATGCCACACCGACATGGCATCTCTATCGACAAGCTGGCCCCGGTGCCTTGTTCGGTGCAGTATGGCCACATAATCTGTCTGGCAGTTCGGGTTGCATTGAAGGAGAAGAGCAGCCTCGTGAACCGATGCTTGTTCGTGATCACTCGATGACCCGGCCCTGGCTGGTCTCGTTGCCGTAATCCATATGGTTGGCGTTTATCCGGATGATTACTTGCCAGGGTGAGACTTGCGAACCTCAGCTCTTCCAGTCCAGAGAGTAGGACTGATATTCTCACCGAGCAATGATTCTCCCACAGAATAAAATAGCTCGATCCTGCCACCAGCGGTGGGTACAAAGAAGCGTGATAGTCGACCCAAGACCATGGCCGAAACTCTTTCGTTCATGAAGCGCAACATGGCACAACATAGCTGTTGAGATTAGCGTTCTCTTCAGCGTCTTCTGTTTGCCTCTGGTTCTTTTTGCCGCCACGTCGAAATACATCCGATACTCTTGGAGTTCGGTGAAGAATGTTGTTCAGAGTGGAGAGTGTCTCCGCAAGCTGGAGGTCGAGGTGAGATCTCGCCTGAAATGGGTCTCTCGATCCTGGACTTTGATACCCAGATTGGCGTTGGGGGGGCGTGGATGCAGTGAAGGATAAGGTGCTTGTATTATTGGTCGTTTCTGCTGGTTTTGTGAGCGTTTTGAATGACAACACGTAGAGGGATGGCATGCAGGATGCCCAACTGGTGACATGCTTGGGCCTGGTCCAGCTCTAGTTCGCCCGAGCCTTAGTATGCGGATTGCAGAAGAATGTTGTGGTGGGAGAACCGAGACCTATATAGTGGCATATTGTCAGCACGGCGGTCATCATCATATCAAGGAAAATAAGGCCATACACGTCGCGAGCAAGACCCTACGTTTCTCGTAGACTCCGACCCGACTGATAGATAGGATTGCCGTCGACCTCGACCACTACCCTGACCATCACCGAACTCCGCCATGGATCCTACCCAATTGCGGCCAACCTGCTCTTCGAGCTCTGCAACCTTGGCAGCCCCACAAAGCACACGTACTTGTCATCTAGGGTTGTGCGTGTGGCCCCCAGAAACGGGCACTTGTCCTGCAAGTGATACCCGCCTCCTCGAGAGCAAACCCATTTTCGCCATCATACTTGCGGCTGAGGTATGCGAGCATCACGGGCCCGAATATCTTGCTTTCGCTCCAACTGTCCCCTCCCATTCTTTTCGATACATCACCGGGTCGCTTAGCATAGTGGTATCTTTCCAGATCGAACGCCATCCCGTACGAGAGCAGTAAGCGGTGGCCGTTGACAGCTAGTCCTGCTTCGCGGGGGAAGTGGCGAACCGTGTGCACAGCGAATCCCCGGCGGCTCCCTGCCCTTTCTCGATCAAGACGTGGGGATGCAGGGCGTTGTTTGTGGTCGCCGACCAAGATCACGATCAAGATCGATATATAAGACATGCATGGGGTACTTCTCCACCATACCTGACTATCCCCTTACGCCGCAGAGGACGGCTTGCCACCTTATCCACGATGATGGTGGACAAGGCTAAACGGAGAAGTGTGATTGTGGACGAGCCTGGTGGTCTCGAAGGTGGACTTGATTTGGAGCCTTCCTTGATATGGTGTACTACACGCTGGGTAGAGCCGGGCTGGATGACATTAGGGGCGTTGGAAATTGCTGGATGGTCGACGACGCCAAAGCGTACCCGGCACTCCTTGATCCAAACGGGAAGTACTGCTGGGGATTATGGGAGTCCAGAAGGTGTCCCATGATCACATGGGTGTGCAATCGTCAATATTAGGGTATGCAGCACAGGTCACACTGCGCTTTGTCGGGCCTTGCTCAAATGATGGGTATTTTCCAGGCTCATGTTGATGGCTATGTGCATATCATGCTTTTGACAGCAGCCATTAAGATCCAAGCCCTGCATTTCGGACACTGATAGAAGTTCGCGTTTGAAGTGCTTAGTGATGGCGGAACGGACCAAGGGATCAGTGCGTACAAGAGCGGCTTTCCTTGTTGTAAAGAGCCAAAGCCAATTGATCATCGTCGTCTGAAACGTCGCTTACCAAAATCCGTGATCGAGAGACGAAGATAACTATGCATCCTGTACGCAGGTTGACCATTCAGTGTAGTAGGCATGCGTGACTCACCCGACTGACTCTCGGAATCCCCTCGCTCCCGTTGTATAGATCCCGGCGTATCCATTTCTTCGCTTCGTCTAGTGCGTCAATCGATAACCACTCCCGTCTCTCACAAGTGCAATTCCCAGGTCCCAAATGGCCGCTCGTTCACTAAGCGGTATACTCTCCACGCAACGATGCGAGTTCTGCGAGTTGGGCGGGTGGACCGTCCACTGAATAACTACTCCGAGAGTCGTCACGAAGGGGATGGTGCAAGTTGAAACGGCGAAGAACACGAAGAGTCTCTCGCTTGGCTTGTTGAGCGCGAGGCGAGCAATGAGAACACTTGTACATCTTCGCTTCCTGTCGGCGTCTAGCTCTCTCAGCACGGAGGGCAAAACATCGAGGTCGTTTACCACCCCACGGCTGTGTGGATCGTAGATTTAACCGACAATGGGGGACAACACGCTCATCCTGCCGCGAAGTATCTCTCCATATACCATGCCCAGCCTGCATACCAATGATCGTGTCCAGGCCACCATCACGCTCGTGCCTCTTGCACTCGACTATTGCCCTCACTTCGTGGCTTGCCGTCGACTGCAGCTGACCATCCATTCCCCGGGAGGCTCATTCTGAGGAAGCTTCCAATTCCTTCGATAGCCCCACGAGCACCCCATGTTCCTTTCCCGGAGGAGAGCCAGACGCCCACACGTCAATACTGGCAAGAGTATTACCATAGGGTCCATCCATCGCCCGTGCTGCAGGACAATGAACCGCGCCACTGTACCTTGATAACACGCGATAGGAGGGGTGGACGTGCCCTTTACCGCTCAGGATGCATCCTGGAGCCATGGATCTCACCGCCCGAGGACGGCAAGGTGCAAATGTGGACGAATATTTGGCAGGTCTTCTTCGCGTTCGGTTCCTGGATTAAGCAGCGAGGCTGATACCCAGAGGCTCGAGGCTCACGGGCTCGAGTGGAAAGAGAGCTGATTCGACCACGCGGTTGGATCGAGCAATGAATTTCCTCTTCCACTCTCTTGGAACTTCCTCCTCCTCGTTCTCGAGAGCGTGTTGTTGAGGGAGGGAACATATCGTGTATTTGGCCCAGGCTCTCTTCAGGGGATTTGTTGTCGATTAGACTCGCAGAGAACCTGATCTCCACGGTGCCATGTCTCCTTTGCAGGCCCCAACAGAGTTGCAGCCCACCCACACTCTGATCTGGTCAAGCATGTCTTGCACATGGTGTCGCAAACTCCGTCCTATTTTGGCGCTGTCAGATCACGCTATCCAATTCGCGGGAGAGTTGGGGTATACGTACCTTGAAAGGAGGGAATATCCACGTAGCTAGACTCGATCCGTTCAATGTGCCAAGCGGACCGTAACTTGTGCCTCGAAAGGCTGGACTAGGCCATCCCAGCCGCCACAAAGTGCTGGTGGTTTTGAGGATCATGGATAGTGGCCTGTGCGTTTTGGTTTCGCGCGATTAATGCAAAGTACGGTGATGCTGGGGGCGTGGGCATTTGCATCGGTCCGGACATGCTGAAAACGGGTTTATGAAAGACCCTGGAAGCGGAGGGGAGTAATGGTCCCAGCCTCTGACAATCGCCAATGAACCGGAGATTGGGCTCGTCTTTCTTCTGCCAGACTGGCTCACGAGCTACCGGGTCGGATCGCGTTGCCCCTGGTTGCTCGTTTCTTCCTTGGACACGATCTCAGTGTACCTTGGGCGTCTTGGCTTCCTCACCAAGGCAAGGGGAGACACAGATCAATGACCAAGGGGATATTGAAGGAGGGAACAATAGCAAGAGATATAACAGGAAATCTCAGACGAAGAAGAAGAAGAAAAAGTAAGAGAAAAAATGGAACGCTAAAGTACATATGTTCTACCTGTCCCCTCTACCCTAACCCACCTCACCCTAAAGACCCTTGTCAGGTAAAAATAAAAGCAAAAGAAGAACCAAAATCAAAAAAATGGGGGGGAGAGGGGTGCTCTTATAACCCAGCAGCCTCTTCGAGATCATTCCATCCCGGAACAAAAGTGAAGGATGCTGATGACACGCCCGTGAAGTGGCGCGGTCAAGATGGGGGCAGGTGAGGTAGGTGACTTGGCGTTGTTTGCGAAGTGAGGAGAGATGTTGTAGAGGTGAATGCCGTACTGCGACAGACTCCATCGGGGTGGACATTGACTGTCACTAGTTTGGTGGGTGTTGTATAGAACAGGAGGGTGAATGTGTCCCGAGGCCGAGGTGCTGGATGTCCTCCATTTGAGTGGCTGGATCCATCATGCTGACATGGTGGTAGTGATTGGACACGTTTGGGAGTTGAGAAGGTCCAGTAATCTACCTACTCAACCGCTGTTGTAGAGCGAACCCCCAACTGATCCGGGGCGGGAAGGGAGCGAGACAGCAACGGAGGCGGCCAAAGACGTGGGAGTGCGAGATACAATCCGAGGCGATGCATCGTCACTCAGGGAACATTCTTGGATGGAACATCGTCATTAACATGATTAAGAACGTAGTTAAGATCGGCCCTACTTGCCTGGGAGGTCAAGGTTCTTCACCAAGCCCAGGACTCCAACGAGATGATCAAAGACGGAGTGAAGATGGGAAGGAAGTTTTATTTGGGCTCAGCAGGAAATTATATAGGGAAGCAGGGAGCGCAGAATACTGTAGGTAGTTGGGATGCGTGCAAGCTTCTGGCTGACAGTGGATTGACAGGCCATCTGCATGGACAGCTCATCGCAGGACTATGCAGGTCGGTTTGCTGGATGGTGGAGTAGAAGTACGTAGGACAGGGATGAGGTTGGAAAGGTATGGAGGAAACGATTTGTCTATGTATGCAAGCTGATATATACAGTTACTTGGATTGCCACCGTTTAAAGGCATCGGCGAATCCAACATCCCATTCTTCAGCATCACCCGCGTCGGTCCCCCGCAAATCAACCAGTGGCACCATCGACGGCCGGCCATGCGCGCATTGAAAAGGAAACACGCAGGTAGCCAGCCGTCTGACCAGGTTCCGACACTCATCCAGACTCAAGACGTCGTTGAACATGATCGCCGTTCGACATGCACGCGAGTTGAGCAGATCCAGAATCCCAGTAGGGCAGCTGGCCAGTCGTGCCATCCAACCTTTACGCTCAGCCCTGCCCACGGCCGGTGATGATGGCCGCGAGCTCCCGTTTTCCACGCGTTTCCAGATCTCGCCGCGAATGATGTTGACAATCAGCTCCGGCTCTGTCCGGCAGCGCTCTGCTATCATGGCGGGTAGTTTCGAAACCGTCACAGATGCCTTGCTGCTCCGTGTCCCTTGCTCAACGGCATACTCAATACCCCAAAATCTGAAGAGCTCCTGCTGCTTCCTGAACAGGAGAATCTCAGTATTTGCTATGTCAAAAATGACAGGGTCCACCTGGATGGTCCGTATGTCGTTTGGGTCGAAGAACTCTTCAAACAGAGATTCCACCCGGCACCGCTCATCTGCTGCATGCTGGTCAATGAGAACCATGGTTGGCTCTGTTGCAGCAGCAGACATATCTACCAGGATGAACTTTTGATCCACTTGTCCAATCACTCTAGCGGCTGCCAGGTCGTCCTTTCGCAGCTTGCCACGATACCTGGATACGCCAAAATTATCCAACCCACATAGCTTCTGGCTAGTGTCATCAGTCTCAGTATCGACCACGTTGATGGGCTTTTCAGCCCGACCAAAAACAGGATTCTTCCAATCATCCAAAAGATTCTCCAACCAAGTGTTCTGCTGCGGTACAGCCGTTGCAGGCAGTTTCGTGCTATCCAATCGTCGGATCAAAGACCCATTAGACCTGGGACGGTTTGCGAGTGCAGAAGCCGCGGAGGGTCGGACATTGACAGACTGGCCAGTCCTTGAGTTAACCCAATGGCTGACGCCCGTGTGCGGGTCAATCCATGGAATTATTGCGTCCCCTTTGACCTCCTCGGTACGACTTTCGGTATTGGCCCTTTCCGATGCAAATTCAGATACACTATCAGAAGTCGCCTCCCTCGTGTCTGTACTCTGCGCAACTGTATTCTTGACCGGCTCAGCCGTTACGCCCTGGACCTTGAGACCCGCAGCGCGACTCTTCCCACTCTTAACTCGAGACCAGCTCCCAAAATGTGTGCCAACGGTTGATCGAGAAAACGACGGAAATCGTATCTGGTTTCCAGAAAACTCGCCGTTCGCGGCTCTTTGGCGTGGTTTGCCGGGCGATGGACTCTCTGTATCTTGGACCGAATCCTGGCGCTTTCTCTTTCCACCCCGCGGACGCATGTTATGCTCCTTCAAGAATTCGTTGATCATAAGAGAAACAACATCCAAAATCCTTTGTAGCGACTTGTCCGACTCTGGAAGGTCAGGATCGTTGGCTATTGGCCCTGAATTGATGCGGATATAGAACATCGGCCACTTGTTCACTTGCATGGACTTGCCGCGGCGGCCATCCAGGTCTGTCGCTTCGTTTGTAAACGGCGATGTACCGCCGGTGGTTCCAAAGTCCGACATGGCAAACAGCCGGTTGACCTCGCTGTACAGTACGTTTGTTTGGTTTTGCGCAAAAACTGGGTCAATTCCCAGAGAAATAAACTGAACCTTCTTCGACGGACTTGGAACGAGCGATAGCCCGGCATGAACAGTAAGACCTAGCGCAACTGCCGATACGGCGTGCCATTGGCTGGGACTCTGAGTATCAACCAGGCCTGCCTGCGAAAGAACGGAGCTGAGACGGGTGAGATTTAGGTCCCCGTTGGCTTGTGCTCCTTGTCCATGAGGACGAATCGTCAACTTGCGTTCTTTATCGGCATCTGATATAACCAGCTTCAGAACGTCATCATGGGTGATCAATAGCGAGATTAATAAATGTTTCAGGTCATCCCACTGGCGGTCCAATCCGTCTGGCTTCTGCAGAGTTAGGGCGCGGTTTTTGACGCGGACCGGCATGTTTCCAAAAAGATCATTGACGGTGACACGGGTTCCGTGTTCGCTAGCTCTGAGCCCATGATGGCTTGGAGCAGGCAAGAGGCGAGCAACCGGTGTCGAATGATGAAAGATGACCGTATTGGTGCTGACATTGTGGAGATGATGTGACGTGATTGTCAGCAGCGCGAGCGCAGACAACGATGCCAGGAAAGAGCCCCTTCGGCCATGCACAGGTGATTGCGATAGCAATTTGGAGGTATCTGCAGAATCAGCATGAAATCCTTCAATAGGCAGGGCGTACGTACGATGGATCTTTCCCAGCCCTCCATCGGGCGCAAATTCTGCAGGCAAAATCCCATCGCCGTCATCTTCAACCACGCAACCGCCCCTTCGGTAGTCGACAGTGACAAATATGCTCTGGGCGTTTGCATCCAGCGAATTCTTCACCAGCTCTGCGATAACCCCATTCAGGTGGGTAATTGATGTGGATGATTTGATTTTTGCAACCACTTCAGAGGGGAGTGGCTGGATTTTGTGGCGTGTCATTGCTGGGATTGTGGTCGTGCGCAATATATATGCATGTTGTGCAGCCTCCAGGCTGGGTTCCCCGCCACCTCAGCATGGGTCTCAAAGGAGGTAAATGGAAGTCACTAAAAGTAGTAATCGATATTACCTCGTAGAATTGTTGAAAGAGGTCGCTTCCATCCTCAAGACAGTACTTGTTGATGGCAAGCGTTGAGGAAGTTGCAGACGATGATGTTAGTCCATCTCACGTGATCTACATCTGGGTCCAAGCCATCAACGCATACTTTGTAGTAGTCCAGCAAGCTACACAGGGGCAAGAATATAGGTCGGCTTGCGTGGTGAAGAAGACGAGCATTTTCTACGCAGTGTTGAAGATCTGCTCAGCATCATAGGCGAGCAATGGCGCCGGCAGGGTTTGCATTTCACACCAGGTACGTACATCATCCTTCGAAGTAGTACAAATTGCCTCTAGAGTGACGATGCCCGGTGGTCAAGAACTGCAGAAGCCAAGCCTCACACTTGCAGCTTTGCTGTCCGTTGAGCTGTACCCTCAGTAAGGGGACATACGGTATGACGAACCCGCAGCTTTTCCCCCAAAAGTACTCCGGACGAGAGTACGCGTCCACCGGATACTTGCATCCATGGGAGTCTTGTGCATTCCAAAGCAAGTGGCTCGCTGGGATGGATGAGGTTGGGGGGATGAATAGCAGACGCCGTTTGGGCCGAGATGAGGCGGGCATCACGTGAAGCTCCAGCTTGCGGAAACACAAGTCCAAGGAGGCACACGGTCGATTCAACCTCACCTCCCCTGAAATTAGGATTTCACTGACGGAGTTCTCGAGTCTCAACTGCTGCCTACGGCCTTCCTCACTCAGTCCTCTCTCCAAATCGTTGTCTGCCCAAGTCACTCCTCAAGTCGCCACAGCTCCTGCGTCGTACCCCTGGCCACTAGGCGCTTATCGATTTGCGATACTCAACTTGCCTGGAAACGCTGGTGAACGCAACAGGTTCCAAGCAAGAGCTCGGAGCTCTTTCGAACACACTCAGACACATCAGAAACCTCCATTCCTTCGGCCAAATGGCCACAACAGACGGTCCTGCCCGGGCGCATGGTACTGCATCACCACCCCTCCATCAACACTGTAACCCGCGCTGACAAACCGTGTGATAGATCGCAATGGACGCCGACGCCCGTTCGCCAGCTGGATGAAACGACTCGCGAACCTGAAAAGCTCAACCGACTCCGGCACAATTCGCTGGTCCAACAAACGCCACGGATCCCCAAAGACCAAAAACCGAGGCATCAAGAACAACCCCTACCCCTTGTCCGGCCACACCCATGTCATCCACCAGTCCACCAGCGACCACGCCTCCTCTTCCCACATAAGCGACGACCATGGTCGACGGCGGTCTCATTCGCAGAGCGAGCCTTCAATCACATACTCAGGGTACGAGAACCAGGTCGCGGCGACGGGCGCCAAGTCGACTGCCCCGACCATCTCGACAAACGGCGAGACGGCGATTTCCGAAGCTGCATATTCCAAGGCGGGGACAATGGCGACGACGACCGGCGGAGGCGTGAGCACAATCGGCGGCGGCGAAGGAAGCACCTTTTCATCCCCGGCGCCGTCTGTCCGGTCGCTCACGACAACGCTGACAACGGTCCAATCCGCCGCACCCTCTACCCAAATTTACAACACACAGAACCATACACATCACGGCCACCAGTACGGACAATCCACAAACTCTGCGCCCCAAGTCCAATTCACCCACCAATTCCCGCCCTCCCCAGCTACTGCCGTCCCACCGCACCTCGCGCCGCACGGGCATTCCGTCACATACAGCGTCGCAACCGCAAACAACATCCTCACCGACAACGCCTCGATCCTAACCCTCGCCTCCTCGTCCAAACGCCGCCGCCGAAACTCCCTCGACACAAACGCCTCCGTTCGCGCCCTCGCACCGTCGTCCGTCTTTGGCGGCAGCCGCGAGAGCCTACCGCTAAGCGTCCTCAGCGGCGTCGGCGAGGCCTCGAATACCTCGGTACTCAATGCCCCGGGCGTCCTTAGCAGACCGAGCCTAGTCGGCCTCGCAAGCGCAGAACGCGCAAGCGTGTACTCATCCTCCGGCGCAGCACCGGGCGGCGAACGCGGAAGCTTTTACGCGGGCAAGCAGGGCACGGTGGCAGGCGACGGCGCGAGTATCCGCAGCGGAGTCCACTCGCATACGCGGCAGGATAGCAACGCAGCAAGCATCTCGGGTGTCGGCGCACAACCCATCCTGCCGGGTCGAATCAGTCGGCGGAGCTCGGGGTGGGGTGAGATTACGGGGGAGGGCGAGGAGAGCCTAGAGGAGAAGGCCGAGCTCAAGGACGCGAATGCGAATAAGGTTGAGGAGCGTTAGGATGAGTAGTGGTTGACGATGTTACGTCTCTCTTTTTCTTTTATCAGCAGGACCGTGCACGACTGCCTCTTACGACTTATGTGGAGGTTGTATCATGATGGACGGTCACTTACCGAGCTTACGGCGTTATGGGCAGCCCAATGGATCTGGGCCTCTATTATGAATTGATATCCTAATGTACTCGTAGATTTCTTATCATTGAAACTGCAACGCAAATTGACTTGCCCCAATCCGAATACCAAGGCAGATAGTATGTGAATCGTACAAAGCGAAGACCGCCAATGGCAGCTCCGCACCTCGGCTCGCTGAAAGCTCCGCTGAGGTCTCCGCAACATCAACAAGGCTCATCGCGACCACAAATTTCAAGAACACCACCATACACCTCAAAGAATGCTCTCAAACTAGATAATGAATTACCGATGACATCCTTTTACACGATTCCACCAACCTGACTGGATAAACGAACGATGAACCCCCTCCGCTGGCTCACCTCCTTCTTCCGCAACCAACAGCAAAACCCGCCAGCACCCACGGAATCGTTCTACGGCCTCGACCATGCCCTCCTCAACATCACCCTCCCGCCGCCATCCATGTGGATGAATCTCGGATATTGGAAAGTCAGAACCCCTCTCTCTCTCTCACCCCGCTTTCTCCCCCTCTACCCTTCCGCCTACCCCACCTCGCACAATTCCCCCGCAAAGCAGCAAAGCAGCAAAGCAGCAAAGCAGTTACTGATCCTTTGGTTGAAAGCAACAGGACACAACCTCCTTCCCAACCGCCTGCGCCGCCCTCCTCGACCAAGTCCTCATAACGGCAGGCCTCCTCTCCCCGGATGGCGGGCCGCTGTCGCATCCGAACACCAAGACGTTGCGCATGCTTGATGTTGGGATTGGGTGTGGGGATCAGTCGGTTAGGATTTTGGGGTATACGCGGAGGACGGACGATAAGAAGGATAATGGAGATGTTGATGTCGGCGGGGATGGGCTGCGCCCGCTCTTCGACGAGTATGTTGGGATTACGTCTTTGCCTGTTCAGGCGAGGTTTGCGGGGGAGAGGGTGAGGAGGGTGCAGGAGGAGCAATTCGAATCAGAGGAGAAGGGAATGAGGAAGGATAGCTCGCCTACAGCTACGACCAAGACCTACAGAAGAGCACGGATCTTCTGCGCCGACGCCGCGAAGCCGGAGTCATGGAGCCAGGAGATACACACCTCCCTCGAGAGTTATACTCGAGCCTCCACGAAACCAGAAGAGAACGCATCGCTAAGTCAAGACACCGGCGAGAAACAAGAAGAGGACCCCCGAAAACAAGCCGGCGGAGCAAACGACAGGGAAGAAGAAAAAACCTACCTCCTAGCCCTAGACACCCTCTACCACTTCACCCCCTCGCGCCTCCCCCTCCTCCGCTACGCAAACCAAACCCTGCACGCAAACCTAATGGCCTTCGACCTCCTCCTCCCTTCGCGACCCCTCCCACTGCTAACCCGCCTCCTCCTCCGCCTCCTCTGCCTCTTCACCAGCACACCCTACTCAAACTTCCTCACGGAATCCGAGTACCGATCCCTCCTACTCGAAGCAGGGTACGACGGATCGAAGATCGAGTTCCGCGATATCTCGGAGCACGTATTTCCCGGGGTCGCGGCGTTTATGAGACGGCGCGTGGAGGAGGCGAGGATGTTTGGGATTAAGGGGGTGGGCAAATATAAAGGTGCAGGTGTGGTGTTTCGGTGGTGGGCGACGGGGGTAGTTAGGGGTGTTGTTGTTGTTGCGAGAGTTTGATCGTATCTAGATTAAATATCAAAGATAGTAGAACGGGAGATGGGCAGAGTGGTTCTTTATGGGTCACTTTGTACCTCGTACGTAAAAAGAACTCCGGATTTCTATAGATGTGGAGATAAGATGGATAATTTCCCCGTTTTGCTTCCCCAGAAAATAGAATGCTTGGCTGTGTCACGGACCAGGTGATGGCTCAGTTTTGTGTCTCAATTGTCCTACTGCAGTCCCTTGATTCCCTTACAAGCCTTGTGGAAACTACAGCCGAGGCAGGATTGAGGAGCTGAATGGAGTCCAATTCTAGACACCGACATCATATGTCTGCATATTAAACGTAATCATCACCGAACCCCAACCCACCGAACCCACCAATGTCACCGTGAGACGCCTTCCTCACTCTGAGATGGTATAACTGAACTGATGAAAACCGTTATATCATGTGCACAACGGATGGAAAAAATCAAGGAATATACAACGAAAATTCAATAGAAAGCAAACAACTTTATTTTCGGCTCCGATCAGTAAGTCCCAACACCGATCTTGGACCCAGCGCTACTCCGCTCGCCCTCGGTCTTCTGTGCGGCGAGGAACTTCTTGAACATGTCTGTAATGTCGTTTTCGGCCTTCTTCCCTTCCTCGGCGGACTTGCCGTTCTTCTCGGTGATGAGGTTCTTGAGCCATTGGTTTTCGAGCTCGAGGGCGGTCACGCGGGCTTCGAGGGCGGCGTTCTTTTCCGTGGTCTCCTTGACGGTCTTTTCGAGGGCTTGCTCGCGCATCTTCTTCTTGACTCGGAAGCGCGCGCTGGCGGCCGTGTTGCGGCGGCGCTTGTCTTCCTCAGCGGCGACGCGGGCAACCTCCTCCACGCTCAGGACTGGTGCCTTTTGTGTGTTCTTGCGCTTGGGTGCGGGGGCGGTGGTCGCGGGCGAGGTGGCCGTGCTAGGGCTGGGAGCGGTGACGGAGGGCTGCGAAGGAGAGCTCGTTGTCGGCGATGTGGGAGAGGAATGATTCACGGGCATGCGAGGCACGGCATTGGGAGCCTGCGCCTGGGGCTGAGGCACCGCGTGGAATCGAGCATTCTGCACGGGCATCGAGTGGTGCACCTGGTTCATCTGGGGAGCAGCAAACTCGTTGACATTGCCAAACCCGTCTGGTACAAGTTAGCAATCATCGCAATGGTGATTTGAGCAGCGTTGCCTTGAAAGCAGCATAAGAAAGCACAAAAATTGACGAGCAACAAGAGATATAGCAGCCAGATGCCGAAGTATACAGGTCACGTGAAATGACGCCATAACGGCCCATTCTCACGATATCACCAAAGTACCTGAACTTGCAGCAAACCCTGACACGCTAATCTAGATCGTCGCACACACGAGCTGATCCGCCACAGCAAATGCGCCAATCGTGGCCGGCCCAGATTGCGAATGCGTGGGATGGCGGATGGCGCGCTCGTGCAGGGACCAGTAAGAAATCATCCCAGTCCTAGCTCAGCCCAGAAATGGCCACAAGTCCGATCGCAATGAAAGAGGGCGGAAAAGCACAAAAGAAACGAGGTGCAAATGTCGACTGCTTCCATGGTCGAGCCATGAAGATGGTCCAGAGGTTCAAGTGACAAGAACAACAATAGGCGAGAATAGGCCAGCTGCCTGTAGACTGCACTTACCACCGAGCATGTCTAGAAACTCCATGTCAGGGCTCTGGTTGGCACTCTGCTTGTTCTCCTCCACATGGTCGAACTGCGGGATGTTCAGGTCGCCGAGTTTGTCAAAGTCGAAGAACTCGGTGTTGGTGAATAGGGACAGCTCGTTGTCGAGGTTGAATGCTTCTTGCTGCTGCTGCATAGCAAGATCGTAGGCCGATGGGATAGCATTCAGGTCATCGAGATACTGCGAAAAGTTCGGGGCCCGGCGGCCATTGTATTCAGCCATGGCGGTCGATGAGGCGTGCAGGCCTCTTCCCTCAATTCCCACCAAGAGATTCGAAAGTCAACCTCTTTTGTATATCAGGCGTTTCGTATCGCAAGCGTAGTGTTCGCCGTCGGATTGTTCGGACGACGGAGGGGCAACAGCGGACTGTGCCGGTGGTGAGTCAAGAACCCGATGGTTCTGGATCGGTCGCACTGCTGCCTGAATCGGGGGCGTGGTTGTCGACAATCGCAGTGGTGGTGTTGCGGATGGATCGAGGAGAGAGAAGGAGAGAAAGAGGGGACTGAGAGACTGAAAGTGGGACGAGAGAGTCGGCGTCGAGGGAGATTTTGCGTCGGATTGAGGTAACCGAGTGGGGGTTCCAACGTGTCTGCGGGCTGAAAGCAAGTCGAGCGCTGAATAATACGGGCTGCCAATTAATGCCCACTTCGGCAGCCTCCCTGAATTCGCTCTACTTTACTTGGAACTGCCCTGTGCGCTGGTCAAGCCTTTTTGCTTTTGTTGCATGGTATGCTTTGATCATTTAGAACTATTCTTGTCTCCTTTTCTCGAATCTCTGGAAATGCCCTGGCCAGTTGTGCGGTAATCCCTGCGTCAGGAGTGAGCGAATTCCAGCGCTCAAACCCTGAGTTGCCTGACTCCAACCAGAGTTCAGTGCCAAACTTGCCACTCGTTCCGAAGTCGGGAGTTGAACCACGGGCAGACCCCAGCCTGCATCCGATCTTCTCCTACGATGACCCGCCGCGATTATTAATTCACGATACGGAGGACAGCCCACTAAGAATTGGACTCACACTCGCTTGGGCCTTTAACCTTAAGGCGCGTTCGTACTCCGGCCTGCCTCCATGAAGACGCCTCTGACCTGCAAAGCATTTGACGAGCGAGCGACGTGAGCGGCGATGTTGAAGGATCAACACCCTGACGAGAATGCCTGTCTCTGATCATCCCTCGTTGGCCAGCCTCGCGGTCGGTCCTCTAAACCCAGTCACCATCGCGCGCTCTGGTTGGCTGGCGGGTGGCCCTGGTTTTTATCTTTCCCGCGGTTTGCGATGTAAATATCTCTGCCCTGTGGCCTTGAGATGGCTCAGATGGTGAGGTGAGGTGAGCTTTCCCCCGCATTAAAGCCATATGGTGCCCCGTACTATTGAATCTGGTGATGGCGAATGCACACTCTTGATCACACAACGTCTTTTCGAGGTAATTCGTGGACCAGTGTTGGAAGCGAGTTGGAGTAGTTGCGCTCAGGAGAGTAGATATGGCGAGAGGAGCAGAAGTTCAACTTCGAGGCGACATGGCATCTGCATGGTACCAATGCGAAGAGGGGTCGGCGGTTGCCTCGCGAATTCTGAAACTGCAGATCTTCTTCGTCCTCCCCTGGAGTCTCCTGGATGTAGATACAGAGTATTTCCCCAAATTTCCATACTCCATACTCCAGAGTCGTGAGATTGTGCCTGCGGAGAAAATTCGGAGATGGTTCGGAAGCACAAGTCACATGCTTTATCACCACGTGACGTAGATTGGTTGATCCTTGGCGCAAACAAAACGGCCTCACAACAAGAGCCGTCAACAAGAGTAGCCGAGTATCGACCTCTCTACATCAAAGGCAGGCTCAATGAGCTTGCGCTTTAGATAGAATGCCACGCCAAAACACTATCCGCGCGCCGACTACCGCCAGTCTCCCCAACAATCTGCGCATCCCCTCCACGACCCCATCCCTCGTCAAGGCGCTCGGAAAGCTCTCGCGCCAGTCCCTCCTCGACCTCGTCTTCCAATGGCTCGACGACCGAAACGTCAAATTCTTTCCTCCATTTCTTGAAAGTGACGAGACCAAGACCGACTCCCCCGATGATGAAGGCCTCCGCCCATACCCAGCCGAGCGCACCCTCAACGACGTCCGCAACGCCTATCAGGAACTGCAATTCCGCAAAGGCGGGAAACGCGAGGTCATCGATCGCATTCTGGATGGGGACTGGAGACACGGAATTACACTGCGACAACTCGCAATGGTCGACATCCGCTATCTAGACGACCACCCATCGAGTTCCCGCTGGACGGCCCTCGAACTTGCGCGCATTGGCGTCTCCCTCCCAAACGCAGACACAGACTTCTCAGCCTGCATGCCCCGTGTCCACGCCTCAACCTTCCTCACAACCCTCCAACACCAAATCTCCCCGCTCGTCAAAGCACACTTCTACCTCTCGCGCTCGTCAACCCTCCCACTCACCTTCCTCCGCATCTTCGTCACGCACTCGCCATACCAGAACCCGCGCCAGGCGCCCGAGACACTAACGGACTCGACGCGTGTCATGTACGTCGCGTTCCCGGATAGCTGTCCATATATCTACACGTCTCTGGCGCCAACAACGGCGACGGGCGCGAAACCGAGTGCGGCGTCTGCCGTTGCGACGGATGCGCGGAGTCTCCAGCGTATTGTCCGTGATGCTGTACCGAAGGCGCTCTCGCTCCCGCACCAGCGGTATACGTTGAAAACAACGTCGCTTACGGCGAAGAGCCTCCAGGCACTCCTCACCCTCCGGGGCTCGGGTCGCTCGAATAAGGCTGCCGGCGCGTTTAGTATTTTCGCGGATGCGGTTATCGAGGGGAGCCCGCTTGACCCGCGACCATCGAACACCGTCACGCCAGAAGAACACTACAAACAATCGAAGCCACATAACGATGTCGACCCCGAAAAAGAGAACAATTCACTCAACACAGAAAAGGAAGCAGACCCCTCATCCACAACTCAGAACTCAAAACTCCTCCGCTGCAGAGACACATCAGACCTCGACCCTCGCGCGGCAAAGAAACGCAAAATGGCTGTGAACACCCGCTTCGGGACATCAGGCACACGACTCTCTTCCGCACCACTTGACCGCCTCGACGCGCGACTTCTCGATTCACCCAACCCGTCTCCGTCATCAGACGCAGCTGATGATGCCAGTGCCACTCATGAATCCCGACCGAGTCTCTCCCTTACTTTCTCCGGAACGGATGTTATAGCTGGTATTCGCAAACTCGCGGAACTAGGAATTGTCAATGCGGAGCGGATGCCGGCGTGGATGACCGGGGAGGACGCGATTAGTGTTGCAGTTGTGAAGAGGGGGAAGGTGATTAGGGATTCTGGGTGAAACTTGTTATGCTGGCTCGGATTTTTGCGCCTGCACAAGCAGGCTTCCTCATACGATTACAGTCACCGGATCCGGCTGGCTGTACGGTATCTTTCGTTTTTGGGTCTTGATGACCACTACAACCGGAGTCTCTGTGCCAAGGATCTTGGATGCACACTCTACAGTGCGTTCTCCATTGAACAGAACGATATTTGAGCTACCCACACCTCGCTCTTCTCTTACAAGTATGAGGAGAACGACTCGAGGGCAGAGAATGCGCATCCCAGAACCAGCTGGCGACTGTCCGCGACACTTGGGGCTTTTGATCCTTGAACCGCTCGCACCCCTCAGCCTCCAGTCGAACCCCCACTTGGGTGACGTGAAATGGATTGAATAAACCGAATGACCGCCAATTTAGGCAGGGTATTAGGCAACCGAACGCCGGCGGTACCCAGTTAAACACAATAAAGGACCGACGAAAACGCAATGTGACCTCTGAATAAAGCGCCCGTAGTACCGTAACCCACATCCCTCTTCTAATAATCTTCGTCGTAGTTGTACGCATAGCTGTTACGCCAGCCAGAGCGAGAGAATTGTCGGCGCACCCAGTGCTGATGATATGTTGAATAGTCTAGGTTAGTGAGTGGTGTTAGCGGGGAAGATGAAGATCGGACTGGGGAGGAACAATCACAAGGATGGTCTCGTACCACGTTCACCAGACATGCCCATTTGGCTTGCCACATTGATATATCCGTCTTCCCCGACTTGGCCCTGCGTGCGGAGTTGTTCCAGGTCCATTCCGACTCTGCCGTCGGCATCTTCGACTTGCCAAGGGGAGCGACTGTGAACGCTTTAGTAACACCAACAATAAGTTTGCTGGCGGATAGACGCACCAATAAACGCATCGGACTCCTCGCGAGTTCTGGGTGGCAGCCCACTTCTGAAAGCAGTTGGCATGGACATTGTTCCCGCACGCCGCTCGACACCATATGATGTTCTCCTTGCCGGGTTCAAACTCCATGAAGCAGATCGGACAGTCGCCCTCCACTGGTTTGCGCTTCCCATCTGTCTCGGATTCTTCGGCCTTTTCCTTGACGTGACGGAGGGGGGAGTTTTCGTAAATCTCGGACAGTTCCTAGCAGAGTCAGATGCTGAAAGAGGATGAGCGGGGTATACTCACCGTCGAGAGGAATGCCAGCTGGTATTGCAGATGTATGGGAGCTTTTAGGACTTTGACTAGGACTGCAGTGGCCATTAATGATAAGTATAACGATGAGAGGGATATGAATAGCACGAAAAAAGAATAATCCATGGATAATGATGGTTAATGATAGCTTGATCAGAAACAGATTGACGTACCGTAGCAGATATGCTTGCATTGGTTCCCCTTCGCACCATCAGGACAACTGCAGGTCGGTTCCTTCCCAATGGTTGTCCTGTACAAGTTCCCAGTCGACCCAACCATATCAAACTTCATCTCCGGGACTCCATCCGCGCCATCAACAGTTTGTCCAACCACGAACATGCTGCTCTATGTTAGCAAAGGCGATTCCAGGCTGTTCGATACTTACCGCTGGGTAACTGCACGCTCTAAACGTTCCTGGAAGCTCTTTGGGGGTGCCTTGCGAAATCTTCGGGCGCGGCGTTCAGAGGCCTGCTCTCCTGTCTCTTTGCCCTTCGAGCTTCTGGCTTTCTTACTCTGGTTGACATTTTCTGGATCATCGAGAGCATTCGTTGGATCTGAGCTGGCTGCTGAGCTTGTTTTAGTTCCTTTGCGAGAGCTCTTCGCCGGAGTTGGAATCGATTCTTTCTTGACAGCACGCTTTCTCTTTGAAACCGCAGTTGACGAGCCCCTCGAGGCTATAGTGCGGGATGCAGCAGTACGGCCCATGATGAGCAGGTGCTGTGATAGAATCGAAGTAGAGGGTGTTGAATTTTGTAAGAAGTTTGGAGGAAAAAGCAAGCAAACTTTGTGTTACCCAGCGAGTGACGCAAAGCACCTTCCCCAATCGGGCAGACAGACCTGAAGCCCTCGACAGCAATACTGCTAATGGATATCCAGTAGCCCGAGGATAGCATATAACAGCTTCACTCATAGACCATCATGTAGGTTGGCGAGGGTGTTGTATGAGCTCATAGATTGTTCCTTATCGCAGCTGCGATAACTAGTTCCCAACTAGTACTAGCTGCTCTGCCGATGCGGAGGTTTGCTCCTTTTGCTGTGTTTGCGCTGTTTGGTGGTCTAGGCCTCTTCAACGGACGCTTCATGCTGTCACTCTCCAACTCGACCATCAGCAATGGCTCGTCCTCGCGCTCACTCGGGTGCTGAAGGCCCGAAGGAGCCTCATTCAGTCTCTTTAAAAGGTATGTTACGCACCACCACTTTTTGGCCCAATCTAACCAGATGGCGATATAGTTCTGCGGTAAGCACCATCGATTGCGCGGTTGTTGAGAGCCCCTCTTAACCTCCACAGCCTGTCGCGGCCTTCTCTAGCCCACCAGTATCCGCTGCCGGCAGCAAATACCAAAATTTCCAGTAAGGCGGGGTTGAGCTTCCCGTCGGATAATGTCGACAATCAATTCATTCTCACACCTCATGTACGTCCTCTGGATCCGCGTGCTCTGCTATGCTGACCGGACAAGCTCATGCTCCCTCCCACATTCGGCTCCGCATATGTCGGCGAAACGTTCGCCTGCACGCTAAGTGCGAACAATGAATTGCCGGAAGATACCTCGCGCGTGATAACCTCCGTCCGGATCGTCGCCGAGATGCAGACCCCGTCCCAAGTCTCCTCCCTAGACCTCGACCCGCCCACCGATAACGCCGTCCGGGATGGACTACAAAAGGGAGACTCGCTACAGAAGATCGTACGCTTTGACCTCAAGGAGGAAGGAAATCATATCCTGGCGGTCAGCGTCAGCTATACCGAAACCATAATGGGCACCGACTCGCAAGCAGCTAGCGGGCGAGTGAGAACGTTCCGCAAGTTGTATCAATTCGTGGCTCAGCCGTGCCTCAGCGTCCGGACAAAGTCTTCTGAACTGGCGTCGTTGGAGGTAGAGAACAAATCGCTCGGCCCTTATGGGAAAACACGCCTCGTTCGGTATTCCCTGGAAGCACAGCTGGAGAACGTGGGAGAAGGGGCAGTCGTGATCAAGGTATGCGCCTTCAATATGTTGAGAGAGAGTTCTAATGTGGACAGCAAACACGACTCAACCCCAAGCCTCCATTCAAAGCGATAACTCTAAATTGGGATCTTGAACGGCCAGACCAAGTAGACACGCCACCCCCTACCTTGAATCCACGGGACGTATTACAGGTTGCGTTTCTTGTCGAACAAGAAGAGGGCCAACAAGAAGGCTTGGAGACTCTGCGCAGCGACATACGGAGAGACGGCCGCACCGTGCTTGGCCAATTATCCATCGAGTGGAGGAGCTCCATGGGAGATAAAGGATTCCTGACAACTGGCAACTTGCTGACACGAAAACGGACGTGAATCACAGCCTGAACACTAGTAACACAGCCTGCGCTGTGTAACGGGGACCCCATTTACCCCTCCCGGAAATGATTTCAGACCACTTACTCTCAACGGCAACCGCGAGCAAGCAGACGGTTATCCCCTGCAGATATTTTCGCCTCCTCAGCGCTACACAGCACAGGCTTAATAAGTCTCCAAGATGGTCGGCGGAATGTTGTGCTCCGTGGTCTGCGGCTTGGGGGCCTTTTGCAGGCGAGCGTTACACGGTGCTGGTAGACATCCCGCCTGGGTAACCTACTGCCGGCCAGTAAAACATCAAACCAGCCTTACTGTACGTGTTGAACAATCAATGTCTCAATTAGTGCGACGCATACAGGCAATCTTATATTATACCGCGTGTCTGGCCTTCATTCCGTGACGCTGCAGTATCCACCGCGTATCAGCTTAGGGTTACCGGGTTGTTTCAAGGTTAATCTGATTGAATCCTGCCACACGTTGGAAAGTAGACCCCATTGGCGTTGCGTGACTATCAATTCAAGGACAACATGTTCACACTGGACAATCCTTCGATTGGTTACGATCCCACGCCCAGGTGGAAGGTGTCGCTCCAATGTCTAGGTGCTAAGACAAAGAGATCCCGCCTCGCTTTCCTCCTGAACCTGCTCAGCTTCCAAGCTCCGAAGCAGCTCGGCATGTCGTTGACTCCTTGGCTCGACCGCAAACTCAAATGGTTTCGGTTTGTTGACCATCCCGGGAATAGCCTCCAGCTTGACCTCGATCTCCCTCCCCTGCGAATCCTTCACCTTCTCCAATCGAAATACAGCAAGCATCTGCACGACGGCGACATACACACTCGCGTCCCCAAAGTAGCGTCCCGCACAAGCTCTTCGCCCGTACCAAATGCGAGGTCGCCGGGGTTCAGCTCACAGTGGCGTCATCAACCCTCTCTAGTTTGAACACCTCTAGATCGAGGGACGTCTTCGGGTCTTGTAGAAACCACCAAATGGAAGGGAGGAGGTATGCATCCTTTGGGATGAGATAGTCCTTGTAGATTATATCTTCCTCAGACTTGTGCGTCAGCCCCATCGGCCCGACGGGGTTCCAGCGCTATTCCTCCTTCATGATGCCGTCATTGTACGGCATATGCTTCCTGTCGGAGAATGTGGGAAGTTGAGATGCGTCTTTGCCGATGGCGCGGTCAATCTCTTCCTGTGCTCGCACCTGGACTTCAGGAAACATCGCCAGAGCGAGAATAAGGCTCATCAGGATGGCAACTGTGCTATCCGATCCTGCGGCATAGAGGCTAACTGCTGTCCACTTAATGGCCTCTTTATCCTCCGTCCCCAATCCCAAGTCACTCCCCAGGAGGTTCGAGACGTATGACGGTTGATTGACGCCGTTGGCTATCTATTGACGAAGGAAAGCATACGGAATCTCAGCTGCAGCCTCATTGATGGCCTTCCACTCGCGCGCTGTCTGCCGGTACAAACGGCGCGGGGAGCTCTCGGGGAGACGGTCGATGGCAGGTATAGCGTGGATAATCCATGAGCACGGCACAAACACCAGAAAGGGATGTTCCATTGGTTGCTCGGGCAACTCAACGAAGAAGTCGGACCCCTCCAATGGGGCCGTAGGTGTCTATGTGATTGAGCCAGTGCTGAAACTCGGGCGTACCGCCCAGTGGTAGGGAGAGGATGTTGTCGAGAATTGGAAGGGGCGGTGGCTCTAATTTGATCAGAGCGTTGACTTGGACTTGGTGCGGGTGTGTGGTACCCTTCCCAGGGAGGTGAAGTAAGCCCATTATCCCCTATCACGGCGGTAGAATCACCTTGTTCTCTGGCTCGCGTTTGCCTGGAGGTCAATATCGCAATCTCACGGGCGAATAGGGGGTACCAACAATCTATTGAAACTCAGATAAACAGCGCATCTTCTGTTTATGGAGGCCATATTCGCTGGCTGGGGGTTTGCCGCTGCGTGCGTGTTGAAGACTCGAGTCAGGGATGTACCCTTCCTAGTAATACAGGCAAATATACAATCAGGCACAAGACACTGCATACAGAAATAGTCCATGCCTGCATGGCCAGATCCAAGCCTAGGTATTTTCAACACACTCAACCAAGTCTATGACCACCAGAATGAAGCGCATCATCAAATCTAGCATTGAATCTCTTTGCGTTGAGTCCGTCAGACCCTGTACCTCTTTGGGAGGTCGGATATCCCGGCTGCGCTGTTACGTTTGGTATTTCCCTACCCTCCTCCTGCCCGGGGGCCCGATTACTCCCTCATTGAGGCGTATTACACCGCATATACTAGTAGTAAGCATATACATAAACCGGTAGAGCAGTGACCAGTCCCTGTAATCCTCAGAACCGCCCGAGCCCTATTTATCATGTCCTTCCTCGACGCGGTTCTCTGAATTCGGCCCCATTACTTGGCGTTCCACGTAAACAAGCAGCTCTGCTCCCTCTCTCTGTCCGTCATCCCTATCAAGGGACGGAGGAACGGAGGAGGGGGTTGTGCTGGATGGCTACTTAGTGTGTGTAGCATTAGCTTCTTGTAGTGAACGGTTTGTTGGGAGGTTGAGTAGGGTGGTTTGACGCGGTTGCTTTTATACTGAGATGACCACTTGGATTAGGATAATGAGATGGTAGCATGTCCTGGTGTCGTGGTGATATATCAAGAGATAAGATACAGAAGGGTCATTGCCATTCAGGTCTTGACCCCATTGTTATTGAAATAAGTCCCCATACAGATATATATATCATGGATGTGTGCAATCCGGCGATTGACAGGAGGAGCCCATACAAATAACATGATTAGGTCTAAATATATATTTAGACTGGGCGGTACTCCATCGGTCACTGGCTGATATAATCATGAGGCTACTAGTTACTAGTGGTACTTACTGAATTGCCCCTCCTGCATGATTGAGAAGAGATGCACTTATCCAGCGGTGTGCTGTATGGAAAGAAGAGTATAGTACCATGCATACACGGTACACCCTTACGTCGACAGCAGACAGTGGAATTGAAGGCGAAGGGAAGGCCGGTGACAGAAGTAAGCTGACCAGACAGGCTACTCCAGAGGAGATCTCACGAACGCACGAGCTCACGATCTGAGCGACTTGTCGAGAATCGAGATCCATGGTTCAAAGTAAGCGATCGTTTCATCTTACTCGACGATAGAGGTAGACTCCGTAGCTGATCGCTGGCGAAATTACCTCAATGGTTCCAAATGCCGACCAGGTTGATCCACCGATCGCCAGACTTTCATTCTCCATGATTTTCTCTATGGGATTGAGACTGCAGATGAAGGATCATTTGCACGTTTGGTGGAGGAGTTGAACAGGCTTGCCAAGAGGAACTGATGTATAGAAGGGTACATTATTAGGAGGTCTCGTGGTGAAGAGCACAAGATCGGCGAATGGCGCTTAGCAATGGCACTGGGCAGTGGCAGTGGTATTTGGGGAAACGGTTCTACCTCGGGACGGACAGACTTTTGGGAACGGAAGTGAGACATGCCGGTTCTTAGCCATGCAGCTGCGGGACGGAGAATGCTTCCTCAGCAAGGTTGCGATAGCGATAGAGTCGACTCAGGGGTCAACCTCGAACATTTCCGCAAGCGTCAGAATTGGAGGGCGAGCTGAGGTTCCATGGTTATCTCGAACAGTCGTTCTCCAGAATCCTGCGCAGGCCACCCGAACATAGCGACTCCACTTCGGTTCTCCTCCCGTCCGAGCGCAGCTGAGGTCTGTTAGCGCTTGGGATAGAGCAGACAAGGGGACTCCAGAGTCCAGACAGAGTAAGCAGTCGTTGTGAAAAACTTCGTATCACTGTGGAGGACCGCGGCTGGTTCCTGGCGAAAAGAGGAGGTGGTTGGTGTGGCTGCAGCTAAAGATGCACACTTGCAGTAGTCCAGCAACTTGTCCAGGCCTTGGGGTCCCCGAATTGCTTTTTCCCTTGATCCCAGACCGACCTGCACGTTGGACGGTTTGCTGTTGCTGTCGCTGCTCTGGCGACGTCTGAAACTCAACCTGGCGAGTTTGCTGTCATACCTGCTGGCTCAAGAATTAGAGGGCAGTGGTTAGTATGGTAGTGACTGGTAATTGGAAAGGAGCTCGTGCAACTGAGACAGGGACTCGGCTGGAGCTGGCTGGCTGGCTGGCTGGCCTGCTTCTGGCGGCCGTTTCGACTTCTGCCCCCTTCCACGCAACCAGCCGAAAAAGAAAAGAAGAGCAGAAAAAAATAAAAAAAATAGTCTCCAGGCAAAAGCAGGGTCAGGACGCAAAAGAGAGTGAAAATCAGAAGGAAATCAGAAGCAAATCCGGCATCCATACTCTATAATTCTGAAAATAATAATCAGCAGCTTCCCTGCAGACGAACGGTTCGCTCCTTTTAGGCTCTCCTTTTCTCCTCCATCCAGATCGGCACGGCGTCCACGACACTCGCTCTTCTTCCTCTCCTCCACCAACTCCCCCCCCTCTTTCTCCCTTATCTTTTTTGGGTCTTGCTATTCTTCTTCGCTACGCTATTTTTATTCTCTCCCTTTTCGTTTCAGCCTTCTCGCCTCCTGCCTTCCAATCAGCTTTCCAACCCCTCTCCGTCTTGCGCGACACCGTCGCAATCCCAAAACTTATGCTTCTCCTGCCCATTCCCTTCGGAGCCCCTGATCGCTGAACTCTTCAAACACCCCTCGATACAGGCCGGAGAAGCCAGGTTCTCTACTGATTGGTCTCCATTATCAATGTTGTGACGAAGCCCACGACTTGCCGCGACGATTCATGATTTACAACCCCGCAGACACCGACCCCGACCCTCGATAATTCGGCACGATGCCTTTCTCTACCTCCTCCTCCCACTCCTCCACCGCCGAGGTCACAACCACCCCGCTCGCAGACTACTTTTGGATAGCCGGTGTGGACGGCGCTGAGATTCTAGACACCTTTCGCAAGCTAGGGGATGAATACCGCATCTCCAACGCCGCCGCTCCCGGCCCCGCGGTGACCGACACCATTGAGGAAGATGCCGACGCCGAGGACGCTCACGATCCCCGTCTGGACGGTCTGCTCTCCCGAAACCCTTCTGTGATCGGTCCTCCCAGCTCCCAGCAGCGTCTCTCATTTCGCTCCGACAACTCAGACCACAACGCCAACGGCACGCACAGCAACCGCAGTAGTATGACGATCAAGGGCGGTGCCGCTCCGTCACCGCGCGGTTCTGCGTTCCTGGGACTGGAAGACTTTGACTTTGACAAGGCGCTGTTCAAGTTTGCCTCGGAGAGGGATTCGTTCCTGTCCGATCTGAGTCTCAGTGCTGGTGCCATCACGCCGCAGGCACGACCACGGTCGAGGGTGCGCACTCAAAAGATCGTTTCCGAGGACCCGCAGCCGTCAGGACTACTCCGATCTGGAATTGGAAGTGTACGGCGGCACATGTCGTTTCGTGATATGAACAGCATGAAGAGGCAGCCGTCGGTGGCTCGTCAAGGTGGGTACACTTACACTGCAGCGGATAGGCAACCATTGCTAACCTGTCCAGCCTCGATTCGTACCTCGCGCCGTTTGAGTAACTACAATTCCGTGATACCCGCACCCCAGCCGTTGGAAATATCCCCGACCATGCATCCTCTGAAACGCCGGTTCGAACCAGTCCTCCTCGACCGATACCCTCCAAAAGGCATGGCCGAGGATGTGAAGCAGCGCGCCCACTTTCCCGACTACGTCCCCATGTTTGCATTTCCAAATGACATCAATATTGTCTCTTCTGATCAGAGACCGCGGTCGACGTGGCATGGATTTGCCATGACAAGTGACAATGGAGCTCGCTTACACGCGATATGTGTTATTGTTTGGATTCCGTTGAACCACCAAGCGGCAGACCAACTGGAAAAATGCTGCGAGGAATGGCGCAAGGATAACATGACTGACGAGGAGCGAGAACTGGCAGCGAGCCTGGGGGAGCGGCTAGCTCAGGAGCGGGCTAAGCTCTCCCGGCTCCTAGCGCAGCTTCCGACGGTGCCATCTGGCTCTGAATCGAGAGAACAGCTGGAGGACGAAATCAGCGCCGTCGAGGAAAAGATTGGCTTGATGACCGACCTTTTGCGCCCGGTGCGTCATGGAGCGGCATCAAAGATCGAAGGTCTGACCGACGGCGACACTGGTTTTTGGATTCCTCGCGCCTACGGTATCCTGGGCCGCGAAGAGAACATGACGAGTTTCTGGAAAGAATGGCTCAAAGCTGTCATTGTTCCTATGACTGACAACAGCATCCAGCGCGTACCCCCGGCATCCCCTCGGATGGGCGTATGGCAGCCGCTGGAACGATACGTAATGAATCTATGCACCGAAGCTTTCAGCCCTAACACTTCCAAGACACAGGTGGAACTGGCGGTTCGGGAACTGCGCCTATTTGCTCGAAAGGAAGCCACTAATGAACTGCCGGGATCTCGAAACACCGATCTATATGCGTTGTTCCGGACCTTATCGCTGTCCAATATCATCATCCTCTTCGAGTATGCGCTCACCGAATCGCGGATCATCCTGTTGTCCTCGCACACATCCATGCTGTACCTTGCTACGCGGGCTCTGGTTGACTTACTGTTCCCGATTCCCTGGTCTGGCGTACTGATCCCTGTCCTTCCCGCACGGTTGATCCAGGCTCTTGAGGCGCCTTGTCCTTACATTGTCGGTATCGAGCGCCGATACGAAAAGGTTGAGCTTCCTTCGGACGACTTTGTCCTGGTGGATCTTGACCAGGACATGATTGAAAGTACCGTCAAGCCAACCCCGCTGCCACGCCACCAGAGGAGGAAACTTCTCTCTCTGCTCCAGCTCGCCGCTCCCCATCACAGCCGATACGGAGTCCCCACTGGTCCTCCTTCCTATGCTATTGAGACCTTCCCATTTGACGCGTTCATGTCTGAGAACCCAGGCATCTACCACTCCAAAGCACAGTCGACACATCTGGCAAAATATGTAGGACTCAATTCTGGATCGTTTGGTCAAAGCGCTGTGCCACCCAACTCTACCCAGCCGCTCATCTTCAATGCTTTCCTGCATGCCCGTAATGAGCAGGCCGCATCGAGAGGATACTCATCCAAAGGCGGAGACCGACCTGGAACGGGATCGACTTTCAAAACTGGATCTCCACCGTCGCCACGAGAAAGTTCGCCCATTTCTGGACATTTCCCACCGCTGCCCAACGCACCGGGCTCCCGCAACGATTCAGGTCTAGCCCTCCAAGCGTCACTCCGTGAGAAGCGGTCTGGCCATTTCGATGCTGCATCCCGACGCAGCTCGTCCTTTGGTATGGATCCGCGCCAGGTGCCTAGACGGCCGAGTGTCCCATTCCTGGGCCATGCACCGAACTTGTCTGTCACGACGCTGAACACTGATTATCATTCTACGTATGCACCGTCGGTGTATGCGCAGTCTACCGTCGCGGCCTCAACCATCGTGCCTCAGGCTGTTATCCAGCCGATCCACAACACTGAGGGCACCTGTTGGGTAGAGGGGCATTGCCTGCAGCTGCAACCGTGGGATGACAAGGCGGTCTGTTCGATTTGCGATGAGCGAGCCGATGAAAACATGTACAAGTGTGCATCATGTAAGACCTTGGTGCACAATCGGTGCGCCCACCAAATCTGCCTCGTTTGTCCTGTGGCATTCCACCCTGAGCAAGTACGGGCAGCCTTTGTTCGATGCTTCGCCAGCTTATTCTACACATACAAGAAGTTTCTTCAGCCGGCCAGTGGGGACAAGAAGAAGGCGGGTCTCACATACAGCTTCAACATGGATGCATTTTTCAAGAGCTTGCCTGGCGAGCACGCAGAATACATTGGTGTTTTACAGCATACTCAAGGTGAGTTTGCCTGTGGAGATATGCAGGTGGATAGTAAAACTGACGATCTAGGTTTCAACGAATTCATTAGCGATAGGGAGAGGATGAATCCCAAGGCCAAGGACCCGCGGATGGCACTCTTTGACGAGATCATCCTGTCAAAGCGGAACCGAGGCCGGTCGTCTCTCTTCTCGAGCCGGTCGACCACCGACTTTCTATCTGATACTTCGAACCACCTTTGGAGGACTGCAAGTGCCGCCTCCTTTGCCGCGGGCAGGACCCAGCAAAACCTTTCCGGGGACTACACCCGAGTTGTCACACGAGGTATGTCGCACTGGGTAGCACCTGTACATCATAACATCCACGTTACTAATGCCGCAGCAGCCCCAGCGAAGCTCGATGCCAGTCTTATGAAAGAGCCCCGCATGATTCACGGGGCTCCTCGGGTGTCAAAGACGGCCAACAACGCTCGGCGGAAGCCCCTCCCCAAGCTCATGAATGGTCTCGCAATCTCCCCGCCGTAAGGGAGGACGGACGATGGTTGGTGGAGTGTTCTCGTCCCGGACGGTATCATCTGGATGCTCTCACGACAACCGCCACGTATTCCTCCTCCTATCTGACACCTCCCAGACCAATTGCGGGCCAGGCGCTCCGCGCGGGCTGCGTTGCGGAACTTTTCGACCCTTAGACTGGGCAGCTCAGCCAACATTGAAACACTCGCTACCTTGCTCCTCTCCTGATCTCTGCCAGACCACGGCATTTCCCGCGTCCGACGCGAAGAATCTGACGTCAATTTCCTCAAAAAAAGTTTTAGACTCGCGGGCTGGACACCTCTTTCGTTTCTTTTTCACAATCCCTTGTCGATCTGCAGCAGCGGCTGCAGCCCGAGCTCAACCTGATCTGATCTTCTTTATGACTACCCGTCAGGGTCTCATGAGCTTCTCATGTGCCCGCTGGTTTCATAAAAGATCCCGAACCGCACGAACCCTTGTACAGTTATTGGCACATACATGCATGATAGACATACTACTAATCACCCGTGGGCACGGATACCGGATTGGGGGGTTGTATTTGCAGGAAATCGGCCATGTTTTGTTCATGTTGGGTCTACTGTTTTGTCTCCTTTTTATACCCTTGATACACTTCTCTCGTTTCTTGAGATACCAAGTCACAATCTCATGCTCACGCTTGATTCACTGTCGTATCTTTTGTATGAGCAGCAGCCTGGAAGCCGGAAGTATTTACTACCTTGCCTCCTCGCTCCAGCCAGCCACTAAGAGCCGTTTTCTTGATGACGGCCAGTCCCTGGGCCAATCCTCCGGGGAGCATGTACCGACGGACAATTATGGTAGGACCGGGTGCCAGGGAAGCTCTCTGGACGGTGGTAGGTGGATATGGGGAGGTTTTTCCTCGTATCACGTAGGAGATGTTGCATTGGATGAGAGATCAGGGTGTTTTCGAATGTCATACATTCATTCCGTCCATTAATAATGCCCTTCGCGGAGCTTCATTCTCTGCATTAATAATGGTCTTTGCTGAGCTTCATTCTCAACCTGATCCACCCCGAGGAGCAGCTCAATTAAGCCGTGACCATTGACCGTCTCAAGCAAGTCTCAACCCTTCGGTGATCGGTATAGACGACCCCTAAACTTTGGCTCATTACCCATTCATCCTTTTACCCAGTTTTACCCCGATCTTACCCCCCAGCTGCATCAAAGCCAAGGCAGCGCCTGATTGGCGGAATAAATTGTGCCGCAGCAAAGGCCGGGGAAATTTAGCCGTCGGATGCGCCCAAAATCTCCCTTCCATTTGGCCAGTCGCTTGGGTGATCGCGCTCCCCCATGCTCCATCGATCTCCATCCAATTCCAGACGCTCTCACCTTCTGTTCACTTTTTTTGTTTCGCTGTTCGCTGCCACTCGTGAGAGGCAGAGAAATGCCCCTCTCTCCCGTAGCCCGTCTTTCCTTCTGGACCTGATCGGACTAAGCCCGGTTGGTTGCGCGCTCACGCTCTTATCCTGCTTGCATTCCTCCTCAGATACGGACGGGGGAAGACGCTCTTTGCCCGACCTGCGTTGTGTTGCCTGGTCTGTTGGCCATAAGCAAGGTAAGCTATAGATTGCGGCTTTTCCGTTGGTGGCTAACTATTTCTCCCTTGTGTTTCTCTGACTATTTCCTGCTTCCTGCTCCCCGACCGGCGGCCGCGGTTAATACCAGGCTGTTATAACTGTCTACTAGTACTACCTGGTGGCTTGCTGCTACTTTCCCCTTCCTTCCTTCTCTCTGTCTTCTTCCCTTTCTGTCTCGTCTCGTCGATGCTGGCCCAGTTCACTCGTTCATTCGTTACTTAACTGACTGTGGCAAAAGGAAATCGGTTTCCGCGGATCATCAATGCGACTCCACGTTTCGTCCCCAAATTATCCCTCCTCTTAGATCGCTGCATTACGCATATCTATCAGATTCCAATATCTACGCACGTACACCGGACATACAACGTACTATATTTCTGCCCGCGCCATCTCAAAGTATGCCTTGAAAGATGATGCAAACCGCCCTCCATCAACCTGTGGCTACCACCCTGCGAGCCGACGCACCCGTCAACAACACGACGACCACCACTACTCCCTCGACTACAACCCTCAAGGGAGCTTCCGCCTCCTCAGCGCTCCCATTCCCTTCCGCGCTTCTTCCGCAGGATCCCCCACGCACCGTCGTTACAGTTTACGGGCCGGGCCAGGACACGATCGTGCAGGTGGTCGCAGACGTCCTCGGAAAGCCATGGACAACCGAGACCTCGCTCTCAGCACTCGGACGGGGCAGCAGCGCAGTGGTCGTTGGCATCCGCGCGACGGATCTTGCAGGGAGTTTGCAAGAGGCAGGAGCGGGATTCGACCGGTCCGCATGTATACTGGTGAACTTTCATGGCGTCGATGACGGGTCCTTCCCCGAGGAGTCGCTGACGGAGCTATGCGACTACGAGTTCCTGTACTCGCTGCGGAGCCCCTTTTTCCGGCGCGACCTGACGCGCTTCCTCTCGCTTATCTTGGGCCAGACGAGGCCGCATGAGGATCTGAAGACGAAGAACCGCACGAATTTCATTTCGACGACGTTTCCGGATGTGCATGCGGCCTTGCCGAATTTGGATATTCTCTCGGTGGGATCGGATGCTGTGGAAATTCGTGTGGATTTGCTGGTTGATCCGGAGCCGCTGCAGAGCGACGGTAGGAATGCGAATGCGACTGCGCAGCCAAGCCCCGTGCCGAGTCTGCGGTATGTAGGGCAGCAATTGATGCTCCTGCGGCAGCACACGGAGATGCCGATTATTTTTACGACAAGGTGCACAAAGGAGGGAGGCAAGTTTCCCATGGACGACCCGAATCTGTTCTACCGGTACCTGCGGCGCGCGATCCAGTGGGGCGTCGAGTACATCGATGTGGAGCTGTGGCTCCCAGAAAAGGTGCGCCGGTCATTAGCAGAGGTCAAGGGGAACAGCGTAATCATGTCTGCCTTCCACGACTATTCTGGCGAGTGGAAGTGGACGTCGCCCGAAGCACCGAGAATCTTCGAGGAGAGCGCCAAGTATGCGGATATCGTCAAGATGATTGCGATGGTGCACAGCGTCGAGGCGAACTATGAGCTGGAGTATTTCCGGTCGACGGTCAAGCAGACGCATGGGGCGTATCCGCTGTTATCAGCGGTGAACATGGGACAGCTAGGACAGCTGTCGCGTGCGCTCAATACAGTCTTTTCGCCCATCACACATCCGCTCCTCCCCATGATCGCCGCTCCAGGCCAGTTGACAGCGGCCGAAATCAATGAGGCACTCCACATCATGGGCCAGTCTCCCAAGCGCGACCTCTACGCCATCGGCTCCTTCCGCGCAACGCCGCAGTCCATGTTTATGGAGAAATGCTTCAACGAGCTCAGCCTCCCGCACACACTCACCTCCATCGACCGCGGCCCACCGGGCTCCCTCGAGCGCGTAATCAGCCAGCCGAGCTTCGGCGGCGCCGCGCTCCACCCACCAATTCCCAGCAACTCGCGGCTCCCCGCTGTAAGCGACGCCGCGCGTGCAATTGGCCTCGTAGACACAATTGTCGTAACAAGCCCGGGGACTCTCGTTGGCGAAAACGCCAGCTGGAAGGGCATCCGCGCGACATTGACGCGGGACTACGTGCCCAGCGCATACCGCAATCGCGCGGCAATTATCCTCGCAAGCTCCGAGAGCGAAGCCTCGTCGAGCATCTTCGCGCTGCGCAGTCTTGGCGTCGGCGCAATCTACACAGTCGGGTTCCGGGGAACGGGCCCACTAGCCGAGGGCCTCGAACCGTTTACCACGATCCAATCCGTGAAACTCGTCGAGCAGCCCTTTGTCATCGTCTCGGCTCTCCCGCCGGAGAAATCCCTCCTCGTGCAGCCGCTTCTCCGCCACTACCGCAGTACAGGACGGGCATCTCCGCCCTCGACACGGGGGAAAGTCTATCTCGACCTCACCCGCGGAGAGAGAAATGGTGATCCGCTGGGTGTTGCGGAGCGGGCTGGCTGGACGGCGTACGGGATCGAGGACGTGAATGCGTGGACGACGGTTGAGACGCTGAGGCTGCTTGTTGGGCAGAATGTGCCGTTTGATTTTGTGAGGATGGCGTCGGGGAGGATTATTTGATTTGTCTACTGGTATCTGCATTACATTTCCAGCTATTTCCCTGCATGGCTCTTTTTTTTTCGGTTCAGGAATACATACATACGATATTCGACGAGTGTAGATCCACCCAGCTTGACTTTAATTGTTGTAGCAATGTAGATACGAGCGATACGAGCACTACCCCTAAGCGAAGGACAAGGGAAGGGAGAAGAAGAAGAGAGAGGTAAATAAACGCCGATCCGGCCCTCCGTCCGCCCCCATTCAGGGAAAATCCCGCTCTGCGGCCTGCCCACATTCTTCCGATTCTGTGCAGAAGAACCTTGAGGGACAGGGTGGCAGTGAGTGGCCCTCCCACGGTCCACCCCAGAATCTCCCCCTCCAGCCCGGGGCTCGCCTGACTCGCTGAACGAGCCATCCCCGCATCGGTTGTATCTCCGCCTGCTAGCCTGGAATGCGTTAGCGCAGGCTAGCCGGATATTGGAGGTGCGCCGCTTGTTGAGGTCGGCTGGCCGCTGGTCCTGCAATAAGAATCTGTGCGCACTGGCTGGCTCTGCGCTTTTCCGTCCCCCGTCCCCCTTCCTCCGGCTGGGGTTAGAAGACTCCGGGGTTGCGTTGCCGTTGAGTGACCTGCGTGGAGCGGCGTGGGCGTGGGCGTGGGCGTCCACTGGACCTTGGAGACTCGACTCGACTTGAGAGACGAGCTAGACTAGAGTTTCTGAGTTATTATTAACGTACCACCCTCCCTCTCCAGCCTTTCTCCACTTGATCTCTTTCGACCTGATTCTCCATGTGTTTTTCCTCTCGTTGTTGTCGTTAACACTGGCATTTGGCTTGGACTGGATTGGATTGGAAACGGTCACTGGCAGAGTGCGACTCGATGGTGATGTCTGCCCGCCCAACCGTCAGCATCGACCGGCTGACGCCGCGGCGTGTTACCGCTGAGCCGCGAGAGTCGATGAATTGTAAGAGTTGTCGGAAGAGAAAGGTGCGTTCCATGCTGCTGCTTTGCTTTTTTTTTTTTTTTTTTTGCGATTTTTGCTTCCCCCCTCTTTAGCTCTATTTGCCATTTGGTCTCTCTTTTGAGCTGAGTGAGTGATTTATTGATTTCCACTAGATAAAATGCAATCGTCTCCGACCCAGCTGCGAGGCATGCAAGGTATTCCTTTTTTTTTTTTTTTTTTTGCGATTTTTGCTTCCCCCCTCTTTAGCTCTATTTGCCATTTGGTCTCTCTTTTGAGCTGAGTGAGTGATTTATTGATTTCCACTAGATAAAATGCAATCGTCTCCGACCCAGCTGCGAGGCATGCAAGGTATTCCAGTGTGCCTGTATCTATGGTCGGTCCCGTCCCTCCACGCAATCCCATCCCATCCCAGTTTACTCCAACCACAACAATTCGCGAAACATGCTAAACAAACACAGACGCCGTCCCCAAAAAGCGTGGCCCGAAAACAGACGTCCTCGAAGCCCTGCTCAAACGCGTCGACGGCCTCGAGAAGCGTCTCCAGGACGACAACACGCATCCTCTCTCGCCGTCATCGCCCGTCAAGGATCTCTCGCCGCAGTCCCAGGCCGCCGCCGCAGCGGCGCAGGCGGCTTTTCCTTTAACCGCTCAGACGCAAGGGCACGGTCAAAGCCAGGCGCAGGCGTATGCGAACTCGAGCCCTGTTGTTCATCATGGGTATGTGTTTCCGCCGATGGGTCAGGGTCATGGTCAGGGTCCGTTGCATGGGCAGCCGCAGACGCCCGGCCTAGCTCAGGCGCAGGCGCAGCCTGGTCGGGTTCCCGATGCGATGCTTGATGCGTACTTTGCGCGATTGCACGGCAAGCCGTTCTTTATTCTTGATGAGGCGGCGACGCGGGCGAGGTCTGCGGCTGGGACTTTGCCGGGGTATCTTGGGATGGCGGTTTATGCGCTGACGCTGAGGTATGTTTGCTTTTCTTGGTTGCCTTGAGGCTTTGGATTTGGGTGAGGGCACTGCTGATATTCGACAGATACACCACGGTCAACCCCCCGCCCGGGAGTTTAGAGTACGCGCGACAAGCTCGGCGCATGGTCGATATTGATCAGCCGTCTATTGAGAATCTACAGACGCTGCTGCTGCTCTCGCAGACGTTTTATGCTTATGGCTGTGGGAAGAAGGCGTACATGACATTAGGTGCGTCTATAGCCTCTCTTTGTGAAGCATGCTGACGGCTCAAGGAAACGCCGTCTCCATGGTCCTAGCCCTCGATCTCTACCGCGAACTCCCCGCCTCCCATCCCGCACCTCCGCTCGAACGCGAGATGCGCCGCCGCCTCTTCTGGGCCGTCTACGTGATGGACCGGTTTCTCACCTGCGGCTCCAAACGACCTTGCCTCATCGCCGACCACTCCATCGTCGTGCGCCTCCCATCCAGCTCGTCAGCCTCTGACCCGGGCGACGTCTTCAACCCCGTCGGCCCCAACATCCCGTACTCGTCGGACCGCCGCAAAACCGCTGGCTCCTGCTCCGCCCTCCTCGTCGACATTTCGCGCATTCTCGGCGTGACACACCGCTACCTCGCCGCCGGCGGCGTAAAAGGCGACTCGCACTTCCCATGGCACGCACTATCGAATCTCTCCAAAATCAGACAGGAACTGGACCTTTGGGCCGCCGGCACACACGACCTCTTCGCCTCCATCGAAGCACTCTTCGGCCATCCCGAGAGCACCCTACTCCTCCTCTCAAAGCTCATCTACCACCTCGTCCACTGCCTGCTCTACCGCCCCTTCCTCCCCATCGACCTCGCCGAGCTCCGCGGCTCAGGCCAGCACCAGAGCTGGCAAATCGAAGCAACAACCCTCTGCTTCTCGCACGCAAACGCCATCGCCGAACTCGTCGAGCTCGCGCGCCACGCGCCGAGAATCGAGTGGCCGGATCTCGTCGCATACTGCCTCGCCGTCGCGGGGACGGTGCACATCCACGGCGTGCACTACCACGGGCGCCGCGACGGGGAGGTCTTTGCGTCGTCGCCGGATTTCCTGGCGCGGGAGATGCACCAGCTTGCGTGGTTGAGGCAGTCGTGGACGGGCGCGCAGCATCATCGCGATTTGCTCACGACGCTATCGGCGTGTCATGCGGATTTGGTTAGGACGCTTGCGGCGCGTCCGGTGCGGTTTGCGCCGGTGTTTCATCTTGAGGATTTTCTGGACAGATATCCGGGGCTTGTTGTTGATGGGGGGCATGTTAGGCTTGTTGATGGGGATGAACAGTATGCCCATTCCCCTTGCCAGTTTTTCCTTGGGAGATAAGTATACTAACAAAGATATAGGCTGGAACTCGACCCGCAACTCCTCTACGCGCCGACGACCCTCCCCTCACAACAACCACACCTCCACACATCGTCACACGTACACGCCCGCCACCACTCCACCTCCTCCGCATCCCTCTCCTTCCACCCACACCACACCTCCCCAACGTGGCCCGACATCCCCACAGACCCGGACCTCCTCGACCCACAAACCCATTCGCACCCGCACCTCGCCGGCACCGCAGGATCCGTCTTCTCCCCAGCCCTCCCGCAACCGCCGTCATCAAGTACGTCGCCCTCCTTCCTCCACCCGCAATCGTTGGGTGCCAGCACAGCCAGCAACGGATCCATCAACATAAACAGCACGCTCCACCCGCAAATCGAAATCCAGTACGCGACCTTCCCATTCGAGTCGACTCCCGGACCTATCGGCGAGTCGCCGGAATCCGTTCCCTCGTCGAATGCCGGGCCGTCGGCTTCTGGTGCAAGCGCAGGCGGGTCCGCGAATGAGGAGAAGGATCCGTTCTTGAGTCTCCTGGAGCAGATTGCGGAGAATGAACATAGTCAGGGCGGGCCGAGTGAGTTGGATTTTTTTTTGGACGGGTTGGATGAGAAGGCGGCTTAGTTCTTCCGGATGGCGAGGGGGAGGGAAGGAAGCGGGGTTTGTACAATCTTGTAAAGCGAGTATCTATAGGGTTGGATCAGCGTGAGCGTGGAGTTTGGAGTCTACGGGTATGGGTGCGGAACTCCTTCCGGGCTCATGGAATCGGGACTATTGATTGATTGATTGATAACATGGACATGGACATGGACGAACTGAACATAAATGGGATAAAGCAAATGAACATATGAAGCCAAGAAGTCCTTCCTCCACCTCAGCCAACATGCTGACAGAGTACTTGCTCGCTACTGCTGACAATGTTAACTTAGTTCGTTTCTCTCGGCAGCGCTGGAACTATAGCTATACCCTGACGTCATGACAGGAACCCCCAATCAACACCACGCCATATCTGCGCTTCGTCGGAAGCAAATCGCATGAGGTATTTATTTCCTGTTCTGCATGAAATAGATTCCTACTACCTCACGGACAACTCAAATCGATTTCAACCAACAAAGACCCCAAGTATGGATACAAATACAAGAATATCAGATACAATCCCCCAGTACCTCGCCGACAAGCTCTCGCTCGAAGAAGCGATTCAACGCGGTCCGCTCCCCCCCCCCTTCCCCCAACCTGCGTCTTTTCTATTCCTAAGCCCTTCTTCCCCCCTGAAGTCCATGATCAAACCGAAACTCACCAAGAAGAACAGTAACAACACACACCACCTCCAAGAAAGACCTCCTCCTCTCGATCCTCTCCGAGGCAAAATCCCTCCCCCGCGAAATCGACACGCACCCGACGAGTCCGACGCCTGATCGCCCGAGCCCGGCGCAGGAGAGGCTTTTGGACTTTGTGAGGGCTTTGCAGAATCCGGGGCAGGTAGGTGGGAGACGGGGTGGAAGTGCTGGAAGCGGTGCCGGTACGGATGGGAGAGGCTATGGGATTGATCTCGATGCTGGGGAGGGGGCATTCGGTCCTGGCCGTGGGGGTGGGAAAGGGAATGGGGAGGATGCAGCGGAGGAGGAGGAGGAGGAGTACAAGCTGGTCAAGGATATAATCCGCGCATCGTTTCCTTCCTTCCCGCCACCACCTACTACGACGAAAGAGGGAAGACAGGACCTCGTCACTGAACAGCGCCAGCGCCGGCGCCAGTCCGCCAGCGATGAATCGCTTTCAACGTCCCCCTTCGAATCCACCCCCGCATCAGCCTCGAAGCCCGCATCATCCCTGGGGACGACGACACACCACAGACGAAGCAGCAGCACATCCGGCCCAGCAAGACAATTCAACAACCTAATCTCCTTCCTCGCATTCTTGACGAAAGAGAATCTCCTCCTTTCGCCCGGCGTCGGAGAGCGGATTGCGATTGAGATGGTGCGGGATACGTTGTCGCAGCATGGGGGTTCGATACGCTCTCACTCGCAAGCACACTCATCCACAGGACCTGGACGGTATGAGGCGGGTTCGGGGGAAAGCAAAAGCACACCCTGGTTCGGCGACGCGGGTTCCGAGAGTATATCCGCCGTGGCGCTGTGGATGATCATCATGGGTGAGGAGTTATTTGCGCGTGTACATGAACAAGAAAAACAAGAAGAATTACAGCGGAGCCGCGCTGGGACACGGACAGGGGCAGGGCGAGGAGGAATCGTCGACGAGTGGGAGACGTGGATGGCGCGGTTGCAGTATTTGTCCTTGCGGGAGGACCTGAATGTTGAGGCGAGGGAGGCTGCGGCGGAGGGGGCGGCGGTTATGAGGAGGGTTTAGGCTTCCTTTTTTTTTTTGGCTTTGGATTGGATTGAACGGTGTTTTTTCTGGGTGGTGTATGTTGAGTAGTACGTTTCTTGTATACATATATCCCATATTGTGTTCCGATGTTGTTGGAGTATATATTCCGGGCGCACGGTGAAAACATTTGTATATAGAGAGATATCTATAAACATTGTATGCTATGATATGCACCAGGAAGAAACAAAACAAGCGGAAAGAAATCTCGCTATGATAGAACAGCACGTTCATCTTGATATGCATGAAAATCAACTATCCAAAACGTCAGGTAAGTCCGATCATGAGAACTTAACCCCTTTCGACGGATCCCACGTCTGCTGCTGCGCATGGCCCTGCGAATGCGAAAGTCCCCCCGGCGCACCACCGCCGAACCGAATTCCCATCTCCGGCGACCACATACCGGGCGTCATCTGCGGGACGCTGCGAGTTGGTTGGGGCGCTGTAAGCGGTTCTAGATCGCGGGAGGGCGGTTGTGGTACCGGCTGAGGTTGTTGGTATTGTGCTTGTGGTGGTTGCTGCTGGAACTGTGGGACTGGTTGCTGGAATTGAGGTGTTGGTTGTGCGGGGGCCTGGACTTGGACTGGGGCTGCCGGTTGGTGGTGGTGTTGCTGGTGGTGTTGCTGGATAGGAATTTGTGCTGGCTGAGGCTGTGGTTGAGGTGGAGGCGCCTGGCGAATTGGCGAGATGTTTAACGATGCCATTGCGGCTGCGCTGGAAATGTCCCTGCTGCGTGTTAGCCGCACTTGAACAAAGGAGGAGGTAAAGGTAGAAAGGGAACGCACTGCTCAAGCTGCCCAGCCTCCATTCGCCTCTTCTGAACAAACGCCTTACAATCATCCCTAAACCTGCCCACAATCTTCGCGAGATCATTATAGAACTTGCGCCCAACCTCGATGTTCGAGATAATCTCCTTATACTTCAGATACCCATTCTCGAGCTCCTGCAGCGCCTTCTCACGCTCCTTCGTCGACGCATCGCCCGTATGTGCGCGCGTAAACGCCCGATTCGCCTCGCGCACCTGTGCAGCAATCTGGTCCTGCTCGCGCTGCTCTGCGAGGACCATTTCCAGATCGAGGTTGTAGTCCTGCAGTCGCGACTCGAAGAGGTCTTCGAATTGACTTGCCTGGATGACTTGCATGGGGAATTCCCGCTCTAGTCGTGCGGCTTCACGGACGAGAGCGTGGCTGATGTCGTCGGCGCGTGCTTTGTCTTTTACGGCTTGTGCTTTGCGCTTGCGGCGGCTTTCCAAGCGATTCACTTCGCTGATGCAGCCGCGGAGCCGGCTGACCTCGTGCTCGACTTCGGGTGGGATTGTTGCGCGGCGACTGCTGGGCACGTATGTTTCGAGGTCGCGGTTTGTTCCAGTTAGTACGCGGAACACAGCCTCGGAGTCTTGGAGCTTCTGCTCAACGAGGTTGTCGCTGCTCTGCGCAGAGGTAAAGTAGCCATCAATTTCACGGGACGTTGTATACAGCTTTGCTGCTGCTGTTTGGGACGGCTCGCGGGTCCAACGGTCTGTGCCGAATTTCCGACGTGATGCGTCGTCTTCGGCCTTTTCGGCGGCGAGTAGTTCCACGCCTTCTGTGTAGGCGGCCCTGTCGCTGTCTTTGACCTTGGCAATGTCCTGCAGGGATTTGCGGAGGCGGTAGAGCCCGTCTTGCTGGCGCATCTCTTCAGCGTGCGAGACAAGAGTTGGCGGGAGACCGAGGGGTTTCTCGAGGGCTTGCAGGGAGCCTGGGAGGTTGAGGGAGGATAGTAAACTAGAGGATTAGCATCGATGAATCGACTAAGCTGGGGTACATACTCGCGCAGTTTGTCAGTCATAGTTTCCAGTTCGCCAATGACCTGCTCGTTGACGAGCCGATCCCGTCTATCCGAGTAGATGCTCGCCGCAATATGCACAGCATACGGGACAAGCTTCGAGAACAGCGGCTGTCCCAGAGCCCCCTTGTCACCAAGCATCGAGATCGCATCCGTGACCTGCGGCGGCGCCTTTGCAGCGACCATACTCGCTCGGTCAATCAGCTTCAGCTCCGACTTGTCCGGCACAGGATTCAGGTAGATCAGATCGTTATCCTTCTCCGCGCGTTTCAAGTCTTCCGAAACCTTATTCTTCAGCCCGTTCAAATCCCCGAGCACAGTCCGATTGATCCACCGGCTCTCTTTCAACGCCTCATTCACACAAGCCACCGCGTCCCGCAGCCTCGCGACTTCTTCACCATACTTGCGCTTTTCCAAGCAATCCAGCGACTGCCGGTACTGCGCTGCAGCGGCGAAATGATGCTGCTTCGCCGTCATATGATGGATCCACTCGGGACTGATCGCATTCGACTTGACCGCATGCTCGCACGCCTCCGCGTAAAAATCAGATACTTGAGCCGCGAGCCGTGCGATCGACGCATCCTTCAGCCCATCTTTTACAGCCTTTTGCCAGAAGCACTCCTGTGCCTGTGCGAGCAGCAGCTCCTCCAGACTCTGCAGTGTCATCTCGTCCATGTCCTCCGGCGGTGTCGAGCGCATGTCGGGGATGATGTCGGTGCGGAGGTGCCGGAGGACGCCGGCGGATTGGCAAAAGTAGTTGCATGCCTGTTTTAGTCCGTCGGAAGTTGTGCGGTTTACGGCGAAGGCGAGTTGAGAGTAGAGGGTGGCGAGGTTGAAGATGATGTTTGCGAGTTCGAAGCGGATGTTGTTCTGCGAGTCTGTGCATAATCTCATTAGCCCTTGACTTTCCTATTCTTGACTAGATTCGGAACAGAATAACGTACCAGGTCGTGATGTATTGAACCCAAAAGCCGGATACCAGGGGAATTCCACCCCGACCTACACTGGTCAATGACTTCTCACTCGAAACTCAGGTAGGTATCGGGACGCACATCGACCGGAAACTTCCCTGCAAGCCACTTGAGCTGCGCAGCATAGGTAACCAACCTGGTTACCCCGCTAATATGTGGTTCCTGGACGTTGATCGCTTCGCTTCGTAGACGGTCGATGAGCAGCAGGTCGTCTGCGAACATATCCGGGCGCTGGTCATATTTGGAGGAGATGTACTGGGTTAGCGCCGTGGAGAGGGAAACCGTGTGCGAGCGGCGGAAAGGGATCTGGAGGATGTTGCTAAATTAGTTAATATAGCTCCCTTGTTTCAAGAAGGATCAAACGTACGAAGTCATGGTGGTGGTGCGCGGGGTTGCGCTTGGAGAGAGTTGTTGACGAGAAAATGTCCCGCACCCGCACCACAGCAACGGAACGGATGACGTTGTGATGCCTCAGGCAGCAAGCCACAATTCCGTGATGTCAGGTTCAATTCGGCTAACTACTATGAGATCAGATATAATCGTGGCCATTTATATTGACAGATAGATACTACAGACTCCCTAAATACATCAATCCAGCTCATTGATTCGCATCTTAATATATTCAAAGATGCTCAGCAAAATCATATTGTTGACTCCCGTGCGGATCAAAATAATCGACAGTCCTTTATACATGCTGGACCGCGCGACCGCCGCCGACGCCTCGCCGACTTCCTTCGTTTTTCCGAGCAGCACACTCTGCGCGCGCGTCTTGCGCGTATCCAGCGGGTACGTCTGCATCATTAGCTTTGTCGTTAACGTTAAGGTTGCGGGAAGGAAGGGGTCTTACGCAGAACCACGGCACGGTGCTGCAGATCGCTCCGGCGATCATGGGTGCGCCGAAGGGGGACTTGTCCGGTCCCAGTTCGCGAGCTGCAACTTGCTTGACGGTCTCGTAGACCGCAAAGTAGAGGCCGGAGCCGAGTGTGTCGCGCATGGCGTGGAGTTTGAATCCGGTGTATAGGCCTCGGAAGCCGTATCGCTGGACGATCTGTCGGATGGCTTCGATTGTTCCGAGGCGGGGCTTGCTGCGGAGGGAGGGATCTCGGACGGCGTCAGGGGAGGCTTGAGCGCGATTTGACACCAGGACGGACGTTTGCACCACGTTCTTGGCCAGTTCGAAGGGACCTATTCTGTTAGAATATTTCTAGATAAATAAGCTCGATACGTACAAGCAAGCGGAGATGTGATAAGCCCGGCAATGAGACCCGCGCTGATAAAGGTAAAGGTCGTCGAAAAAGTAGGCACGCTGCCTCGTTGGTTGTACGTCTCCAGTGGAGATTCACCCGTTATTCGCTCGATAAAGTCGGAGATGCGGTGTTTGGCGGCATTGTAGGTGGAAAAGTTCACGACGCGGACCACCGTGACGCTGGCCAGAGGGGGAAGAGCTCCTATTTCCGTTAGGAAAGATGACAGTCAGACAGGAGCCAACGTACCAGCGACATAGCCACGGGGCCCTTCGGTTCGCCAGAGATATCGGATACACTGGAAGACATTTTGAAAGTTGTGCCTAGGGAGGTTAGCGCGAAGGTTACCAAGCGGAGTTTCGGACGTACGTTTGCATTCGAGTTTTGACGTTCTCCAGGGGAGTCTGCGCAGTTAGCAGGGAACTTGCATCGGATCCGGCGGACATACCACAGCTAGAGTAGCGCAGATCGTCGACACGCCCGAGGCCACTTGTGTTTTGTATCTTTTGAGAAGCCTATTTCGTGTAGTTTCGTCCATAGTCCAGCTGTTTCGTGCGGGCATTATGACGGGTGATGGTTGTGAAGGAGGGGTAAAGGGCGCATGTTCATCGTGTTTGTCAGTCATCCCGGTAGGTATCCCATTGGGGGCAGTGAGGTGATTTTAGGCAGGTTGCTTAGGCGTTACAGGTTCAAAGATGAACTGTTATCACAACGGGTAAAGTTAGGCTGGGGAACCCTATGGAACGCAAAGCGGTCTCTCAGCAGGCGAGCAGACCGTTCGGCGTCCCACAATTGTCCATGAAGTAGTCTGTTATCCAGCTCGTGGCTCTGCCGCTCTTCCTTCTATGAAAGAAGATTGGAATCGACCGTGTTCCGCACGTCGATGCGCTATCCAGCTCCCTGGGTCTCCCGGCTCCGCGTTTGGGGCATATGCAGGCCGTCGGCGCAAACGAGGCAATTAGGAGCTAGTAGATCACGAGGTTAGCAAGCAAATTCCTGGTTGAGCTGCAGAAAGTGATTCGTATACGCACAAGATAGCTCACCGCGCCGGTTGTATCCAAGTTCAAGAGCAGTAGAAGACAGGAGAAGAGAGAGGTCGCTTGAGCTGGGCTTCAGAATTGGGTTAATCGGGCGGCCCACAGAGCAGACTACGCCAACCACGAAAGGTAATGGTGGAGCTGATGCCTCTCGATCAGGCTTAGCCCATCGTGACGTCGTTGTAAAGCATCCGTACAACTCTGCATCGTTACTTTGGAATACATAGCAAGTACATCAGATAGCGCAGTTGGATTTAGAACACGGCTAGCAGCAGTTCCTATCTGTTGCCTCATCCAATGCGTCCATTCTCTTGTGATCTTCCCATCTCGACTCGATTTTCTGGGCAATCCAAATCTAGAGGCGGGCACACCAGTCTTCAATGTCTCGAAGAGCGGCTAACCGCAAACAGACTAGAGTGGCGAGGACCACAGGTCGGACCAAACCAGTCCGGGAGAGCTTGACTTATACCCCGCTAAAGTCTGTTTCGCAGTGTCAAAGGTGTTCCAATGAGAAGCTGGATTGTCAATAAATGGTTCTGCCCCGCGACGACCAGAGGACAAACATGACAACAAATAACATGTCAATTGATTTCTGTCTTTAGAGCACGAGCTCCAGTGTGGTGGGCTTGTCTTCAGGGTTCTTTCTTGACATATCAATACTAGTACGAACTGGGACTAGTCCTTCAGGAAATGACCTGATTCGGATAGGAGCTGGTTTGGCATGTGAAACTCGGCTGGTGCTCTGTGGCGGAAGAAGCGAGATATCGAACAAAGATCGAAGAGATAAGCGAAGGGGATTCCATGGATTCACATTCCAACCAAGGTGGTCGCAGAATGGTGTCGTAACTGCCATACCTTGCCGGAGTCAAAGGGAGATAAGCTGTGTTAGCTTGTATCTGACTTCTCAACTAGAGAGAGACCAAGGGAATCGCTCGGTTGGAACAATCTGGTGCCCTTCTACCGATGCCGGGGCATTGAACTCGATCCCAAGTTGTTCCGCTCCGGGAGCATAACTTTGATTCTGCGAGACTTCACAGATGTCTGTCTGATGCAACATCTGATAAGGGATCAATAATCATCAATCACACATTTCCCTCCCAGTGCCGACATCCGTCCTTCCAGCCTACTCCGAGTGCAAGCCAGTCGCGGATCGCCCGTTGATCCTCGGACCGCCTATCGGCACAATCCATTGTCAGCTGTATTGACTCTGTTGAACACTCACGACTTCACATGGCGAGGCGAGATTGATCCCAAGCATTCGTCAATAGGGCGCAGTGCCGTGCCCGAGCCCGGGGACAGCCCGACAGGAAAAAGAGCCCAATACTGCATCAGAGATATGTTGAGGAAACAATCCCCTTGAAAGAACAGCAGGCAGTCATATGATTTGGCGCTAAACCGCTTGTGGCCGCAGCGATTATCCTCGGGACCTCGGCCGCGGCATCCCCGCAAAGTTGGTTCTCTCCGCAACAAAGCCACGGCCGCTGCTATCCACATGCTGTTTGATCCCCATTTAAAGGCTGGTCCTTAACCACTTCTGCTTGGTCGCTCATTTTTTGAATCTATCTCTTGTGTATCATCTCACATCCTCCAAAATGGGCAAGAAAGCACCTTCTCCCGCCTACGTCCTCGGCGTGGGCATGACCAAGTTCATCAAGCCCCGTGGCAAGGTCGACTACCATGAACTCGGTTTCGAGGCCGGTGTCAAGGCCATGCTGGATGCGAAGATTAACTACGACGAGGTCGAGCAAGGCGTTGCTTGCTACGTCTATGGTGACAGCACTTGCGGGCAGCGTGTGTTTTACCAGTTCGGCTTGACCCAGATCCCCATCTACAACGTCAACAACAACTGTTCAACTGGTTCGACCGGTCTTGCCATGGCCCGCACTCTGGTCTCCCACGGCGCCGCGGACTGCATCCTAGTCGTTGGTTTCGAGAAGATGAGCCCTGGATCTCTGCAGTCGGTCTACAACGACCGTGCCAACCCGACCGGTCTTTTCGGTATGATGATGGCCGAGACTCGCGGTGTCACCAATGCGCCGGGTGCCGCTCAAATGTTCGGTAACGCTGGCCGTGAATACATGGAGAAGTAAGCATCCGCATCGAAGCCCAGAAGCCCGGAGATACTGACTTGACAGGTACGGAGCCAAGGCTGAACACTTTGGCGAAATCGCTCGTATCAACCACGAACACTCGAAGCGTAACCCCTACTCTCAATTCCAGGATGAATACACCCTCGAGCAGATCATGAAGGCGCCGATGATCCACGAGCCCCTCACCAAGCTCCAGTGCTGCCCTACCTCTGATGGTGCCGCCGCCGCTGTTATCGTCTCCCAGGCTTTCTTGGATGCCCGCCCTCACCTCAAGGACCAGGCCGTCCTCATCGCCGGTCAGCAGCTCGCCACCGACACCAACACACTGTACAACAAGAGCTCCATCGACCTGATGGGCTTCGGTATGTCCCGCGCTGCCTGCCGCGCCGCCACCGCCGAGGCTGGCGTCAACGTCAAGGACATCAAGGTTTGCGAGCTGCACGACTGCTTCTCCGCCAACGAGATGATTACAATTGACGCACTCGAGCTCTGCGAGCCTGGCAAGGCCCACGAGATGGTCGCCAAGGGCGACATCACATACGGCGGAAAGATGATCATCAACCCCTCTGGAGGTCTGATCTCCAAGGGCCACCCCCTCGGCGCCACCGGCCTCGCCCAATGCACAGAGCTTGTCTGGCACCTCCGTGGCTGGGCCAACAACCGCCTGATCGACGGAACCGATGCGTGCCTGCAACACAACCTAGGTTTGGGCGGTGCGGTTGTTGTTACGGTGTACAAGCGCGCCGACGGCAAAGTCGCCAAGGCTGTGCCATCTGCTGAAGTTGCAAAGATCACCGGTCTCGGTTACAACCCCGCTGTTGAAGCCAAGGGCTTCACTGCCGAACAGGCCAAGAGTGTTCTCAGCAAGACGGCGTCGGACTCGTGGGCGCTGGCGGATGCGCAGGAGAGGGTGCTTTCTCGTTTTTAGTTCTTTGTTGTAGATACCTCATGACTGTACAATCTAGCGATCAGAATGTAGATCTTCCGGGCTATCGCTTACTGTGGTATCCTGTTGCGTAAATTTTCCAACCGCTGAGCCTCAGGCCAGGCACATACTCGGCTCGGGAAAAACATACCCCGAGATCTGCTGACTCAGCCACACCACACCAGCATGAAAATCAAAATCTTCCACTCCGCTGATTCCTCCTCTTTTTCTTCTCATACATATCCAGGTCTCCAACATACCCTTGTTGATGGACACACATCCATTCTATCGGCAAATTATAGAACGGGACCGAGAGTGACAACTGCTCATTCAAATCCCGACGCTTGCCCTGCTCGAGAGGTTGTTGGGTTCGCTTTGAGCATACACTCCTGTTTCCGATTGTTCATCCTTGATGGAGGGGAGGAGAGGAGAGGGAGTTGATCGGCCGATTTGCATGCCTTTCACCCGAAGAGCGATTGTGATGGACAACGGTGGCTTGGAATGGGGATCCCGACTCCCTGAAGGGTGAAGGGAAGGAGAGGGTGTCGCTGGATTAATGTGTCCTGTCTTCGCCCTTCCTGCCCTTCCTCCCAACCGAATCGCATCCCATCGCGTCGCCACGGAGGTCACAAACTAACATGATGAGCAGCTCAGCTAACCTTCTAGACAAGTACATGAACGTAACAACAGGCGCTTTCGAAGTCTCGTCCGTCAATCCCATGATATTCGAGGTCAAATTCGTGCCGAAAGCGAGCCGAAGCGGTCCAACAATGGATCGTCTTTTCTCCCTCGTGTTGCGGCCGCTGTCTGTCTATGTGGCGCGGTTCGTGTCAATCAGAAGGAGGTACATCCTTTGCCAAATCAATTTAATTATCTATTTGAGTCTTGTGCTGTATTCCAGAGGAGGAGGAGGTACTGGTGCCGTCTGGAATGTTGCCGCCAGCACTCATCCTATCCTGTCCTGTCCATGTAGATCGGCACAACTAGTTTACGCAATCAAGGATGGAATGCCTGCCTCTCATTGAACTCTCTTCGCTCCTTTGCCTCCTTTGTCTTGAGTTTGGACCTGGAGGCTAAGCTGAACCCTCGTTTCATTTGTCGTGACAGGAGCTTGGTCCCTGGACCCTGCACACCCCTTGCTTAAGCGTTATGCCACCCGGCTTAGCAGTCCACTGCCCTTGATCAGTTGATTCCACTCACGACGCGGCAGCACACATACTTTGGCGCTTCTTGCAACACAGCGGATAAAATTCCCGGACCAGGCGCGCCCTTTCATCCTATCGCGAGGAGTAAACTCAAGCCACTGCGTGCTCCTCAGGGGGTCTTAGGGGAGGTGCCTCCTACGCGTTAAGAATGTCCATCCATACCGCGCGATGCTGCTTGTTTACAGCGCGCTATAAAGCGCCTCGATCTCTTCCCTTGGATCTCAATGCTTTGCTTCCTTCCATTCCTTCCTACCGGTATCTCTTTTCCTGTTCTTCGAGCTAGACCCTGCGCACTCAGCCAACCACACAAGCCAAGACAAGATGAAGCTCTCCCTCGCCCTCGCACTGAACCTCGCCCTGCTGGCCACTGCAGCGCCTACCGCTCTGCACTCCAAACGCGCAGATGGGCAGGAGGTGTCTCCCGAAGCGGAACTCGCCCAGAAGATTGCATACGGGTCACTGAAGGTACCTCACTCCCTCTTCACATACCTCCCGCTCCTTGGTCTTGCTTAAACCCACCCAATGTCCCACATATACTGATAATCAAACAGAGCGCCGCCGAAATGATGAACATCAACAGCAAAGATACCAATTCCGAAGACGCAGACTTCGGCAACAACATGCCCGTAACCATGACGCCCAACGACATGGCCTCCTTCCCCGACGCTGACGGTTCGGGACCCAAGAAGCCCAAGGCTAAGAAGCCCAAGGCTAAGAAACCGAACAAGCCGACGCCTGTCCGTGGCGAAGACGACAAAGAATTAGAAGACGAGGTAGACGAGAAAGTCTCGAAGCCTACCCCATCCCCTTCATCTTCTGCGAAGCCCAAGGCCTCCTCGACTGCAGCGAGCACTGACGACGAGGCTGAGGAAGAGGAACGCGGCCTGAAGAAGCAACCTGCGGCTGAGACGGCTGAGGAAGCGGAGGCTGAGCCGACCAAGGCGGCCGCGGAGAAGCCTGCGCCGAAGCCAAAGGATGATAACCCGCTTTCGAAGATACCTTTGATTGGGACCTTGGTGGGTGGTGGGGGTCCCTTGGGTGGCTTGTAAGGCGTGAATTATGAATTGAGTGCGGTGTCTTGTGATGGAATGCGGGATGCCTGGGTTAGTTGAGTGAGGTTGTGCTGTGTATGCTCGGGCCCTATTGCCAAGTACTAGGGCTAGCAAGAGTCGGGACGGTGTTGAGCTTGCTGATTCCGTTGGGTCTACTTGCTCTGTTCTTGTTCTTCGGGTGTTTTGTTAAGCTGGTAGCAGGGCAGTCAGTCTCCTTGGGCTCGCGAGGTCGGACGGTTTAAATAGTTATTATCTTATGAATGATATGGAATTTTCTTTCGTAATATTCGCATCTCAATATTTCATGCTCTGTATCACCAATAGGAGGCCATATTCACTATCCGCGCTACTGACTCGATAAGAGGGATAGCTATTATGATAGAAGCAAAGACAATGGCCTTAGGATGGCTGGAATGCCACTGCTGCCTTTGTGGTTGGCCTCCGGACCTCGAACCTCACCACTCACCGAAACCCAAGCGCAGGCTTCGTCCCATACCCGAGATGCGGATGCCTCGCCGCATACGTCTCCATCGACCGCTTCTCAGCAATGTAAAGCCTCCTGACCCATTGCACCATATCGACTTCCGCCCCACCATCCACCAGATGGCCCATCGCGAAACCAGTACCCATTCGCCGGCTGACCGAGTATAGTGACAAAGCAGGTCCAGCCTTGAACTCCTGCCGTTCGAGTGGATACGCGTTCGGGTGATCGGATGGCTCCGGCCGTATCGTCAAGAAGAGCTGACGGTGCCGGTGGCGGCTCGGATGTGGCCCTGGATGGGTAGGGTATCTGCAAAACCCATGGCTGTATTAAGTTAAGAGAGCGAATAGAGTAGTGCGAAGAATGCGCGGAGAAAGATAGGGTGTTGCTTGTGCGGTAGATTGTGGGTAAGCTCGCAACAATGATAGATTTGGGAGGGTTCGATGCGATGCACAGCTCTATGATAGCTTGGGATGCCTGGGGATAAGCGTCCCGGATTGCGCATCTGGTCTGGATATCCTTGCCATCGTCTCCGCCTTTGGGCTGGGATAAGAAATCCTACATGTGTGCTCCGTTCCCAAATAGCGTAAACACACATCCTAAGTCTTCAGACCTAGATGTCCGTGGAAGCTACCAGTAAATAAGTGGGGAGTTGAGAGTCAGAACACTGTTACATTCAGGGATTACCCTAGTAGATACATCATCCTTATATAGAAGAGGTTACAAGCAAGGTGCGTCTGACATCAAACGAATAACGAGCAGGATGCTGTTCGATGTCTTGGATGGGCGCCGCCCCAAACGGGATAAACGCGGCACTCCGCAACACCTGAACGGTGTCGCCATACCCTACCCCTCCAGCGCAGCCAAGCAAGCTGAGAACCTGTCCACACTTCCGCCATAATTTTTTTGCCTATCAGAAATGCGAGTCGTTGGAAACAGTTCTGCGCCAGAGCGGCGTTCAAGGTAGTGCGGCCTGGCGCATAGATCTCCGCGAACGAGAGACAGCTTATTCCTACCGAGTCGAGAAGGTTGTCGATTGCTGATCCATGTCTTGCGTGGAAATAAGGGACTGTGTGTGCGGAGTTTGATGATGTAGCAATGCTAACAGGCATATTCTTCTAGTCTGGTACAGCGGTGGCCACGATTAGCAAGGTCATTTTAGTTTGGCTATTGGAAAGGCCCGAAAACACGTACAAGGCTTGCCCGAAATGATCCCGATTTCTGAAATGGCTCAATTACCCTAGCTCTTCTTCTTCCTTTTTTTTTTTTTTTTTTTCCTCCCAAAAGGGGCCCAAAGGCTGGGAAGTTGACATCGACACATCATAGATACTCCAGTTTTGAAACTTGTCGTCCTCGTCTAAAGTGACCGTAGAGAATACCTCCAGATCTAACAGATCCCTTTAACCATAGAAGGGAATCCAACGAGGGAGGCGAGGCCCGGTCATCCGTGCTGTACATATCATGAGGAAGGGATTAGTGTCTTTCCTCAGTTCGAGTTGGCGCTTCAGCTCCTTTCCAAACAGCCTTCGCGAGTGAAAGGACCACCCAAAAAGGAGCCGATATGTCACAAGCACTTCCATGACAACAGCGTCGGCGCCAATACCCGTTGTCTGGCACCTCTATCGGCTGGCCTTGAAACGAAAGCCCATTTGGCGGCTCTAGGCTCGGGTCGACAGCCGGCGGATAAGGCAGTCAGGATGGCTCCTTTATTGTTGGAGCACAAGACGGGGACGCATCGCCCCAACTGGCCTTTCGTCTGCTTCCTGTGAATAACTGGCCGATCCATCCAATCAAGGACCCCCTAAAGAACTTCGCAAGTGACACTAATCGAGTTCATTCATAAACCGGGAATCGGCATCCGGAAGTACGCAGACCACGTCTACAGCGAATATCCATCTTCCAGTACAATCAAAAGGTTGCGATTTCTGAATCGTAATGAGCTGGGCTCGTTGGTTGTTTGACTTGACCCGCTGGCTGACCAGATAGATTTCCTGCCCCGATGCAGTGCTCAAAACAAACTGGAGCAGCGCCCGTCTAGGAAGCAGACGCGAACACGAGACCGGCGCAGAAGCTGGAATGGAACTGTGAGATCTCGATCTTACCGATGGCTTGTTGAGAGATCTCTACATAAGAAATGTGATGGCATCCCTTGCCTCTGGTCCTCTTTGCCGCCGTTCGACTGCTCCCAGCCCCAGGACCAGATGCCCATTTGCCGAATCGCCTGATCAAACTTGCGATCCAGATGAGGAGAATGTTCTGGTCGGTTTAGTTAGGGATCACACTGATGCGATGCCCAAAAGGTGATATGCTTCTTCGCCTGTACGGGTGACGGCACGCGGAAGTGGCTGATCGCTTCGATAACTTCACGAGCGAGCTGAGACTGTCGGGCGCACAGAGGCAATCGTGGCTCTGGCATAATCATTAGCCGGCAACAGATTCAAAGGTTGACAGTGAGGACCTACTGGATTGGACCTTGTTTTCTGCCCGATATCCTTGAAGTCGGGTCATATGCAGCATCGGTCCCCTGATGACGTTCACGGGATACTCTGAGACCTTCCTTCTCATGAGTATAGCCGCCGATCAAAGACCGCCCCGTGCTTGTGGGTCTCATGGTCTGCCTTGCGTGGTAACGTAGGAGCTTCGTGGCCTGTAATGCAGTCGTCTTGGTCACATTGATGGTCTGCACCGTGAGGCTTGTACGAGCGGAGACTTTGAAGCACATTATTTTCCTACGTCGACGTTGTTAGGGACACCTTGAACAAGCGAGAGTAGGTCCGGGCGCGAAAACATACCTGCAGTGAGGCGTTGGACGACGGCACAGCTCATGGTACTCGATGATCGGTCCTTTCCCACTCACTTCGCCAGGACAAAAGCAGGGCAATGCAACTTTTGTCTGCGCCCTGGAGTACAGAGTCTCCAGGACTCTACACGCTAAGTGTCGAGGTTGGCCCTGATATATCCCGCGGCAGATGGTCAGAAACTGCGTATCCAAAGCTGATAAAGCCACAGAATGAATGACCACATACTTATAATCTTATGAACCTGAAGACATCATTATTCTCGATAATGCGTCAGGCGCAAGAATGACGGAAACCCGAAGATCGGAAGTGTCCTCAATCTCTACCAAATTCCAGATGCACTCTGAGGTTGAAAGGCAGCCATCACAGAGTGATGAAAATCGCCTGTGTGGCTGAAGCCTGCAGCTCTTGAGTAGGGGTTGTGTTCAATCAATGTGCAAGCCTCGCAATGGTGACACAAAATAGAAGGCCGAAGATTGGGGGTATTCGCGTTCTTCTGATCAAGGACGGATGCGGTCTTATGTTGTTGACAAACTCCAAGCACTCGTTCAATCTTCTCCAAACAGACAAAATGGACGCTCAGCGCATATAGTGTGCTGCTGCCGCTATGTTTTGAATGTGAAGAGTGGTCGAGCGATATCTCACTGGAAAAGCTGATCTGAGCATTCGCGCTGCTGGAACACAACGCATATAGCGATATGTGAGGGGTAGTGAATCTTGAGGAAGTTTTGTTGGGGGCTCTAATGCGATCATGATTCTTTTGCACTTTTGTAGGGGTGTAGATAAAATCTGGAATAAAAAGCCTAGCGCTTATTGCTTTTGTTGCACTTAAAGAGCGAGGACTATTGGCCAAAAGAGCAGAGGGGGGAAGGCTGTGTTGGAAGAACGCTCGTTCAACATAGTCGAGACGGCGGCTGGGAAATAACCTTGCCCTGAGATTAGAGGACCATAATACCCAGGCCAAAGCAAATTGTACAAAAGACCATACCTTGGTTATCGGCCAGGATATCATTTGATGATCTGATATATCGTCGAGGAAGGTGGCTTCCTCGGGGTCATCATCTTTCGCAGGCCAGCAAGAGAAACCACAACATGTTGTTCCGTATAGGATCTCGCAGAAAGTCTGAGGAAACCGGTTCGACGAAGGCAGGCTTCTGGCAAGACGCGCAGGACGACAACATAGCTGGGGAAGAGCAAGGCCTTGAGAATACCGTCCACGCATTTCAGGTGCCCTTCTTGCTCTGCTCTGTAGCCCTGAGCCAAAGGACGAGAAGCAGCGGGGCTGTTCAGGTCGGGAGTCATGTATCAGCACATCACCCCGTTTCCGGTTCATGGTTCCAATGCGTGGTGAAATCATGTGTACTTTTCATAGAGGTGCATAAAATGTGAGCGAGAGTAGGCACTTTTACACATTCTTTCGTTCGCTTTCGGACGGGGACCTGCAAAAAAAAACACTCCATGTGCGCATGGGGCTTTCCTCGAATGAGGTTGGACGTTCGTCGGCGCAGTGAGTCCAAGCAATGCTCCATCTCGTCCGCTCCTCGGTCCATGTTCTGGAATCCTGTCGAGTGGTAAGCATTGCGCCTCTGTGTTGGGCAGTTGCAACAAGGCCATTAATGGTGATCGATGTCCGAGAGAAACGGAGGATCAAGGTACAGACTAGATGTCTTTGCAGTCACTAGAATTGATGAGCAGAAGCACCAGCACATTATTCCGCTACTAGAGCGCAGAGGTTCAACTGGGCTTTTGGTATCGAGATCGGGTCTCTGGGCATGCATTGTTATTGTTCGCCTCTCGCTGCCACCGCCGCCGCCTGCCGGGTGGTTTTCCACGGACGGGGTACCGTGATTTGACGTACACAGCACAGGTAAGCGGCCATGAGGGGATTGTTGCAAGTGTGAGAAGCCGGAGTTCGGTATACCTGCCCCAAGGAGCCAATGCAAGCCTATCTTCTGCCTAAGGGCAACGAACGCGATTTCTCTGCTCTGGTTGGCCCCGGCTGGGGTTGTACTGTTGCTCCGTCTTCGACCGCTTGATGTCCGTCTGGCGACACTTGTGGCAGAGAACTGTCCGCAAAATCATTGTTGTCCACGTATTGAGCCAGGTAGGAAAGGCGCGCGAGTGGGCACGATCCATGGGAAGCCAGCGCAAGTGACAAGAATCTAAAGGCTTGCTTTTGGTCATTTGAATGGAATGAGTAGGAGGTAGTGTAAAGCTTGTTGAGGCCCTGGTGTCTGGCGGATGTTTCGCAAAGTGGTTTGTAGTTCATTTTTTCTCTCGGTCACAAAGGTGGTGAGGGCAAGCGCGCGCTATGGCTCTGTTGTCTGCTCTGTAGTATGGCCAAATACTGTCGCTGTAGTCTTCACCGGCGAGACAACAAGAGGGCCGTGAAGAGGGAGGGATAGCAGATCCTTGGGCAGTAATGAAAGTCGTGGTTGATACCTTGCCGGGGCACTGTCCTCGCACGATGTGATTGGCAGCGAGAGCATCATCCTGACCACGCTATCTGCAAAATATGCGTTAAGAATGGAGAGTAGTTTTGTTGGGGTTTACTGCACGTAACCTATCTTTGATACACCCGAAAGCACAGAAAAAAGCTCCCATTTGGAACGACAGCCCCAGTGTCATGGGGTAGTTGGTGAGTATCCTGCCCTGCCGGATGATAACATCTCTCTGTTCTGTGCGTTGGCTATGTTAGCGACTGTGAAAAGCATTCTATACGGCAAGACGAACAGGGAAGGTCAAACAAACATTGATGAGAGGACGGTCACCCTTGCCCTATCGGGATCTTCGTTGTGGTCTGAAACGTGGGATTGTGGAGGTGGCATGCCATCAGCACACCCAGCGACTGCAGAGGCATGGGAGATCAGGAACTCTGAAGGCTTATCCACTCCCACCCCTTCCCAAGTCCGTGTCTCCCTATTCCTGAACTGTTGAAAGGGTTATATTGCTTCCTAGCTGTGGTCAGTCCCTGATAGCTGAGATTGCAGGTAACAACATACCTTTTTGGCACATTAGCCAGTTATTTAGCGTCAAAGTTGCTCGTCTGGGATATTCAAGCCACAGACCGAGGACCGAACTAATCCGGATGGAAATGCTCGGCTGGGATTTCCAGCCAGACCACCCACCCACCAGGGTTAGTCCCTGAGGGCGCGCCCCCCCCCTCCCCCCCCTCCTCGCCTACACTCAACGTTAGTTTTTTCCTTCTTCTCACCAAAGGACAGGAACACAAGGGGGCACGTACTGCGTCCTGCATTCTTCTCTTGCTATGCGACGGATGTCGCTAATGTCCAAGATTTGCCCGTGCCTGGAGGACGTGGGACGAGTGAAACACCCGCCATAAACATGGTCACCGATGCATGGAATGCAGTTTTCCAACCAAGAGCGCAAGCACCGCAACCATCATTCTTCTTCTGCGGTGCGATGGATGGAATGCTCTAGTCTGGCTTTCATTCAAGTTGAATGCATTCAGTATCGATCGTCCGTATGGTATGATAGGGCTGTTCGATGGGGGATTGGCGCGCGGATGATCTAGGCATTCTGGATGCACTGCCGTGGGGGGAGTAGGGCAGTGGCTGGAGAGGACACAACCCCCAACTGCTGGGGAGATGCGTCATTGTTGCCACGCATGTGGTGGTGGAGGGATGCCAGCTGGGCTGGCGACTGCCGCATTAGCTCCTCTCTGAACAACCTTCGGGAGGAGAAGGACTGCTTAGTGAAGCCAGGAGCGAGGCACCATGTTTATGTCGTCTTTGGGGATTGCTGCCACTATGGACAGGAGACACATGGAAATACAACATCATTCTAATGCGGCCTCGTGGTATTCCGAACGAGACGCCATTGTACACCATCACCATCCTTGAGCGTGAACACCCTCAGGTACGCTTCGAATGAGATATTGTGCTGGGGCTTCTGCATCTCTGCGCATTGATTGAAGGTCCAGCGCAGAGTGTATCGCCGGCGATGCTCTATGAGTCCCTTCAAGGAAGAAAGTCGGGCCTAGGATGGCATGCTCGTGGAGAAAAGTGCCCAGTCCTAAGAGTTCCAGGGCATGGTATCTGATTCTGTCCAACGGAGCCACGTTGTGAATCCGCCTAGCGATGTAGGTGTTGCTGTGTCTCATGGAAAACTGGCTGGGTAGCCTCGTCTCCTCCCCCGACCGAATTGCCTTCGGTCGAGTATGCTCCTGCGGGAGTTCGTGACTGGGATCGCGCAATACTTGCTTTGGATCCGGCTTGGGAGCACGGCAAAGGTGGGTTGATGATACTTCGCGGAATTTTTTAATGAGCAGGTTTATTGAACTCTTCGAAATTGATGGCTGGGGTCGCTGTGCGCCAACAAGTTGCGAGGAAAATGCTCCAGTCCTTAGACAAGCTGATGCCGATGGTCATGGACAGAGGAGCTTGGGGAAAGACCCATCCCTCTGGCAGAGACTTCTTCTCCACTGGCAGAAGATAATGCGACGTCGGGCAGAGAGTGCTCTCAGATCACCATGCAGACGACTTGGGCCTTTTGGTATAGACTGTCGTCAAGCGTTGCTGAACAACCTGTCGCACGTTTGGTCGAGGCCCGCACAACGACCCAGAACGGCTACAGGGCGCCATCCATCTATATTTCATACTAGCAACTGCGTGATCAAGAGGCGGGGATTCTGAACATACGCGACCCATCACGCAGAAGATATTCCTCTGCTATATGGGGTTACTCTTGCGAAAATGTGACAACAGAGCAGGACCAACACGTCCATAGCTGTTGTGGTCTCCAGGCGCACATTGCGGCTATAAGCATCGGGCAAACTTCAACGATAACCTGACCTAGTTCTAGAGCAAGTCTGGCTCACAGCTTCTGATGTTTCCTCCGCAGAATCCGGTATACATAAATATTGATCGCTCAAGCGATGAGACCCGAGAGGGAAGTGTGACCGATAAGAGCGTCCAAAACATCATTGTTCGGAGCGCATTCTGTGCTCCGAGCAGTTGTGAAATCATGAGATTGTGGGAAAGTAGCGAACCGAAGGGCTCAAGTCCAGGATCAATGATTTCCGTCGCTTTCACTATAGTAACAATCAGGCGCTTGTACAAGAATTGCTCCACCGCCACCCTGGGCAATGGTGATAAACAGTTGCATCTCATCTTGGGATACAAGAACGCGGCTGCTACCGTTAGCTTCACACTGAGGATCTAATAATCGTGGTAGGAACATACGAATTTGGGTACTCTCTGATCCACGCAACTAACAAACCCGGTTCGACAGGGCCTCAATTTGTTTCTATCCCCCTGCCGGGAGGAAGCCCACCATGCACTTAGGACAACTCTTCCTGGTAGGTTCCTCCCCGCCGCAGTGCCCGGTCTTCAACAAGCCCAAGACACCCCGCAGGGCTGTTTCCGGTGAAGCCAGGAGTAAGTATCGACAAACGCTTTAAGCTGCTGGGATAAACCATGTGCCGGACGAAGGGAAGGAAAAGTGTCTGGCCCATCTGAGGTCAGAGGAAAACCCGCCGCCGCTAGGAAAGCTTTTTTTTATTGGGGTCGACGAAGGGACTTGAAGAGTATTAGTCCGTGATGTTTTATAGCCTGATGATAAACAGAAAGACTCACCTCTTTTGGTCGGAACCCTATTTACCTGAGATTCAGGCCAAGCACTCCCAGTCTTTCTTCAGAATAGGCGGAGCCGCGAAAGTGCTCATCTATCAAGAGACCACAGCCACCTGGGCGACTCTTGGTCGTAGGGTGCACTTTCCCGCACCAGAAGGACGCACGCACCGCTGCATTTCGGACAGCTTTTCTGTGGCTGGTATGACACACGGCGAGGGCGCTCAACGCCGAATGCGTCTTGCGACTCAGATTATGTTAGTGGTGAACTAACTGCCTTCTGTTGGCACGCGGCAACGAAAAGAGAGCCTTGTCGGGGTGGAGGATCAACTCCTCCCCCTCCTTCCACCAATTGCAGTCGTGACGTTTCTTTCGGATATGAACTGACCGGCTATCTCGGGTAGCTGCTTTGCGTTCAAAAGGCTTGACATATCAATGGATCCGACCGCCCTTGCGTTTGATGCCAATAGAACACTTCGAGTATCGCAGACATGCAAGAGTCGGCCATTGTCTGAGAGCGCAGTAGCCAGTGCACCACTGGTAATTCGCTGTCTCGACCGCTCGCGGTATACACGTCGGGTTGCACGGGTCAAATCACTCCAATCCGACACCAGCTGTCAGCTCTGGGTTGCAAATTGGGCGTCGACTAGCTTACCAGGGACAGCATGCCCGAGATCATCAAAGGAGAACGCAGCAACCTTGCTTTGAGGTTGCTTGCTCTTCTCGGGTTGTATCTCTTCCTGTGGCGGGTCGTCTTTATCTTCCTCGGGGATATGTACAACACCATATCCATCAACGGACTGGGTGTGCGGAACACCATCGCGGTCAGGAAACAAGACCTCGCCAAAGCCTTGGTAGTTTTGTTGTGTGGAAGACCCTGGTGGACTAGTGGTAAAGTCCTTATTGATGATGGCGTACCGAACGTGCATCGTTTTGAGCTCCACTAATAGATTGGTCAGTCATGGTGTGCTAATGGATTAGAGAGATATCTTCCTACCATGAGCATCACACCTTTAACTCGCTATGTTAAACAGTCGTGTCAACGGTGCCTCACCAACAACGAAAAGAGATGTGGAAAAGCGTGATCAAACACGTACTAAGACACTCCGCACGGGCATCGAATATCTGTTTGCGTCTTTTAGTCAGGCTTCGCGACGACGATTGGATCGGCGTGTCGACCTCGAACTGTAAGCCGTTTGCTGAAGAACGTTGACGAAAAGCTGTTGGGTTACGTCTAGTTACCTAGAGCCGATGGGATCTGGTGGCCATTCGGGCAAAAGGTGTGGCTCTGCTCAATCAACTGGTTTCGGTGCGGACGGCGAATCTCAATAAGAACAAGGGTGGCAAGGTCAACGCCCCGGTGTATAGCTGTTGAAACTAAAGCCGGGGGCAGTCCGGTAGATAGAAGAACGCCGCTTCTATCTTCGGCAAAAACGACGAACAAGCGCTGGGCAGAGGCAACCCCGAACCCCATTCGGCAGATAGAAGAACGCGGTCTTTTATCTCCGGGGGAGCGGGACACCAGCTTGGGAGTGAATCTCGGATAGGATGGGAGGCCTGGTAGATGGAGTTAGAGGGGTCTGTCTGCATATACTCAGCAAACAGGGTGATAGGGATATGGCACATACCTGGGGAGAAGGGAAAGCCCGGGACGGCCTCAGATAGAAGAACGCCCCGGCCGGCCCATTCCCCCTGTGAGGAGAGCAGACCGGCCCCTGGAGTGAGGCTCGGATAAGATGCAACGGCTACCATATCAGATTAGTCCCATCAGTTTTGATATATAGTAAGAAAGGGGCATGTGGGCTCGAATTATACCTGTAAAGAAACGTCACACCGGGCCGACTTCGGCAGATAGAAGAACGCCGTCTTCTATCGCCAGTGGCTATAGGGAGCTTCAAGCTGCATGAAAAGGGTAAGTCTCCGAGTATATGTGTCTGGGAAGCTCGCCGAGGGCAATGTAGTGGTTTGGATGTGCCTTTGGCATGGGAAGTCACTTGAGGCAAGACCAAAGAAAACGGGCCTTCTCTGAACACCCTTCTCACATCTCAGTGGACCATGCCACGAGAAACCTGCAGCGCTGAATCACAAGAAGTAACAGGAGCAACCCTATCACAGCGGGTCTCACCACAGAAAGCCTGCCGCGACTCTTTACGCACGGCAACAAAGAGGATGTAGCCAAGGCCGGAGCCATCTCGACTGAGGCATGGTGGGGTAGGATCTAAGCGTCATAGAAATGTCCATTGCGGGTGCTTTGAAAAAGCCATGTTGGTCAACTGTGATGGAAGCTGAGATCCAAAAGATGGAAGCGGAGGATAAATTATGGATTCGAATAGCCTGAGAATCGCCGCGAGCATTGCAATTAGACAACCATATTCCCAAGATTTGTTTGAGACCAAAACTGCTGAAACATACCAGGTCCGCGATTGTGCACGACATCTAGATCACTCAACAGCCTGGCGGATTTATTTATTGAATTTTTTTTTTTCTTTTTTTTTTTTTTTTTTTTTTGAGCTGTGTGGTTTGGCGTTATGTATCATGCCCGAGGATGATGGCACCTTACACCACATAATCTGCGGCCATGTCAGCGCAAAGCTCGGGTCACGCTTGGAAAGAACATACCTTAGTACTGCTTGAGATTGGCCGGGAATATGGTTGTCTGGGATGCAGTCATCACCAATTGATATGTAGCCAGGAATGAGGCTGGAGGGGGCGGAAACCCTAAGTGACCAACCCGACACACACCCACCCAAAAGTGAAGCGAAATCGAAAGCAACAAGAGCAAGGAAAAGGAAAAAGGGGGGCCGAAGACCGTAGGGCATCAACCCGACAACCTCTTTACTTCGAAAAGAGGTAGCCTGGGTCAAGATGATCATCTGAAGGATGATCAAAGGTGGGAAGGAAGGTCCAATCCCACCAGGAAAAGAGAATGGGCCTAAGCCTTGGAGGGAAGGGAAACTCGAATGACGAGGTTGCGAGAATCAAGACTGCTGTCCGGTCTATCGAATCCAGTAACCACTTTCATAGTAGTCTGGGTGAAAATGATCATCTGAGGGATGATCCAAGGTGGGCAGGGAGGTCAAATCACCAGACAAGGGAAAGAGGACAACCACTTGAAGGATGGTCCAAGATCGCATTATTTAACACTGATGACCAAATTGCCAAGATCAAGCCGCTGTCCGATCTCTTTCATGACGCTGACGAAACCGGACTGGCCAGGAACGTCTCCTAAGAGAAGCGCCCCGAGAGGACACTCCAGATCGGGGTACTGGCAGGGAGAGATCGACCTCGACACGAGACGTCTAAGTTACGGATAGCGCCAACGTACAAGGTTTGTCGGAATCTCGGGATCGTCAGTAAAAGTGTTATAAAGCAGGATGGTGGGGTAAGGAACATTTAGATACCTATGGTGCAGACGTGATAGAGCAAGACGCTGACTCATGGCTAGATGTGTCTGCAGTGCTTGGACGTGAAGTAAGGATTCGGCATAAGCAGAGAGGCAACCGCGGGTATAACTCTAGAGAAAGAGAGAAGTGGTCAGCAACAGTCATGAAACCTTGTAGAGCAGAGACAGAGACCGTTTACCTGCGGTGCTGTAGCATGGTAGTCGACAATGCTTAGCATTATTGTTATTTTGGCAACAACGGCGCCAGGAAAAGCTGGTGGTTATTGCATAGAGATCTATGGTGAGGAGAACATATATGTTCCCTCAGTCGCTTCCCCATGGGCGCTGGACCCCTTGCCAGTGACTGAGGTTGTGCCGAAATCGAGACCAATGGTGATTGCTTCGACGGCTGGAGTAGCCATGTCCAGTTTTTGTGTGGTAGGTTCCCGGAGCTGATGAGCAGGATATGGTCAGCATCAGTTGTCTTGCGATATGAAGCGTGGAAATCTCACATGTCATTCCGAAATCGAAGCCGACTCTCGTTTGGTCGGTAGGGATGGCCACGGCGTATATACTTAGTGTATATACCCTGCAGACAAAGGTGATGTGCTATTAGCAGGTGTGCTATGAGAATCTGAGCTGTTCATACCTAGAATTGTAGTACCGTAATCAATTCCAATATACGATTGGGATAGCTTGGTAGTATAGTGATGTTTAATCATGTTCTATAGCAGAAAAGAAGAGACAGTTAGCAGTCTCCTCGAGAACAGAACTCTGGAGAGGCAATGAGGTATTCCTTACTGATAAGCGATTGATATTAGCAGTCAGCTTGTTTGCAACACTTGTCTCCAGTCTGGCACTGAGAGGACAAAGCTTTGTATTTGTCTCCCGCCTCGTACTCCAGAGACAAAGAGCACGAGGCCAAGTTGTTTCAAGGGAGAGAGCTCATGTGCGTAGACTTGCAAGAGAACCAGACGAGACGGCCAAGTATCGCGACGAGGTGCGTCATATGGTACCATCATCGAGTGTGAGAGGGCTTGTAAGCGCCAGTGAGTGTCCTATCGGACAAGGTAAGGCCTGCGTTTTGGTCTGTTGTGGTGCTTGATGTTAGCAGGATTGGACGACGCCTCTTGACGGTTAGGAAACCGGGGGAACTGGGTGCACACACAACAGTCATAACACGGTGATAAGACGATTTGTGTTATAGCTGGACCGAACAGGATGGTGGTAAAGAGATCGAAGTGTCAATGGCTAATACAGAAACGAGACTGTGGCATACGCTTGTAAACGTACGCCACAGGACACACTTGAGCCTGCAAAGCAAGGACGAGAGCACGAGGAGTAAGAAAAGAAGACGACGACCAGAAGAAAAAAGGTCAAGTCCTTTATAATCCTGCGAGAGAGAACTTCGAAGGCTGGGGAAACTGCAAAATCAATTCCCTGATCGAGATGCAGGAGCTGCGTTTGTGCAACAAGGGCTGGGGCTGGCTTAAGCGATGACTGTTTGTGGGTCAAAGAGGACTGGAATTCACGGCTGCATGAGTATGTACAGGTTCACTGGGTTTCAAGGACAAGAGAGACACGGGCTACGTAAGATTTGACTCAAATTGAGCCAGGTTCGCCTGCAAAGGAAAGGGCAAGTTCCATTCAGACGGCTGGCGAAGAGCAATGTCAACTAGGATTTTCCGCATTAGTCCCCTTATTCGGTGTCCAACATGCGGGTTTAACCAAGAATGTCAAGATATTATCCTTCTAAAGTCACTGGTCCCAGTTCCTTGCTGCGGTGTTGAGCTCAGTGTTGTGCTGGTCCGTGCGTCTGCTCTTGTGCGGGGCGGGAGTGAAGTCAGGCAAACAAAACCTCCTGCACTGCCCTCGGAGACGGGTAGGCACGGTGCCGATGGGAAGCATTCGAGTCATTTCTCTCCCTCTCCCTCTCGAGAGGGGAAAAGGGAATCGCTGCTCATGGCGTCATGAGCTGGTCCCAGTCTGATTCTTCCGCTGCTGTTCTTCATATTGAGCAGTGTAGTAACCGGCATAGTACCACGCCATCATGAGATTCTTCAGTCCCTCGTCCTGACCTAAGTCAAAGTCAGCAAGTTCCTCGCAAACGAACAAAGTCCAGCCTACCTTGCGGGAAAACGGGATGCGGCATCCCACCCGCTTGAGCAGCCCAGGCCGCCGTACTTCCGTCTTTCCTTGGTTGATCAAGTCGTTGCGTAGACCCGCTTGTCGTTGCCGCCTGCACCAAGTTAGACTCAGTATTCAATTTGAGAAGCGTCCAGGAGGGCATGGCTGCATACCTCTGGTACTTGCGCAGCCGTCGCCGGTTCCGCGTCAGCCATGTCGTCGTCGTTCTCGACATCGACTCGCGTCCACGACCCGGCGCCTCCAATCGCGGCCGCAGCCTCAGCTTCAGCTTGATCCGCAGCTTCCGCTTCTCTCAGGACATCCTCGACGTTTTCGCCCTTGGCGTGGATGCTATGGTAGAGCTGGACATCACGGTCAGCGAAAGTCAAGTCACGTGCCAGGAGTACAGAGCCAGCTGCCTTACCCTGTATTCCTCAACGGCCTCATCCCAGCTCTGAACGAGAGCGGAGTCGTCCCAGATTTCTTCCTGTGTCAGTGGCTGGCCGGCGCCTTTATTCTTTCCCATGGCATCCGCAGATATCGATTTCGTAGACTTTTTATGGTAGAGCTGGTGTTATGGTTTGACCACGCGCCGACGGCCGAAGGACGGAAGGCGGGAGATTGCTCACCGCTTGACGATTCTGCGGACCAAAAATAATTTTCAACAAAAAAAGTTCCCGCGTCTCGAGATTCATTCATCCCATCTGCAAATTCAAAATGGCCCCGGATAAGAAGGATAAGAAGCGCAAGGGTATGCTTGAAATCTCCGTTACTCGATTGCTTGCAGAGATTGACACGTTTTAGCCGCTGCCGCCGCCGCGACCGTCGACTCGCCCGCGAAGAAAACCAAAAAGGTCGAAGCCAAAGCCGCCGCCGCTGAGCCCCCGAAGGAAACGACCAAGCCCATTCTGAAGAAGAACAAGGTCAATGGCGCCGCCGCTGAAGCCAAGCCGGCCTCAAAAACCAAGGCCAACAGCGATGCTCCTCGATCGATCAAACCCCGCAAGCGCGCTGCTGATTTCTTGAGCGACGACGAGAGCGAAGCTGAGGTTGAGGTTTCCAAGAAGAAGGCTGAGAAGGAGACCAAGAGCAAGCCCACCACCAAGAAATCTAAGCAGGAAGATGGGACCGCTGCGCCGGTTAAGGAGAAGGCTGCCAAGAAGGCGAAGAAGCTTGAGATCGTGCCTAGTGATTCCGAGGATGAGGGCGTCTCATTGAACGCTGCGGAGAGCGAGGATGAGGAGGATGACCAGACTACTGCCCTCATCCGGGGCTTCGAGAGCAGCGGTGACGAAGACGAGTCGGCGGATGAGGCCATCGATCCCGATGCTCCGGTCCCTAAGATCCCCGACTCGAAGAAGGCCAAGCGGAAGATTCTCAAGCTGCAAAAGCAAAACAAGTCAGAGGCGCCGGGACAGCCAGGTGCTGTCTACGTTGGGTAAGCTTCCTTCTACTTGACTTCGTTCCTTGATCCCATTTTCTAACTATCGCAGCCGCATCCCCCACGGTTTCTACGAACACCAAATGCGCTCATACTTTGCTCAATTCGGCGAGATCACACGCCTCCGTCTCTCCCGCAACCGCCTCACTGGTCGCTCAAAGCACTACGCTTTCATTGAGTTCGCCTCGGAGTCCGTCGCCAAGATCGTCGCCGCAACCATGGACAACTACCTGATGTACGGACACATCCTCAAGGTGAAATTCATCCCATCGGAGCAACTGCACCCGGAGCTGTGGAAGGGCGCAAACCGCCGCTTTAAGCGCACGCCGTGGAACAAGATTGAGCAGAAGCGTCTAAATAAGGGCAAGAGCCGCGAGAACTGGACGAAGAGCATTGAGCAGGAGCAGAAGAGGAGACTTGCCAAGGCGGAGAAGCTCAAGGAGCTCGGGTATGAGTTTGAGTTGCCGCAGTTGAAGAGTGTGGATGAGGTTCCCGTGCAGGAGAAGGTTATTGAGGGTGAAGAGAAGAAGGCTGTTGAGGGTGGAGAGGAGACGAAGGCTATTGAGGAGCCTGCTGCTGCTCCTGTGGAAGCTGAGAGGGCCGAGGATACCCCGAAGAAGGCGAAGAAGGCCAAGAAGGAGAAGAAGACAGCAGAGGCTGCTGTCGAGTCGCCAAAGGTGGAGAAGGCCGTCGCCTCGCCTGCGAGCAAGACGAAGAAGAAGTCCAAGAAGGCCGGCAAGGCATAGTGTGTTTATTGTTTGTATGTATGGCAAAATTCCAGGGTCAATTCATCGGAGTTCGGATTTCACAAATTCCAGATACATGAATCAAGCTCTCGCAAGGTGTAGATATGGGTATACGAGCGCTCTGTTATTCATTGCTTGGCCTTGATACTCGAACTCCTTTCTTGAAACAACTCTTAGCTCAAATACAATGGATACCCTACAACGTCATGAACTAAGGAAATATCAACTCCGGCGATGAGGAGAAGTGAGGGGGAATACATACTTCACCTCGGCCCAAACCACACTCGACTCATCTGAACGCAACAGACAAATCTTAACGCTCAAAAACACACAATCACCAAGCTTTTCAACCGCAGATATTCCAACTAAGAGTATCAGTACAACAAAATACGATGCCCACCATGCGCGCCGCCCGCTTCCACGCCGCAAGAGACATCCGCGTCGAGGATATCCCCGCACCACGACCAGGCGATGATGACGATAAAGTCCTCATCGAGGTTGAATGGTGTGGAATATGCGGGAGTGATTTGGGCGAGTATCTTTCTGGTCTGCACTTTGGTCCCTCTCTTCGCTCTCATTTTACGAAGCTACTCGCCCAACGATAACTGCATGAATAAATCAACAGAGAAAAGATAGATAGCTAACAAAAGTCAGGCCCATACACAATCCCCTCCCTTAAAACCGGCCCACACCCTCTGACAAAGTCCACCCTCCCCATAACAATGGGCCACGAGTTCACCGGCCGAATTACGCACGTCCCGACTACTCTCGAGCAACAGAGGTCAGGAAACGACATCCCACTGCGAAGGGGCCAAGCAGTCGTCGTCGACCCGCGCTTCTTCTGCACATCGTGCAACGCCTGCTCGCAGTCTGCAACGAATTGCTGCAATACGATTGGGTTCTTGGGACTTTCGGGGGGTGGGGGTGGGTTGGCGGAGGTTGTTGCTGTGCGGCCGGGGCAGGTTTATGTTCTTGAGTCGGCTGATGGTGGGAATCGGGCTGGGAGAGAGGTGGATCTTGCGGCTGCAGCGCTGATTGAGCCGCTTGCTGTTGCGTGGCATGGGTTTAAGCTGTTTCTCTCGACGCAGAGTGGCCTGGAGGTCACCGCCACCACCGCCCTGATTATCGGGGCCGGGCCTGTCGGCGTCGCTATGGCCTTTGTTCTTCGAGCTTGGGGTGTGTTGAGCGTCTTCGTATCTGAGCCAGCCAAGGCGCGGAGAGAAACGCTACGAAGCATGGAAGTTGCTACAAAGACCTTCGATCCGATAACAGACAACGTCAGTGAACGATGCAGGACAGCTACACCCGATGGACTGGGCGTCGACGTTGTCTTTGACTGCGCGGGATCGCAGCCTGGGTTCCAGGCCGGCTGCGAGAGTCTGAGGTTTCGGGGGATGTATGTTAATCTTGCAGTGCCGAGGACGCCGGTACGTTTACCCTTCTACACTTCCATCTACCCTTCCTGCTCGTGGGAGACTATTCGTGCAACCGATACTTATGCTGATGCTCATCTGGCAGATCACGATTCCTCTAGGACCCTTCATGCAAAAGGAGCTGACCTACAAGTCGTCTCTGGCGTATGATGAAGGGGACTTTCGGGAGACGGTAAATGCGTTCAGAGAGGGTGGGTCACGTAGTAATCTTGTCTACAAAGTATTGGGAACTAATTTGGGGCATACAGGACGCTTCGCTGGTGTAGAACGCATGATAACCGGCCGTATTGCGCTAGAGGATATACACGGAAAGGGCTTTGAGGAGCTTGTCAAGCCGAATGATCATCTCAAGATTCTGGCTAGCCCTAAGTCTTAAGGGACTTGCATAGTCATAGTCATTTTATTTCATTCCATTTTTTAGTATAACGTGACCTACCTGATCAACTGTAGCTATTCAAGGAAACCCACGCTACTTATAATAAGCCCTTGGAATATTATCATAATACGGCACAACAACAACCCCTTCATCCTCCGTCTGCCCAACCATGACCTCCGTAACGGGATGGGTCGGCTTACGGTCTACCACCAGCTCAATGCACTTCGCCCTCCTCTCCTGCCCTTGTCCCTTCTCAGCACTTACCAACCCCTCAACGGCCCTGGGTATATCCTCCACCTTCTCAACTCGAACAGCCCGATTCCCCAAACCCCCTGCGACAACATCATACCTCGTCCCCGGCGAGAGCTCACTAATAACCCGTTTTGGATTTTTCTCGCCATACACCAGTTCCTGGCCGTTCGAACTCATCCCCCAGCAGTGATTATTCACAATGACAGTGATGACATCGAGCCCGAGGCGCGCGTACGTATCGAGCTCCATGAAATGGAATCCCGCGCTCCCGTCGCCATGTAGGTTTATCACCGTGCGATCTGGGGAAGCGACGGCGGCGCCGAGTGCGTAGCCGAAGCCGTTTCCGAGGAAGCCGAGGGCGCCGGTGGATTTGAGGATTGATGATGGGGAGCAGAGGTGCGCGGTGTCGCGTGCCCAGAGGGCGCATTCGCCGCCGTCGGTGACGAGGATTGGATTTTTGGGGAGGTGCGTGAAGAGCGTTTGCAGGGCGTGGTAGGGGTGCATTAGGCCGGAGGGGTTTTGGGGGGCGTCGGAGGCGAAGGGGGAGGGGAGGGATTGGATCCTGGTTACTGCCGAGACCCATTCCTTGTCTATCCTATTTGATGTATGCGAGGTAGAGGAGGATAGATGGCGGTTAACGGCGTCAAGGAACTGTGCAACGTCTGAGATAACTCCCAGCTCAACAGGTAGCGTCCGTCCAATCTCCGTCCCATCGACATCGACCTGAACGAGCTTGCATTTCTCCGCTGGTGGAATGAGTGCACCGCTGCGGCCGGCGAGGAACATGCCCGTTCGCGCCCCGAGAAGCAGAACTAGATCTGGCTGCGGTTTGCCGAGAACAGGGAGGAGACCGAGCTTCTCGGCGCCGCCGCCGTAGGTCTTGCATTCTATAGCCAGGGTTGAGGATAAGGTACACTTTTGCGTGTCGAACACTGGAATGCCCGTGGTCTGGGAGAGGGTGAGGATGTGGGATATTGTCTGTTCGAGGCTGCTTGTCAGCTAGCCCTAAGTTCCTATTAGAAGGGGTGTGTAGTACCTCCTTCGACTGCGCTCCACTACCAATAATTACAGCCGGTCGACTCGCAGCCTGAATCAGCTCAACGGCCTTCTTGACAGCCTCAACATGTGGCCCTGGTGCATATAACAGGGGAGACGAGATCGAACCCCAGGAGATCAACTTCTCATGCACAGGCGAGAACAGCACGTCGATAGGAAAGTCCAACAAGACCGGGCCTAGGATAATTCTATCAGTTAGATACCGAACCACCCTGCTCCCAAAATACGGCATACAAAAGCAAATAAAGGGAGATACATACCAGGCGCCCCCGCCAACGCCGTCCTCACAGCAAGCGAGACAATCCTCGGTGCATCCTCCGCATTCGTAACGCGATGCGCAAACTTGGTCAATGGGCGCGACGCCACGACCTGATCGATGATCCCCTGTAGCGAGTTATTCTCCGCGTCGCGCAGCGGTGGTGACGAGGTGATGCACAAAATCGGCGAGCGATCTGCGAGTGCGGTTGCGAGGCCGGGGATGCCGTTTGAGAAACTGCGCGTTTAAATCCGTCAATACACCTTTCCTTCTATGAAGAGTTGAGAATTGCAGGGAATGGAAGGGTAGGTAAATATCTTACCCACTATTCGCCGTGACGAAACAAACGCCCAGTTTCCCCTTGATCTTCGCATACCCCTCCGCAGCCTGCACGGCGGCTGTCTCGTGGCGCGTATCTATAAGACGGATCCCGACCGTCTCGCAGCCCATGAGGAAGGCGTCCAGGTGGCCGCCGTGTAAGCCGAAGGCGACCTCGACCCCTATGTGTTTGAGGGATTGGGCGAGGAGGTCGCCGCCCGTTAGGGAGCGGGTTGTCGGCTGGCTGAGGGGAAAGGACATTCTTCGTTCTCTGCTTCTTTGTTATTCGTGGCTGTTTCTGGTGATCTTCGATCGATTCCAAGTAGATTGCAGAGACATGAAGATGGTTGTCCACCGTTGATATGGGTGTTGTTGATATAGTTGGATGGAAGTGAGGGGATTGCCGAGGAAGCAGTGAGGGGTGCGGGGTTGAGTTGTTGTAGATGCAGTGACTGACTCAAGACGACTGGAGGATGTTGTACACCTGGACAGCCGAGACTTGGCAATGACGCAGGGAAATCAGGGTCAAAAGATCTCGTGGCAGGTTTTACTGGTGGTGGTGAGCTGTCTTTCATTCGCATTCCATATAGCCAAGGTTTAGAAAACAATTCTATAGTACTTGAACAAGATATTGTAACTATCAAAAATCTATAACTACGTACTAGCTATATCACTACTTGCATTTGTAAATGATAGCTCCTCCTTTGGGGTCTTTTTCAAGACGTCCAGTCCGCATATTCAAACCAGATCCCGGAAATCTCTCAACAACCCTAAACCGAAACGGTACTGTGCATCGCGGGACAGGTTGCCCAAGAAAGCTGCAACGCCACCGACGTTGTCCAACGTCGTCGCATAGGCCAGCAGACCATCCGGTCTAAGTACAACCACCGCCCCATTCGCAGGCGAAACACTATACGCAACATGAGCAGACTGATCTGAATCAAAGCAGGTATATCCCAGCCTTGCGATACTGAAGTACTTGTCTCCCTCGACGACATATTGACCCACGATAGTCAAGAACCGAATCATGCCCTTCGGGAGAGTCCTGGCAATGGTGCGTAGTTCTTCAACCGCCACGGATATCTCTCTCGAGTCTCGGCTGGCTGGCCGGCGAAGATGAGAATCGACCATTGCCCGTGGTTCTTCTTCAAGTTGAAGAGCCGGGTTGGAAGACGGGAACCTGGAGCATAGACGAGTGCATCCGGGGCTCTCCAGCCAGTGGGGACCATACCAGTGGTGGGAGCCTTGTTGATGATATTCTCTTCGTAGTGTACACCAAGCCCGATGCTGAACTGGATGGACTCGTCAAAGAGTTTCGTAAAAAGCTCGTTTGCGTCGATGTATCGTCCCTTGTGTGTCTCTGGTATTTGACCCGATATCGTGGCGGAGAACGCCTTGTCGAGCTCGATGAGGTACTGGGCGGCAGCGCGGCGCTCGGTGTCGTATGTTTGGAGGACATCGCTGCTGTACCAGCCTTTGACCATCCCTGCCAGCTTCCAGGAGAGGTTCACCGCATCATGGATGCCGGTTCATTCCTTGCGCGGCTCCGGAGGAGTGCGTGTGGCACGCATCGCCTGCGAGGATTATTCTGTCGTTGCTGATGAATGTATCTGCCACAGACTGCTTGATACTATCTGAAATATTAGCATGGCCTCGGCTAGTGAAAGAAACCAACCTACCTGTAAAACGTCCACCAGTCAACAGCCTCAAACTCTAAAGAAAAAGGCTCCATCGCCTTAACAGCCTCTCGTTTTGCGTCGTCTTCTGTGAGCCGTTCTCAATACTTTGCCATCATCTGCTTCGTCATGGCAAAGCCAATGCGCTTTACACCATGGTCTAGCTGAACCCATAGGACGTTTCTGTGGCTCTTGGACTCGATTGAGGCGAATCCTAGATCGGCGTCGGGCATATTGGTCTTGAGGCGGCCGTCGATTCGTATCCATTTGGATTCGGTTTGTTCGACTTCCGAGGTGATCCCAGCCAGTCGTCGGACCAGACTGTGGCCTCCATCTGCGCCGACGATGTATTTACTAAGTTACATTAGTGAATGCTATAATCAGGGTATCCTATACTTCTCACCTTTTGACAGTTACCGTCTCGTTCGTCTCGAGGTTTCGAATATGCGAGGTCACTTTGTAGTCATCCTCACTGGCTGGGTCCACCGAGAGTGATTCTAGTTTCCAGCCAATATAGGGCTCGCCTCCTAGCCTCTTGTAGGCGTCTCGAAAGACACCCTCCGAGTACTTCTGACGGATATTCAGACAATAATCTAGGTACGTGCCGGTTATGCGTTGAAACATGGTATGCCATCCACGAGAGGTGACACGTTCTCCTTTGGTTCATATCATCCAACAGATCAAGCTGGTCCAGCATTTCGAGAGTACGAGGGTATAGAGTTGTCGCTCGCCCGTACATGGCTTGCTTGTCTTTATCATGTTGTTCTGTGAAGGAATGGTTAGTTACAGACTAAGGCATGGTTAGTTATACGTACCAACCACAAGAGCCTTCACGCCTTGTCTTGCCAGCCCATACGCAACCAGCAGGCCAACCGGCCCGCCTCCAGAAATGAGAACATCAGTTTTGATTTGCTGAGACATTTCTATGCGAAGGCATTGTCGTTATAGAACGATGTCAGGTTTGATGATGGTCTGAACTTGAAGCCATCAGTGCAGGCTTTTATACTTCGTCTCCCGGTTAGGCCGGCATACCAATACCCCATAACCAAGCTTCGTAACTCTGTAGAGGTTTATCAGCTAGCCGCCCATGCCAACCGATTCGTTCAGAAAAAGATGTTTATCCACCTCTGCCAGCCTTTTTAGGGAGAATATAGGTTATAATACTGTTACGGTTCGTATCGGACACGCTGTGCTGTGCTCGCGTAGCGCCTGACAAGTGGGTACTTTTGCGTATCGGAATGTAACAGTATGTGCGTCTCATACCTTGAGTCCTACACAAGGATCGCCGCCGGATACCAGGATACGCTTACGGTGTGCAAGATCGAAGTGGCATTGCTTGTCAAGTCAACATGTGCAAATGGGCAAGCATCTGTGGCGTATTCGAGGCGGTCGGAAATGTCAATACCCGATATCAAACCAAGACCAATTGAGTGAGATATTGTCCAAGTGGAGGTCGTCAAGGAAATCTCCCGAGTATAGCGCATCATCTACGCCATCCCCACTAGCGGGATCCAGAGCACTGTCATTCTGTACTCCAGCAGTCGGCTGAGACTCCTGACCGTGGCCTATGCTTTTTAGTCGTGGACAAATACAAAAATGAGACGATGCCTACCAGCTTGCAGTTTCAGGCACTTAGATCGAGTTGCAATTAACCCATTGGCACATTGTTCAGCCACAACGCTGTATGTCCTTAAGAAGTTGAGGGCAGAGCTGCAGTTGTCCCAGGCGAGATCTAAAGCTTCGCGTGTCACGACTTTCACGAGGTCGCTATCCAACTCGGTCAGGATAAGCACCAATCCTGCGGTGAATACATCGGGAGAGGATTAGCCAATGAGATATCAGGGCTTGAGGCGTGCGTACAAAAGACGCTATAAAACCAAACGCTAGCCAAGTCGGTGTTGCAGGTTTGAGGGCAATACTATTATAGGGTGAGTGAGAAAGCCCTGAGGCGTGTGTTTCGGACTTCAGAGTTTCCTGTAACCGCTTGATAAATGCTACGGCTGATGAGTCGCCGAAGAATCCTTTCGCGCACTCATCTGTATCTTCAACATCACCTAGTGAGCGAGCAGCAAGGCCCATTGCTGTAACCTCAGGACTCGATCGATCACCAAGTCGCGTCGGTTCGTCTAATGCGGTATCAGGCGAAGGCTGCACTGAATCCATCTCATTGTTGATTTGAGGGCTTTGAAGACTAACATATCGTCAATATCAAGCATTAGCCCGAAGTAGACCACATACCTGGAAACTTCTTTACTGCTCTCATCTACGTAAACACACTTCTCTCGACGTCGGCGGCAAGTCCCGCAATCAGGTCGGACCCCATCGCAGCGTATTTTGTGACCGCGGCATGGGTTACAAGTGACGTTGACTCTCCTCCGCTTGGTTCCCTGCCTAACCTGGAGGGGTACTCCAGAATACAGATGGGGCGGAATGCCCGGCGTCATTTTGCCTTGTTGATTTATTCCAGTAGCTATTCAGTCTCCAACCTCTTCTTCCGCTACTGTAATGATCAAATCATTGACGAGAATGGTACTCCTAGAATCATACAGTAATTTTCGATGAGTCCATCAACAAGAATTTGGCTTCAAGCTTTACTGATTCAGATACATTATCATAAATCGCTGTCAGCGTGCAGGATGGTGGCGGTGGTGGTTGTTGTTGAGACCGACCAATAAGCGAGAGCCCACTTCTCACACCACGCTACTCTTAATCGGTACTAGCCGCATCACCTGACCGCAAGCACCAAAAAAAAGAACCTAGAAGTTTCTCAAAATCCTCTTCCCTTCTTTTTCTTCTTCTTCTTCAACTCCTCGCTCAAAGAATCGCATTCAAAGCTCACACACAGAGAACCCTCGGGTCCTCTCTCTTCCTTTCTCGGGAGCGAAGAGATCGCTTTGGGAGAAAGTCCCCGGACACCCTGTCCCTCTCTTTCATCTGAAGGAAGGGCTTCAGGCAATGCGGAAACGCGCCGCCATAAAAGCAATTTGAGAGCGGCTTACTGCCCTATTCTCTCCCGGTTCCGAGTCTCTATGCCCGACGCCTCCCCCTTGGGGAGGTGGAAACAATGGCGGTATAGCTTGGTTTCGGAGAGGGGTTTTCATCGGGTTGCCATTCGTCGTGTTTGGATAGTCATGCGATTGCTTGGTTTGGCCCTTCGGGGCTGCACCGGGTAACTCAATGGGGCTCATTCTTGAGGCGAGGAGTTCAATCGCACTTTTTCTCCGAGTCTGTAGCTTATGGAAAGCGGTAATGGTGTCCTCGGTTTGATTTGATCGAGGTGCTGTTGCAGATGCTCTGTCGCAGGGGCCGGACTCTCAGTTGCATACTTCCCCTTCTCTTTTATCCTTTTGCTTCATTTCCCGTACGTCGGGGTACTGCGGTGGTTCGCGTGATGATATACCAATCATAGAGTCAAGCCCTGAGCCTCCGACCACGGTCTGGAGTTGTTGACGATAAACGATTGTTTCTTATCTGACGAACGTATACATATATACCTTTGTATCATTATCGTTCGAAATTTTTATCTATCCTACAATGAAATGCCCTCCAGCCAGCTCGTAAACCCCCAGCATGAGCTATTAATCATTGCGTCTTCTTCGCCGTAGCAGGAACAGTCTGAGCCCTCCCCCTCACCTGCAAAACCATGCCCGTGAGAATTTCCGCGATAACCGTAATCGCCGTCGCACACACGCTGTTCCAGACCTGGACGCTCACCGAGCCTTGCGGAGCGCGCGGGAACGACAGCACCCATTCCACGTAGTAGGGGAACCAACCGCTGGGAAGCACAAACACAGGTGTCTTGGAGTACCGAAACTGGATGAAGATCTTGAGGCCGTTCGTGCTGAGCCACCGGGCGATCTTGATGAACCAGTCGAAGGAGGATTTCTGCGACGAGAGTTTGCTGTCTACACACACAGTCATTGTTAGCCACATCTTCCCTCGAGTCATAGTTCGATCCTCAACTGGGTCTCAATAGAAGTGCTACATATTTCTAGGGCAACATACTCAAAGCCTCATAATCGCTCAACACCTTATCATGCTTCCGGCGCAGCTTCGCCCACTTGGCGAATTCGTCCTGCGAGCTGGTATTGTTCATCTCCCGCTTGAGCTGAACGACCTCGCGTTTCAGTTTGCTTTGTTCTTGCGCATCTTGGTACAGGGACGTCGGGAGTTTGAGGTAGAGGAGCCATATCTAGGTAAGATCGTTAAAGGGCACGCAGACAGGCATGAGCTCGGAGGATGTGGCAGGGACGCACAAGGTTGTCAATGGCTGCTGCGCCAATGGTATTCACTAGGAAAATAGCGACATGGAGAATAAATATCGTCCAGATGAGAGGAATCATGATTGCGAGGTGGTGAGTAGTCGGAAGACTGGAATCGGTTGACTCGGTGGATTTGTGGGAGATGAAGCGAAAGCGAACGCTTCAGTAATAATGGGCCGCTATTGACCTCCGTTGACTCGCAGAATATCGGCTGGATTTTAGCAGTCAGAACTGCTCTTGGTAGCAAAGAGAACCCTTAAGCAAGCTAGAAGCTGTTGTGGAGGGCGAACGTGAGAACGAAGCAAATGACGTTGCACACAGATCACCAACCACACCAAATGGTCCCAGTCGGCGGGCGGCGTTTCTACCTCCGGTGCGAGGGGCTTATCGCTCCTCAACACCAGCCATGCTCCAAGATCGAGACCCTCAATGACATCCCCATGTCCACCACAAATCGACGCTTATCGAGACCTATCGCGCATTTTTGGTAACAGGAATGGCCGCGTGCTGGAATTCGAGATCCTTCCGCCGGCGTTCGGCCCTTTCCTCGAGGACGACTGCTCGGTCGGGGTGACGAAGAAATACCTCGTTCAGGCATTTGTGACTGCGCGAAAGGTGTTCTTTGATGGGTTGAAGGATTGTGCGTATAACCGGGCTTTGTCATTGCCAGATTTACCTGGGCAGTGGGCTGTGAACGATGAGTTGGATAAAACGATCGCGATCGCTTCGGAGGTTATCCTACTCTTCGACTGCGAGCACCTCACTGCTTGTAACTGGCGAAAGAGACGCTTGACAGCGTTGGCCAATTCAAGCCAGGGGCAGTTCGTCCAAGCCCTGGACGCAGAACTCTCGCTGATGACAGCGTACCTCTGCTCCCCGCTACACCGACACACCAAGTCGCCAACCCTCTGGCAGCACCGGCGCTGGGTCCAGACACACCTCATCCACCTCCGGAAACCAGACTTCCAAGCCGCACAAGACCTGCTTGCGACCGAACTGTCTGCTGCTCTACGCGCCGGGGAGCGCCATCCGCGGAACTACTACGCATTCAGCTACATGCGACAGATCCACCGTGTAATCTCGGACGCTGGCGGCGTCGAAACACAAGATTGGAGTGCGCGATTAGGGCAGGCTATAATATCCACTATGCTAGAATGGTGTCTTGCCCATCCGACTGATATATCTGGTCTGATGTTCCTGCTATATCTACTGGACGCCGTTCCAGACGCAAGTTTTCGCATGGATACCATTGGCAAAGTCGCGCGGTTCGCGCTGGATATTGGATGGGAAGGCGAGAGTCTCTGGACATTCGTGGACCTGGCAGTCCGGAGGGTCAGAGTTGTTGCTTCTGTCGACGGCCTGCAGACAGAGCCTTGGAACATTCTCCTCGTTTCCGGCTCGTCAGATCAGCATAACCACGACAGTCGTAAGACCAGGCCGCGCTGGAAAACATGGCTCGAAAGAGCCCAAACCTATTGGGCGCATACGCAACAGAGCACCAACAATCCACCACAATTAACATGACCTCCCTGAGGACCATCCGTCTTCAATCCCCTTGCGCCCGTTACGTTCGAGTAGACGTAGTCTGGCCGCCACGCCAAAGATATGAAGTAGAAGAAGAAATGAAACCCTCTATCAAAACCAAACGCTTCAGATCTTCATTAAACGCCTCGCTAACAAATCAAGCGTAGCTATCGTTGCGCATATCCTTGGGGACTCTAAATCCATGCATCCCTTCCTAACCCGTTGTTGTATGTCCTGTCCTGTCCGTCGATCGAGCACCGCACCGCTACCTCCAGTATAAACAAACACACCCCAAGCCCATATAAAATCCGACCCTGAGTCATCCGTCGCGAATATACTGGCCATTCCACCGAGAACGGCAAATACCCTGCCATATATAATGAATTTCCAGCGAAATTTATCACGCATAACTCGTTAGGTAGATTCGATATAGAGCGAGGAGAAGGTCGAGAATCAGACGGTCAAAACTAAGGCAAGGTCATTGGGGTATAGACCCATGGCGGTATATATAGCGAGTCGTCGCCGGGCGTAGAACGAGATATCACTTCTTCTTCGCTCCCCCGGCTGCTTCGGCGGCCTTTTTCGCATCGGCTGTGGGAAGAAATGTTCTAGTTAGCCGCGACATTCCAAACAGAACCCTTTTATGATGGACCGACGAGGGCAAAGGGGAAAAAAGAAAAGAGCCGAAATGACGAAAGGAGATTCGTTTCGTTCTTATTTGTCCCTCGCAACCTGCAGTCTGGCCCAGCCCCTGTGAGCTGTCCAGCCCAGGGCTGGGGGCGAAGAATGAACAACGAGAAATTTCCGCGCCTCCTCCCGATCCAACTGGCTGGCTAGGACTAAATAAAACTCACCCTTAGCCTGCTTCTCGCGCATCTTCAAAGCATCATCCTCCTTCTTGCGCTGGAACTCCGACCCGGACAGCGTGTTGGAGGATTTCTACAGGCAGACAGCACCCCGTCAGCTTCTCTTGTGCTGAACTTTGGCGCAAGCGCCAGGAAAAGAGCGTCAAGACAAACGAACCTTCTTCGCCGCTTCCTTGAGGTTCTTCTCACGAGCTTTGTCGCGCTGGTTTCCGCGGGCCATTTTGTCGGAGTTATAGATATGTAGAGGGGTGTCGCCCAAGGTGTTTGTCGCGGGTTTTGCAGCGCTGAGGCAATTCTTGGGGCGTTTTGAGGGAATTTCGGGGGCGTGCCTGGCGCCGTGGGATTCGCGGGATGTGATTGGATGATGCTATTTTAGGGGTAAATATTCCAGGCAGCGCTAAATTATCTAGCTGCACGAGCTGGCTGGCTAATTCAGTATTTGTATATCTGGCAAATCAGAATAAATAAATTGCTCAACAGGAATGCTAGGTCAACAGTGTTATATTCTGTCAGAGCTTCCATCACTTTCTCTCCAGGAACAACAAGTGACTCTATACTTTATCTTAAAACTCCACCTTTAACCTTCACATAGCCAAGTGACAACCAGCTCTAAACAATATTCCAGCCATTCCAGCCATTCCAGCTCAAAGACTGTTTCTCCTCCATCTCTTCAATTCCCAAAAAATTATTTATCGCAACATCATCACCGCACCTTTCGGTCAGTAGATGCAAATAGTGTAGTGCATCCTTATAATACGCGCCAAGAGCTCTCCCTGCTTCAGGAGTCATTCAAGCCATCAATTCAACAGCCTTAGAGTCCCTTCCCCGACGCTTTTGGAACACAGCTTTGGCAGACAAACATCTCAGCTTGAATGGGTGATCCTGTCCGAGGGCCTGAAGCCTACCGTGAAGCGTCTTACTTTCGAGATTCACGGCCTGTTCTTCCTTACCCTGTGCCCAATCCCTGTGCCTAATATACGTTGGCAAGCCGCAGCTGCCTATCTAGCGTATCGTAATCCGGGTCGTTTTGCTGCTCTTCATCTCCAACCGCCCGGACTGAAAGCGCCTCTGCTTCGTCTAGCCTCCCCTGCTTTGAGTAGATATCAGCCAGAAGAGTCATCTCAGTCCGTGTATCTTGATGCTGTGGCCCTAGAGCGTTTAGCATTGCTTTGTAGGTCTGCCGTGTCAATTTCTCTGCGTCGTCCAACTTTTATTTTGCCTTAAATACTTCTGCGAGCACACTCAGAGAGGTCAGCGAGTATCGGTGCTTCACGCCGAACTTCCTCACTCTCCACTTCACACCCTTCTACCTAAGCTCGGCTGCTTCATCTGCCCTTCCAGTATCAGGGTATAGTGGCCCAAGGTTAGCTATCGCGTTGATAGTTTGCTCAGCGTCTTCGCCAAACTCTGATCTTGATATGTCTAAAATCTCGAGCCTTGACTTTTCCGCCTTTCCCATCCAACCTAGACTTTCAATCGTTGTAGCGAGGTTCGACATACTAGTCAGAGTGGGCCTGTCACGAGGCCGGAGCACTTTCTTGTTGGTCTCGACAATGAACGAATCAAGTTCCTCGGCTTCTGACCATCTCGCTTGTTCATAGTATGTAGCGGCAAGGCCAGCAATGCTTTCTAATGTATCCGTATGATGTGGCCCATATTCCTCTTTCTTATCTTCGACGAGCTGCAGATCGAGTCTTTCCGCTTCTCGGTTGCGGCCCTGTGACAATAAGAAGTATGCTATGCCTTCCTGGAGGTGAATCCGCCGCTTTCGAACCTCGCGTTCTACTTCAGGTATAAGAGATAGCACAGATTCAACATGCGGTAGGTAGCCTGCGCACGTCGCCCAGTTCTCAAAGGTTGCATCAGGTTACACATCAGCGAGAAGTTCCATAGCTTCAATGGACTTTTGTTCAAAAGGACCCTCTTCCGTTTCCATTAGTAGTAATGATGAGAGAAAATCCTTTCAGAGTACCCAGGGCTTTCAATAGTCAATTGGCCGTTTCACCTTGTGGTGGACCACGTTTTTGGGACCTCATTTTCGGTCGAGAAAAGCAATAAGACTGAGTATATCGCCGGCTTTCGGGTCTCGGTCCTTGATTTGATCAATTAAAACTATCAACGCTGTGGCCACCGCGGTTGGGAACCCCGTGTCCCTTCCGAGGGTCTCGAATGGCTCGCTTAGAAGATACATCCTGGTCTCATCACTATCGTTTTAAAGCTCAATGTATTCACTGATGCTTATCAAACTTTCTTGCATGAATGCAGCGGCTTGTACAATAGTCAAAGGCAGATGGCCCAGGAGGTCGGATAGCTCGTCCATGTCGCTCTCTTCGAGGTAACGGTCCGTCACAGTACGCTTGATGAGGCATTTTGACTTCTCGCTAGTCATGGGCTGCACCTCAATTAGAGTATTCGCCAGTCCTTTGGTGAATTTGACCCCGGCCGCCCTATTTCGGGTCGTGATTAGCGTAACCCCATGCTGAGATACTGGAAGGAATTTTAGGATTGATGCAGCCTCGTCATCTTCCTTTCCGGCTTTACTTCCTCCAAATAACGCTGTTTCATCTGCATTGTCAATAATGAGTACCCAGTCATGATGCTCTTGATCAAGCCAGTCTTTGACGCTGGTGAGCTTGTCACATTTCTCTTCCGCATCTAGAGAGATGTGTTTGTCGAATGTTGAGGTATATCCCTCATGAAAGCGAGTAATATTGCTTGCGCTAACCCAAAACACTGACGCTTGGAATTTTGCCCAGGTCTCATGACCGAATTCGATAGCAATCTGAGATTTCCTCCATAAATTAGATTATTCTAGAACGGTGTTATAAAATCACTCACCCTACACCCCCAAGCCCAAAAGGCGCTATACGAGAAGCGCTTTTTGTGCGTTCTCGCAGGTAGTCCAGAATCGGTGCTCGATTGAGGAATCCAGGGTTGGTAGCGACCAGAGTGGTTTCTGTAGAGAAAGCCCCCCCTAATAAACATGCTTCGTCGCTCTCCTGCATGGCTATAGCAGCGAACGCGGTGGTGTGTCCCGAAACATGTATATAACTGTCTTTCCTTCTCGCTGCGGAAGAGACAGATACTTCCCTGGTCACCCGGAACGGCGACAGTCATCCCGCGCGTGTTAGGAACAAGGTTGCCGACTTTTTCTCTGAAATCTGCGGCATGATCAATTGCGTATTAGTAGATGTTCAATGTCTTCAAATTTTGCAGGGCGGGAAACTTATGTATGTTACCACACAAAGACAGGGCTTCTGAAAATAGAGACTCGAACAAAGACACCGCAAGTGAAGCAAGTCTCATGCTTGCCAAGGGGTAAAGCGACAAGTGATTACATATCATTCCAAGGCTTCTCAAATGTAAAGTCTCGTAAAGTTTATATAGTGATAGTCCTCTAGGAGCTCTTGGAAATTGGCCGAGGTTTCATTCGCGTATATGTCGTTCTCCTTCAGGGTGTTTAGAAACGTATTATTCGGAGTTCCAAGAAATGCCCGGACGGCTTTTGCAACCGCCTCACCCATCTTGGCCAGATGGCTCCCACGATGAGGGGTGCCGAAGAAAGCTAGGCCATAGGTAGCTGTCCGATGGAGTCGTAGATAACTTCAAGTTTGGCTTGGACCAGCATCTTGGAATACCAGGTTAGCGGCAACTCCTAGATGCGCGGCATGTGTCGCACCTCTTTGACGACTATACCGCCACAGTTACGAGCGTTAAAGATTATAGGCCGAGCATGGCAGTCCTATTCGTTTTGTTTGTCAGCTGTGTGTCTTGCATGAGGTAGGGTCAGTTACCTGTCTTTCCAGCAGCAGTCTGCTGCGCAAGTTTTGGGCTTGCTCTCGCACTCCTGCAGTGGATGAGCGAATGCTAACGCTAGGATTATATCCGAATAGATATATCCTGCCCTGGGGTAGGTGCTTGGGAAGAAAGTCCCTCAGCCATAGCTTCCCATCCAATTCCCACGTTCTCTCCGCATGGCGTTCCTTGTTTTTTGGGGTTAAGGCCATGGGTGGCAATTATGCTTATCCCTCATCAGCAAACACAACATAACGCACTCAGAGTAGTCTATCACTCGATTTTGGGGGGATTGTCCTGGCGCAAGCTTGCGGAGAAACGTCCCGCATGGAGAGGAGTTTGCCAACAGAAATGACAGTATGCGTGAGGGTTGTCTTGCGAATTGTACTCACCATATTTCATCTAAGTAAAAATAGTGCAATATGGGCATATAACGGCCTCGCGCTTCAACCAGAACACCAACATTCAACAATTGGGCTTGGATCATTCTTGGGGTTTCGTACTTTAAGAGAAGGACCGACCGATTCGCGGGGCACTACAGGCGTTTGCGTCGAACGGCTCATAGGGCTGACGACAGAAGCGCCTTGGTGCAAGTACATAGAGACTCATCTTGCTCTCACTGACCCGCAGTTGGTGATTGTGGTGAACAAGCAACACTTGCATTGGAGGCACCGTATGAGCTGATCAACACGATTTTCTAGAACTTGATCGAGCGGCCTTCTGACATCCGTGGCCCAACAGTAAGGCAATGATAGCTGATACTTCAGCTAAGTCATGCTAGAAAGAATAACCTCACCAGCGGCCCAATTGTAGCATCACGGTATCTTGCGGAGGATTGCTGTAGCCGGCCTCCAGTTGGCCATATTCTGAAACAAATTGTGCTATTATAGGTTCAATAGCGGTCCAGTGCGGCTCTGGTCATGGTAGGTCCTGCTGGTCTCTTGGGAATTTGCACTGAAATTTTTGAGCCGTGCGCCGGCTGCCATCTTCATCCTGATGGGTGTCCGAAGGCAAGGCTGAGCTGACAGGACCCTGAGTCGTGTCGTTAAGCGCCGATGCTAGTCTTCCGGCTTAAAATAAACTGGCGAATCAAATTAGCGCCCGAAAAGAACTGGGCATGATGGACCTCGAGAGAGAAGAAAAACGAAAACGAAATGAGGGCCAATCGTTAGCCGCTCGCAACCGACGAGTTTCAGATCGCCCGCGATCTTGTCCTCTCAACCACTCCTCCACCTTCTCCAACAGCAAACCTGCAACAGACCTCTCTTTGCGGAGACTTTCAATGCCCGACAGATACAGGTGCGACATTTCGGCGCTAGGAGGTCCTTGACAGACAACAAAGGCAGCAAATGGCCTTGAAGATCCAACAACAGCCTCAGTAGCGCCCTGAAAAGCAACAACACAAGCTGCCCCGTCCGGCGCCAAAATGAATGGATTTCCGCTCCCAATGGCTTTTTGAATCTGTTTCAGGCTCCATTTCAGTCCATTGTGCCTATTGTTCGCTATCATTGCCTGTTGATTCATCCCGGATTACTCAATGATGGGCAGCTCGCGTCTCAGGCTGAATTAATAGCGCCGCCCTGGCCATGCCTTCCTTCTCTACGCCTCTCCAAATTGGCTTCGTGGTTCTTTCTCTTCTTACACCATCTCTTCAGACACTACTAACTTCTGCTGCTGGTCGGCGCCTTGAGCCTCACCTTCTTTCTATTTCCTTTGAACTGTTGACCTACAGATATCCTGAACATAAGCCAAGCGCTGTTATAGAGCCCGCATCCTACTACTCGTTGCATTTCATTCCTCAGTCTCAACAAGAACCGCAATCATGATGGCCTCGTTAAAAGAGTCCCTGGCTGGACCAGGATATGTGATCCTAAACGCCCTCCGCGTCATCAACATCATCGTCTTCCTCGATATGATCGCCGCTCATGTGGTCATGCTCGTCAAGATAGACCTCTTGACGAGCTTCTTCTTCTTTCAAGCAGTCTCGCATGCAATAGCAATTGGAACCAGCAGTAAGTATTTTCTATCGATTCTTTGGAAGCATGAGCTGACCCGAATAGTTTTCCTCATAGTCTCAGAACTCCCGTTCTTCCGCAATTTCTTCGACCGCCACTGGCCATCCCTCGGCGAAGAATCCGGATTCCTCACACTCGCTGTCATAATGCTGATACTTGGGATCGGAGCACTCGGTGATCTCAACACACCGGCTACAAGTCAAGAAGAGCTCGGCCTTACATTCTGGAGAATCATTATCTCGGCCGGAATTCTGGCCCTAGTCGTGAGCGTGATCAATGTTGTCGCAGTAAGTCCGACCCCCTGTACACCCTTTATTGGAATCCAACATTAACTCAAATCGCAGAACTTCGCCTTTGCAGACCGCGACATCGGCGTCAGCGCCCGCCAAGTCCGCGTCTACGGTGCGGTCGCGCCCCAAAAGGTGGCCTCACGAACATGCAGTCAGCGGTCGTTGCAGCTCAGCTATAAGCGCGAAGAAACACTTCCCTCGTACAGCACGTCGAGTCCCATACGCCGAGCATCAACCGCAAGCATGTCGCGTTTTCCGATAAAGATTTCTTCGCCACTCAATCCCATGCGCATGAACAGTAACGCTGCGTCGTCCAAGTACTCTCGGGATTCCTCCGGTGTGACTATTCCCGATATTGCCCACCATCCAGCTCTACAGTCCGCGCATGTTTGAGCGAGGAGATCAAGAAATGGTCTTAAATATTCTGGTCCAACATTTGTGGCACTTTGTCCTGCCGGACATAAAGACATCAGAAATAAATTGGCGTTGGTTTATTGATGACATTAGCGATTTTATCTTACTACTTATCTCGTTTTTCCTGTTTATGGTTATATGTTTTCGCGCTCAGATATCCCTCTTTTACGACTGTTTCTTCTTCTTCTTCTTCTTCTTCTTCTTCTTCTTCCTCTTATCTTAATGCATACACATGTAGCAAAAGTGAATGATTGATAATGGACATTGTTGCTAGCAGTTATTGGTCACAAGAAACACCACAATATGTCAAGTTCGACGTGGTCTGCTCCAACAGCCAAGCCATACTTTTCCTTCTCCCTTCTCCTACCCTGCAGTGTCTAGCCTGCAAGTATTATCATTTCATGCTCAGTTGATATGTTCAACAGAAGCCGCATCAACCTTGTACCCGGCCGCCGCTTCCTTCGCCCTCTTCTGCACCTCCTCATCTTCTCGCTGAATGAACTTGAGCGGCCGCTTTGTCGAGATAGCATCGAGGTCACCGACGACAATAAGAGGCGGGTTGGAGCGATAGTATGCGTCGACGTCTTCGAGCGTTCGGTTTGCTTTGGGGTTGTTAGTACACAAATGCCCAACATAGACGTAACCAGGGAAGATATGGGCAGTGTAAGGTGAAGCCGGGGAGGGGGGAAACAAACCCGTCTCCGGATAGAAAAAGTAGATGATCGGTAAGAAGACGGCGTTGAGCACGGTCCAGACGATCCAGAAGCGCCAGCCGATATTCTGGATTCCAATTGGGGTAATTTCGACAATGGCAAAGTTTGTTATCCTGTCCAACCTCCCATTAGTTCTGATTCACTTTTCCTTGGTGAACGTTCCTGGGTAAGAAGGTTGGGGAGGGTACCAATTCGTCGCAGTCGCAACAGCCGCTCCCTTCGTCCGCATAGGAAGTGAATTGATCTCAGTCGGATAGAGCCATGGGACACCGAGCATCCCAATTCCAAAAGCGACGTGGTATAGGAAAAAGAACGCCACTGAGGCGGTGCCGTATACTTCATTGGTCGTGGCGAAGCGCAGGAGGATCGTGATGACGAGGAAGGAAATGAACTGCCCAAAACCCGAGAGGAGCATTAGACCGCGACGGCCAAAGCGTTCGATCATTGTGACGGCGACGCAGGAGAAGATGAAGTAGGAGGTTGCGTTGCAGGCTGTTAGGAGGCGGGACATGGAGTTTGAGAAGCCAACGGAGTTTATAAGTACTGTTGGGAGGTAGTAGCTCATGATGTTAATGCCTAGTATGGGCGTTCGAGGTCAGGAAATGTACTGTATTGGGCACGATAGAACTTTGGTGGGTATGAGGTGTGCAGACCTTGGAATTGCTGGATTGCTTGTGTGCTTGCGCCGAGGATTAGACGGCGGAGGGTTTTTGTGCCGTCAGACTTGTTGCGGCGGATGAGGTCTCGCCAGCGGATGGCGTTGTCGCGTTCGTAGTTGATGCTGTATTTGATCTCGTCATACTGGGTGGTGATGTATGGGTCGTCCATGGCTTTCCCTTCAATGCATGCGAGTACCTGGATGGCTTCTTCGTCATGCCCGTGGGACAGGAGCCATCTTCAGGTTCATTAGAGCTGGTCTACTGGTGCTTAGGAGAAGGGTTGATGGCATACCTTGGAGACTCGGGGAGCCATGGAATTGTAGCAAACAAGACCGCGATAAAGAAGAGCTGCAGAGCAATCGGCAACCGCCATACGATGCCTCCCTCCCGGAAGGATAGGCCGTAGTTAATCCAGTTGACGATACAATAGCCACCAACGTTCAACCCTAGTTCAAGTATGACCAGCTTTCCTCTCCATTTTGCCTGCGCTGTCTCGGTTTGTCAAACTGGTGCCGTCGCCGTACTCAGGCCATTGCCGATTCTGCAAGGATATTAGTTCAGCGACTTCACGGTGAGTCCGTGAGACTTGCCCAAGCACTACCCGTCCCACAAACATCTGAGCCAAGCTGTACGACGAAGCCTTGAGAGCGGTTCCAATTGCCATGATTGCACAAGCCAGGAGAATGGTCTTCTTTCGTCCCAAGCGATCACCGGCTGTAAAAGCAAGCATTGCACCCAAGAAACATCCGACATCGTAGATAGCGGTGACGGTTGAGAGGATAGTCGTCTTGGTAGGTCCAACCAGATCGTGAACCTCAAGGAAGTCTGGTGTAACGACGACGCCACCTGTCCGACCATACGGTTAGAACGCTTCGTGCGAGGGAAGATGAGAGTAGCAGGGGCAGCAACTCACTAAAGACACCTTGATCATATCCAAACAAAGTCATATCAGTGGCACAAGCAAGCTATATCCTCACATATCAGCGTCCTTCCCTTGACACAGACCATTGCAAGCTCACTCACCGAGACCCAAAAGGTGAGCCAGCCACCAGTAAACCCAAAGTAGGGCTTCCGAGAGATAGCCATCGTTGAAAGAGCACAGGACCGTATAGATATTCTGAAATGCGCAAATCAAGTTGACCAGCCCGGTACAAGGTTTGGGCAAGGGGATTATATAGTCGTGAGTATGGAGAAACAGCATCCCATCCCGTACAACCCCGGATCCGACTTTCCACTTGGCTCAGCCCATACGGGGTTGAATTTGGCGCTTTAGTCCTGAATCGGAACACGAGCAAGGTTCCAGCCATTGCCCACCCTACGATATGATGTCGTATCCTGATTCTCCCGACCAACTCCCATCGTTGACTTGCCGGACGAGGTGCAGCCATACTCAACTCCAAGAGAACAGAGACGTGATTGGAGCTGCGACTCTTCAAGAGACCACTGCAAAGCCCTTCAGAGGCCTGCTGCTATTGTACAGTGGGCACTGCAAAAACCAATCACGGAGAAAGGGCCGTTCAGTAATCCCTGGATCCGCTGGAGCCCCGCTATAACCTTCGGCGGTTCTCCGGTTCCCCGTCAGATCTCCGGGGTTGCCGGTGCCATTTCGTCGTTACTGTGGCCGTGAGATCATTGGACACCGATTCGAATGCTGAGGTCTCCAGGACGGGAATGATGAAGACTTTCAATCGTTGTCACTGCAGGAAAATGTGATGCCAAATGAAGTAAAGCGCCACACGTGATTCAAATGAGGCCTTTACGTTGTACAGACAGGAAACAGCATCATTCATTCTCCACTCCCTTCTATTCTTTATTCTACTGAGCTAAACTGGCCTCGCCGCAACGAGCGTGGTAAACTCAGATACTGACCAGGATTAGTCCTACGAATACCAAGAAGGAGAAATCAAGCATTTAATGAATATTTTGTTCGATTTCCAGCCTAGTCGCTCTCTAATCATCCAAAATTTGGACCTTGATGGCTCTCGCAGCGGGATTACTTGCAGTAGCAAACGCCTGGACTCCCTCCTCCAGCCCATACCGATGAGACACCAGTGGTTTCAGATCAATCAATCCAGCATTGACCAGGCTGATGGCCTTGGGGTAGATGTCATGGTACCGGTACTGGAACCTCAAATCGATCTCCTTGGCTGACATGTGCATGAAAGGAATGTTTTGGAAATCCTTGCCCACACCAATGACGAACACAAGGCCGCCAAAGCGGGTTGCCTAAGTGAAGCATGTTAGCTCATTCGAGGATTGGCCTACGTACTGCGTCGAAAACTTACGTATATTCCCGCATGAACGCTGCTCTCCACTCCAGTACACTCCAGGACTAGCTTCGCCTCCTGTCCAAGCTCCTTGACGATGCGTGCTCCTAGCTCTTGAGAAGTCTCCTGCTTCTGTACATGCACAGTTTGCACGCGGGGCACGAGCTCCTTTGCTTTAGCGAGGCGGTTCTCGTCTATATCTGTGATGACAATGGGCGCTGCACCCGCCGCATGTGCTGCCAGCAGCGTGACCAGGCCAATGGGTCCAGCGCCGCAAATGACCAGAGGGTCAGCGAGACGGAGTCCTGAACGGTCGATACCAGCCAAGGCGACTGTGAGAGGCTCGAGAAGCGCGCCCTCTTCGAAGGTTACATGATCGGGCAAGCGATGGAGCCAGGCTTCTGGGTGGGCATGGTACCTGCGCAGGGTACCGTGATGAGGTGGCGTTGAGTAAAACACCACATCCGGGCAAGCGTGATATTTGCCCGTGCGGCAGAAGTCGCAGGTGGGCTTTGAGCAGGGAACACCGCACTCCATAGCAACTCGATCACCTATCATCCATCAGCACAAGAGCTTCGACTTTGCGAAAGACTTCCCATACCCGGCTTGAAACGAGTCACAGCGTCCCCGACCCGCAGGACAACTCCGGCGCTTTCATGACCCAACCCGTTATCACCTGTAACGATCATAGGCCCTATCCGACCATGTTTCCAGAAATGAACATCAGACCCGCAGATACCGGTGGCCCTGACATGGACAAGGCACTCGTCTGGACGTAGCTTGGGGATTTCACATTCCACAACACGGAGATCGTGTGAAGGGTTTGTGTGAATGGCAAGGTTTTGAGGCTTTTTCTGAAGGACGTCCATGCCAGGCAAGTGATGTGATGTGTGCTCAAGGATGCTATTGCACGGTCCCTGGAAGGTTCACACTACTGTTATATAGCCGAGTACGGAGCGGGATACTATGTTAGGAAAGCGATGATTATCCTACGGACACATCTCCGGGACCACGAACCGATTGCGTTTCGGAGGGGGATAGAATGAACAGATGACGGTCGTGTCGCATTCACGTTCACCATTTTCTATGCCGGTACTGCATTCGGGATATTGCCGGGACCCTCTCTGGGCCGGTGGGAACGATCTCCTAAAAAGATATACATGGTGTGGAGTTGAAGAATCAGCAGACAGCTTCAGATAAATCCAGTATCACGATCGCAGCCAGAAAAATACCCCACGTTTTCTCCACGATGCACAGGCGACTCATCAAAGTCGTGCATGACGTGTGTACGCTGGCTAGACCCGGAAATAGCCCCGAGCGAGCTACGGCCTCATTCCAGGTCGGGTTGTGGGCCCTAGATTCCGGTGGATGCCAACGATCTATATGGAAATTCGCTGCTGCTCTCTGCTACTGTGGTTATTGTGGTTAAATAGCGAAGCAAGATAGCAAGATAACATGGACACAACTGACTGGACACATCAATCTGACATCGCAACATGTCACTGCAGGGAAAAATTGCTATCGTCACCGGAGGAGCACGGGGAATTGGAGCAGGGATTGCTCGCAGCTTGAGTAAGGAGGGTGCAAAGGTATTTGATCTGAATCTACCTACTTATAAAGAGCATGTGGTTAATCGGAATTTGCAGGTCGCTTTCAACTATGTCTCGCCCTCATCCAAACTTGCAGCAGACAACCTAGTCGAAGAACTTCGCCAGGCTGGCAAGGAAGCTGTTGCAGTACAAGCGGATGTGACTGAGCTGTCTGCCCCGGGAACCATCATCCAAGCTACTCTATCCTCATTCAAAACAGATCATATCGACATCCTGGTAAACAATGCCGGCGCGGGCGACAACCGACCTCTGGAGGAAGTGACCTTGGAGATCTATACAAAATTGATGGACGTTAACGTACGGGCAGTGGTCTTCATGACCCAAGCTGTGCTGCCATTTATCAGTCACGGTGGGCGCATCATTAACTTGTCCTCCATCTCAGCGCGAGGCGGCTATGCCACACAATCGGTATACGCAGCAAGCAAAGCAGCTGTTGAGGGTCTGACGCGGGTTTGGGCCACCGAGCTAGGGCACAAATACGGCATCACAGTCAATGCCGTCAACCCAGGTCCCGTGGACACGGACATGTATCAAGCCGCAGGCCCGGTGCATTTGGCTCGAATGGAGGAAGAAAATAAGAAGGTCCCTGCTGGACAACGGTGTGGTACCGTGGAGGACATTGGGGATATCGTTACATTTTTGTCGGAGGAGCGGTCGCGGTGGGTTACGGGAGATGTCATTTGCGCGAATGGTGGTATACTTTACACCTAGACACTGTTTTTGTCTGAATGTCCATTGCATGTTCTATACGGGTTAGAGTTCCAGCATATGGTACGGTCATCGCTTGTACTCTACACCACCCCTCGCGCTCTAGGCCGTTTTCGAAAGACGAATTATGTTATGTATGGCGGTTTGGAAAGTGGCTTGAAGCGTCGCATAACAGAAAGCCAAGATCTACTAAGTCAATTGGCGTCTTTTATCGAAGCCCGGGTCCTTGTTTGCCGAGATCCATTCAATCCAAGTTTCGTCCGGTGACATCCCGAAGCGGATCGACTTTACAGGCTGTCCGGCGATAGCTCCGCGACAGCTTCACCGGCCGTCCCCACATCTTGTTTGACACGAAATATGACGTTCTATTCTATCTTTCAGTTAAGTCTTTTTCTGCATTCTGAAAGTCGAAGTGCAAATCTTCTGTCAAACTCACAAACACGACGCTTAACGGTATGTTTGTTGTGTGGAGTTTCCCTGTCAGAAGCTGGTCTAACGAGTCCATATTTACTTTCACAGATGTTCTACATGGATGTGACAAGCAGTTGATGTGTTCTTCAACCATTTCCTTCTTTCTGAGACTTCCTCCCTTGCTCTTCCTCCAACAGTCCGCCTGGTTCGAGCCATTTGCCTACCATGGCCAAGGCACTCCCGGCCAGTCCACAAGAGTCTCCCTCCAACGAGTCCATTTCTCCCGGCGCCAAACAGCGGAAAACGCGCAGCCGAATAGCTTGCGATGAATGCCATTCTCAGCATGCCCGGTGTGATCGCGTGTTCCCCTGTTCAAGATGCCTGAGCAAAAATATTCAGTGCGGCTTCAGTCGAGAGCTCCGCAAGCGAGGACGATTGCCCAAGCACATTCCCCGCCCAGGAACTGGGATAATGACAGGAACACCCGGCGTTTATAATGCAGATAACGCACAGTTTGTGATCTCGCCGACAGCTAGCGATGCTCTGACTTCTGAAGGTTCCCAACAAAGCTCCTGCTATGTGAAGGATGTGCCGGTTTTATTGAGTCAGGGGATCGAATGCCCCCAGTCGCTCGATGATCTGGTTTGTCCTATACAAAGATGTGAAGAGGATGATTTGTTGAACGAATCGCTGCTGTTTCAGGCTGAGTCTGCAGACTTTCCGGGTCTTTTGACCGGGATTGCGCTAGAAGATGGTCCATTTCCCTTGGACACACTTACGCCGACAGACTTCCCTGAAACCAGCAGCCCTAGACATGCCGGATCAGAAATTTTTACTTCCACACCACCACCGACTTTATTGAGTTTGAGATTCCCTGTCCTACAGCCACTACTTCCCTTCATCCAGTCCACTATTTCTGCAGAACTGGCGTGCGGGCTTCTCGATTTCTACTTCACCAGCGCTTTCCCCGGGCATATGCATCCCATCTGCCATCATATCCACTGCTACGTTGTCCGAAAAGCCTCCTTCTTAGACGAGATCCGCCCTCGACCGAGTAGTCTGGCACTCTTGGCCAGCATGTTATGGGTCGCCGCCTCAGACGACCGGGCATTTTCCTTGCCAATTTCGCCCCGTTACCGAAAGCAGATTTGCCATTTCCTCCACTCGCTTACCGTTCAATTGTTGAGACCCCTAGCACACACGCCTATATATGGGCCACGGAAGACAATAATGGACAGGACTCCCTATTCTGATGTAAATCTCGCAAATTTTTCTGGATTTGCACAACCCTTCTTGTTGGCGAATAGCCCTCAGGGCAATGAGTTTTCTAGCGGTACTATAGACGACGTGATCACTTATATCCACATCGCTTCCATTCTTTCAGCAAGCGAGCAAAAGGCGCTTAGTAGGAAATGGTCGGTTCTATAACAATCCAACTGAGACTCAAACTAATATCAGAATCCAGGTGGTACGCAGCTTTCACCCTAGCACGAGACCTCGAATTAAACCGCGAGGTCGAGGCAATGCCAGCCATGGACCTTCAGGACAACTGTTTCTCTGAACTGGATTCCAGACTTGATTGCTCTGTAGCAAATCGACGTATCCTCAGTTGCGTGTGTAACGACCACTCCGCACATATCACGGAAGTGCAACGTGAAGAGCGTCGGAGAGTCTGGTGGCTTCTATACATGATGGATCGGCATCTCGCGCTATCAGACAACCGTCCACTAGTACTTCTCGACTCCGAGAGCAAGGACCTTCTTCTCCCTCTAGATGAGCACGCATGGCAAGCTGGAGAAATACACAGCAACAGCCACAATGTCATTGGACCTCAGTGCCTGGTGTCCGGGCCCAAGAACAAGCGCCGCGGGTTTCCCGACTTTACTTGCCACGATCAGTCAATCTTCGGGCTCTTTCTTCCTCTCATGACGATCATGGGTCAAGTTGTCGACCTGAATCAGATGGAAAACCACCCCATTCTCGGTGCAGGCGCTTCGGGAAAGAAATCTCTGGAAACCTATCGCAATCAAGTGCTTCGCCAGCTCGATGTATACGAAATCAGTTTCAATGAGTTTATTACGAGGATCGCCACCACCGAGAGCGCGTTGTCGTCGAATGCCAATCATCTTCATACGCATGCATCCTCCCAAACTTACTGGATGTCCCGCACAATCGCCGCCTACGCCTCATATTACGTGCAAGTCCTGCACATCCTCCTGGATGACAAATGGGACCCTACCACGCTCACCGAAGATAGAGACCTTTCCACCTCGTCGCCGAACTTCACGTTGGCCATATCTCGCGCGCTAAAAGCAGCCGCCTCCGTCAAGCAAATCCTCAAATTCGATCCTGACGTCAGCTTTATGCCTGCGCTCTTCGAGACTCAACTCCTACGAGGCAGTTCATATTTTCTTCTTATCATCGAACGGCTACAAGATGAAGCTGATGAGTCCTTTTTGAGCGCGTGCGAGGTCATGATTCGAGCTGTAGAATCCTGCATCGTCACATTGAATACCGAGTCCCAGAGGAGTTTCTGTCAGATTATGCGGAGGGCAGTCGCCCGAGCGCGTGGGCGACCAATTAACCATTGTGAGGTTCAAAGAAGGCATAGGGCTATTTTGGCCTTGTACGGACGGACGGAAACCGGGTCGGCACTTTAGGTTCACGTTCTTCTCGTTCCCGATCTTCGGTGATTCGCCAAAGAATTCACTGAGGATGATTAAAGCCAAAATGCGAACCCCCAATATCCTTCCAATTCCAGGATTACCCGCTGGTGGAAACGAATTTAGGAATTGCCTCAGACCAAGCGGGGTGGCTCGGGCTATACTTCGGTCACGCCCCAGCGCTGATCCACTCTCGGAGGAAACGCCGTGATTGGATGGTTTCACTTCTCGCCGTGGTGAACTCTCTCGTCGCGAAGGGTCGTCGCGAAAGGCTGTGCGTCGATTCCCAAAGACCAATCGTTTTTCTCAAGCTGCGGTTGGCTGGCCTAACATTTGCCCTGTCTACATCTGAAGCCGGAGCAGGAATCCACTGGGGTCCCGTGCGTATCATTTCGAGCGACCTCCTATTGCTGTGGGGAAGGCCAGGACTGATTTGTGGAGAAAGAATGACGGACAAGGGTTCTCTTGAGCCTTCGCCATTTCTCACAGCGTCACGCAGTTACAACATCCTCCGGCATGGAATCACTACCCCGATCACGGCATATCCTTCGAAAGTCGTTCGCCTGCGATGAGTGCAAGCGGCGCAAAATACGATGCTCCGGCGACGAGAACTGCATGAATTGCATGAGGGATGCAAAGTCATGTCGATACTCGTCGCCATCGCATCAGCTGTCCAAGTTGCAGAGGTATGCATCCTCATTGAATCTCCAAGTCAGAACAGATGAACGATATATTTATAGACTTCAGGCGCATACAAGACCGTGAGCAACTCATAAGCGACATGGAAAAGGCTTGGGCAGTCTATCTGCCATCAGTCGACCTCAAGGAAGCCATTCGCACTGTCCGGCAAGGCGAGTCACTCGAGAAAAAGAACAAGCATCACCATGACATTACGCATTCCACCGAACAACCGCCCGTCGGCGTTGCAGAGCACAGCAATGCGGAAGACTACGAGTTTGACGAGTCGCAGGATTTCGACAACTCTACGGACGGCATGGGATTTCTCACCATAGATCCCCATAAGGCGGGCTATACGGGGCCGCAGTCTGGAGTAGCTGCACTAAAATTTCTGCAAACACTCCCTCTTTATATCCCGCTTAGCAGCTTTATCCCAGCCTCTTCCCTGGACGATGATGATATCTTAGACTCTGCTCCGCCTAGGAAGCAATCGGAAGTGGCTCGCTATCTTGATGATTATTTTTTACTGTATCATCCTGCGTATCCTATTTTGCACGAAGGGACTTTTCGCGCACGGGTATCGGGTATGTTCTCAGAAATATTTTCAGAGATCCACTCTTACCAAATTCAGGTGCATTGGCCAAACCACATGATGGCTCGTGGCCACTGTTATACAACATTGTCCTCGCGATAGGCGCATTTGTTGGCGACTCGAAAGGAACGAAAACCGACATGATTTTCTTCAAAGAAGCGCGCAAACACCTCTCGATGGACGTGTTAGAGAAAGGATCTCTGAGCTATGTTCAGGCAATTGTCCTGATGGCCAATTACTTGCAGAAGCGAAATAAACCCAATGCTGCTTTTATCCTGGTTGGTATTGGCTTCAGTATGGCTCTCGCGATTGGCTTGCATCGAGAGTTTGGCATGCCGAGTACCTCGCCGTTCACCATGGAGGTTCGCCGGCGGGTGTGGTGGACGCTATTCATCTTCGTTTCAGGCGTACAACTGATCCTAGGGCGGCCAGCAGTCTCGCTAGTTGGAGTCAATGTTCGACTTCCAGCTAATGTAGATGACCACGACCTCGCCGTGGACATGGAAGAGCTCCCTGAGAGCCAGATTGGCCCAACTATTACATCCTGTCTCATCGCGCAGGTCAAACTAGCCAAGATCGCAAACGCAATCCAGGTTGAACTTCTCACCCATCACCTCCCTACCTCAGACAAAGCACACGACCTCGAGCAGCGTATCTCCTCCTGGACAAACGATCTTCCAGCACACTTCAACACTGACATCTACCTCGAGCCACGATTCGATATCCCGAGACGCGTCGTCCTTTGGAGATCCTACCACCTCCGCATAGTCATTAATCGCCCCTTCCTCTTTCAGAACATTACATCCAAGTCCGAGCTCGATACCTCTGCTGGGCCTGTTGCCTCATGCCTTGAAGCAGCAGACACATGCGTGACGTCGATTTGCGGGTTCCTCGAGTCGACGGATAACAGGCAACGGGGTCTTACCTGGTACGCAACCTGCTGGCTCCTAACGGCGAGTTTCGTCCAGGCAACATGCTACGTCTACGAGCCCGCGCACGCGCTAGCCGAGACTTGGAGGTGCCATATCCAACGCGCGGTCGACTGTTTAGGGAGCCTGGGGTCATCACACGATATGGCCTTGCGCGCGAGAGCTGTCCTACAGAAGATCCTCGGTTTGTAACCTCTCTCTCCCTCTCATAACATAATCATCAAAGTTAGCTCATCACTAACACCATTCCTTCTCTGCACAGAACACGGCCACGAACGAAGCTCTCCAGGCAGTTTCAACCTCGACCCCTTCTCGCTAACCCAGATGGCCCCAGGGCCACTACGCACACCATGGACTCCTTCCGGCTGGGGCTCGAACCAAGCCATGTACAACCCATTTTCGCAGAGTTTTGGTGGCGGCTTTCGGTACACGCAGGGGTCATTGGGCGCGGAGTTTCTCGATGCGGCGGGTGGTTTGATGATTCAGAACTTGTTCAGCGGTTCTGGAGAGGAGGGGTTGGGGTTGGGGCATGGGAACTCTTGGACGCCTGGTTAGGGGTCTACACAGAGGTTCAACTAGTACTTGAGCGAGTATTTACGTATTATGTTGATATGACTGAAGAACGTGCCTGGAGAGTTAGGGCATGTTCCTAAAGTATATTATACTCCTGACAAGCGACACATGATTTACAGACCATTCTTTGTCAACAATTCTTGAGGAGTTCGAACCTGAGATGGGCATTTGGTGCATCTTGTAGTAAACTATAAAATGACCTGAAGAGAATTAGAATCAAGATTAAGCAGGATTTTCGTATTATTATGACTATTACAATGCCATTCTCCAAATGACAAGCCAAGATCCATTCCGAATACCGACCCGAGAAACGCCGGTACCGACCGAGTCTTGGCGCCATACATCAAACGATTAGTCCCATCTGGTTCATGCCAGCTAGCTGCTGCTCCCAAAAGGACCACCTCGCTGCCTGGGCCAACTCGAGCAGCACGACAAACTGCAGATATGACGGAGTTCAATATTCCATGGGGGACGTACGTTTATCTACCTGCTCTCTCCTGAAGTCCATTTCACTTGGAGTCCCGACTCGCCGAAACTACTCTTGAACGAACCAGCTAACCTAAGAATCCGTGTCTCGAATGCAGCATCCAATCCCTCAGCCTCATAATCGCCCCAATCCTTCTCCCTCGAATAATAAACTTCATCCGTTATGTGCGTGTCGCGATCATGCAGCGGCCAGCTCCGCGCCCCTTACCACCGGGCGCTACGCGCGCACTGAACGTCCTCTTCTTCTCGATCCTCCTCTTCCTCTTCCTCAGTTTCCCCTCGAACCCGTTCTCGCCGGGCCCAAGTATCTTCACCCTGACACGGTCGCGGATCACTACCTCACTCGAGACGATATTCACTCGACTCGCCAGACAGAGACCGCTAACGGAGGCGGACGAGTTGCTCCGCACGAAGCTGATCTCCAAGGATGCGCGCCGGATCTACCTCCGCTTTGGCGCGAAAGCACTGACTCAGTGCCAGTTCTGCAAGCTGGATAACCCGAATACGTATGCGCTCTTCTACTACCCGGTGAACTCGCTCGTCCCGCATCTACTACACATGGCCGTCGTAGGCGTCGCGACGTCGGCAAGTTTCGCGGGCCGTGAGGCAGCGCGCTGGAGGACGAAGTTTACAATTGCGGGGCTTCTGCTTGCGGCGGTGGATCTCTACGTTGTGTTTATGTATGACCCTGTCAAGGGCGGGACTGAGGCCGTACGGGACGGTGTTGATGTGCCGCGGGCGGTGTTTGCGACTATGGCTGTTGTGCGGCCGCTGGTGTTGCTGTGTTTTGATGTGGTGCTCGCGTTCTTCATTTACGTTTCTGCTACGAATCGATGGTTTTTTACGCCGCCGTCGCAGGCGGAGGAGGTGGAGAGGGTGGTGTCGGCTTCGCTTGCGGCGCTTACCGGGGCGAGCTCGAAGTTGCATGCTGTGAGTGTGACGAGGAATGCGGTGGTGAGGGATCGGGTCTTGAAGGATCGGGACGATGCGTATTGGCGAACGGTGGTTGCGCTGGATGGGGAGGGGGCGTCGAAGGCGCCGGCGGGGGTGTGGGAAGAGGAGGAGGTTGTCAGGGCCATGTCCAAGGCGATGGCGGGCGGGGGAGGAATCGACCTCGCGAAGCTAGGCGTCAGTGCGGCGGAGTATGTGAATGCGGCCACGGCGGGGTTGGACAATGGCCGGGTGCAGGGCGGTTCATAAAGAGATGAAGCTTGTATAAATGCTTTTGAATAAGACATACAGAGACATTGTCGGCGGGACCAACCCGAAGTCAAATGACCGTAGATCGCGACGTAGGCAGTGCAGGGTGGGAGATGGACAGCCTCTAGCGAGGGCTTGTGGAGCGGAAGACGGATGTCATTGGGGGCGACTCACTGGGGCCTGGGCGGTGTGCCGTCCCAGTGGTCGTGGTACGTATGTAGGCCCCGTAGAGGCCAGCCAGAGGAATGGCCCGGGCGGCAGCACTACTGCTGCAGACTAACCTTGGAGCTGTCCCTCATTATTCTCGATCCTCAACTTAATTTCTTTTGCTTTTCCTTGGATTCGTCGTTGTTGATTTCCCCTCTTCTCCTCCATAGCGGTGTGCCTGTGCCCCTGGGCAATTTCTTCCTCCTCCTCTTTCCGCGGCCCCAGCTCCAGCGCCCTTGATCTTCGTCTCTGACAGAGGTGAAACAGCGAGTCGCTGGTTTGACGGCGTGTCTCTTCCCCAACCACAACACTGCGTGCCGCGGAACACCACCTACCACCACCTCCTCCACCGTCAACACCACCACCAAAGGCAGTCTCTCCAGTTTTCTGCATCGTGGTCGGGAACCACGTGTTCGCTCGTTTTTATTGACTGCTCTTGACGAGACGACGCTAGCCCGTCATCTAATTGCTCTGAATTCTCTCGTTGATCCCGCACCGTTGTCCGTATCCCTTTGCGGAGGCCACAGATCCCTTGTTTCAGCACGCCAATCGCCGAGCGTAGCCTTTCTCGTTATGGCTATAGACTCGACTTCGCAGCCGCAGTCGCTCACGGAGCTCAATGCCTGCACGACGACCTCGCACTCGCACTCGCATTCGCATCGCCCGGCCAAAGATACCACGTTCCGAGAATGGGTTGTCTCCAACCAGATCGGTATGCAAGATCTCGTACTAGCTTGAACTTTTGCAACAAGCTTTCTTGTTTGTTTGGTGGGTAGGAACCGTGGTTCGCTAACCAGGGGAAACTTTCCTTCAATAGGTATTTCTCTGACAACTCTGTCCATGATATTGGCCGTCCACCATCTGTACCCTTCGCTCTCTCCATATACCACTCCGTTCTTTCAGCTGTCGTACTACCAGCCGTCGCAAGGGCTGTATATCCAAGGTCGCGATGATGTCTACTTTGTCCTCAGCTCCGTACTTGCGTTCACCGCCGTCCGCGCTATATCAATTGAGTGGGTTCTTCGGCCGATGGCACTGCGGCTAGGGTTGAAGCGAAAAGAATCGATTCGATTTGCGGAGCAGGGCTGGATGTTCTTGTACTATGCAGTCTTCTGGACCACTGGAATGGTTTGTTCCCCACCTGTGTTATGGGGAGGGCACAGCTAACTGCGAGTAGTACATCTGGTCACAGTCGTATTACTGGGGCGACTTCAGGGCAATCTGGGCGGAGTGGCCTTCGCGGGGCGTCTCCGGCTCGCTGAAGTGGTATCTCCTGGCACAGCTTGCCTTTTGGCTGCAGCAGATTTTCGTCATCCACGTGGAGGAGCGGAGAAAGGATCACTATCAAATGTTGACGCACCATTTAATCACCAGCAGTTTGCTCACATCGGCATACATCTACGGGTTCTACAACGTCTCTAATGTGGTGCTGAGTCTGATGGACGCCGTGGACCTTCTCTTGCCGGTACGCTTCTACCCTCTACTTACCTGAACGGCAGCTGATCCCCGCAGTTTGCCAAAATCCTCAAGTACCTGCGCTTCGAGTTGAGCTGCAACATCGCCTTTGGCGTCTTCATGGTCACCTGGTTGATTTCGCGCCACATCTTCTACCCATTGCTCTGCTGGTCCATCTTCAAGGACGTTCCCGCCGCAATGTCATATGGCTGCTACTCCGGAACTACGGCGGAGATGATCTCGACAAACGGGTACCCCGACCAAATCACCCACCTCTTCTACCCATTCCTCGACATCGACGGCCCGATCTGCATGAACCGCACGATCAAATGGCTCTTCCTGTCGAGCCTCCTCTCTCTGCAGGCCCTTTCCCTGATCTGGTTCAGCATGGTCGTCCGCGTCGCCGTCGGCGTTCTCCGCACCGGTAACGCCGAGGACACCCGCAGCGACGACGAAGACGAAGACGAGGAAGAAGTGGTCGGCTCGCCCAAGGAAATCCCCACGGGCAATGCCATTCCCGCCGAAGTCTCTACGCCAGAATGGCGCCGGTCAAATGGCCACGTCCGGCCCCGCGGCCGTAGCGATCGGAAGGCACTGCTCGGCCGCATTGGGTGCGACAAGCCTACCTAAAAAACCGCTATAGATACCAGCAGCAGCAGCCGGCTCTATCTCCATCTCTCATTTTCAAAATTCCCATCACCACCATCAAGCTGTGGTGTGCTGTGAAAATTCACCCACCGATATACCCGCATACGGCATACTAACCATTCACACATCTGATGAACCGAAAATATGAATACATGAAGCATATCCGTATCTAGCTGTTGTTGTTTCTGCTGTTGATGATGCTCTTTTACTTTTTCTCAGTCTCAATGATATCGCCTACGTTTGATACCACGCTCCCGTCCTGTTTTTGTATTCTTGCTTCTTCTATTGGTCGGATGGATTTGCGACTTGACTTGTTTGGCTGTGGCGGCGGCCTGGCTAAATATCGTTATATATGCGGGTTTTTTTTTATACCGGGTTCTTTATGGTTTAGAAGGTTAATTCAGAGATATCTTCTTTTGTGTGTCTGCCCTTTGAAAAAGAGGTTAGAGTATCGGTGTATAGTGAGTTCAGCGGCTTTGAACCCTACCTACCTACTCGGCAATCGGAAAGTTGAGTGTCGTATCAACAAGAACATCCGCAGAATGCAATCTCAAGGAAAGCACCATCCAATAGTAAAAGCCCTAATGTTAAGCAGGAATACCTGAGATTACATGTGAGACGCTCGCTCTAGGTATAAAGGGCGGTAGAAACAGAAGTACTGGCACTTCTCCAACTCTGTTCCAGAAAGGCCATGTTCGCCTACCAGTTTGCGGCTCTGAGTGAGTTGAGTAGCTCTCCTAAAATCCAGAGAATGAAGACGAATGATGACTATACCAGATGAAAGAACGAGCAGGGTGCGAAACCCTTACACAGTCAGCTTTTTTAAGATCCTGCCCAGCATAGTAGGTATAACATGCTTCCAGGCGGCCTTTCCGTCCACTGTCCCAGAGGCATTCGTAACGTCGTCAAAAACATTAAAGATATTCTGGAAACGGTCGTTTGTAGATGATCACCGCCCTTGCCCGTTGTAGCAGAATGATTGTTGACTGGGATGGTATAGTCGAGAACAAGAACTAGGGTAAGCATAAAAAAGTGGAAGAGTACATGACCAAAATATCATATCATAACTCGACTACGTGCATGATTACTCTGCATGTGTTGAACCTGCATCTTGTCCTGCAGACCAACAATTGGCTGCTGAACTCGACACGAGACATAGAAGACATGAGCCACATAGGCAAGTATAAAGGAACAAAAGTTGACGCCTAAATGCAGGTTACAGGACGAACAGAAACGCCAAAGAGGGAAGGAGCATGAAAAGAGAGGTTCGAGGTTGAAGTAGTAATGAGTTCATCGTATGTATGAGTGAGGTAGACGAAGTATATGAGTCTGTCTGTCTGGATGGAATGCTGAAATGGAATTGACTGTAGTAGGTAAATAAGCGAAGAAAGGAGAAGATGACTTGAAGAAAAAAGTGTTTAACCAGCCACCCCGTTTATGTTCATAGGTTCTGCGGGGTACCGCCGCCGTCGCATCGGTGCCTTTTTCCGTTTTGCTATCGCGTTCTGTGCACTGTCGCCGCCCATTTCTGCATCTCCGTCGTTGTCGTAGTTTTGCAGGGATTTGAAGTAGGCCATCTCGTCGAGCTGGGTGATGTCCGTGGGCTTCATCCGCAGCCACTTCATGCGCGGACCAGACCTCGAGCGCTCTGACACGCGGAATCCGTAAATCCGCGACTCGTACATCTTGCCCTCTCCCAAGCCAGGGGCGAAGTTGGCCGTCCGTACGCCGTTCAATTCGGTGGGCCAGAGGGGCCGAGGGGTATCGGATGTAGGCTGGTTGTTCGTACCAGCTGATGTCGTAGTGGTGGTTGTGACGGTCGATGGGATCGAGGCTGACCGCGTTGGGGATAGCGCATTTAGAGATGCATCGAACCGGGGTCCGACGTCGAGGTCAGGGAAGGTCATGAAAAACAAGCAGCCGAATGTTGTGCCAAAGAAGGCGCCATCCACCGAGTGAAACCGGCTGTTCGGCGGCGTATATAGGTCCTGGCAGCTGGGGCAGAAGAGCTTCACCGTTTCCTGACCCGGTGTATCGGAGCGTCCCACGGGGAGCACTTTGCAACCGTTGCAGTAAACTCGTGGGCAGACCCCGAAGTGTTGCATCTCGTACTTCTCCAACATCTGTTGGATGCCCGGCCGTGAAGTGATATACCGTTGGTGGATCAACCCGTAAAGCAGCTCCGCCGAGCTCTCAATGACGCTCAAATCGCTGGCTACCCTTGCATGCCTCCGCTCTCTCCGGTAACCGGGCGGCTTCTCGTCACCGAGGATTTCGTCCTCATCTTCCTCCTCCTCCTCCTCTTCTTCCTCACCCTCATCCTCTTCCGGTTCCACATCCAGAATCATCTCTAGGGCCTCCTTGTACATAGGCACCTGTGACTGCAGGCCGGTCAGGTTGAAGTCATCCTCGATAAAATCCTCCGAAACTTCGGCGAAGAATTCGTGCCCCATGAGCGAGCAGAACGAGGAGATCCAGGACTCCGGAGCGCCCTCGGACGACGACATATCGAACGAATCGGCGGTTGAGGACGGCGTTGATTCAGACAGTTGACTCAGATCCAGCCTATCGAGGCCGTCGGCCAACGCCGAGCCTATCTGTCTCGACACGGTGCTGGGAGGTTATTAGACCAAATGGGATGGGAACGACTCGTGGGTGACCAACAGCCTGTTGCCGCGATTTTGAAAAACTCCAGTGTTCTCACTCTACTTGGAGGCAAGCAGAGACAATAACGATATGGACAGTAGCGAAAGACGGGCGGGAAATAGCGGGGATAGCGTGTGCGGACTGGTCTTGGTATAATCAGAAGAGTGACAGTGGCCGTCAGATAAGCTGAGGGGTCATGTCAATGTGCGGGACCGCTGCGGTTGTTGTGCGATGAGGGAAGGTTGACGCGATGGCCTTCCGATATCCCACAAGAGGTCTTCGAGGGGATATTCACAGTCGCAGAGCGGGGACCTTCAATGTAAGAAGGCCAAGCACGTTCAATCCGGGATATCCAACGGAGGAACACAAGAGACCTGCGTTGAGGGGTGAATTTTTCGCAGCAGGTTGGTGAGGCGATCGATCGACGGAGGTTGACGGACCTCCGAATTAGCCTCGTGGGGCGGTGGGCGAGATTGATAGCGCTCGCTCTGGGCCCGAGATTATCAGGGAAAGCGAATTCAGAGCACGGTACTGCCACTCAGATCATATTTTCGATTGAATGTCTGACGGTCGGTCGAGGAGCTGACATGGAGGTCTCAAACGAGCGAAAGAAGCAAGAGGCTGGATAGTCACGTGAACATTTCTTGCCTCAGGCACAAAACATGCCTGACCATCGAGTAAAAAAGATGCGGAAACTTAGGTGAATGATGCGAAACGTTCAGGATAGGGTATCTGGTCAAGACTATACACATCACGGCGGTATAATACAGTAGGTAATCAAAAAAGATCCCTTATCACCCGGGCGAATTCCCCCTCATCCCCTAACACGCCAGAAAGCCCTTCACCAGTATTTTGAATATCCCCTTCATGTCCGACAAAACCATTGATCCCATCACCTGTCGTCGACGCCATGAAGTTGCTGAAGCCTCCGACAGCTTCAAACAGATTCGTGAGCTCGTGACTCATCTGCAATCCGTTCAGAGGGCTGTTGCCCAATTCACCAACCCCATTCAAAGGCCCATATAGGTCTTCCATGGGATGTCCTGCAAGTCCCGCCATTGCAACGGCTGCTGTCGAGTGCGGATCATTAGCATCGGTCCCGAATGGGCGAGTCAAGACGCCGAGTCTTTCACCAATCCTCCGGAGACCTTTGATCGTCTTCCATAACCGTTTCGAGACATATGACTTCGTGCTGAAACCATTCACTAGATCAAGTGCCAGGTAGAACTCATCTCGCACTTGTCGATTGAATTCATTCGGCGCATGGCACACTGCTAAGAAGAGAACTGCTAGGGCGGCGACAAGGAAATAGTTGAACGTGATTTGCTGGGTGCGATAGATGTCAGAGGTTTGGTTAAGGCGAGTGAGTACTCGAACGGTATCTTTGGCAACGTCCACCACGGTCTGAGCGTGACCCTTGTCCTCGGCAATGCTGGTTGCGGAGTGAAGGACAGGCCGGTAGATGAGAATGCGTAGCTGGTTCATACGCAGGTACAATAGCACTCGTAGTCGCCGGAGGCCTCGACTGGCCGTCTCGTTTTGCCTTGGAGATTCGGAAGGATAGAACTTGAGCGTATCTGGAACTTGCTTGTACCACTGCAGGACCTGATAGTCCAAATAACCGATCTCGTCTCGGCGTATATCTGTTGTTCCGTCTGAGCCCAGCCCGGAATACCAAACCTTGGAGCTAATTCGGTTATAGCTGATCATGCACTTAAGATACGGCAGTGATGGATCCTGAAAACTATCAGTAGGCTGACGTGTAAGATCAGAGAGCTCAGGTGTCTTACCGGTTCTGGTAAGTTGGGATCGATGTCTTCATCTTGTATGACAAACGGTAGGCCTGTACCAAAACTCCACCGCCTGTCCAAGGAATATATCGACCAGAATATCTTGACGACCTCAGGCCACTGCGCCTCGTCAGGAAACGATTTGGCAAGTGCGTCTCGCCGATGCAGACCCATCTCAAGACACATGCGAGCAGCCACGCCGATGATACGGTAGGCTAAGGCGTCTTCGTCTGTATGGAAATGATATGTGGCCTACTCAGTCAGCGCAAGTTTATACCAAAGGGCAAGGATAACTGACCATTAAGCCAAGCAGCTGGATGGTTTTGACGTCTAGCGTGTCCCAAATCTTAGACTCGATGGCGGGCTTCACACTGAGATATAGGCGGCGCCCCAGCTCGCTTTGTCCACCACCTTCAACAATAAGAGTGGTAGCAATGATCAACTTGATAAGAATCGTGCTATCATCCTTGAGGTTATCCGCACCGGGTAGCCCCACATGCATGAGCCCCGTCCGCATTGCGGCCTCCATAAAGGTATAAAGTAGTGTAACTTGACTTGTAACCTGGTCGATCTCAACAAGCGGATACATAATCCCTATCTCCTCTTCATATACACGACATAATCGTAGAGCCTCGTCTCTCTTGATAGCCCATATTGGGTCTTTAGTGGAATGCATAGGCTGGGTGACTGCGGACGTGTGAGGAGGGGAAGCTGCCGGCGTAGCATGGGCCGTGGTGAGATCATCCGGTATGCCTTCTTCAGTGGGCGCAATGCCCATATGCTGAAGACTCGATCGGGCAACGTCGAAGCCAAACGCCGAACTAGTAGGGCCATGGAAGCGGGGGTGTCTTATGCGAGGCTTCCCGGGTGGCGGTTGCATAGGCGTAAAGACCTGTGACCCATCGCGGGAGAAGCCGTCAAAGGTGGGAGTTTCAAAGGCAGGTTTGTGCGTGCGGAGTTCATTGAGACTGGTAAATAGACTGCCGACTTGGTCCTGCAAAGCGGCAATCTGATCTTTCATAGACCGGAACTCTCTAGAAACGCGGAATAATGTGTTAGCGGCAACAGCGCGGAACGGTATATAAAGCTTACTCGGAGTCCTTGAAGTTGTTATTGCAACAGTTAGGAGCATAGCGACCTGAGCCGACGTGTTAGTGTTGAGGAAAAAGCAAGCATTCGGCAACCGACATTCAAGTTTAAGATGTCCACATCGTTGGCATGGCACCTGGCCATTGCACTTGATCTTTCGACGCTTACACTCGTTACTACAGGCAACCGAGTCAGTCTATGCGAAACAGAAATGGCGTCGCCAAAAAGTGCGGCCATACCAGGCAATGGAGATGTAGCGATTCCGTTTCGAGCGTGTCTGGGTTCCGTTAGGCTGTTCCGCCTTTCTCTTCGCACTGTCGCCGGCCTGAGGGTCAATTTGCTCCTCTGGCGTCGGCTGAGACAAGGTCGCATCAATCGGAGGGGAAGCAGAAGCCATGCCGGGCGTGAAACTCGGACTCTTTGATCCGATAGTGGCGTGAGGAAAGGCAATATCGTGCGGAGAGATTCCTTTCTTCGACTTTCACGGGCGGGCGGGGTTCCGTCCCCAGATCTCCACTCGACACCACATTCCTGAGGCAAATTACTTTCGTTCTCACACAACGCAACTACCCTGCAATCCCACCCTCACATTGACACGACTAGCGAGACAGAAAACCATTATGAAACATAATGGAGACTACGTCAAAATCGGTGTATTTGAATCTTCGACCGAAGCATCTGAAACCCGTCCTAAATCCGCCTGAACCGGATTCTTGGCCTCCAATATCTCCCTCCGCAACTCATCCTCATCCCAGAAATACTCGCTCGCCCCGTGGGCATCTCTCCTCCGTGCCCTTGCAGCAAGCGCCTCTGCATCAACGGTTTCCTCGCCAAGAGCACACTCTTGCTGAGTAATTATGAAATCAGTAAGAACCTGGCGGAGGGAATCCCAGATCTTGCCGTGGCGTGCCCACTCGAGACGCTTCGCTATTCGGACCATACGCGAGACGACCCAGCAGCGCGCACCCATGTCGCATGGTGGTTGTTCCCCGGCAATAAATCCGCCATGCTGAAGGAAAAGCCACAGAATCGACGTGATGCTGGGATTCCCATATGGGTTTATCGAGTCCACTTCAGTTTCAAGCCACTCCAAGTACGGGCCAAAGGGTGAAGAGGTAGAGTAGCTGTGATGAAGGGCGATGGCGAGGAAGAGGAGGCAGGTTATGCAGGTGTATTCGTCAATGAAGCGAATATCGCGGATGCCGTGGTCGTAATCGGGAAGGTAAGCAATGATGGAGTGCAGCTTTGTTCCTGGAATGAAACTTTTGTGGCGTTGAGTTTTCGTGGATGCTAACGTGGAGGGAGAGTCCAATGCAGCACGTTCTAGTGCGTGCAGATGACGGAAAAAGCGAAGGAAGTCTTCACAGGCGCGGAACTGGTCACAGTAAACCTCTGAGTTTTCAGACGCTGTCAAATCATGAGGGATGGCAAGGTGCAAATCAGGGTTGACAAAGTCGAAGCCAGTTGGTGGTACATCAGGAAAAACGCTCGTCCAAGGAAGAGCAGTCCCAACAATAGCCTTTGGGGCACAGCTAAAATCAACCCTAGCCGGCGTGTTTAGTAAGTCTATATAATCAGCTAAAAAAGTCGACCAAGGACTAACCAGAACAACACTTTCTTTAGAAATGGACTCGAACGATGGATGCCCTGTATACCCCCTCTGTTCCTGACCATTGCAGCGAGTCCCCTAAAATGCATCTGCTCGATAGATGCATCTTTCGACCATTTCTTCGCGCGTCAGCTTATGCAAGACACCAGAACAAGCAACCTACCTCGATAACGGCCATTGTGGCTATAGCATAGAGAGTGCCATCATTTCGCCCTTCTGAATCTACTTTGAGGCGTTCGTTCATTAATCGCAGTGCTCGCATTTTATGAGTGAGACTTTGAACAGAGTCCGTCTTCCCCGCTACGCCTGCGAGATGCTTCGAAGCAATAGCCAGCATGGCCTGGAATGGAACAACATCATGTAGGGCCATTCGCCGGAATATCTCCTTCATAGGATTCAGACTATTCGCTGGCGACTCTATGAACTTATACATCATAGACGGATAAGTCACGACGACTAAAACTGGTGAGTTTCGTCAAAAAAAGGACTGTTGTTAGCTCACAGTGTTGAATCAATTCATAATCTACGTCCGTTATCGCCATCGGATAGGTACCGAATGGGTCTCGCATGGCACCCTTTTCAGGCGTCGCTGTGGGATTCGAGTATTGCGGCTTGCGGACAAGCGCGAGACTGAATCCTTCGCGTTTCACCTGCTGGGGCTCTGCTGATGCCCGGTTTGAGGAACACTTTCCTTTATTTTTCGGGGGCACTTCCTCGTCGGTTGGAGGAGATTTCTGTTTCCGTTGGGCGGGCGTATGGTTCAACGCATTATTCGCTTGGACGCCGGGTGCCTGCAGGGACGAACCATCCGAAGCAGGCCGAGAAGTCCAACCAGGTGCAGGAACACGGGGGGCACCAAGCCTCGCAATGCTGTCCAGGCGCCGCTGGTGCATATACTGGCGCATAGCATGGCGACGAACTTGACGACGGGATTCGGTATCTGTAACGAGGACAAACTCAAAGCTCTTCGATTGCGATTGTTGATTTGTCGTGGATGGCTCGGACGCGTTGTGACGTTGTCGGGCAGCTGAGGGCTCGCGCGCCCCTAAAGGACCTAATTCAGAACGGTAAGTGCTCGTAGAAGGCCGGATAGCGGAATCGCCGGCCCGTCTGGCTAGTTCGGACTCCTTATCCCGACTCTCACCCATCGTGTCATGACCAGACACACCAAGAGCTTCCAGCAGTACGAGTAGCGGTGATACGCTCTCGAGTAGCGTGTGGGGACGTGGTGCCAGGACACGCTAAGCTTCAGCTTCACTGGCAACCCCGTCGTACGATTTTCTCAGAATGGGGTTCCGACGGATGGCACGTCGACAGGCGAAAAGGGTCAGTTGAGGTCCAGGATCCAGAATCCAGAGTCCAATTGTCGCTCTCTAGGCGACTTCTCTTTCGGTCAACCCCTCATTTCTTGGCGGGGATGGAAGTGAGACATTTGAGAATCTGACTCAGCTGGCTGGCTGTTGCTAACATCGAAGCAACCCAGAAGATAGGGAGCAAGCAGGTCGTCCCAGAGTTGGCTACCACCGCCGGAACTGATTCGTTTAGCTTTTTATGCGGAGTGCATCATAATATGTACATAAACGCCCATAACCCCGGTCATGCTCCACTCTGCAAAGATCGTCCCATGGGGAAACCTTGGCTCTCTCCGCCTGCCCCTTGAGTCAACTACACCACTGTGGTCCCTTGCTCTGCTCGATGATCAAGCCTCCTAGTTTTGTCTCTATAGTAAACAAGCCGACATACGATTATTGTGAGCAGACAATATAGACCGTGCGATGCTCGTACTAGAAGTACACAGGACGGTGTATGCCATTTTCCATCGGCCCACAGTGAATCTGGACTCCAGATATGTACCCCATAGTATCGAAGTCGTAGCTGGCGGTATTTCTAGTCAACGTGGCCGCCCGTGACTGCGGGTAGGTCTTGGCTGAAAAGCCATAGTCAATGGTGAAGTCGTCAATGCTTTCGACAATGTCAGATCGTATCTGTCAAAGACGGCCTTCTCTCATCCGCCGTTCTCGCGAAGCTTTGCCAGCGCAGCCGAAATCCCTTCATCCATTTCTTCATCTTGCCCATCCTTAGATCGCGGTGCCACCGGTTCATGTGCCCCAACAAAGAGACTTTCCTCCTCGCTCGAGTCCAGACTATGCCGGACCGGCACGGTCCGTTTCGGAGCTGTCCTCTTCTTCGCCTTCTCAACGCGGAAATCTTCCCGCACGGCATTACACCATTGTTTAACCTTCTTCTCACCCCACCCAGGAACAGCACTGATCTGCTCGGGCTGGGCGTTTACTGCGTTTTGTAGGCTACCGAACGTAGATATGAGACTCGCTGCGTCGGATTTGTTAATGCTCCGGGGAACCGTAACAAACTCTACAAGCGAGTCTTTGTATGATTGTGCTTGCTGTGTGCGAATAGCGGTCGGCTGAGAATGTTCGCATGACTTGAAGAGCTCTAGGTAATGCGCGGCTTCGGGGGCGGACCAGCATAGGATTAGGGTGAGGTTGTTGATGATCGATGTTTTAGACAACTCCTTAAGACTCTCTTCATGATTAGGAATGTCGACTATGATCAAGAGTATGCGTAGTAGGTACTTTCCAGCAAGCGGGCGGATCCTCGAATAAACATACTCAGGGTGGAGGCGGTGGTATTTTAGCGATAGAAACAGGGCACATGTGGTAGCCCCGATGACATAGTCAGCGGGTATATCGGCGTACTCCCATGGTAAGAGCTTGATATGATTCAGTATTGGATTTCCTTTTTGTCGTGTTGAAACTAGGATGGATGAAGGACCGGATTTGCTTGTGAGGGCCTGCGGCTTAGGTTGCTCGACTTTGGGCGGTTGTGGTCGCTCAGGAAAATTTTGTGGTGTGGGAATCGCAGGGCTTGGAGTAGAAGTAGCTGCTTCTGCACGAAGCACCGACTCGAAATCAGCATCATCCGCGTCAAATTCCTCTGGCATTGTTATCAGATGGCTGGTCTGCGCAGGTCAAGATGACGCGGAGCTTTATCTAATCGGATCACTCCTCGTCTTCACCGCCTAGCCCGCCTACCTCCGAAAATAATCAAACGGGATTTTTCTGCCGCCGATTTTTGCTCAAGAAACAAAAAAGGTACAGAAAAGTCCGATTCGCAACACAAGCATGGACAAGGGCGAAATGAGCAGCCCGGAAATACCTACCGAAGCCCCCGGCGCCGCCGTGGAGTCGCCGGCGAAGGTGAAAACTTCAGAAGACGCCGCCTCGCAGCCTAGACGCGAACTCTTCGTCCGATCGCTTCCTGCCTCTGCGACGACCGAGGGCCTTGCAGAGCATTTTTCGCAATCCTACGTGATCAAACATGCTGTTGTTGTTCTCGATCCGATAACGAAGCAGTCAAAGGGTTACGGATTCGTGACCTTTGCCGATGTCGAGGATGCTCAGGCCGCCTTGGAGGAATTCAATGGGTCGACGTATGAGGGGAAGAAGATCAAGGTTGAATATGCGCAGCCTCGTCAGCGTGTGGTTGATGAGGCTGGTGGGAAGAGTGTTCCATCCGCTGCTGCTATTGAGCGCAAGAAGCAAAGGGAAGAACAGCAGAAAGGCGATGCACAGCCGCCCAAGCTGATTGTTCGAAACCTGCCGTGGAGCATCAAGGAACCTGACGATTTGGCGGTGCACTTTAGGAGTTTCGGAAAGGTCAAATATGTTACTCTGCCAAAAAAGGGAACGCAACTGGCTGGGTTCGGTTTCGTTGTCTTGAGAGGGAAGAAGAACGCCGAGAAGGCCCTAGAGGCTGTCAACGGGAAAGAGGTTGATGGGAGAACACTGGCTGTCGATTGGGCAGTTGACAAGGAAACTTGGGAAACCCAACAGAAGGAGGAGGAAAAGTCTGAAGAGCCACACGTCAAGGAAGAGTCCAGCGATGTCGATATGGATGAAGGGGGTGTCGGCTTGCTTGACAATGAGCTCGACGACGACACCAGCGTGAAAGATGAGGAGGATGACGATGACGAGGAGGAGGAGGATGATGATGATGAGGAGGATCTAGATGGAGAGGAAGACGAGGGAGACAAAGAGGACGAACGCAACGCCTCGACGATATTCATTCGCAACCTACCATTCACATGTACGGACGAATCCCTCTACGAACACTTCGCCCAGTTTGGAACCCTCCGCTACGCACGAATTGTCGTCGACCCAGAAACTGAACGCCCTCGTGGTACCGGTTTCGTCTGCTTCTGGAAGCCCGAGAATGCTCACGCCTGTGTGCAAGGCGCCCCGAAGCAACAAGACACCCTCGCTGCCGACAAAGAGAAGCCGAAGAAGGGTGCCATTATCAAGCAGTCCGTGCTGCAGAACGAGAACGCGGACCCCACTGGCCAATATACCCTCGATGGCCGTGTCCTCCAGGTCAGCCGGGCTGTGAGCAAGTCTCGCGCGGCAGAACTTGAGGAGGAGGGCGTCTCAAAACGCCTTGTCCGCGACACTGACAAGAGACGTCTATACCTTGTGAACGAAGGTACCATCCCATCGAACTCGCCTCTCTACCAGAAACTCTCGCCCTCCGAGATCAAGATGCGCGAAGACAGCTTCAGGCAACGACAAAATTTCATTAGGAAGAACCCCTCTCTCCACCTCAGCTTAACACGACTCTCCATCCGGAATGTCCCCCGTCACGTCACCTCAAAAGACCTCAAACAGCTCGCCCGAGAGGCTGTCGTTGGCTTTGCCAAGGACGTCAAGGAGCGCAAGCGCCAGCCGCTTTCCAAGGAGGAGCTGGGCCGCGCCTCGGAAGAGATGAAGGAAGCCGAGAGGCTTCGAAAGAACAAGGGTGTTGGTCTCGTCCGACAAGCCAAGATTGTTTTTGAAGGCCGCGATGGAAGTAAGGTTACCGAGGGCAGCGGCGCGGGGCGAAGCAGGGGCTATGGATTCATTGAATACTATACCCATCGACATGCGCTTATGGGTCTCCGATGGCTCAATGGGCATGCCGTCGAGCCTCCCAAGAATGTCTCCGAGGATCTGAAGGACAGGAAGAAACGGCTGATTGTTGAGTTTGCGATTGAGAATGCTCAGGTCGTTAAGCGACGTAGCGAGCTGCAAGAGAGGGTGCGGAATTTCAAGAAACGGGACCAGGAGGCTGATGGTGATGATAAGCCACGGAACAGGGACTCGAGAGGAGGCAGAGATTCCAGGGGAGGTAGAGCCTCAAGGGGCGGCAGAGACTCAAGGGGTTCCAGAGACTCAAGAGGTTCCAGAGACTCAAGGGGTTCCAGAGACTCGAGAGGGGGTAGAGACTCGAGAGGAGGCAGGGACTCGAGAGGGGATAGAGATACAAGGCAGAACGGGAACCAGAGGAACAACAGAGGACCAAAGAAGGATGATGCGACGCTACAAGGAAAGAACTTGAAGAGAAAGCGTTCCGATGGCGGCAATGAAGACGCCGATGAGCAGAACAAGCTGGCCAAACGAAACCGCATTATCGCGAAGAAGAGGATGCAACGAAAAGACCGCAAAGGAAAGGCCTAGTCCATTGTTCTTCACTTCATGGAGTTCGGCAGGAAAAGTTATATTACCTACATTACATAGATCATCTAATCCACGCTTGTACAGGAAATCCATCTATCTGCGATTACCATGTTGCATTCACCGGTAACGTTCGGCACAGATTAGATAGACGTTGACCTCCGTAGAAGAAACAATCGCCGCAACGCACGAGAAGAAGGAAGTGAGGGCTGAAGCAAAGACAGCGCAGCGCAAGGCACGGGTATAAGACGGGACGAAGAGAGCGCTCAGTAGTTCTTGGCATCCTTAACCTTTCCGACAATATTGTATCTCTTGCTGAAGAAGGTAAACCACTCATCCAGCACTTTCTTGTCCTTGTCATCGAGGTCGTACCATTCGGGTCTGCATTCTTCGGGCTTGAGGGATGAGCAGGCGAGGGCGCGAGAGGCATCTTTGCCGGCAAAGACTATCGAATCCGGAGGTCAGCATTGCTTCAAGCAGGTGAGAGCCATCTATTTTGCACTGGATAAGGAATGGTACTAACCCCGGTACTGCCCTTCAGGGCCATACGCAGAATTACGGGTCACATCAAAGACGATTCCCTTGATCGCCACATAGGTAGGACGGGAGGAGTCGGTACCTGATAATAGAATAGAGTTTAGCTCAGTTGAAACCCTTCAAGAGCAGATAAATAGCATCGCTGCCTCTCGGATCTGTGCGGTGGTGACACTGCGGGGAACTTACCATCGCACTTTGCAAGTTCCTCGATGGTGATAGGGTCGTCCTTGGGAGGATCAAGCTGCACGGGCACCTTGGGCGCAAAGCGGCCAGATTCTGTTCCAGTCATCGCGGCAAATTGCAGGTTCTCGGCAGATTTGGGTGGTTAAGAAAGAGTGTTAAGGCTGGATGTGGGAGGCGAGCCGAATTTGTATGAGTTCCTGGGAAAATTGCAGGCGCGGGGCAGGCGGGGGAAGTTCACCACTTCAGCCCATTTCGGCTTCGGGGGCCGAAGCAAAAAGACAACCGGGAGTTCCCTTGTTGTGGGTTCTCTGCTTGTAGTGTCCTGGTTCAATGAGAGCAGAGATTGTTCCGAAAGGGCATTTAGATCACTGCTATAGGTCTATGGGGGTGTTCTCCGGATTGTCCAAGCATTGCGTGATGGCTGGTGAGGGGGAGCATGCCGAGGTCTCGAAGAGTCCATGAAGCTCAGCCCTCCACTGCCTGCCAGCTTAGGGCTCGACGGGTGAGCAGGATGAGGAAACACGTATTCAGTAACACTCATCCTTTCTGCTCAAAATGCAGTAAGATTGTAGGCCGAAAAACGAATCACGAGACTGACGTCAAGAGCCAAGTCGGCTTGTGATTGACTCTTGTCGTCTGCCCATCAACACGGTTATACACGGCATCTGGCAATGATATCTATTTGTCTCAATTCCCACCCGCCCGATGAAAGTAGACACTCTTGCCTCTCACAAGAAACATGGCTTCCAGTCCAGAAAGGCAGTCAGATGCTCAACACCGGCCTCTTCATCCTCCGGACAGAGCCAACGGGAGTCCCATCTCCGAGCGCATCATTGCACCGGATAACATAGCCCATCAACTCGAGAGGCCTGTCGAATCGACTCCTGCAGCCGAGATGGAGCTGTCGCATTACCTCCACTACGAAGACAACGCATGTTTCTTTGCCCCGAGTTGGCTCGATCACCGTCGGGGTGCTCGGATTCAGGGTGCTGGTAGTAGTTGAATCGGTATGCTTTAGTCTGGACTCTGGAGAGACAAGACGGGACTGACAACCTTCTCGCAACAGCTGCGGAGATGGCCGTTCAAATCGAAACCAATCAGCTACGCCGTGGGTGTCAGATCCCCAGCTTCGCGGGGTTTGATCGGCCATAACTGTAGATGTAATAAGCAAGGCTAAGGAACAATGAGACTTCTGGCAGTGGCGCTACTGCATGGTTAAAGTGGTGGGCTTGGCCTGGGATGACTTTTGGTGGCTTTTGCAACGTACTGCTAGATAAGCTCAGCCTGGCTTGCATTCAGTTTTCTCCATTCTGCGGCGTGTGCTTGTTTATCTTGACTCGTCCTGAGAGAAATTCCAAGTTGGGGGAGAGCCTCAAGAGGGAAAACTCTCCCACAATCAGAACTCATGGGCCGATCTCCCACCATCTGCTGCCGCATTCGCATCGTGATTCGCGATCACTGTGTCTCGGTTCAATGGCTTCGCTCCTGGCCATCTTGGCTTGCTCAAGCGTCTGCTTTGCATATTGCTTTGCCTCTTCACCTCTTGTTTTTCGTTTCGAACTTCCGATAAAATCAATGCGCCTCGGCTCACAACGGTGGCCCCGATTGCGTCCTCTGCTCTGACACGCCAAAGCAGTAAATGGTGGAGACATTGCAGAATACAATGGGGACGCCGCTCCGATGCGAGATCTTTCCGCTCATTTGATTTGCTCAGATCGACCTGGGGATTTCGGCAACGCTTGAATCGCAGCAATTGCTTCGGTTGAGCGTTTGATCCCTTTCTCTTTTCGGTAAGCCCCGAAGCCGGGGCGAATGCGACACTGCGATAGTCCTCGCCTGCAGGTTTTGTCTTCTCGCTGAGCCTCTACCTATTTAAGTGCTTGGCTTCTCTCTTTTTTTTTCCTCTGGCCCCGCCCTCGTCCTTTCTTCTTGTTTGTTCTCGTTCTTCTTGAAACCTTCATATTTTACCTTGTTTATGCCTAAGTTCGCATCTTCGTTTACTGACTTTAGCAATGGCAAGGTCTATTGCGGGCTCTGGAGACGCACCTCCCGGGTCTCTCTCCAATGATCTCGATTTAGCGACAGGCGGATTGACAAAACGGAGTGGGAACCAGGGCGAATTCAGCGAAAAACATACTGTTATCGATAACAACGAAGAGTCGTCGCTTGAAGAGGGGTCGAAGCCGACCCATGACCATACACATCGCAAGCTCAAGCCCCGACACGTTCAGCTTATTGGTATCGGTGGTACGATTGGTACAGCCCTCTATGTCCAGATCGGTAGAGGTCTGGCAAATGGAGGGCCTGCGAGCCTCTTCTTAGCTTTCACCATATGGTACGTCTTATCATCCCCTATTGTTTGTTCAAATCCAAGTGCTGCAGTCGACTACGCTTCCCCGGATTTTTGGTCAGCTACCCAGAGTTATACTTGCGAAAGGCGTTAATTGGATGAAAAATATGGATGAAATTTTGGCACCCTCTCTAAGCATTACGCTCATATGGGCACCTTGATCAGTACATACCCATTGCGCCAATTGGACAGCAGCGTTTCCCTTGCATTTTTTATTCAATACCGGTTTCTGCATCTGAGAGTCTGGTATCTCACTCATCTTTACTTTTAGGTGTTGTGTTATATTATGTATAACCGTTTGTGCGACTCCCTAATGCCTATGGCCGCTAGCAACCCACTTCCCCCAATGCGCCTTGTGCAGACATTCTTTTGTTCCAATGCGCCAGACTACATGTTACAACTTGCCCCATCGCACCATACAAGTGACATGCTTGGACAAGGCTCTTTATTTTGCTGTGCTATGTAGTTTACTAAACGTTGCTTCCTAGGTCTGGCTGAGATGGTCACATACCTGCCAATTTCCTCGCCTTTTGTCCGCTTCGCCGGCCGGTATGTTGACGATGCCTTTGGGGTTGCGGCCGGCTACAATTTCTTCGTCTTTGAAGCGGCTATGGTGCCTTTTGAGATTACTGCATGCAACCTCATCATCCACTATTGGAGCGATGTAGTTCCGTTGGCAGCGATGATTACTATTATGCTTGTTCTCTTCGTGTATGTTGCGCTCTGTTGACCGTGTTCGTCCCACTTCTGACCCGTATTAGGCTTTTGAACGTCTTTGCCGTCAAGTGGTACGGCGAGTCCGAGTTTTGGCTCTCTCTGAGCAAGGTGCTTCTTAGTGTGGGACTTATTCTGTTCACGTTCATTGCAATGCTAGGCGGCAACCCAAAAGGTGATCGTTTTGGGTTCCGATACTGGCAAGAGCCTGGGGCATTTGCAGAATATAACAAAAAGGGCGACCTGGGAAGATGGTTGGGTTTCCTCGCATGCTTGATCCAGGCCAGTTTCACCATTGCGGGACCCGACTACGTCTCCATGGCCGCTGGAGAGTCGGTTGACCCCCGCGGAAACCTGCCAAGAGCATTTAACGGCATGTTTTATCGTCTTACAGCATTCTTTATTCTGGGTACACTCTGCGTCGGCATTCTTGTTCCCTCAAACGACCAGACGATGGCCGATGCCTTCAAAACCAATGCTCCTGGTGCCGCAGCTTCCCCATACGTGATTGCCATGGACCGATTAGGGATTCCCATACTTCCTCACATCGTCAATGCCATGATTCTTCTGGCGGCATTCAGTGCCGGGAACAGTTACGTTTACTGCGCCAGCAGAACCTTGTTCGGACTTGCTCTCGACGGCAAAGCCCCTCGGTTCTTCACCAAGTGCACGAAAGCCGGTGTCCCGATCTACTGCGTAGCAGCCGTGCTTCTCATTGCCCTCCTAGCATTTCTACAAGTATCCAATAATGCCTCGGTAGTGCTGGATTGGTTCATCAGCTTGGTATGTCCCTCATTGCTAAAACCACAAACAGCATCTAATCCACTAATAGGTCACCTCCTCCCAACTGATAGATTTCACCGTCATCACATTCACCTACACCCGGTGGCGCAAGGCCAGACAGGCACAGGGAATTTCCCGCTCATCTCTCCCGTACAAGAGTTACGGCCAGCCGTACGTCGCGTACACTGCCATGGTAGCAACAGCCGTCATGACCTTTGTCGGCGGCTACGAGGTCTTCCTCCCCGGGAACTGGGACGTACCAACTTTTCTGTTTTCGTACACGATGATCGGCGTCTTTCCGGTGCTGTACTTTGGATGGAAGTTCCTTCATCGCACGGAGGTTCGGAAGCCTGAGGAGGTTGATCTTGTCACGGGGCTTGAGGAGATTGAGGAGTATACGCGGAACTATGTTCCTGAACCCGCGAGGTATGTCTTCCTATTGAATCGGCGTGGACCATTTTTCTAACCATGTGCAGCAATATCTTCTCCCGCTTCGGCGACTGGATATTCCAGTAAACACCAGGAAATCCAGGGTCCCCCTTTATATACACCCGTACGTATATAGTGTAATCACGATAAACGACTCAACTTCATACCACCTGGTTATTCATTCATTAAACCTCAAAGCGCTGTAACTCGTACATAAACAAATATGCCTGCTAATCGCAATGCAAATGCAACCCAATATAATATACACTAACATTCCCCCGAACCATTCAATCTCTTTTACACCCTATACCATCGATACCCTCTAAAAAAAATCTACTTCCCCCCCTCCCCATTCCCTCCCTCCTCCTCCTGGTTCGCCTTCAAAGCATCCATGCGCTCCTTATTCCTCTTCCCAAGAACCCTCAACGTATTCCGCCTCTCAATCTCCGTCATCTGCGCCCAGTTCGAGATCCGCGAGAGCGTGCCGTCCGCGTTGACGACCAGCGGGCCGAGGTGGTCGAGTTTCACGCCGCCGCCGTTGACGTCGAGTTGGTGGGTGGGGTCTGTTGATTCGGATGGGGGAAGGGCGAGGAGGGGTTTGGTTGCAGTTTCGGATTCGGTGGATGAGGAGGTTGAGGACTCGGTTTGGGTGGGTGGTTGTATGGTTGTTGTTGTGGTGGATGTGGATGAAGGTTCAGCGGGGGTCTGGGATTGGGATTGCGCTTGGGCTTGATCTTGGTGTGGTTGTGACTGGGACATTGTGGAGTAGGTGTTTAGTCGGTTGAAGAGTGTGTCTCGGTTCGAGGCGTAGAGGTTCGTCGCGTGGCACTGCGCGAGGATGGAGAGTGGTTTGCTTGGAGTTGTCCAGTGCTGTCCGGATGATGCGATGGCCGATGCGGGAGTTGAGATCACTGGTCGGAGGCCGAGGAGGAGGTGCAAAAAGGTTGTTGGGCGGGACATGCGCATGTTATGGGTGGAACTTGAACAGAGTCGTGACGTGGAGTTGGGCGCTGAGTTAAATGGTGGCGAGGAACAAGCGAAGATTCATTCTCGAATTTTCGGGCGAGGTCCATGCCGAGCGGTTCGTGGAGTGTGCCGGAATCGGCCCCAATGGCTACATTTCTTAGGAGTATACAAAGCAGCCAGATGACATGGACCATTTCTCGAGATTTTCTTTTTGATATACCTATACAGTCTGGGTGTAGCTTGACGCTGGAGAGTGTATCTACGGTGTTTTCTCTGCAAGCCCTGGCACACTGGAACTCCAATGGGGTAATAGACGCTAGTTTTCTATGATCGTTTAAGTCTGATGGAGCATCAAAACTCAACAGCGCTATACAATCTTTTCTGGTTGAAACCAGGGTTGCTGTCCGCGGCAGTGGAGTAGTACTGTCGCTAGGCGGCGCAAGCATGTCGTCGATCCCGGTTCATAGTCACGGGTCTCTCTATTCTTGCCGTCGAGCGACTCACTCCATCCCGCTAGAGTTTGGAGTCCCTGTTGGGAGAAGTTTCTGACCAAGGCACATTCTGCGAACTCAGCCTTTGGGTCGCGGGCAGTCTTTCTTACTCCCTTCTTTGGCCAAAGCCTTCGCAGGGTCGTAGATAGCACCTCAAAGTTATCGAAACCACCAATTGACCTGAAAAGTGTTAGCAATTTGACTCTCAAGCCGCCGGAAGACTCACCGAAGCAGTAACATTCGTCCCCACTCCCTTGATACTATGCCACCACCCCTTTGGGATGAAAAGCCCATCTCCAGCCTCCAGCTCCGCTTCAAACCCTTCACACGTCTCTCCTTCTTCTCCCTCCACATGAACATCACCCCAGACACCACGCTCAAGAAGGTCCCTCTCCCTTCCCTGCATCATCTCCTCCCCTCGAAACACCGTCGCATCCCTCCCTCCACTCCTCCCCAGCTGTCTCCTAACACGCGCAAAAACAGCCTGCCCATCCTGTGGCGCCAGCAACCGCACAACCTTCCGCCCCGCTAGCTGCACGAATAGATTCGGATTTGGGTCACGGTGCAAAGGCGTGTACGTAGGCGGGTATCCGACCCAGATGTTTGTGTCGTAGATGTCACCCTTCCCGGACTCGGCGACGAGTCTAGGCGTCGGGATATCGTTGCGCAAGGTTTGGGGGAGGTCAAGGAGCTGACATTGGGCTAGGTAGAGGCGAGTCGATGATGGCTGGGATTGAGTTTCCGCGTCGCGGATCCATTGTAGGAAGAGGCTGAGAGGAGCGTGGAATTTGCGGAAGCTCAGCTGAGAGTTGTCGTCGTGTTCATCAATCTCAGAGTTCTGTGGCTGCGACTGTGTGAGTTCGAGCGGAACGAGGGCGTCCGCGCCATGCTGCTCTAAATATTCGACGTTCAATCGGGAGGCGCTCGGCTCTGTTGGGGAGTGGTAAAACCAATGACTGTACGCTGGGATATCACGGAGCGATCGACGAGGGAGGATAACAGGGCGTTCTGGTTTGAAGTACTCCTCACGAAATGTGTTTATGCTGCCATCGTCGAGGGCTTGCAGGGGTTTGTATCGAGTGACCGCTTGGGAGCTCCATCGTCTAGACGGGGAGGGGCGTGAGAGGGATTCTGCCCGGCATTGAGATTTGAGCACTGAGTTATTCTGCAGAGAGCATTTGGGAATCTTCATTAGACATAGAGAATTGCTGACGATGTGCTTTTGCTGGGCGGTGGATTCCTGTAGGGAGAGGAATGTGGCAGGCACGTGCCCGCAACTTTCCCTTGAGTGGGTCCTCCACCTGCATCTCAATGGGCCTCCTTCAAGCTGCAACTTTGTCAATTTGTCTTCCATCTCTACTTTGCCTCAGTATCAGATTTAAAAACATCTTGGGCGAATGTCAAATACATGGATACATCCTTTCTATGTGTTTAGATATGCTAAACTGGCCATCTAAGTGTCCAAAGTTATCTGTGGAGTAGTCGTACCATAACTGGACAATTCTCTCCGTCAGTATCCTCCAAGAAGCTTTTATTTACACCAGGCCCAGTTTCCGCGCCCTTACCTTTTGCTCCAGTGGGTCTTCTGAAGCCTTTAATACTTTACAACATGCTACCAAGTGCGTTTGTCAAGCTTTCTTTGGAGCCGATAGCCTAGACCAAGTACAAAGAACTGTGTTTAGACATTCTACAGTGGCAAGTAAAGACATTGAAGACGTCCAAACAAAGAAGTGGCCTCGACTAACTGTGAGCCTGATCAACGAAATATATCTATGCATCTCTTTTGGTACAATGAACCAGTCACCCGCATCAAATTCACCGAGGGCCAGGCAAATCTATCTAGTTTCAAGGAGAATCTTGTCAAGAAGACACGCAAGCCAAAGGACATATTAAAAATGGAGATAAAAAACCAGACCGAAAAGGCAGAAGAGCAAGGACACAAGCGACACTGGGCCAACACAACATCGACCGCATCCAACCTACTCAGCGCAACAAAACTTTGCACCCCTCAGCACTAGACAGGACGATTGTTAGGTTCTGCTTCTCTAACCCAGGAGTCGTTTGCGCAACATCCGGCGCGATCCTCAGGTTCGGAAATTCCTGGAGCAGACGGACGAGGCCATATGATGCCTCCATGAGTGCGAAATCCTCTGTTGAGTCGTTAGCCACGATGACCTCGGGACGCGCGGGGTACGGACAACGATAGAAGGAAGAAAAGGAAGCGAAGGGTGAACTCACTTCCAAGGCACACTCGCGGCCCACCATGGAACGGCATAAACGCAAACCCCAAATTCTTCGGCTGCGGGCCTTCCCACCTCTCAGGCCGGAATTCGTTCGCGTTGTCGCCGTAGATCTCCTTGCTGCGGTGCATGTGGTACGCGGAGAAGCCGACGCCCGTATTCTTTGGAATCAGTATCGGGGATTCGCCATCGGGACCGCCACCACGTGGTAGGTATGTGGTTTGGCGGGCCAGACGGACGTTCACAGGGACTTGCGTGTAAAGGCGGTTCGCTGGAGGCGTTAGAAAGATATCTTGTTGAGAATGAACGAGATAGAAAGGGAAATACATACTCTCTTTGAGGACGCATCGGAGGTAGGCCATTTTGTTAATATGTGGCCTTGTCAGACGCTCTCCCTTGGGGGCGATGGATGCTATCTCTTCACGAAGCCGCTCGAGGGCTGCAGGATTTCGGACAAGGTGGTAACTGGGGTATTTGTTCAGAACTCATGTTGAAGTATTCGGTTGGGCTCTATTACTTACCATGCCCACGACATCAAACAGGCTGTTGTGTCTCTGCCCGCGATAAGGACATTCATGAGCTGGTCACGCACAAGCTTGGGGTCCTTAAGCTCGCGAAGAAGGTCAACGGTAAACGGATGGCGCTTCTCAGCCATTTCCTCTCCGTTCGCTTTCACATCCTCAAGCGCATGGTCAACAAACCGGGACGCGTATTCCCTAAGCACATTGCAGCTCCTTCTGTACTTGGAAGGGTTATATAGCCAACAAAACTCAGCCAATCTCATGCGCATTGCTGATATCAACGAGGTGTAATCGAATGCCTCTTCGAAGGTGTCGTTGTCGCTTTGTTTGATGTCTGCAGACAGCTCCCCAAAGATGAGCAAGATAGTTGTGGCCAAGGTGAAGCTGAAGAATACAGGTTGGAGATCAACCACGCCCGTACAGTCCTGCAGACGCCCCAGCATCGTCTCAACTGGAGTCTCGAAGATTGTCATGTCCTGGTATTGCATCCGCACGAACTGGCGACGCAGGATCTCGCGAGAGTGCTTCCAGGCATGGCCGTCCTGCGTGAATATACCGTTGCCAATCATGGGTAGGACTGCATCCCGACTGTTGCCAAGTTCCCAGTCTATCGCATTGTGAGAAGGTCATCCTGCGGTGCCGTGTAGAGAAGTGTAGGCTTACCATCAAACCGGGTCTGGAGCATCGCCTCCAAGTTCTTGGGGTCCATGGTAAAGTACCCAACGCGGCCCAGGAGCCTAGTCTCAAAGGTCTGTCCGACTTGGAAGCGCTCGAAATACTCTCTCTGGTAGGCAAAGAGGTTCCCGCGCATCAATGCGTCGTACTGTTTCTTGAGGATGTCGAGCCCCAGAGGCCACTCATATGGGAGCTTCGAGTTGATGGGTTGACAGCCATGCTGCTGACCAAAGAGTCTGTCGGCCTAAATACTCGTGTGAGTCTTCTGTGAGGGATAAAGGAAATTGGGCAGGGGCTAGGGGAGAGCAGGCCTCCGCAAGGATATCTTACCTCGCGTTGACGGCGCCTTTGAACATAAAAACGGACAGCTGAAAAGAGCAAAATGGCATAAAGAACAAGGCGAGGACGAATTGCCAGCCAATCCAGCTCAACCATATTTGGTAGACGTAGAGGTAGCTATCCAAGGTGAAAATGATACAGGCAAACAAAACGAGAGAAAGCAGGCCAAATGGGATAATGCGGAATATCTGAAAAAGAGCGCGGCATGAGCAAGACCTGTGGAATCATATGGCTATATCTATTCGAGAGCATCTAAATCAAGTGTGTCTCTCTTTCTTTGTCCCAACTCAACTCCCACGGGGCACCAACTGGAAGCTCGACTTCGCCCTCTCTCTTCTTTGTTACTCTTCCGCCCAGTCCACCACACCCTCTCGCCACCTCACCACCTACCCGTATTGCACTCAAAGCACCAAATCTCTGGAAGCAACATCAAAGAAGGGGGGAAAAAATGATATCCTCCTCCAGTGGTGCAGAAACCAGCACATTGGGAGGAGTGGAGCCCATTGTCAGTCACTAGGGCTATACGGGCCCCACATGTGCGTTTGATACCTGTCACTGGTGGACCAATACTGTAATTAGACTTTCTCCTTCATGCATCACGCCGTCGGGACTCATCCAGACGGGTGAGGCAGCCTTGACCGTGAGAGAGAACGAGCATGAGAAGGCCGGCTATCTTGCTCTTGGGTAAATATCTTACTATGTCAACTGCTAAGCTAATAGGACGGACGCAGGAGAGAGCATCGGGCAGGGCGTACCGGACAGCCAGCCAGCCGTGTCCTGATGACATCCCCTCCAGGCCATACGGCAACCACAAGAGCCATCCAAGACAGGGGTGATTACCACTGAGAGTCACAATTCGCTAGTGCTAGTATCTCAGACATTTTTGCGCCGACCAGCTACAGCTTGACTCAGTTGACGGTCCGGGACCTACCGGGAGACATCTGGTGCTGTTGTTAACCGTTTTATTATATGCTTACCACCGGGGGTCTCAATCTCTATTTTGTCATATTCTCCAACTCCATATAGCTGATTATAGAGCTGATTGATATTATGGAGCCCATTTCCACTTCCATCGGAATCATTGCCCTCGCCGACCCTGCGTTGAAGTTTACCAACTACCTCATGACCATCCGAAGCACGTCCCGCACAATTAATGCTGAAATCAAGGCTCTAATAAAACTTATTAGTGCCATACGGTCAACCCATCAGCAGCTTGAAGAACTCTGGTTGAGAAACCTCAAGAAACGCTCAACATCAGACGACGCTGAATCCGGTGGCAACAACGGCAATGGTGATAACCGAATAATCGATGAAATCTGGCAAAACGCAAACAACTTCATTGAACAATGCAATAGGAGTGTTTTCCAGCTCGAAGATTGGCTCAAGAATGTTGTTGGCAAAGGGGGCCAGGTGCCAACAAGCAAAATCGACGCCTTCAAAAAGGCGATACGGAGAGAGCACGGAGCTGAGGAGTACAGGCGCATCTTTAATCATCTCCAGCAATGCCAAAATGGCATCCACACATCTGTGTATTCCCTGACATTGTGCGTTCATTGGATGTTCTCTTGTTAGGGGAAGTTGACTAATTTGTTTCCCTAGGTATTACACGAACAAATTGCACAAGTCATTAGGGGAGCTGTCAGATGCGTCACGTAACCAGTTCGCTGAGTTGCAAGCTAGTGTCAGGGAGCTTCGACGGGATGTCCAAGGGCTGGGGACAGATAATGTGAGTATTTTCTCACGGCCAAATTGTTGTTACTATTGGCCTAGTACTCATCATTGTTGAGCTCTAGCAGTCTCCCCAGTCGCCCCGCACTCCAGCATCATCCGTTACTTTCAACAAGCACTTTTACATCCCGCAAAATGTCATGAGTTACTACACCGGTCGGGAAAAGCAGCTAAGCGAACTGGAACAGATGCTTGACGTTGTCCGGTCACGCGAACGACAAACCCACCAAAAGCGCTTCGTAATACACGGTCTCGGTGGCTCTGGGAAGACCCAGTTCTGCTGCAAATTTGCCCAGGACAATAGGGAGCAGTGAGTCCTCTCATCCAGCCGAGTCTTCACTTGGGATATATTTGCTAACATAAAAGCTGCTAGCTACTGGGCGGTCTTTTGGATCAACGGGAGCTCCAATGAAAGCGCCAAACACTCGTTTGCGGAGATTGCCAGAATTGGCGGGACTGAACCAAATGATAAAGCAGCCAAGCACTGGCTCTCCAACCTCTCGAAGCCCTGGTTACTGCTGATCGACAATGCTGATAATCCGGACATTGACGTGATGGACTTCATTCCGGCCGGCGACCGAGGCGTGATAATGATTACGACTAAGAACCCTACTGTTGCAGGGAACTGCACCCAGGGCACTCATTTGCTTCATTTCGAGAGATTGGAGAATGAGGAAGCCCGAGATCTGCTCTTGGCGTCGGCCGCTATTCCACAGCCCTGGGCTACATCGACAGCGGAGCATGCGGATCGCATCGCCCAGATTCTGGGGTACTTGCCTCTCGCGCTTGTCCACGCTGGGAAGGCGATACTGAAAAGGCTATGCTCGTTGAAGGATTATCACGAATACTACCAGAGGACGTGGAATAGGATCCGCCGCTCGCGAAGCCGGAGCCGAAGCCGAAGGCTCTGGTCCTCCCATGACTTGGATCGAGTAGATGTCGATCAAAAGTCCAACTTGCATGTGTACTCATCGTATGAGATGATATATGTCGATTTGGAGAGAAAGGACGACCAGCAGTCGAGGGATGCCCTTGAGCTCCTCAAGACGTTCTCCTTCATCAACCGGGAGAACATTACATTGGATCTTCTCATCGCCGCGGCCATTAACCCCCGGAGGGAGCGAATGGCAGCCGCCAAAGAACCCGCAGCCCTTCCTGCCAACAGGGTCTCCAAGACATGGAAGCAAGTTTTTCACGAGTGGCTTGTTGCAGCGATAGAACCACTAGCAAGATCTATCAATCGTGCCGTAATACCAGCTGTCCTGCGCGACGAGGACGGCAGTCCCTTTGATCAAGACCGACTGCGCAGGGCGTTGCCCCTTCTCGTTAGTCTGGGTCTGTTGGGCTGTCAGGAGAAAACCGAAAGTTACTGGATGCATCCATTGGTGCATACCTGGGTGCGGCAGAGACCTGAGACCGGCACTGCAGAGCAGGCAGTTTGGTGCCATGCTGCAGCGACGGTTCTACTCCGCTCGATATTCATGATAGCCCCCACCGAGTTCACGGACCAGGATGCAAGCTTGAAAAGACAGATCTCTCCGCACTTTGAGAGTGTGCTAAGTTATCGGAAAGAGATTGCGAGTCGCCTTGAAGAGAACAGAAGAGCGCACGGTCGCCTTTTGCACCGACTCTCACGACTTTTTCCCCAGCCTAGCTCACAGAGAATTCAAGTTCTCGAAGATGCGAAATATAGCCTTGTTTGCCAGCAACGCGGCGAATGGACCAGGGCTGAGACGCTCCAGCGGCAGGTGAGGGAATATATTTTCGCGATGCTGGGCCCAGAGTCGCGCCTCGGGGTTCAGATCACAGTCCTCTTGTCTGTCAATCTCAAGCTACAGACGCGGAATAACGAGGCCCGACAACTGTTACAGCAAGCACTGCGGGCCTGCAAACGCCTCAATGGTCCAGACCATTACAAAACACTCATGATCAAGGACATGCTTGGGACTGTCTGTCTCTCATGCAGTAGACTGCGTGAAGCCCAAGCGCTGCACCAAGACGTCGTCAACCGATTCAAGAGCCTCAAAGAATTCGGGCTGGACCACGAAGACACATTGACTGCGATTCATCATCTTGCGCTCGTCAAGCAACGTTTTCTCCAGCATGACGAGGCGTTCATACTGCTCAAAGAAGTACATGAACGCCTCGGCAAGAAATCTCCAGGAAAAGACAAGACATTAGATGTGCAGAATGATCTCGCGGGGATATATGGCTTCATGGGCGAAAGGTATCTCCCACAGGCTCTTGCATTGAGTGAGGAGGTCACCCAACTCAGAGCAGGGCGCCTCGGAGACAACAGCGTATCGACACTCCTCTCCAAGCTAACGACAACGAAAGTCAAGATTGCCATGGGCCGGTTCGCCGAGGCCGAGCGGGATCTTCTGGAAGGGTTGTCCTTAGTCAAGGAGATCTTGGGCAAAACGCATTTGGGCACTCTTGTAGCTCAAACTTGGCTAGGGCATCTGTACTGGCGTCAGGGACGTTATGCAAAGGCGCAGGCAATCCTAGAAGAGGTCATTGAGGCGCAAAATTTCGCCCATTCGAAACGAGCTGACGGCGAGCATATTGACCGAGGTAATTATCGTCCCCTCTATTGTTTTGAATTACAAGTGGCTAATAATACCTATTCTACTCTCTCAGTTCAAGCAATGTGGTTTTTGGTTCATTGCTACGAAGATCAGGGCAAGATCTCCGAGGCTCTGCAGATGGGCGAAAAGGTCACTCAACTTGTGACGAACTTTGGTGGAAAGGGGCTTGGACGGCAGCACAAACTCTGGGGGTATGTTCAGGAAAAGAATGAACAGTTGCTAAAATTGAAAAAGCAAGGTGGCCGATGTATGGTTGCTGCGCTTGCTGGAGACGAGGAGCGTACTCCACCGCCAAAGAAAGTCGTAAAGGGTTTGACGTTTTGATTTGTACGGTTGTGATTATGTACGATGTAGCTGAGCATGGATTGAACAGAATGCAATTTTCTCTTCCTTGGATCGCGTGGGCTTCGTAGTGGAGAAGAAGATCGATCGGAAGGATCGTAGATCGGTCTGTGGAGTCTGGACGCGTGATTGATCTGCCATCCCTGGCTTTAGCGGACGTTGAGGTCGAGTATGGAGATCGTGGAGGCCGGGAGTCTGTCAAAATACGCAGCTATATATGTGTTAGCTACGGTCACCAGCTCATCAAAGGGATGGGACTGACGGCGCTCGTTTTGTTTTCGCCGTGGCCCCTTTCGAGCTCGATAAACAGAGACGCAACAAACGGCAATGGTAGCCCCCATAACCACCCCTGTCCAGATGTTGAATAGTGGTGTCCCAGCAAGAGTCAGTTCAATCATGATCCTGAGTATGAAGAAGTTGTTATCATCAGGGCTTGATCCTCAGGGACGCCAGGGCATGCCACTGCGATAATCATCTCGCTACCTCACCTCAACAGAAGGGTGCCCAGCGCACGGAAGTACGTTCTTCCCGGGCTCTTTGTTTGAACCAGCGCATGTCTCAAACAAAGAATCAATAGGCGGGGCGGTGAAATCAAATCCGGGAGGTGCTGATGGGTAGATCCCGTTCTCGCAAGGGGTTGCCTTGTTCCCGAATTCTTAGACGCTCGACGCCTCGATCGGAACTCGCCAGGTCTATACATCGTTGGTATCAGCTGCAAAGTCGCCCAAGACAGTTCTTAAGAGCATTTTCTCGGCCGGTCGGATTTGTAGCTGGAAACAGGCACTGGTCAGCCAAGAAAACATGCAGCCAACTCCCCCTGTCTCCAAGGCAGCGCGATGGGTACTCAATCATCAAATCGGTACGTCTTTATTCCCGCTTCCTCGGTTCTCCAGCAGAACAAAGAAAATTCTCTAGTCTGTAGTGCATCGACATGTCATGGATATATGGCATGGGAGAAAGCTGACCTTATGCAGGCCTCTCAGTTGGCGCTGTTGCCCTTGCTCTCCTTGCACACGCATGTCTACCTACGGCCCGGCGGTATACATCTGTGGTCTTGCTGGTTTCACACTATAATCCGGAAACACAGAGATACGCTATTGGCCGCAGTGATGCTTATTTTCTCGGCTTCTGTATTGTTCTCTTTACTGGCTTACGTGCGAGCTTCATCAAATATGCCCTGGCACCTCTCGCCAAGCGCTGGGGGATTTTCAAGCCGAGAGACATTACCAGGTTCTCCGAACAGGCATGGCTACTTTGTTATTATTCGGTCTTTTGGACACTTGGTCTGGTACGTTACACTATTTTATTGTACGTGGGGTTGCCCCTGACGACTTTTAGTACATCTACTGCACGTCAAAATACTTTCTCAACCTAAGGGAGATGTTTACTGACTGGCCCACACGCGAACTCCCTGGGCTCATTAAATTCTACATCCTAGGCCAGTGGGCCTTTTGGCTGCAGCAGCTCATTATCGTCAACATCGAAGAGCGCCGTAAGGATCATTTGCAGATGGTTGCCCACCACCTCGTGACAATCTTACTCATTTACACCTCCTATACCTTACACCTGACCCGCGTCGCCAATGTGATTCTCGTCTTGATGGACGTAGTCGATATTTTTTTTCCCGTGAGCGACTCTCCTTCAGACTCCTATCTCCTTCTTACCCTCACTCAGATGAACGAAAGAACTAGAGATGAAATCCATCTAACGCTCAACAGCTCGCCAAGTGTCTCAAGTACGCCGGCTTCTCAGCCCTCCGCGACACCATGTTCGGCATATTCATGCTCTCCTGGTTCCTAGCCCGCCACGTCTTCTACTGCATAACCATGTGGAGCATCTTCACGCACATGCCGCAGGAAATCTCCATTGGATGCTACCGCCTGTCCCATGGCACGATAACCGGGCCGTCCCCGCTCCCCCAGGGCTGGGCTTACATGCTCGAGCCCTTCCGCAACCCCACCGGGACAATCTGCTATAGTGATGGCATACGCTGGGGGTTCCTGGGAGCTCTTGGGTTTCTGCAACTTCTGACGATTATCTGGTTTATGCTGATTGTGCGCGTTGCGATCCGGGTGGTTAAGGGCTTGGGGGCGGATGACATCAGAAGTGATGACGAGGGTGGGGAGGATGTAGAAATCAATGCTGCACTCGAGAGTGACCCCGAAGCCAGACCTGAGGATAGAGGCTTGGATTCAGAGCGCAAACAGCACCTGCTCGAGCTTAGTGCCGGGCATAGTAACTGCAAATCCTGCACGCACAGACATGGTACGGTTGTGACAAATCGCGCCGCGAGCTCATCTGGCATAAGCCTCTCGAAACATCACAACCGCAAGGAATTGCTGGGCCGCATTGGTTGTGAAAAGCAGGTTGACTAAGGTGCGGATCTTGGTCAAGGGTGGTACGGGCGCGTACTTGTTTAGGGTGCTTCAATCAGAGCATAGGAGGAATAAGCTTGGAGGCATATGGTGGACAAGATTTGAGGGGAGAATATTTAGATATATGAAGCAAACGAGTACGGCTAAAGAGTCTCGGCTAGAGAGTAAAAGATCAAGGACACAAACTCCAAGACCACGGTACAGATTCACTACTTTTCTAGACGAACAAAAACCTAATCAACAAGCTTCCCTTTTCTCGACTTCTGCTCGGCATGCACGTCGCTCCACACATCCTCAAGTGTAGTTTTCTTCGATCCGATCTGGCCTTCGAAGAAGTTTATCTTGCGATTCACCTCTAGTCTGTTTGCAGGGACTAACCCTGAACTCAAAACTACCAGGCACCGGACATACCATAGGCCGCAAAGCTATCGTGAAAAGGGCAACTCCATCTTGTGTATTGTTCTCACCATCCCCTCACTCCTTCTCTCTCCATATGCATACGTACTCGTTACCGAAAACCCGACATGTCTCATTAAACGGGAGAACTCTACCTGCACTGTCTAGCCATCGACTATATGTAGCTAGACCGCGCCGGAAATAAAACCAGGCCTTAAAATAAGATATAATGTTGCCAGACTTGTATGGGGAAGTGATATCTAGGTCTACAATGATATGGATAAGATTGTGTTTGTCTAAGCATGCTTGGGGATAGAGTCAACAGTATTCACCCTAATTCCCTCTCCAGAAATCTCGAAATAGCCAAAGTACAAGCTGGTGGAGATATGGATCCGTCCCTCGATATTTACCTGCTACATAGGGATTGCCACAGACCACACCGAATTGAGAAACGGTACCCATGCCACAGCGGCTAAGGTGCGAGACCCAACCCTGCTTGTGATGTCGAGGTGGAATAGAGGAATCAGCTGATGGAATTATACTAAGCACGATATCGTCTCACGGTTACTGGTATGCTATTGCGGGTCACCGGGTATAGAAGGGGACCTCGACACAATACATGTTAATTTTCAAGTTCCTAGCCGTAGTGCCAGCGAGCGGAGGAAATGGTCGCCGGCGTAAATCTAAGCGAGAGCAGAAATTCGAGTTGAAGTGTGTCGAATGTTTATGTATATATTTGAGTATGGGTGCAAGCAAGGTGGTTTTTAACATTGATATTTGAGAGGACCTGAAAATTTTGGCTTGGGTGCTTATTTGAAGTCTGCACATTGCGTTTGATTATGAATGCGAGTGCGGTACGCAGATCGTGGTAGCGAGGCTCCTGGAATATGCGCAGCTCGCGGATTCGTATTCGAATACCCAGGGCTCTGGTCTCTGATCATGCTCGGAGCATGGAGTGGCCGGGTTGTTCTGGCGAAAGTTCTGCATTTGTAGTCATTGTGAGGGTCAATAGGTGGTAAGTGAGATTGGTGAGTACCCCGCTCAACGTTGGCATTAAATGAAGCTCAGGAGATTACCATTAGATAAACAAGGTACCTAATATGGTATACAAGCACCGTTCATTGATATGGCTGTGTCCTCAACAGCTGGCTTCTACTCCCCAAACTCACAGCTGTTACTTTTCACCAATCTTCCCATGGTCGAAACTTGACATCAGCAGGGCTTTAGCCGAGCCTTGGAGATGAGGAAATGCTGTTTGTCGTGTTTCGTCGAGAGATGCAGAAGAAATTCAGCTGAGGTCGAAACTGTGAGCTGCACATCCTAATTCTGGAGAGATCCTGATTTCCTGAGTCGACGCTGGTCTACCGCAAGGCATCAGGGTAGTCTTATCATCACCTTTTGCTCGCCTCGTGCACACTTTATGTGCACTCCTCGAGCACGATATTTCGATGTAGGATCTGACCGGTCATTGACAATACAACTCAGGGAGGGCATGCAACCAGAGCTATGGCCTGCAGTAGTACTCCTGAATTCCTGTCTTCAGAATGTAGCGTGTTTCCAGTATATATTGCGGCCCAGTGGTTCAATCAAACTGTCCACACTGTCATGACCAAGCCCAGCGCGAAGTTGGCACATCCAGCCGGAGAAGCGACACGCTCCTTGATCGGCATGTATCCACCGAATTTCTGCACGAGTCCAGGCTGCCGATCTAACAGGCCCGAGTCAGAGTATCGTCCTGCAACCGCAGTAGAGCCTCCAGTACGCCCACTCATGACGTGTCAATCCTGAGCGACAGCAAATGCTCGACCAAACCAGTCGGCGACACCCAAAATGCCACACCTTCCCCGCCCGGGGAATACGAGACATACAATTCAACGCGAATGGCCCGTCGAGAGAACGTCCGACGAGGCTGAGGCTCAATCTCGGAAATACGCAGGCTCGCAGTCCTCATTGGCAAGTCCATGTACGAGGAAACGGGTCGGGAGCTAGGCCCTCGTATCCTCATATCGAGTCATAGTCGGCTGCGATCGTGGCATGTCGTTCGTTTATCGTATCGGGTATATTGTCCGCAGGAGTCTTGGGGTGTAGGCTCCAGAGCTTCCGAGAGTGTTACTCGCCCTGTGATATGATGGCGCAGCGAGAGAGTGGAGCAAGTGCGTAGCCATAGCTACGAGACACGATCTCTGCCTGGCCTGGGCGCTGTTTGCTCGTCTCGCTTGTGTCCGTTGGAGGCTTAAGCCTTGTGACGGATCGGCGTTGGGGCTTGGTAGGATCGCAATTTGGTAACGCTCATAAACGAATATGAAAGAGATACTGCAGAATTTGGATACGCATACGCCTGGGAAGTTGGAGACATGACGACAGACGAACGACCGAATAAGGAGTCAAGGCGCGCAACATAATTCCGCCGTCGTGTCCGCCGCCATTTCTTCCGCCGCAGCCTAAAGCCCAGCTAGGGAGCGCGCTAGCGGCCTCTAGTCCAGCCTAGGCTCGCCGCTGCCTGGCGAGTGGCTGGTTAGGGACACGCGGAAATCACCAACAGCCACAATAATGAGAGTTCTGGGAGGGCTCGGCCAGATCCTCGATGGCAGATGCCCGGTGGAGTAGCGTCGTAATCTTCAGACCCCAAATCACGAAACAGACGGCGAGCCAAGCCAACAGCTTAAAATTACCCCCTCGGATTCGGACTCGGATTTTTCGGTTGCGGTAGCATCTGCGACGGGGCCTTGGCCATCGAGTGCTCAAGGCTCAAGGGCCCAAGGCTCAAGCTTGGAAACGAACGAAATTCAATAGCCTTCCTGGCCAGTGTGAAACGATGATCCAGGCCCAGCAAGTCACAGTCCAGCAAACTCCAAGACAGTCTCGGATTTCACCGGTATTTAGGCCCTTGAAGCCATCTGTTGCCCTTTTCGGTCTCCACTTAATGTGCTCAAAGACCAAATGGAAAGGCGGGCAGCGGCGGGCTGGCTGGGTTGGTTGTCTTCAGCCGCTGTCTCACCACACCTGTTCTTTATACGAGATGTAACCTCTGCACTGCAAAGAAGATCGTGCAAACACTGCAATCGAGGACCAGCGGGCACAAGCACAAAGAAGGCAGAGCCAGAGCGAGAGCGACGAGCCTCGCAAGTCGCCAAAGAAGGGAAGCAATCAATCGATTACCCCATCCCCGAGTCCCCGTCGCGATCTCAGTCCCAGATAATTTCTTTCGCCGTCCAACGTAGATCAAGCGAACTTGAACTCGATCAAAGCACGGCAGAACCCAAAAACTCCGACCGTCACGGACGCGATCCAGAAACGGAGACCGGAGCAATCCCAACTCCAGCTTCCAAGTGCCCACAAGCTGCCAGAAGACCTGACCACTGGTAACCGGGCGATCCGCGTGATTTTCATTCAAGTTTCATAATCCACTCTTCGTATCAGGACAATGAATAGTAATCATGTTTGATCCCCACGCCATGGATTGATAAGCCTCTCTGGCTTCTGACTTTTTGCTCCGGTGCCTGTCATGTCAGTCGCTCGCTCTCATCTCAGCACTTAAATTTTTCTCGATTCAGTGCAGACGCGCCTTACATAACTACTTTGTCGTAGATACTAGAGTCTGACTGGAGATCATCCCCAGGATTTATTGTGGGTTGCGGCAGAGCTTACCCGTTGTTCTATATTTACCTGCTCCTACGTAGTCTGTACGTTCAACAGGGAGAAATTAATGAAAGAAAGAAAGAACCTGGAAACATGTTGCACTGGCCCGCAAGTTCGCAAGGACAGACAGTCTTTGAGAAAAATAATAATAATGAGAAATGATTTGAAAACTCCGGGCATCGCTGAATCAGGAATTCCACAGCGCCACCCGCAAGCCCGCACGCTCCTTACCCCCCATCCCAAAGACCAAGTTTCCCCCCCAGCGAGAGTGCCCAGCACTGAACGTGCTCCGTCTCGTCGCAGCGTCAAGATGTATACGGGAAAATAGGCATCCCATCAATACGTCACCTCTCCGCCGAGCAAGAGGCGCAGCAGCCAGCAGTCAGCACTTTGACGGAGATGGGCTCGTTCTCGCAAGCTTAACTCCAAGTCCGCGTCCGTGGGTGCGGACTCTGCGGAGCGTATCCGCACAGGCTGTCAGAAGAACAGTCACAGCCTCAGTCACAGTCACATCCCCTGCAAAAAATGCAAATGCAAATCAAACAAACAGACCAAATATCATCATCTATCAAGATCAAACCATCCTAGTGTCTCTGAACAATGGCTGCTGGCCGCTGGTCCGCAGGGGGTGTCGATCCCGGACGAACTGACTGCCCGAACAGGCATAAATTATACGACACACCTGCGTGGCGCGCCCTTTCAATAATCCAAGGAACTTCACCAGTCACGTACTCGTACACGTTCCAACCAAAGTCAGGCTTCCAATCCTTGCGGATGGTGCCGGATCGCTGGCTCCGGGGTCCACGCCCACGCCCACGGGCCAGTCCAGGTCCGGGTCCGGGTCCGAGTTGTACACTGTTCTTGGACATCCGACTTGAGGAGTTGGGTAAGGACTGGGTGTTGGAATGAGTCAAGTTGAGTCGATCAGTCATATACGGGGTCTCGAATTCGATGAACCTAGCCGGTACTGCTTTGGATGTGATCAGTTTGTACTTGCCCGCTCGTAACTTGGTGTAAAGAGCACACTAGCCCGACGCCCGTTACGCTATGTATCAAGAGTATTCTAGCCGCAGATGAAGGCTGGAAAAGAGGCTAGAAAGGACGATCATGAAATCCCTCAAGGCTCATGTTCAGTTCTTCTCTGTAAGTACCTAGTACGCTAGACCTAGGCAGCCGCCCGCTGGGATCCGAGCGAATCAAATTCGTAGAGACCATTTCCTCACAAGTTGAGGTGATTTTGTCCCCAGTCAAAAAACACCAACCACTACCCTAAGATACGAACGAGTATTCCCTAGGAAACGTCAAATGTCAACTCCAGTCCCATGATGCCCACCAATGTGGAAATAACCCCGCCAAGCCAAGCTGGAAACCCGCGTCACTGCCAGTGAGTAACACAGTGACACTGTCACACTAGGAATGAATCGAGGATTTAAGAACTAAGGAACTGCAAACTCCGGCAGCTATTCCCGAAACTCCCCTGCCTTGCAAAACGTTTTCCTTTTTGGGACACAAACGATCAATCAGAGTTGCGAGCTCGGTTTGTGGTTTGGGTTATGTGTTGGGAATGGCTTACTTCAGCCGTGGGTCTGTCTTTCAAGTTATTATTTACGAGGAGCCGAATCGGAGAACAGGAGGTGGATTGCACCCATGGGTATCGGTAGGCGTTTTGCGGTGCGGTGCATGGGGGCCAAAAGGCTTGCTTTGCAATTTTCGAATTGCACAACCAAAGCTCTTGGGAGCTAGATAGGAGAAAGAGATTCGAAAGACAGAGCTTTCAAAGTAGTAGTTTAGAGGGGGTAATAATGGTATAATAATATTCTAATCAGATAGGAGATCAATTTCCCCAGAGTATACTGGATACTCCATTACCGCTGGCTTGTTGCCAAACGATAACGGTAACAAAAACAACGCCGAGTGCCATGCATCTATTTCCCAGAAAATGAAACCATGAAAATGAAATGTTGCCCATCAAGGTCCGTTTATTGCACATCTTGTTGAGAAAACACAATACCAAGACCAACCAGGTCAGGCCGAACCGAACCAGTGTATCATAAGTCGTCACAGACAGAAATGGAAAGACAGAAAGGTGGAAGATCACAGCAGAGGATAAGGATGTAACGAGCACGGATCCGACTCCGGGGTCAACGGGCAGGCCAGGGACGGCTCCGCAGGCGTCGAGGGCGAGGAGTGATCATCGCTATAACCTTGCGACAGAGCTGGCATCTGGCAGAAGAAAAGAGTACGAATTAGCTCCTCTTGCTCTGGAACTGCGGGTACGTCGCCTTGATGGAAGGGAGGGTATGTACAGGAATGTTACTGCTCTCCGACGAGTGGTGGTGGTGGTGATGGAGGTGGTGCTGCGGCGGGGAGAGATCGATTCCGGCCATGGACGCGTAGCTCATGTTGAACGGGCTGATGATGTCCTCGTCGCCGTAGGAGGAGTACTTCTTCATTGCGGGGCCGGCGCCGTGCATGGAGACTGGCAGCAGTGGGGGCATGGGCGAATTGTACTCGCTGTGGTAAGAGGAGAGGTCGTTGTAGGCGCCGGAGATGGAGTGGTATTGCGGCGGGTGTGCGTATGATGATTGACCGTAGGCGTCGAGGGCCGAGTACGAGGGGTAGGAGAGGATCGGCGGGGGCGAGGTGGACAGCTGCCTCGTGCTCTGGTACGAGAACATGGATCCCCGGTCCTCTTGTGTCGAGTAGCTGTCGTATGGGGATCGGTCTGTTGAAGCGGGGCTGTGGGCGTCGGAAGTGGTCTTGGATGTGTGACGGGCGTGCTTTGCGCGCGACTTGACATTCTTGACCGGGGGTTCCGGCTTTTCCAGAGATCGCTCTGGTGACTCGGAGGCTGAGGCGGCTCGTTTTTCAAGGTCCTCCAGGCGACGCTTCAGCTTCTTGCCTGTTTCATTGTGTCAATTAACCCGCGCTTATCCCGAAGTACAGGAATTTTTGGTGGTGAGGGCTACTCACGATAATTGCGCTGGGCGATGCGGTTCTGGATACGGCGCCGCTCAGCTAGGTCGGAGATCTTGGTCCAGTCTTCGTTAGGGTTGGCATTGGGGCTAAAGGCACTGCTAGTGCCATGGCTCCTTGAGCTTGCAGAGTATGAATAACCGTTTGAGCGATGCATGGCGAATGCGTGTGTGTTGTGCCAAAGTCAAAAGAGTAGAGTCAATCTTGGATGCGGAGGTATGAGAGAGAGGGGGAGGTTGACTATATAGTTTAGCCAGGTGTCTTGACCAACGGGCTGAAATCAACGAGCGACGCCTCCAGTATTTAACTCGTGCAAGAAAGACACGAGTATTAATAAATAATAAATCATAAATAACGAGAGAGCCAGTATGGACCGGAGGAGCTCTGGTGCTAAGCCCCGGACTCCGAGCCCAGAGAGGCTGCGCGATTGAGCCGTTGCGATAACAGGGTTATCCGTGCATTTAGAGAATTAAAAAAATGAAAATCGAGAAAAATAAAATGATAATTTTCTTTTTGGGAAATGATTAATCAAGCATGGCTTGACCATGTGTTGGGAGGGAACCATTCCCGAATGGATGAATGGATGTGCAGGGCTGCGTCACTCGAATGAGGCTGTTGTTCGAGTTGAAGCGGAACCCCGGATGCCCGATATCACCGAGCGCCCTTTTTCTCCCTTTCCTACCTCCGTCGGGGGCCTAGAGGCGAAAGGGCGGGCAGCCTCCAATTCAGGGCTGTGCTGAGCCAACAGAAACAGGGGTGACTGTTCCACAGACCGCGTCCATGTCCATGTGGTTCCAGATATTCGCATACCAGCATTCCGCAGCCTGGCCAGAGTTCTGAACTGGCGGGAAAGAAAGAAAGAGAGTTGTGAGCGCACGCCATGGTTCGGAGCTCGCCCCAGAAAGAGATGCTGGCCAGGTTCAAGGGTCAAGGCTTCGTCGATGAGATCGAGTTGGAGAGATCGCCGGATATTTCTTTTTCTGCTCCGTTTTGTCCTCAGGTTCGTTCTGGTTTTCGATCTCGCTTTTTCGGCGGAAAGTCTGGCAGTCAAAAGTCGAAACGAGTACGAGACTCGAGTACGGGCCACCCAAATGGAGCCTAGCGTTTATTTGTGCTCGCTTCATTTTCAGCCTTTCCCATAAGGATAAACAATCTGGTACTCTGAAAGATCTGTTCTCTGTTGGCCCCTTGAATCCCTCCCTGATCGATTCACACGTTATGTGGGGGAGCGTCGGACAAGAAGGCATGCCGTCGGTCGACGGTCTGTCAGTCACTCCGGGCGCCGCGGGCGCCTTCTCTCCTGGCTGGCTTGAATTCCAATCAACAACAAAGATGGCAATTCTGAGCGAGCGGGTCCATCAACTCCCAGCTTGAAACAGAAGCCCTCGTTCTACGATCGAATTGTGCGTGGCGCCAGGCAAGGTCGCCGAAGCAGCCGCAGAAGAAACCCAATCAATGACCGATCAGTGATCAACAGAATGGTTACACAGCTGGTCACTGGCACCCTGATCCTCATGATTAGTCTTCTTACGGTGATTATTTTAATTGACATTGTCTCTGCTATGTTGGCGCTTTCTCCACCACGAGCTGCATACTCTATCTGCATAATCCAGATATGGTTTGCACATCGTGCATTCTCAGCATCTTACTGTGTGTATCAGGTCGGGGCAGAGTACGCATTATTGCTGGGATTCTGTTTAGAGGTCCAACAGATGATTTTAACGCGTAAAAAGCAATTGCCGTTCGATTGATACTCCGGCTATCCATGACCCAGACTGGCAGCGCCGAATATAGCCAAAATTGTACTAGTGTTGCTGGAGTTGGCTATCAACGCCTCTTCAGCAAATCAATGCCTATGACGGAGACTTGCCGACCCTGCAGAGCCATCGTTGATCGGACGAACCATAACGCCGTGATCAGAGGACGCTGGAGCTTGGCATCTTGCTCACGAGTTAGTCTCGTCGAGAGATTCGACATTCCGGAGTGAGCATCACGCAGCAGAGCGCCTCCAGATCTCGATGAAAATTCAAGGCTCATGGAAAGCTCGGTCCATTATCGTTCTCGGGAACTCCGTGGACGTGACAAATCGAGGGCAGCGAACGTGCCCAGAGGGCATTCAGTATCACCCACCTTACATGAAGAATCCACGTTCTGGCCAATCAGGGCGGCCGATATGTTTTCGAAAGTTGGGAGCCAGGGCGCCCCGAATGACCACTTGCAGTCGAAACTGCGGACCAGGCCCGCGCTCTCGCACGCCGCAGGACTGAGGAGACATCATCCATGGCACAAAAATTCGAGGCACGGTCTCGCCTCCTGCCACGTTGCACCCCTTGATCTTGGCAACTCGTCTAAGGATAAAGATCTCACTCTCCAGAAGGGTGGGTACGCGATTGCAGGCAGGATGAGATCCTTGACCCTAAGAAAGCAAGAGCGTTTCTTGGAGCTCTGTAGCTGACGCGAAGAGTTACTTCAAACTTGAGGCCTCATGAAATTTGCGAACGAACTCGGATCCTCTCGACAACTTCAGACGAGGAAGCCAACAAGAACATGAGTGGATCATGCACTATCAGCTGGAATTGAAATCCCGCCTTTTGGGGCCAGAATGCGGTCAGCCCCAGAAAATTGACTCGAGGGAGCCCGCAATTCCGCTTCCTTGCTGAGCTGATCTGCGGTGCCATAACATGAAACTCGTGGTTGTGCTCCATCCATGGATTCCATGCCAGTTGGGGTTCTCGATCATGAACTTGGCACTTTGCTGCTATTAATACGATCACTCGAATAGCTCGACTGCTGGGCGTGTTGGTTCGCTTCGCAGCCTCAATGGCTTAGCCAAGGGCAAGTATGTTCTACAGCCTGCGGCATCGCACCGTCTCCAGGCTAACACCGCCATGGTCAATCCCTGATTTTCGTGAGGGGTGGCTCACGCATTCCAGTCCCGTTTCGAATTATCAGCTGAGAAACCCCTATACCGTATGAGGCTCAACTTGCTATTGCTGCTGATCGTTTGGACAGGAGGACTCCATTTCAATGCTTGCTAGCGGACGATGGAGATTGCGATGTGGAAATTGGCAGTGCACTTCGCAAGCGGACGCGGCGGAACAAGACGACCCAGCAGCAAAGCATCCATCCTTCGTGCTTAACGGACGCTAGCGGAGGTCGGCCGACGGCCAGTAGGGCTGAAGAAACCAACATCAAAACGACGAGTTGATTGGTCAGTTCGCGAGCGCAGTCGGCTCCATGGCCCCCAGCGGCCCAGCCGCAGTCAAATTGTCATGTTCCATTAGCGTTTTCTGATTCACGAGGAGGCCAATCATCGCTTTGGACGCAATGTTGATCCCGCTCAGTTTCATCTTTCAAGAGGCTGATTCTGCGTCTGCGAAACGGCCGCCTGACAGTGCCGAGCGGCCTCTTGGTTTCTGGATGTTTGCATGTAACCCAAGCCGTGGCCTGACTGGTCATGCAGAATCGAGCTGTATTAATTCCACGACTTCCGGTCGATTCTCAACAGTCCTCGCTTCCCTGGGAGCAAGCGCAGAGCCGCACAGCAAGAATAGTCGAGTAGGTCGGACAGAGTATGCTGGTCGGGTGTCAGCAGACGACCCGAACCTTCCAGCAAACATCTAGAAGGCGATTCGAAGGTGAAGCACTGCATGATGACATGATCAGTCATATCCTAATCTAGGCAGCGCTAGTCCGAACCTGCCCCTGGCCAGAAAGGGGATTGTGTGTGGACTAGGATTTGCAGGTGACATTTAGTAATGGATGTGTAATCGCCGTTGAAGATTATCAATCAAGTACCATCGCGGCGTCCCGAGCTCTCATAAATTGTACGTGTTGGGACGTAGTGGTCGGCCCAATCCGCCGTCAGTGAAATGTTCCGAGCTAGAAAGGCTGAGAGTTTGCGATAGGCTAAACGATATATTAATATCCGGTCATCAAAGTCGGAGCGTCCGCGAAGGCTTAGCATACGGCCGTACTCCGTACACGGTACCGCATACGCTGGCGGCCGTTTAAGGGACTTTGCGTAATCAAGACTAGGTGCTGACACCCCCAGCGACCCCACGAACTGGGTGGAGTCGAGTCTGGGCTTTTTTCCGTCGCAAAACGCATGTTTCGAACTTTGAGATACGTGCGAGACTCTCGTTATTTTCTCTTCGGATAACTCGAGCTGAAGCTTCGAAGGCTGGGATGGATAAGAAAATTCTATGCGGAGTTGTCGTCCACCCCGCCAACGTGACTCCAGCAAACTAACGCTAGGCTGCTGATTTGCAATGGTCGAAACATCGATCAAGTTTTGCCCTAGATCAAGCTTTTCATCAGGGATGCAACTGACACTTGAAGAAATGGTTTTCGTCCCTCAAAGTACACTCAGTGTGGTTCCAAGGTTGCGTTGGCTCCCGCAAAAGGTTCTGTCAAGAGGGAAGGACAGGAGGGACAGGAGGGACAGTCGACCAACCAGTCAAATGCGTACCTTCTTTGGGAATAGAATGACCAAATACCTAGGGGTCATCAGTTTATCAAACAAGTGCAAATATGCCTAACATGAAAATGCAAGCAATGCTTTCTTCAAAGCAACCAGTGTCTTTACTGCAGGTTTTGGCTGGGATTGCAAAAGAAGCTTTCGCGTGACTGTTCCAACAAAGCTTCTCAGTAACACCGCGTAGCCCACCACGTTTCCTGCTTGCGTTTTCATCATGCCTTCTATCTCAAATCTTCTATATCCCAAACTTTCAGCATCCATGCTATCAAGCCCTTCAGTCACTACAATCCCAGCTGCCTCGCAGCGATGGCTTCACCAACACGGACAGAATCAAAGCGTTTAGCAGCAGAGCTTGGAGCTTTTGCACGTCTCCCATACGATATCCGTGAACAGATCTGGCTTGACATCGCATATCCCAACATCGCATACCCCCAGCTGACAGCCGATAAAGTCCACACGCTAGACGCCTATACACATCTTCTCAACACGAGCGAGGCATTGAGAGACGAGATACAGCATTTGCTGTTCAAGGGATCCGTGGTACAGTTCGACTGCGGCCCCCTCATTTGGCTCGCCTTTTCTAGAGATGGCAACAAGCGTGGTCGTTTTGAAGATGACGGCTTATTCAGTCGAGAAATGTTACTAGGTCTCGTCCTGCTCTACGAGGCCAACAAATGGGGAACCTTCCCCTGGGGTATACTCGAGCGGATTGAGATAAAACTCCCTGCGATATCTCCAGGGGCTGCGAAAGCTGCGTTTGACCTGTGGACTAACATTAGAGAGATCACTGGCCATCTCGAGAACGTTCGGCCGTTGCCTCGTTTTGTTATTCGCCTGGAAGCGAGCAATACTCTAGAGGATCATTGTTGGTTTTCGCAGGAGAGTCTTGATGACGATTTTGACTACAAGTTCTTCGTCCGTGCATTTAGCCATCTAAGGGATATCGCGACTACTATTGAAGTTTGGTCTGGTTCCTGCGCCGCTAGCCCTAGCATCTGCTGGAAATCGATCAGCTGGGTCTACGCCCCGCACTTGATTATGCCTCCTGCACCTCAAGACGCTACTACCGATGAAAAGTCACCTCACGAGCAAGCATTCGCAAGTGATCATGACCTCCAAGTCTACCTAGCCCGGGACTGGTACATGATGTCTCTCAAAACCGCGCGACCTGGCCAGAATATAGGCGAGTCCGTCAATGATCTGAGAAATGTGTGAGATACGCAAACTGCAAGCGGGCAGTCCGAATTCGTGGAGCAGTTCCATCGCATCCTGGATAATTGCCCCGACTTTATACTAGAAAAGGACCCTGACCTTTCGCTACTTACGAAGATGCGCCATGCCTTGAACCGCGTGGAGAAGCAAACTCGCACTTATGATCTGGAGGATTCCCTCAAGGCGCACAAGTTGATCGAGGCTATCGGAGACGCGACACTCAAGTTCTGGAAAATATGTCATAGGTATAAGCGGACGGGAGGTGAATGTGATATTTGATAGAGTTTTGACATCTAGCGTTCGCGAAGAAGGCACTCGGCGTTCTCATAGAATCATCACTGCTGAGATTTTTGCTCCATTATATTCTTTTCCGTCCACATTTCACTCCATTTGGAATTCACTAGAGACAGACACCTTTTAGGAATTGGCGACAGCGAATTGGAATTCTCCAAACTTGAAGATATACTTTTCACCAAGGGTGAGTACTGGTCAGGAAACCGAAGACTCTCACATCGCAGGGCTGGAGCCCGGTATCAGTTTTCTCTTCACGTCTGCCTCCTCTCCGTACCCTTTTTGTCCTCGCTTCTACTACTTCAATATTCGAACATAGAACACAACCCTGGACACCACGCCAAACCAACCGCACAACCCCTCGCAAAATGAACTTTGAGACCTACGGCCATCTTGGCCGCCTGCCCTACCACATCCGCGACCAAATCTGGTTTGAAGCTAGCAAGGCACCCACCTTCGACACCTTCCCAGGCCAGTACCTCCCAGTCCCAAGGACAAACGCGGAGCTCTACGACGAAGTAAGCTACGCCCTATTCCGCGGTGCTCGGCTGGCCTTCGAAGGCTGCACAACAGGCTCGCCTACTTTCATCCCTGAGAGCCTCGTCCGGCTTATCTACGACTACGGCGCATATCGACGGTGGAGCGGGGGGGCCGAGGCACCGAAGTGAAGATCTGTCCAGAGTGGGCATTGGACGAGATGAAGGCGAATGGGATTTGCGATGTTCCGTTCCAAAAGGGCAGAGGGTTCGGCTTGGAGAAGAGGCTGTTAACAAACATGCTGAGACTTTCCACAGTCGATGACGCGGGGTGAGCCGTTGATTATGACATTTTCGTCTAGCCCTTCCGTGAGCTCCTGGATATCATGCCTATCATCGAAGTCCGGCCGTATGAATTTGTCAGAGATGACATGCTCTCACCCATCGAGTCTACTCCACGTCATGCAACCATTAGAACAAGCGATATCAAATAACTCGCCACCCCCTTGTCCTCAAACGCCACCAAGCAAGAAACCGGTATTGCAGCTGCCACGACGGATGGCGAAACAGAATATACGGACGCCTACACGACCCGGGCACTCAAGACCAGTTTCCGGCGGCTCATCTTGGGCGCATGGCTCACCAAACCTCGGGGCGGGACCTCCAACTTCGAGGACACAATCATGTGGTCTATCAATCAATTTCCCAGGCGATATGTGAACCATCGACCGTGGACTAGGTCCCCTAAGCAGCGTACACGGCCACTAAAGTACGAATGCTTCTCCCGCATCTCGCAAAATTGCCCTACGAGCTCCGTGTACAGCGGGCCAGGAGGCGAGAGTAAGGGGGCCCATTATGGAAACGGCTACCACTACCATGGTCTGTTCTGTTCGGACTCAATGCACCATCCAGTCACGTTGATTGCCTTGAAGACCAAGTACAGGAGGGCAGTCCCAGAGAAGGACTGCCAGGGGATGCGCCTGAGCATGATAAGAAGCGCTAGTAATCGGAGACCCTTGGGGCTTGCTTGTTTGTTTAAACGGAATTGGGCGTGAGAGAAGGGTTCAGCTTGATATGGTACTTGCGGGTGCGATCAAAGAGTGTTGGAGGTATTGTCTTGGGGATAATTTAGAGACATGTGATTAGGTTTTTAGGGTATGTTGTGAGTTGGTGTCTTCAGTGGCACCATCCACAGCTAATGGCATCTTTTCTCACGAGAATGTACTACGTCTCGCTTCGTGGCATTGCAGTTCTTCCGTATTTGCAGCTACTGTATGAAGACATTGTTAGCTCGGCAATCCAGGTATGTTGTAACTTAGCTTAGCAACCACTGAATATATATCGTGAACTACACAGGGAGAGCAGGCTCCATTGACAACGCAATGCCTAGAGAACAGTTTGTTCTCTCTCATCCAAAGTATATTTCCGAATCCCGGTGGCAACCTTCTCTAGTTCTAGTCAGTCCTTCTGCCCGCTCAACAATCGTTTAGGTCCCCCAATCCCTAGAGTATCTTTCCAGACGGAAGCCACACTGCCCAAGCGAATCCACTGCGGAGCTTCGTCTTTGAGAGTACGCCCCAGCCAAAGCCCTAGCGGATGAACCCGACGAAAGGGACCACACCAGCTGTAGTACAAACGTGCAAGAGCCTGAGTATTCCGAGTAGCAGAAATCTACGCAAAACACCATGTAACCAGCACCCACAACCATTCAATACGGAACATTTATTGAAAACCATCGATCTGCGCTATTTTTTTCTGTATTTTTCCAGCATGATGGGCCCTGGGACCTGACAGGATTCTTACGCACACGCACTGAACGACGCTAGCGGGCAGGTAAGGTTTCTTCTCCAGCCCTCTCTTGATTAATTATCACGAATAGTAATCAATATCATTGTATTGTCCTGAGCGATCCGCATAGCCGATTCTGTCGGTGCTGCGGTGTGTCAGCTGGAACGTTCGAGGATCGACATGTCTCGATGGTCGTCTCCAGTCTCCATATGTTGTCCCCGTTTGTAGTAGCAGGTCTTGTCATCACTCATCCATAACTAACTACATGTCTTAGGCGAGAGCTAACTATGGTATACGTCTGAATCAGAACTTTCGGCGACGTGCGTCTAGATCAACGGGATTAATCATCTCGCCCCTCGTTGATCTCGCCTGTATTCCAGCTAGCGGCCGTGAGTCCGACTCTACTATGTATACTAGGTGTCCATAGTACCCAGCTAGATACCCAGCAAAGCAAAGCGTATTAGTATCCGAGTATCCGAGTATCCGAGCGAGTGTCCGAAGTTGACTCTCTGGAGCCTGCGGCACCAGCCCGCCCGCTTCGCAATTCGCTCCTCGAAAATGCGTGTGTGCCCTCTGCGATTTCCTCGTGTTGCTTTTCATAGCATCCGAGTCGAGTCTCAAGGCGTGCATTTGCATTTGCATTTGCATTTGCGGCGCCCGATCCCAAAAGAGTAAATGGATAAACTACCCACAGTAGTAGACCGTCCAGCGTGCACTGTCCGGGTCGAGGCGGGACCGGTCACGGTGATGGTGACTGGGTCTACGTACGCACGTAACACAAGCACAAGCGCAGGCGGGCGCATTTCAGCCTCGACTTTTGGCCCTGGCCTGGGACGAGTAGTGGCAGGAGGGTATGAGGTGGCTGGCATTGAGACTGAGAGCCGCTCACCGACCCGAGTCGATTCGATGCGATGCGATGCGTCCTTCCCATCAGGGTGTTGGTTGGGCTTTGCATCGTTCAGCCCTGGCGCGCCCAGCCCGGTCGAGATGGCAATCCAATCCGGCCCGGAGCCGGGTCGTGTCCGGAGACGAAGATGCAATTTCCACTCCCTTCGCACGGGGACGGGGTGCGTGTGGATAATACTCTCGAATGCAGAAATTGATAATCAATAATGAAATGGCGAATGAGAAGAGCAGGAAAGAAAGGGAAATGAACTTGCGGAATCCCTCCGCTCCTACATACATTAGCCCCTACGCCTAGTCCGCCCTGGCGCTCGAGAACTCAGCCTTACCTGCTGCTGCTGCTCAAGCCTGCAGAGCAGACTCCGAGAGTCCGAGTAGCCTACCTACAAACATATTGAGAGAGAGCCATCCAAGACCAACACTAGTCGTCGAGTTACCCAAGCGCTGCCCTGGGCCGCCCTGGGCCTTTCGTGTCGCGGGCCAAGCATACCGGAGTTAGTATTCTGATGCGCGCTTATTTCCTTCCACTCCTGCATACCTATCAACCACACAAAGGGTTTCCTGAAACGTCCAGTCAAGACTCGAGGTCCGGCGTTCATGTCCAACATTGAGGCTGATTATGGCCTGTCGCGAGCCAAGCTGCACCTCCATCGAGATAAACCCCCGGTAGTACAGGACATATCTACTACCTGCTTACCTAGCAAGCTACTAGTAGTAGTTAGTACGCACTGGGCATTGTTTTCTTGATTGGGTAAAGAGCGAGGAAGGGGGTTTGCGTATTCCCATCTTAGGACGGGCTTGGTAGGAGGCAGACGAGACGAAAGGAGGTTTCAGCGCGTGACGGCTTGGTCGTGTGTAAACTGCACCAGAGTCATTGGCCTAGAGGTCCGTTTGGTGCGTTGCGGTAAAGCAATGCAGTGTGATAATTGGGACTCGGACTACGTACGTCCAGTTAGTACTCCATTGGTAGGAGCGGACGATTCAACCCGTCTTAACCAAAGTACCCACGTATGTGTTATGTGTATCAGTATACGTCTCTGACGTATAGCTACACCCCAATATGGATAGATCCAGCGCGATCCTGGAGAAGGCCTGCTCTCTTGCGATTAGTTAAAGTTAAGGCCCTCTCCGTATTCAGCTATCATCCTAGGTGCTCTGGGCATGCCACATGGACTGATCCGTGTGCGTTGGCTTTGGGGCTGAGGGCTCCCTCGAGCTCAAGACTTACTGCGAAAAGTGGGCCTTAGGGTTACTCAGGCGTCCTGCATCCAGTGGACAGGACGAGTCGATGGGTTGCTACATACCGCCCCAGCCTGCAGCGACGCATTACGGAGACAGTAGCGGAGATCCGCAGTGCATGTACCTATAATTAACTCAAACCCGCTAGCAGCACATTGACCATCTGGATAGTTGACCATGCAGGATGAAATTGCCAAACCAAAGACGGCTGTGCTCACAATGTCGATTGTAAAGATCCCTCGCTTCGCCCACCGGACATCGGGCGAAGATGTGCGTATCCGGGTCCGGCGTACACTACATCATAGGTGTTGGTTGTATTCTGCAACGTGATGGGGCTCTGCGCAACCGTCCGTTGTGTAGGGGAAAGTTTGAAATATGACGCGGCGGTGTGCATGTGCAGCATCTGTTATCGTGTCGACGGTTGGGGCCATTTTGCATTTGCGGGGTCCATGTAGTAGTCACGAGGGCTAACGTTGGAACTTAACCTTAGGTGAGGTGAGTGAGAGCGTGGCAAGCAAGGGAGTTGTTTCAGGTTGGGGCAGAGTATGAGCGTTGGTCAGACGGGTGGTCTTGGTTCTATCTATAAGTGTTTTATAGTATTGATGTTTATAGTGTGTAGTCGACTAGGTAACGCTCATGCTCGACGAAGAACAAAGACAAGAAAATGGTTGATAGCTGCAAATCCCGAAATAAGTGCCCAAAAAGGTTCTTGTCCAATCACAGAACGTGACTGTAATGTGTTAGTACAATTTCAATTTCACGTTTACGCTGGCTACTTACCTCCATGGGTGGTCCTCGTCACCGTACTGGATCCCCTCAATCCAGTTCTTCATCTGAAGAGCAATCTCTCCGGCCTCCTCGTTCTCCTTAAGTCCGCAGTTGACGAGCTTGCCGCGGTAGCTGATGGCTCGGACGGGGCTGACGATAGCTGCGGTACCGGAACCAAATACTTCGATCAACCGTCCCTCTTCGGCGGCTTCAGCGAGCTCGGCCATTCTAATCTTGCGTTCGGAAACGTCCCAGCCCTTGGGCACTAATCGCTCCTTGGCAAGGCCAAGCACGGAATCACGGGTGACACCCTCGAGGATGGTTCCGTCGAGAGGAGCGGTGACCAGCTCCTTCTTTCCAGTCTCCTTGTTCTTCAGCGCAATGAACAGGTTCATCGTGCCAACCTCGGTGACGTATTCCTCCTCTCCGAAGAGCCATAGGTTTTGCTGGAACCCGCGCGAGGCGGCCTCGAGCTGAGGAACAATGCAGGGGGCGTAGTTGGCACCAAGCTTCTTGTCTCCGACACCTCCAGGCCAAGCGCGCACAGCGTAGTCCGTAGCCTCTAATGACACAGCTTTGAACCCGGTAGGATAGTAAGGACCGACAGGACTGGCAATGACGAAGAGGAGGGCAGAGCCGGGTGGACCGACACCGAGCGTGTTCTGTGTGCCGATCATCGTGGGGCGCAGGTACAATGAGTAGCCTCGCTCGCTGGAGGCAATTAGCAATGATTCATGAGACGGGATAATTGGCAACAATCCAGGAGAGAAGCGCAACGTACTTGGGGATGAAGCGGCTATCGAGCTTGACCAGCTCTCCAATCATCTTCGTGAGAGCTTCACCATCGAATGTAGGCAGAGCAATCCGCGCAGAAGACTTGTTCAAACGTTGCATGTTCTTGTCCGGCCGGAATAACCGAATCTGGCCGTTGTTATCCCGGTAGGCCTTCATACCTTCGAAACATTCGAATGCGTAGTGGAACACGCAAGCCGAAGGGTCTAATTGGAGCTTCTGGTAGGGAACAATCTTGGGCGCATGCCAGCCATCCGCGGCAGTCCATTCTGCAGTAAACATATGATCTGGAAGCGAATCATCAGCACCTATCCAGCATTGGGGTGTTCAGCGCGAATATCCGTACCAGTGAATGACCTTCCGAAAACGAGGTCCTTTGCGGGAGACAATTCCTTCGGCGAGGTTGTTTTCGTGATGGTGAGCTTTGAAGCGTCTAACCTAGCCGCCTCGAAAGCAGCTGAAGTAGCGCTGAAGCTTCGCTGCAATAATCGGCTCGCGCGAATGCTCTGGACTCGGGGAGGAGCAAAGCTCGGGAGAGCTCGTCGGCGAGCGAATTGCTGGAGGGAGTTCATGGCTGCTCGGGGCTGCATAGACAGGGGTCAAAACTGTACATATGGGAGTTGAAGTCTGCCAGAGGACAAATATGAAGAGCAGAGCATTGAGCGGGTAACAGCGGTTATAAGCGATTAGAGATGACTCCACGGTCTCCTCCACGGTCTCACTCCGCGGACGGTCGAGCAAACTCCGGAAGACCCAATGCTGGAATTGCGGTTTGATATCTGGGGGGACGAACCTTCAACCAATGATTTTGCAATCAAAGTTCGGTGATTGACTTGCGTCTCCTGAGTCACAGTTGAGGCGAGAGATAGAGAAACGCCAATGCCCCATGCGCCCTTCTCCAAATCCACAATCGAGACTCGGTTTGATGTCCGAAGTCGGCCCTCAGCGGAAAACCGGCAAACGCGGTAAGCGGTGAGTCAGCTGAAGCTTCGACACTGACGATCCCCTTCCACGTGACCTGGATAAAGACCGGGGCCAACTTGGGCTGATATGTTTGATGACTGCAACGATAGCCCAGCAAAGCGCCGAACATTTGTTCACTCGAGGCAAAACTGAAGACGGTGCTTTTTCTTAGCGACTCTCTCATGCTGACATATCTGGCTCACCCGATCGTGCGGTAAATGTCGATTCAGTCGTTGATCCGACCGCATTGCGATCTTTAGGCTGCGGCCAACCGAGGCATGCACAGCGATTGTGTCGCACACTAAATGGAATGAGATATTTGCTTGGCCACTGACCTCCGAGTTGTCTTTGGGCTTCCTCTATCAAAATGTTCTCATCCGCGCTCAAATCGCTCAGCTCAAACATCTCCGCCAACTATCAAGTTTCCCCGCATCCCACTATTGTCTCGGGCCCGTGGAAGATTCACGATGGCAAGAAAAAGTCAACCAACACCGCCGCGTCTATTTTCATCTTCGACAAAAAGGCCCTTGAGCCTCGGTCTGGAGGATTAGGTGGTCGGTCCAGCTCCTCTATCAAGAAGCTCCAGGAGGAAGTTGTCGAGCGACTGAAGCGTGAAGCGGGTAACCTTGCTCGCCTGAGACATCCTTCTGTTTTGCAGGTGCTGGAGCCGGTTGAGGAGACACGCAATGGCGGTCTTATGTTTGCCACTGAACGAATTACTGCTTCACTCGCTGGACTCTTGCAGGAAAAGGACTCTCAAGAGAGCAATGGCAGGATTGGGTCACGGACTTCTCGATACATGGTCGAAGAGTCTGATGGGTCGCGCAGGCGGAGGGACCTCGATATTGACGAGCTAGAAATCCAAAAGGGCCTGCTGCAGGTTGCTAAGGGTCTCGAGTTCCTTCACGAGTCTGCGGGCTTAGTTCATGGCAATCTCAACCCAGAGGCTATCTTTATCAACGCCAAGTCTGACTGGAAGATATCTGGCCTAGGTTTTGCTGGTCCGTCGGACTCAGCAGAATCCAAGTCCAGTCTCCCACCCCTAGCACTGTCTGAAGTCCTTTATCAAGATCCGCGACTGCCATCCTCTGTTCAGCTGAATCTAGACTACACCTCCCCCGATTTCGCCATGGATTCAAACGTCAATGCATCCGCTGACTTGTTCTCCCTTGGACTTATAATCATAGCTCTCTACAACTCGCCTCATGTTTCTCCATTAAAACCCCACGGTAGCGTGGATACATACAAGCGACTGCTCAGTTCTCCATCTTCGACACCGTCTCAGGGCAACAATTTCCTGTGTTCAGGGACGATTCCCAAGGATTTACTGGCGCATGTACTACCAAGGTTGATAACACGCAGAGCTCCACAGCGTCTTAGCGCTCGCGAGTTCCAACAGTCCCAATATTTTGATAATATCCTTGTCTCAACTATACGGTTCCTGGAGTCACTGCCAGCGAAGAATGCGAATGAGAAATCACAGTTCATGCGGGGACTGCAACGCGTTTTGCCAGAATTTCCTGTTACTGTCCTGGAGAGGAAGCTTCTGGGAGCCTTGCTCGATGAACTCAAGGATCGCGAGCTCCTCCCTCTCATTCTGCAGAATGTATTCGCGATTCTGAAGAAAATCCCTAATGCACGCCGTGTCTTTCCCGAAAAGGTCATTCCTCAGCTCAAAGATGTCTTCCCCGTTGGTAAGGGCGCAGAGCGTGATTCGAAAAAGGATGCGGGGCTCATGGTAGTTCTCGAGAACATGAATGTCGTCGCGGACAATTGCTCGGGAAAGGAATTCAAAGATGGTAACACGCTTCAATTGATATGTATTTACATGGCTGACATTTCTAGACATCCTTCCCTTTATCCGCCTCGGGCTCGATTCTCCTACTCACACCCTCGTTGATGCTGCAATTAAATGCTTGCCTTCGATCTTGCCAGTCCTCGATTTTAGCACTGTGAAGAATGATGTTTTCCCGCCAATTGCTTCTACTTTCAGCCGTACCAACAGTCTCGCCATCAAGATACGATGTCTAGAGGCATTCACAGTGCTCTGTGGAGGTTCTGTCGAACAGGAAGATGCTGTTGGAGACGACTTGACTGGTATTGTCGAAAAGAGCAAACCGCAACCTCCAAAATCGTCCATTCTGGACAAATACACCATACAAGAGAAGCTCGTTCCCTCTTTAAAGGCTATCAAAACGAAAGAACCCGCCGTCATGATGGCGGCTCTGGGCGTGTTTCGGCAAATTGGAAAAGTTGCAGACACTGATTTCCTAGCTTTGGAAATTCTGCCTGTTCTCTGGAGCTTCAGTCTTGGACCGCTTCTCGACTTGCGGCAGTTCGGCGAGTTTATGGCCCTTATCAAGAGCATTTCCTCGAAAATCGAGCGTGAACAGATGAAAAAGCTACAAGAACTTTCTTCGGCAGAATCCACTGGGTTCCACAATGGAACCTCTGCCGCCTCAAAAGGTTCAAGCAGCTTTGCGTCGTCTGAGATAGAATCTGGGCGGGACAACTTTGAGCGCCTGGTGCTTGGGCGAGGCGGCGCGGCTCTAAATGGCCAAGAGAATGATATATTTGGTGGGCTGGCCACAGATGCACCATCCTCGCAATCGCCCACTCCACGGCCAAGCTCGACGACATTCTCATGGTCGACAAATACGGGGGTCGTCGGCAGACAGCCCAGTCTCGCCGCGCGCTCCATTACTCCTGATTTCAAGGTGAATTCATTCCCGTCGTTGCAACCTGCTCCAAAGCAAACATCTCCCGCATCAACATTTCCAGCTCTTCAGCCGTCAGCCCCCAATCCTTGGAGCACACCAACCACACCAAGTCATCTACAACAATCGGTGACGAGCGGATCGGGGCCTTCTCTTTCGTCGCTTGCCAGTATGAACCCCACTGTCTCTTCATCCAAAAGCATGCAGGCGGCTCCTAATTACTCTGCATTCTCAATACCACCTCCCCCTGCTACACAACCTCTTAACGCATTTGCAAATACTTCTCAAACCCTTTCCCCCCCGAATACTGGGCAGGCCTCTTCGTTCCTTGCGAACGGTGCAGGACAGTCGCAACAAGCGACACAGAAACAAGGGCTCGACAAGTATCAGAGCTTGATATGATGACAGGGATGGTCATGTCGATTTCTACTCTTTCCTATATTACTTCTCTGTATACTTTCTATATCTTAGCATATGTATGTAGATGATGCATTATTCCCCACCATAGCTTGAACTTTGATTTTTGACCCCGAGCAACGATTCTCTAAAACTCGTTCCCGAAGCACAGTATATTCTACGGTGCCTACTAATGGCAGATATTTCTACTAGAGCTGACTCATTCCTTTAGGCTAGTTGTAACTGTTTTATATTCAGTATATCAGTAGTAGTAGTAGAAGTGCACAGATCCCAACCCCCCCACTTGCGCCAAGCAACCACAGCTGGGGCTCAACCTCCCGAATCTGACGTAGCTGGGGACACTGAGTTAGGCAGCCCGGCTGCAGCGCAAAGCTCCGCGAAACGTATTGATGCTCCCTTTACAAAGAGGGGTATGCAGGCTGCGTTTGCCGCCAGCCTTCCACCGCCCCTCCGCATTCCTTTCACGACCCCTCAACTGCCTCTCCCTCCGACTTTCTTCCACACTCCCAAACACACCGCAAGCGAATTCTTGTACTCCTCCACCTCTCATCATGGATGCCAACGTCAAGCAGCATTATCTAGCCGATTCCCCTCCAACGGTGGTCCGCTTGGAGATCAAGCATCACTTTGACAACCTCAAGGACAAGAACTTGAGGAAATATGCCCACTACATTAGCAGGTATGTTTCTATCGCTCTCTCTAAGCCACGCCATCTAGCTGGTATATTCCTCAATGCGGTCATTTGCGCGTCTCACTCGATAGGGTGCTTCAGGTCGAATGCTCCATTTAGTGAGATGCACGCGACTCGGATTGAGCTTACATTGGCCAGAGCTGTACCATGACTGAATCACTTGTTGCTTTGGATGGTTCTAACATGATTGATTTCCTTATCTAGGGCTGCATTTGAGGGAACTCGTGTTACTCTTCGTCAAGTCTCCCCCGAGTCCGAACCGATCTACGACCTGATCCTGGCATTACATCGCGCCTGCGACGGAAAATGGCCCGAGCTTGCTCAAAGGACGAACGTCAGCGATGAGAACCTTCGCTTCTTCCTCGAATATTCCGCCCAATTTCTTGGAAACTGTGGAAACTATAAAGGATTCGGAGACAGCAAGTTTATCCCTCGATTGCCTGTGGATGCATTCGAGGCATTAGCCTCAGCAACACCTGAAACAAAAGCTGCTTTTGAAAAGGCCAATACTACGGGAGGTGGCATCTACGAGACGTCGGAGCAGTCTCTTATGCATCTTGGATACCCTGAGGCTGGGCACATGACTACGTATTACCCCGACTCGCCGTCGATCACCAAAGATGAGATTACGGCCATTGGGGATTTCTTTGAACAAAAGGGCATGCCCTTGGAGAACACGAGGCTCCGAAAGACCTCCGCAGGAGACTTTGAGCTTCTGCTCGCTTCTGGGGTCTCAAACCCCCCGGCGAGGGATAGGGATCTGGGAGACGTCAGCTCTTTTAATCTGGATGGTGGGCTAAAGGGCAAGAAGGTCACTCTTGTTTTCGGTGATCATAAGGAAGAGATGGCGAAGATTGCGCACAGCGTCAAGCAGGCCGGCCTTCATGCCGCTAATGACATTCAGAAGAAGATGCTGGATGCCTATGCCCTATCCTTCGGGGCCGGTTCTATTGAGGCTATCAAAGAGAGCCAGCGACTATGGGTGAAGGACCAGAAGCCAGTTTTGGAGACAAATCTGGGGTTTGTGGAGACCTACAGAGACCCTCACGGCGTGCGAGGAGAATGGGAGGGTTTTGTTGCATTGGTGAGTCGCCCCGACAGTGAGGCTAAATCTCGGATGCTAATTTTGATAGGTTAACCTTGAGCGCACACGGGCTTTTGGAAAACTTGTTGATAGTGCCGAAAGCATGATCCCCAAGCTGCCTTGGGGCAAAGACTTTGAAAAGGACAAATTCCTTAGCCCTGACTTTACTTCTCTTGAAGTGCTGTCGTTCCAGTCGTCGGGTATTCCCGCTGGAATTAACCTCCCCAACTACGACGATATTCGGCAAAATCTAGGGTTTAAGAACGTCTCCCTTGGCAATGTCCTATCGGCCAAAGCTCCCAATGAGCCCATTCCATTCATCCCTGAAGCGGATCAAGAAGTTTATCGCCGTTGCCGTGATCCCGCTTTCGAAGTGCAGGTCGGTATCCATGAGCTTCTTGGACACGGCACTGGCAAACTACTACAGGAAACCGCCCCTGGGGAGTACAATTTTGATGTCTCCAGCCCACCAATCAGCCCCGTGACCGGCAAGCCCGTGTCGACGTGGTACAAACCTGGTCAAACCTGGAGCTCCGTCTTTGGTGCCATCGCATCTTCTTACGAAGAGTGCCGCGCCGAGTGTGTTGCCATGGCTTTGAGCTGCGATTTCAGCATTCTCCAGATCTTCGGGCTCGGAGATGGAAAAGAAGATATCTCGAATGAGGCTGGTGATGTTCTCTTTGCGTCTTACTTATCAATGGCGCGTGCAGGTCTCGTCGCTTTGGAGTTCTGGGATCCCAAGACCAAGAAATGGGGACAAGCACACATGCAGGCCCGCTACAGTATCTTGCGCACTTTCCTCGATGCTGGTGATGATTTTGTGAAACTCTCATACACCAAGGAGGACCTTTCCGACCTCGAAATTAGGCTAGACCGCTCCAAGATCTTGAGTCACGGACGCCCAGCTGTTGAGAAGTACTTGCAGAAGCTGCACATCTACAAGAGCACGGCGGATGTCGAGGCTGGAAAGGCACTCTACGATGACATCACATCAGTTGATGAGTGGTGGGGGACTGCTTTGCGTGATCTTGTCTTGAAGAACAAGATTCCGCGCAAGGTGTTTGTGCAAGGCAATACTGTTCTAGAAGGCGACGAGGTTATTCTCAAGGAATATGAGCCGTCGCTTGAAGGTATCATTCAGAGCTTTGCGGAGCGCGGTGTCTAAAACGGCACAATTTTGCGTTGATATTTGGAGCTATCAAATCCTGTGTAGCTTCAGCACCGTGCTGCATATGGCTTCATATGGATATTACCATCAATGAATATCACAGCGATCGTGAATGCTACTTAACTAGTGTTTAAAGTTACTCCTTATCAAGACCTTGGATCACGTGCATTTCCCTGATAAGGCAGCCCAGGCCCAGCATGAGCTTCCAGTCGAATACATGGAGTGGTTACAGAGACCTACGCCCAGTCTTGTAGCAAGAACTGTGTGATTTCAAATGGTGAAAGTGGCCAATGCGCGTGTTCAATTTGCCAAGTGTAGTCGTAGCCATCCCCTCGCACTGAATTAGCTTGCTCCGACAACCACTTGCCAGCGCTTAAGGAGGGCCGCCAATGACCTCCGAGCGCTTCCTGCCATCATCTCTCTCCTCTTTCTTCGCCCTTGCCTCACCACTGCTATCGTCTTGCTCTGGAGAAATACTCCATCTGATATTCAACGATTTTTCTTGTATTCATAATATTTGACTCCGCCCGATTGCTTCCTTCTCGGACCTTCATGTACGGACAGACTTATTAGAAGTGGGCTCCTGATCGACAAGAGCAGCTAGAGTCTGGATCACCTCTGATCAACAGGACGACCTCGAGTCAAAGTTGTCACCCCCTCCCCCAGCCGAATTCGCGCAGATTACGGTCATCGAAAAGCGTCCGTACGAAATCTCGACGCCTTGTCGTGCCCACCGGACTCTCGTGGCTCGCCTCCCACGGCGCGGCCGCCTCCCAACCTCAACCTCACGGACCCCGTGGAGGAAGAAGACGACCTCTATACCGCACCGCCGCCTCATTCTCCCTGCTCAGAAGCGTCCTCCTCTAGCTTTTTCTCCCTACGCCCGCCACCGTTCTCGTCGCTCGTCTTTCCTTCGGCGTCTGATCCCCATCGTCCAGAGCCTTCAGCTTTCGAACCGGGTTGCGCTTTTCCCCCGGCCTTTTCTCCCTTATTCTCCGAACAAGAGCCGTTAGAACCAGAGCCATCGTCGGCATTAGTCGCGGACACAAAATCAAACTTCTCAAGAGATCCAAAGGGAGAGCAAGCCGGCAAGAGCGCGGACGACGGAGAACCTCCTCCACCATATACTGAGGGAGACAGCCCTATCGACTCGTTCACATACGTGATGGCGGCGGCAGGAGGCGCATCGAGTATTATTACTCAGGTACAACAGACAGGAGGGCCTCCGATAAACACACTTGGCGGTATGCGCACCCACGCTACTTGGTCGATGGAGTAATGGCTAATTGGTCCCCTAGATGTCAATGGCGACGAGCATATCACTCTTGATCTCCGGTAAGGAGCATGTAATGTTATAGTAACTCCCTATGCTAACTAGGTATAGGGGAACCCGATTCACTCTTTCACGCGATGAGCTATTGACTTTACCGGAGTTTGTCCTCCTATCGCTTTTCCCTAACGGCTTACTTCCGGATGGCCATATGAATGGCTTTCATGAAAGCGATGTATATCCTGTTGATGTAAGTCGCACACAATATCTTTATCTGGTATCAATTGTGCTAATATATCTATAGTACGACCCAGCATCTTTGCAGTACATGCTAGACTTTTTCCGCTCTGTCGCACAGTCTATCCCGTCTTCGCCATCAGCATCACAAGATCTTGATATGTCTTCGGATTCTATGCAAGGTTCCACTAGAGACATGCTCCAAGATCGGGCCGGTATCATCGTCTTACGTGAAGATCTGGACTTTTATGCGATTCCTCCCCGCCCCGACATCGACCATGGAGAGATGGTGGAGGTCAAGCGTTCCGCTGCCAAGGCGCTGTTAAAACAAGATGGGATCTTTTCAGGGCTCAGGAAAAGCGATGAACCCGGCTCCACAGAGCAACATCTCATTGAAATGCTCACTGCAGGGTAAGCTTAACAAAGAAAGTCATTCGTTCTTCACGAACTAATTGTGATAGTGGCTTCGACCGCGAGGATCGATGGGGACACCGTGCTCCAGAGCCCAACAAAGCAGTCATCTGCAGTCTTGCTTTGGCGAAACTGCGGACCGACATTAGAGGCGATTTAGCCAGCAATAATGTCGGCATGGCTCAGAAGCTTCTCCTGTTTTGGCGCAAGCCAGCACGGCGATGCTGGTGGGAAGGCGTTGAGCTAGACAATGTCGAAGGAGTTGAAGGCAAAGTCAAGATCTGGATCCGCAGGGTCTGGACCCTAGAAATGGTAGGCCCGCGTGAACTTGTTGTCAGCCGGTGCGCATTCTAACCTTCTCCCAGAGCGTAATTGGCCTCCGATAGTCTTCTACGGTTGGTCCCGAAGTTTGCTTTCCTTTTCCCTGTTCCGTTACTTGGTATACCAGCGACCATCGCATTCCCTCCCTGCCACTTTCCGATGCATGCTTGATACACACGATTATCAGCATCTGGTCCCCTGTTACTTCAACCCGCGTTTGCGGAATTTACGATATCCCCCTGCTGTCCGAACCTGCACCTATCGACCAAAAGAGTGGCGTATTATCTGTTGGTACTTGCGCATTCCTGTTTATAGTGTTTCCCAGCTGGCCGGCCTGCATGCATTGAATTGTCTGCTTGTTGACAATCCCTTCTCCATGAAGCCTGTCTGTCTGTCCGTCTAGAATCCGCGCTCTACGAGTTGCTAGATGTTAGATGCCTGCGCGCGTTTGTAGCAGCACTACTATATAATACTATCTACTCATCAACGTAAAATAATATCAATTGGTTGAAATACTGGATGAAAGAAAGGGGTGTATATGTTCACGTGATCTGGTCTCTGGAATGGGACTAGCGTTGCAGGGCCTTTGCCAGAACGCGGAGCTTGAGCGCGATCACCGACTGAAGGAGCCCAAGCATCGTTGCGATTATTCCTGGCCAACCCCATCTGAGCACAACCAGAGCCTCACAGTCTATTCGACGAAGAGAGTTAGTTTGCCCGTCGCACTTGTCTAACGCGATACCATCCAACACAACAATTGCCTCTTTTCCTCTCTTTTTTCTTCTCTCGCCGGCACATCCTTGATCGGTCCAATTCGCAGACACTATTTATTTTACTCGCGAATCGCAGCTCAAATCTTCCCCGAAACGCAGTCGCCAAACCACAGGGACATGTTATTGCCCATATAGATGGCCAACATGTCCCCTCTTAGAGGTTATATCACATCTTATCCACCGCGAGTGCGGCAATATGCGAACGCGCTCTTCACGCCCATCATTCCTCAGACCCAAGTTGGCCCGACGCCGCGGACCACAAAACGAGGAACTGCAGCCATCAATTACGCAGAGGATGGCTTCGACGATGACGACTTTGATGATAGTGAGGGTCCTCGGAGGCCTACGGGGCTGAGGAGTCTTCGACGAGAGGAATCCTCCTTCGACAAGGTAGCGCTAGCAGAAAAATTAGGCAAGGAAATCCACGCCCCGGTGGAGGTTCAAGGGGTATTCCGAGATTGGATGATCAAGAGAATGCTACGGCCAGCGTATGTTTTACGATTGACGTGACCATTTCGCAGTCTTTTGCTGATTTGCCTCGTGGTCTTCTTAGGTGTGCCGACCAATTGCAAATACAAGCGCAACTCCCTCTGACACTTATACCCATTCGAATCGACCTCGAGGTCCCAGCGCATCAGCCGTCAGAGCCTTTTGCGATCCCTCGGAATGTGCTTGACCCGGCGATCAACCCTACATTGCCTGCCTATAGGAAACCAGACCCACTGCCTGCTTTTCGGATCAAGGATACTTTTATGTGGAATCTTCATGAGGCCCTCGCAACTCCTGAGGAGTTTGCTCTCGGGTTCGTTCGCGACATGGACCTTCCCAACCAGCAGGCGATGACCGTTGCCATTGCTACACAGATCCGCCAACAATTAGAGGAATATGCTGGTGTCGCGCTGCATCCACTGTTTCAGAGCGCAGCTCCGAAGCCTGCAGCCCCGCAAGCAGGGCTATCGCGAGACGTGTCTTCCACCCCCGCGCCCGTGCATGCCACAACTCCAGACAGCAGGGGCAACACTGTGACCGCGACAAAGGAACCTCTAGTAAACGACAGCATTTTGAACCCAGACGACGCGTATAGATGCATGATCCATTTAAATATCAACCTGCAGAACAAACTGTATACAGACAAGTTTGAGTGGTCGCTTCTACATCCTCCAGGAATGGCGGAGGAATTTGCACAGATTACGTGTGCGGACCTTGGCTTAGGAGGTGAATGGGTTGGAGCTATTGCACACGGAATATACGAAGCAGTATTAAAGTTGAAGAAGGAGGTCTGCGAAAGTGGTGGGCTCATTAGTGGTCTGGGCAGCTACGGGAATGAGATTGATAACCAAGCAGCTAACGGCGCTGAGGCGGGCTGGCGGTATGATCCTGAGGGTCTAGGCGATGAGTGGGAGCCCAAGGTGGAAACATTGTCGAAGGAGGAGATTGAGAAGCGCGAGGGAGACCGCGAGCGACAGATTCGACGGTTACGTCGAGAAACGGCCCGGTTCTCTTCAACCGCTGGTATCACACCAGAGGTTTCGCGGCAAGGGAGCGGTTTCTTTGACGTTGATAGTGAGACACCGCTGGGAAGAGGCGAGCGAAATAAGCGGAAGAGGCGCTTCCGGAGTCTCAGCCCGCTGGGCAGGGGAGGGACACCAGGTGGACGAGGCACGCCGGACACTGGGTCCGGTGCTGGGTATGGTGGAGGCGGTGGCACATTATCCGACTGGTTCGTGTCTTTTCTCTTCTTGTTTATTCCTACACTGACGAAATCAGGGAACGGCAAAACTGGCGATGCAGTAACTGCATGGTTTGGGGCTCCGCGGTGTGGGCTGTACGAGACGGGCCAGCTGGTCCTAGGGTAAGCAAATCCATTCAGCTGAAATTCTTATACATATGCTAATCGAGTCAGACACTTTGTCACAACTGTGGCCTTCTTTACGAGCGAGACAAGGTCGTTCCCGAATGGTCTAGGGATCTGCACCGTCACGACATACCTGTTGGCCGGGGGTGAACAAACGGCAGTTAAACTATTCGATAGAAGCCACGACACCTACATCTTTTAATGTCCGAACAGCTATAATCAATATTTTTACGGACAGGTTGCTTCTCATGGATACGCCCTGGTCCGCGCGGTGCATTATTCAGTTTGAAACATACTTAGTCCATGTACTATTAAGCTTGGCCATGATATCTAATGAACCATTCGTAGTCCCTCCGTGTACTTCTCTTATTCCTGGATACACCCATTCTCAAAGTCATTTCAATATCACCGTTCTAACCGCTTTGTGATTGTTACTTGCCATGGTCGTCAGCTGCCATTAAGTAGTCGCTAACCCACTTTCCTCCTCCAAATCTCTTTCGTGTAGACGCCAGCTTCCACTTCTCCCTATAAATTTTTCTTACCCAAGGGTGCCCTCTTCCTCCTTTCACATTGACAAGGCAACCCTAGGAAGGATCGCGGCTCGTGGGAGTGCTTTATTCGCAGGATTATCCGTATTCGTACCAACTCCTATCTCTCCACTGCACTTCACTTTGCAATACTACTGAAAATTAAAGTATCCCGTGGCAGACGAGTTTTTCCGTCTAAATATTACTACATTGTTTCGTTGTGTGAAGAGCAATAAAAACCAGCGTACTGGATTCGTGTACTTCCAGCCCATCTATAAGAAGCAACAATCTGGTATCTGTCTAGCTATCGCATAAAGTACCACAGGGTCTTTCTTTCCTGTGGCGTGCTCCAGGCACGCGAAACAAGACAGGACAAACCAAGGCCCCTGTGAGGCTGGGTAAACCAAAACGTTATTGCACAATGCTATTGCAGAGCATGCAACGACGCGGAGGACTAGATCACTCTATTCCTCTTCTCTTCACCTCCAGTCAGGGGCTCCTGGATAAAAAAACACAACGTCAGCGCCAGATCGACAACGTAAGATACAAACATAGAACATACCGATTGAGCCCGTCGTTTCCTCCCAGCGGCATCATGATACCGCTTAGCAAGAGGTAAAGACCCAGCTCCGAAACAGACGACGTTTTGAATGCCGTCAACCCTGATCCCGGCGTCGATGTTGATGTTCACCGAGGGAGCTGCGCTGGACCCGGGGCCCGATCCAGGTCCGGATAAAACACCGGACTTCTGGAGCGCGGCGACGATAGCGGATGTTGTGTTTGCAAGTTTCGAGCTTATAGCTGGTGCTGCTGCGGCTCCGGCTGATGGTCTCTCCGGCCGTAGATTCCGAGTACTAGTGCCCTGATATGAGGCATGCTGCTGGTGGACAGAGTCCGACGTGATGATGATGGTATTGGCATCACCCTTGATCTGAATCGACGAGTTGAGGTCAATGGTGAGTGTATTTGAGTTCGCTGCTGGGGCGCGAATTGAGCTTGTAGTTGAGTTTGAGTCTGCTCGGTGCTCTGCTTTTGCTTCGCAGTACTCGTCGTAGTCTTCGTCATAATCGTAATCCTCATCCCAGTCTTGCTCTGAATCTTGAGAGGAGAAAGAAGCTGTATATGGTGGCGGTGCCGGTCGAGTACTCGGTGGAAGGTGTCGCGGTCGGTGAGTGACTGCTGCGAGTTTCTCGAGGTATTGGAGAAGCGGATTGTTCCTGCTATTTGAAGGCGGCAGCATGTTGGCTTGAGATCTGGTTTGGCTCTGTTTTATAGGTACGAAGAAGCGCGATGTATGATCCTCTTTGGCTTGAGTAACCAGAGAAGAAGATAATTGTCGAGATCATCTCTAGCTGCAGCGTTGTAGTATATATACAGCAAATTGCAGCAGAAATAGAAGCGCTAAATCTATTCAAACCCGCCAGCATGATCCAGCGATGATCAGCGGAACAATAGCAATGCGAAATGAAATCATAAGCATATTGGGCACCGTTAAGATGTAACCCCGGCAGTTGATTGACTTCCAAATGAGCTCAATAAGCGAGTGCCAGGCAACAATAGCATCAAGGGTGGAAGCTAGTTATTGAGGAGCTTCCTATTGTTCTTTTGCCCGTCAATAGGGAAGAATATTTCCCGAGGGTTGAATGGGGTCACGTGTTTGAGCATCTCAATAAAGGGCAACAGGATTTGCAATCTAGCATCGCAATGACAAATTAACCTTGAAAGAAGGTATGCTCTTGATTTGGAATTGATCTTCCTAAACGCCAGCAAGTAGGGTAGCCAAGACCCTCTCCTTATGCAGTGTGCTTATCCAATGCAGTAAACAATACCGATCGCTCAAAGTACAGAAACGTGGGTATAAGGAAACAACATGCATCAGCATGTACTTATGCCCAGCGGTCACCATGATTCCAGCTTGCAAACAGCGTGTCGTAGTCGCCCGACCCAGAATGACTAGCTGCCTCGGTGTTCGATGTGTCTGGCGTATTCAACGTTGCGTCGTTGATCGTCGTGGCTGACGTGGTTGTCTCACGAGACAATGGGGGTTTTGAATCTAGTCGTCGCGGTGAACTGTCAGGTCTCTAGGCCAGTGCAATTGCCCGGCGGGGAGGGTCTTTGGCGCGGTATATCGTCAAACTTACTATTCTCATGGGAAGTAACATGGACGTAGTCGTTCTGGCTGGTCGCCCTCCATGCTCGTTTCCCTTCGTCCCGCTGCTGCAGTTTACCTTCCGGGTAGTACTTGCCACCGGGATGTAGAGACTGCGCAGTCTGAAACCTGATTAGCAGAGACAAGCGCCATCTTAGAGATTCAATTATACCAGCGCACGGGTCACGCCAGCCGAAATTTTGGAACAATCACGGACTGGTACTGACTTCGCGAAATTCATCCCCCTCAACTTGGACTTCCCGGTCCCGAATGCGCCGCATTAGCGCCAAGAAATTGCTTTCCCGGAACTTTTGGCTGGTGTCATGGCTGACGCTGTTCAATAGCTGCCCCGCCGTCCGAGCAAGCTCATCCGCATCATTCGCCATCGTTTGCGGATCTTCTCTGTTGGTTTGCGGAATAGTATCCGATCCGATCCGAATTGTCTCTGGAGCCGTTTCCTGAATATTCACTTCCTCGCTGACATTCTTGTCATCTGCCTTAGTCTCCAAGTCGCTGGCTTGCGTCTCAAGTACTGAGGTTTCAAACTGAGACGCCATGTCCGCTTTGGCCTGCTCGAATGCAGCTTCAAAGGCGGATTCATCAAATGCTTCCGTCGCCGAAAATTGATTTGCTGCTTGTGTAGGGGCCAGAGTGCTCATTTGCGAAGCGTTCATAGTATATCCAGGTGCAAAAGATGACTGAAATCTTGGAGTAAATGTTTGAGGCTGTTGAGCAGGTGTGTGCTGCTGCTGCTGTCTCAAAAATTCATTATGCCAACCTTGCTGTGGACCGTCATGCATATGAGCAGTGGAAGGTCCAGGCTGATGTGTTATATGTCGCGCGGGCCCTGAGATGCGTAAACCTTGAAAGTCTGTTGCCCAATTCGAAGCTTCCGGCTGATGGGTCATTGCCATGTGCGGGGCTGGAGGTACAAAGTTGCCTGCATGTTGAACGTTGGGTAACGATCCAGCCAAGAGGTTATTCGACTCAAAAGCGGCGAATTCCGGGTCAAGAATCCCTTCACTGTGGTTCTGAGAGCGGAAGCCCTGCAATCGAAGATGTGAGCACGGAGTACATGGTCCAGAAGCGGGAGCGGCGTACCTGGGATGGAGACTGTCGTGAGACTAGTCTGTCTTGCTGCAGCGTCCTGTCAACAGAAGTATGCTTCTGGAAGTTCTGCAGAGCGTTCGACGGGCCACACAGAGCGTCACTCATGATTGCCGATCGATATGATGTCCCAGTCTATACAATAAGGTAGGTCTATCCAAGCAATATCCTGTCGCAGACAAAGCGACCAGCACTCTAGACACTTGACGTAGTGTAGGCAATAAGTAGAATAGGAACAACGAGAGAAAGGGCAATAATAATGTCAGGAATCAAGAAAGGTGAGGAGCAGGAGAGTCGTGGGCAAGAGGCAAGACCGGGAAACAAACCGAGGCCCGATTCTCACGTGCCGAATTAGCTGAGTCAGCGGCCGATAAGATAAGATCCCACAGCGAAACAAGCCCGAAACGGACCAGCTGGTGTTTTGCTGCTGTTTGGGCCATCGCTCTGTTGATATCACCTCCGTCACGATCACATTCCCCCATCTTTTTCCTGCACCTTTTGTTACTGCCATAGAGCTGCAGCTAGCCCGACATGGTATGTCTCCGTTACCAGTTATTTCGAGTCGGCGGGGCTGGGTCCTGAATTGACTAACCTCCCTGCTCCTGTTCTAGGCGGCCGCTCAAGTGATTTCGAATTCTGGCCACGATGATATGATCGTACGTTGCGTCAAGCCTATTTGTGCTACACCATCTGACTTTCTGTCGCTCTACAGCACGATGCCGGTCTTGACTACTACGGCCGCCGATTGGCGACGTGTTCATCAGACAAGACGATAAAGATATTCGAGATTGAGGGCGAGACACATAAGTTGGTCGAGACCTTAAAGGGGTGAGCTTTGATCATTCCCGGTTTTACGCTCCCGATTCTAATAAAATGCCCACAGCCACGAGGGTCCAGTATGGTGTGTCGAATGGGTATGTCCACGAAGCTATAACCGTTGAAAAACATCACTTTTGCAAACATACCTTCTGAGCGACCCAGTCTAACGCGCCTTCTTTGGCCTATAGGCACACCCGAAGTTCGGCACAATCCTCGCGTCCTCATCTTACGATGGAAAAGTGCTCATCTGGCGCGAGCAACACCAAAGCTCCACGGCGCCTGTTAGCGGCGGCGCCTGGACCAAGGTCTTCGACTTCTCTCTCCACACCGCTTCGGTTAACATGATCTCGTGGGCTCCCCATGAGACTGGATGTCTTCTCGCCTGCGCTTCGTCCGACGGCCATGTCAGTGTCCTCGAGTTCCGCGACAACAGCTGGACACACCAGATTTTCCATGCGCACGGCATGGGCGTCAACTCAATTAGCTGGGCCCCCGCCGCTGCTCCGGGTAGTCTGATCAGTTCCAGCCCAGGACCCGGCCAGCAGCGGAGGTTCGTGACGGGTGGAAGCGACAACTTGCTTAAGATTTGGGACTACAGGTATGGCTTGCTGTTTTATGTCGAACAGATCGGCTACTAATAATACTTAACAAGCCCCGAAACAAAGACCTACAACCTCACACAGACACTGGAAGGGCACTCCGACTGGGTTCGGGACGTTGCCTGGTCACCCAGCATACTCTCCAAGTCATACATTGCCTCTGCAGCGCAGGATAAGACAGCTCGTGTCTGGACCGCCGATGCGTCAAACCCTACACAGTGGACGAGCCAGGTGCTCGAGTTCGACACTGTTTTGTGGCGGGTAAGTTGGAGCCCCAGCGGGAACATTCTCGCTGTGAGTGGCGGAGACAACAAGGTCAGCCTGTGGAAGGAGAATCTGCGGGGGCAGTGGGAGAAGGTGAAGGATATCGAAGAGTAGCAGTGCCTTTCCACCTAGCCATTCTATTGCCCTATCGTCTTTTCTCCCTACCAACCCTATACCACGCATCATCACGGATAAACCGGGGTTTCCTTTCGCTGTATCTCATCTTCAATGTCGCCTCCGAAGCAACTATCATAATACCAAGTATCAAACAAACATTCTATCTCACATACGTTGTATATTCTTGCACATCTGGTTGTAAGGAAGTCCGAGGAATCCGAGGCCGGCCTTTGAATTGACTGGAACGGGCGAGTGGGTCCCGTGGCTTCCACCGATCTTTACCCCATAAATAGATCAGTCATGGCCTTGTCCTCCACCTTACCTCCTCCCTGGTTGCAGGGCCAGCTGATATTTATATCTATCGACGGTCGATGCTCACGACAGATGTTTCGAGGAGCCTACGGTAACAAGCCATGAGCAGCAGAGATGAGAGCGATAGCTCCACCCCCGACGCCCCTCTCCTCGCCGCGGAGAGCCCAGGAAGGCAGCATGATAGCCAGGCAAGCCAGATCCCCGAAGGCAACACAGAATACTCGAGCGGCCGGTTTATATGGTCCTTGACTTTCTCCGCTGGTATTAGTGGGCTCCTTTTTGGTTATGAGTATGTTGGCGCACATCGGTCTCGCGGTAGGATTAGACTGACACCAAAACAATGTTAAAGCACCGGCGTCATCTCTTCTACCCTCGTATCTATCGGCTCTGATCTGTCGAATCGCCCTCTTACAACCTTGGATAAAAGTTTGGTTACCTCATGTACGAGCCTGTTCGCTTTGGTCGCCAGCCCGCTGGCCGGGATTTTGGCGGATAAACTTGGCCGAAGGAGGGTTATTCTTGTCGCAGACATCTTGTTTACTGTCGGCGCATTCATACAGGCTGTAACGAATGAGGTATGGGGTATGATACTTGGGAGAAGTATTGTTGGTCTCGCAGTTGGCAGCGCGAGCTTGGTTACTCCACTGTAAGCCTAATGTTTTGAGGCGCGGAATATATCTGAACTGGGAGTTAACATATAGCGCAGATATATCTCAGAACTGGCACCGTCAAACGCAAGAGGGAGGCTGGTTACAATATTGAGCCTGTTTATCACTGGGGGTCAGGTGATCGCGTATATTGTCGGCTGGCTATTCTCCTACATGAGCGGAGGATGGCGCTGGATAGTGGGCCTAGGGATGCTCCCGGCCGTCTTTCAGCTCGTCATTGTTGTGGCGCTGCCCGAAACCCCTCGATGGCTGGTACAGGCAGGCTTTGAGAACAAGGCCATGGCTGTTTTGTCAAAGGTCTACCAGAACAACACGGATAGCGACCAGATAGCGAAGCAAATCTTGCGGAATATACAGCAGGAAGTTGCTGAAGAAGAGTTGGGCCAGAGCAAGTCTACAACAGATGGTGTACAGTGGCTTGCAAGCGTCAAGCACAGAGCGCATGACCTATTCTTGATTGGTGCCAACAGGAGAGCGTTGACAATCGCCATGATGCTGCAGGCGTTGCAGCAGCTCTGCGGGTTTAACAGCCTGATGTATTTCTCTGCAACAATCTTCTCTCTTTTGTCGTTCTCTTCGCCAACACTCACCTCGTTGTCCGTGGCCATGACCAATTTCCTCTTCACGTTACTTGCATTTGCATATATCGATCGAATTGGGCGCCGCCGGATCCTCCTTTACTCAATACCTGTCATGGTCATTTCACTCTTCGTCTGTGCCCTCACATTCTCCGCAGTGACGCTGCCCAAGATCTCACCAGAGCACGCCGCCCGTGATGCCGCGACGGAGAGCTCTTTTCTTCCAGTCATCATCCTCTTATGCCTTACTGTCTATACCGCCGCGTATGCTTTTGGGCTTGGGAATGTGCCGTGGCAGCAATCAGAGCTCTTTGCTCTCAATGTGCGCTCATTGGGCTCCGCGATCGCCACTGGAACGAACTGGGGCTCAAACTTCTTAGTCGGGCTCACATTTCTCCCTATGATGGAATTGCTGTCTCCCAGCCTGGTGTTTTCGCTATATGGGATAGTTTGTGTTGTCGGCTGGTTTGGCGTACGGGCTATCTACCCTGAAATGAGCGGACTCAATCTGGAAGATGTAAAGGCCATTCTAGCTGACGGTTGGGGTATGAGGGAAAGTTTAGCAAGAGCTCGCAGCAGATCTCGTTGATTCATATTTTGGTTTAGGAAAGTTGGGTAGTTCGAATAGAGTGTTTTGGTCACAAGTTTGTGTCTTAATCTCCTTCGACATCACTTTTGATTTGACCAGGGACTCTGGAGTCCTTGACCTCCCCGCAAGACCCTTCATCACGGTTCAAATTTGAGTCGCCTGAGCTTCTTATCACTTTGTGGTGTAGAATCTCACTGACACGCCAGACAGGACAGGTATAACAAGCCCACCTTCCAAGCTTTGCACCTTCAACTTAATCCCCTCACGTGTGTTTGCGGAGTGTGCCTTCAATTCAAGGCAACCAACCAATGCCATGTCAACTCTCTCACTAAGGTTCATGTCTACACTCTGAGGAGGGTTCTTGCTGAAAACTCCCAAATTTGATCAAGTGCTTTTAGCGCCACAAGCCCACAAAAATATTCCCACCTTTTCCCATCTCCAGTGCTCCACGCACGTTACCGATTCATACTAGTGATCATTTCCCGAGCCCACTCCCTTGAAGTTGAATCCATCTATCATTGATTATTTCCAAGTCTCAAGACTCCAGGGCACCCCGTACAATATAAGACAACGTTATGGAGACCCAGAAAGAGGATACGATCGTCGACTTGGTACCCGAATTCCACGATGCGGAAAGAGTTGCCCTTCTCACCAGAATCAGTGGTTTAGCCGATATTCAAGCAGTCGACAGCGGGACTTGGGGCGTGCCTCTGGCTCGCCGACCTTGAGCGCTTGTATGAGCTTTTAAACGAGTTTGAGGACAATCGGCCGGGTCTGGTGTATGCTGCACTCAGCAGCATTGAGAATTCCCGAATGCTCCGATCGTGTAAGTACTAACCATGAATAAGCATTCCCCATTCTACAAATTGTGAGAGACACTTTTCACGAATGAGTAATAACGCGACTTAGGGGCGGCTCGTTCTCGAACACGTGATGACGATGTTCAGCCAGCTGAAAAAAAGAGGAGATACGAGGAAGACCAATCGGAGACGACCCCAGCCGACCAGCCAACTTCTTCACTCAGACGGTCAGAGAAAGCTAAGAAGTTGGTAAGCTTATCCTTCTTTTTGAATACCCGCAAACAGATCTTTCCCGCTTCCTATGTAAATATAGAATCAATACTAACATATGATATAATAGTGCCTCCTCAGAGACAGAGAGACTTGTCTGATTACTAATGCTTCAGAGCCCATTGAAGCATGCCACATATTTCCCTCTGCCATGGGAATGCCAACTGGGGATGCAAAGTCAATTTTTTGGGGAACTGTCTCCATTTTCTGGACCACAGCGCAATTGACAAATGGAAAGATAAAGTCTTTGGAGAACAGCGGACAGAGGTTGTCGAGAATTTGATGACCCTGTGCGCGAACGCTCACCGATTATGGGGGAGGGCGAGATTTGCCTTTAAGCCCATTGAGATGTCTGCGGACAAGAAGACCTTGACAATTCGGTTTTTTTTGGCTGCCGAATCGACGTTTCACCAAGAGACAGAGCATCAGCGAGGCGCTAACCATTCCCGCGACGCTTGATTCTGGTGCCGGAAATGCCAAATTTTTCGATCATTTGACGGATCAGAAAATCTGTTCCAACCACCAGATAGTGTTGACCACTGACGACCCTATCAGCAAACCCCTCCCCTGTGTTGAGCTGTTACAAATGCAATGGACGCTAAATCGACTCATCGCAATAAGTGGTGCGGCCGATATCGATGATAGCGACCTGGACAGCGATGACGACGAATCTACTGCTGAGGCTGCTGAGCACCAGCATTCGCAGGAAAATCACCCTCTTTCAGCAGTTCCTGCCCGAAGTTCTCTCCCTTCGTCCAAGACTCGTGAGAACGCTATACTCGCACACCGCTCTGCCTCCCTGAGATAAATGGACTTTTTCTCTAGACCGCAAAGCCAACGCATAGCACGGCGGCATGCTCTCGTCGTGGTGTTTTCGTCGCGTATCAAAGGCCAGGAATTCTTCTTGCAGAGTATGAAGACTTGATGCAGGGAAATATGCAGGCGGGTGGGGAAGGAAGGGGCAAGATCAGAAGTCCTTCTTCAACGAGCCCTGTCCGCCGCTAGACTTTGTAGAAGATTTCGATCCGATTTATGGGTATGAAGGTGTTATTGTTCCAGTTGGCGCTTTGACGGTTGGGCACTGGGTGGATATGATGCCAAATGATCTGGAAACGGGGTATACACCTACCGGTCCTTTTATCTCTTGGTGTATGTAATGGTAACGGAAGGGTGGAAGATGCTGGCAGATTTAGCCATTGATTGTCCATGGGACTGAGCATTTTAAGGGCAGAAGAGGCACGCCCAGCACTTGAGAAGAGCAGTGCTCACTTCATTTGTATTGAGTGCATAGCAGAAGGGCATGGGGGGATTCTGCTTCCTATCCAGTATTTGATCAATCTGATTCTCGACTTTTAGACTACCTAATGAGCCGCCGCAACACCAGCCTCATTGGCCTGCGCACTAATCTTCTTTTTGTACGCGTCAACCGTACCATCGAACTTTTGTACCGTTCCCTTGTCACAAACCCAGAGGCTAGTGCAGACATTCCGCAGCATCGTCACGTCGTGAGAGACCATAACAACGCCACCATCGAATCTCTGCAACGCCTCGGACAGCGCGTCCATACCCTCAATATCCAAGTGGTTAGACGGTTCGTCGAGAACAAGAATATGTGGGTTCGTCAGGGACAAGCACGCGAAGGCGACACGGGATTTTTGACCTCCGGAGAGCAGCTCCATGCGCTGGAGACCGGTCATGCCGGTTATACCGAAACTAAACATTTGAGTTAGAACGTTCTCTAAAATGAAAGACATGATGGAGCTCAAAGATGGATAGGGACAACGTACGCTCCGAGGTGACGACGATACTCTTCGTCTGTCTTTCCAGGATATGTCTTTGCCATGAAGCTCACAGCGCTGGTGGTCATGTCCAGAGCATCGACGTGGTGCTGCGCAAAGTATCCGATGCGAAGTTTGCCGTGCTGCGACATGAGACCGGAGGTAGGTTCGAGTGCGCCGGTGAGCAGTTTCAGCACTGTCGTCTTACCGGCACCGTTGGGTCCGACGATACCAATACGCGAGTCGAGTTGTACATCGAGATCGACGTTCTTCAATAGGGGCTTTTCTTTTGTGTATCCGAAGCAGACATCGGTCATTTGCACAATTGGTGGAGAAAGCTTCTCGACATCTGGGAACTTGAAGTGCACGACATAGTCGCTTTCTGGCGGAGTGAGGACAGGCATCCTCTCCAGCTTCTTAATTCTTGACTGCGCTTCGGATGACTTGGCGGCGTTGTATCGGAATTTATCGATGAACGCTAATAGAGTTAGTGTAAACTGTCGAAAGGAAAGGCAGAGGACCAACCTTGCAGATGCGCCCGTTCAGCCATTTGTTTCTCATACTCGCGCTTGGCGTTCTTCTTCCTCTCCTCCTTTGTTGCGTAAAAGGAATCTACACCGTCAGCATCGTCTTTACGAATATTGCGCGTGAGACTCACCAAAGTTGGCTCCCTTGTAGTAGTCGAGACGTTCAGAGTGTTGATGAATAATATCAGTGGCAACTTCGTTCAAGAACGCTCTGTCGTGAGAAACAACTAGAACAGTGCTTGGATATCCTTGCAGGTAATTGGACAAGAAAGTAATAGATGGCACATCCAACATGTTGGACGGTTCTATATCACGTTAGATCATATCCAAACGTAAGAGGAGACAACTCACCGTCCAGAAGAAGTAGGTCAGGTTCACAAAACAGAGCTCGAGCCAGGGCGAGACGCATACGCCAACCACCAGAGAATGTCTTTGTCGCATATTGCTGTCTTTCAGGGGAGAAACCAAGACCAGCCAAGATACTAGCTGCTCGTGATTCTGCCTTGTCTGATTCCATCTCTGCAAGTTTTGCGTGGATATCGTTGAGTGTGATGTCAAGACCCTCTCGCTCGTGATCAAGTCTGGCAGCATCTTTAGATGTATCGGCCATTGACGATCTCTCTGCTTCAATGGCTGCGAGTTGTTTGGTGATTTTCTGCACAGTTAGTGAGTGTAAGAGTACCAAAGCATGGATCCACCAACATCTTGATCAGCAAGGAGGCGCTTGCGCCACACGTCCGCATCCAAAACGGCTTGAATAGCCGGAGTATCATCACCTCGGATCTAAAACAGTCAGTACAAGCCAATCACCTTGAGAGACAAGCACTTACTTCTTGTTCGACGTGGAGAATCGAAATATGACTAGGAATGGCCACTTCTCTGCGACTTAGAGCGCGAAGAAGCGTACTCTTACCGATACCGTTCTGACCAACAAGACCATACCGACGACCATACGCCAGGGTAAACGCAGCATCTGTAAGAATGCGGTTGCCGCCAATAGAGATATCGATTCCATCGAGCTTGATGTCCTTGCTCTTTGCCTGAGAATCCGATCCTAACTGAAGGGGGTTGACAGCCATGTAGAACTCCTCGTATGACAAGGCGGCGTCCGGCTCGTCGAGCAAGCGTGATGCTTCGTACTGCACAGTCTTCATCTGCTTCTTCTCCTGTTTGGCGCGAATCTTGCGCTCGGCCTTCTCCAGCTTCTTACGGTCAACGCGGGATTCCATCTTTCGCGTACCTACAGACTCCAAGTCGACATTTCCTCCAGCAAGGCCCAGAGTCGAGGAGATGTTGCGCTGGGATCCGACATTGATTGCCTGGTCGAGCTTTTTGGCGGCAAAGGGCATCTGCCTGCGCTCTGCGTCGACGCCGTCTGATGCACCAAGTGATGAGATGAATTTCTCGACGAGGTCGCGGATGGCTTCTTGGTTCTGGTCTGAGAAGTCACCCGATGCAGATACCAGTAGCTCTGTGACCATATCAGCGGCCTCGGTTAGCGGGGACGGCGCATTTGCGTCCTCAACGTAGGCTTCAGAAGCATGAGTCAAATAGCCCTGTGTGTCATCAGTTTCTGTTGCAAGGATGTTTTATTGCAATACCAGCACTTACAACTGAATACTCTGTAACCACACGGTCAAGTCCGGGGATCTGAGCCTGCAGTTCCGCCTCCATCTTGTCGGCGGGACGGGTTGAGAAGGACTTTTGTAATAGTGATACACCTTCAAGAACGCGATTCTATACAGAGTTCAGCCTATGCTTTTGCGCTGACAGAATGGTTATTATTCTGTCCGTTGACTTGGTCGAGACTCGCAAGACTTTGAAGTGGCGGAATTGTGGAGCAACGATTCTTCAACTGTTTGCATTCGGACCGAAAAGCCACGGGCTCCTCACGGAATATCGTGCACTCATAATGAGTCATGTCTCTTGATTTCTGGGTCTGAGCTGACACCTATTTATTCGATTTGTGGCATAACAAGCCTTAATATATCATATTGTTACGATCTCTTGATTCGCATATCTAGTCACGTGAAACATTCTAAGTCACGTGATATTGGACAAATTATAAGCGATGCCACTGGCCAGCGACGAGATCATCTAGAACCTTTGGCTAAAAGACACATCCTCATCAAACTCCTTCGTATATAGCCTCAGTATCGGAAGGGCCTGGACACAAAGCATACACTTTGCCTAGCCGATCAACTACAATTTGTCCATTGAAGCCCAAGTGCAACAACGATGCGATCGGACCCAGAGTCCAGAAGGCTCGGTGCGGTTCAAATCGCAAGGATTACCCTCCTATCTTCTCTTTATTACTGCGTTAGTTAGGGGGCCTCTCGGCGATCAACAGTAGGCATTTGTCAATGAAGGCCGTGCCATCCTAGCTTAGCGTTGCCAATTGATGCACAGACACTCATTTCGTTTCGTTGTCCAGGGTGATGGCCCGAAGGGAATAACCAAGAGCCAGATGCTGGTGGTTCCCATCACAGGTTGTTTTGATGTTGACTGGGTAAGAACAAAGGGGCAGATGAGCTAGGACAATGGTCTCAACTAAGATCTTCGTCATGTATCCTCGAGGCAAGGGCGTCTTGTTGAAAGCTGCACAGGGACAGGGTTTCAGAGCGCCGACCATCCAGTCAGTGTCCATGAGGAGAGCAGCTTATCGGCAAGGGTAAGAATGCAAAGAATGGAGCAATGTGAAACATTATTGAAGCATTTTGGAATCTGACAGCAGCTAGGCGGTTCAGCAACTGGCGGGCCCATAGTCATCATTAGCGTTTCTGTGGTGTTTATACTCTTGTGAGGCTGTGTGGCTAGTGCGCGTCTTGAGAGGAGTCGATGGAGATTAGATGGTTTTATATGCCGCGATATGCCAGGAAGCGAGAAACGAAGGCACAAGGGGATGAGAGTCACCGAATCTCCATATCTGCTGTGAGGTGATAATTAAATCGGCAGAAAACCGCCAAAATAAACTCCATCGCGATTTACGTCATCATGACGAGAGGGATCAACAGATGCAACCTCGAAGGCTGGAATCTTGAAGTGGAGGGGATTCAAGATTCGAGAAGCTTGGCCACGTTCTCGTGTGTGAAAAAAAAAAATGGGTACTCTTGACGACGATTGTTACATCTGTGCTCAGATAATGTGTCCTCTGGAAGTTTGAAGTAACGAACAACTGTCTGCTCATTGCGCAAGCAATGTTGGGCAGAAGGACCTTCTCCGCGCGAGCTAAAGATGCAGCATACCACATACATATAGTATCAGGGACTGGAGAAGTTAGAACAACACAGCCGAACCTTGGAAGTGTCCCGCGGTACCTTGTCTGCTCTGGAGAACCTGTGGGAACACAAAACAGCAACCACGGAAAATAAAACCCACCTTCAACTGCGATCCAGATCTCGCAACTCGGCCGGTCAATTAATTTCCACCAAATCATTCAGCCAGCCAAGTTGAGAGGATCGAGGGAAGTGGGGATCGTCCTGGCGAGCTGCAAAACTCCTTGGACCTTGGGATTCTTGGAATATTCCGCTCTACCGTAGCCCCGTAGTCAACGCGCTGATGACGAGGGCAAGGCTTCCGATGATGTGACAACAGGCCGCGTTCGAGGGCCATGTGCAATGTTGACAGTACATAGTCACAATCAATGGAACACTCGCTCCTCTGATGCACAGTTAGCATCAATCGACGTGGACAAGGGAAGCAATTATAGCCAATACAGAGCTCGTCGGTACGATCTATTATTACCCGCCTAGCCGACGATGATGGTGGTCTGGGCCAATAGCCGGCAAGGGATGTCGACAAGGAACAGATGAGCTGAACAATCCCTGATTCCCTACGGCGCCCTGGTTTCATCTTTGCCCCAGTTCAGTGAGAAAATTCCCTCGCTTTGCCCCATCGGAACATCGTGCACTACTCCTGCCAGTCCTGCGTCCAGCCGTCCACGCAGTGGAAACGAGGAATCATGTCTCGCTCAATTAATCTATTTAGCTTGTCAAGGGCTGCCTAGGTATTGTTTGTTTACTTTTGGTCGTGGTTCATCCCAGATGAAGAGTTGAAGCCTGAAGATCCCGCGAGCCGGAAAATAAAGGCGTCGTTTGAGTCAGAGACTGGCATTGTCAATCGATTGCATCGTCAGTCACAAGTTTGCAGATAGATCTTAATTGATAGGGCAGCAGTGGCCGTATGCCGGAGCAGATTCATACATGTCCGTTGTAGATACAAAATAGCTAGTTTTGAAGTTTATAACACACGGGATGAACAGACCTTGTTTGCCAATAGTCTGAAGGTTCGCTCCCTCGTCCCCAATTCCCACCGTGTACTGTTCTCAACTCAAGGCCGGTATCACCGAGATCGAGTCTTGTCCTTTGGCTGGGGGTGGAACTCCTAGCGTGCTCCATTCCTCTAGTCAAGTCTCCTCGAACCAGAGGCCAAAGTCCCACTCCGCGGCTTTGTTGACTTGATCTCCAGCAGTATTACTCTGATACTTCTTCCGCTCCTCTTCCTGATTATTCCCAGCTGACGGTCGCGTTCTCTCCCAACCGATAGGGTCAGGAAGAACTCCAGGACACTCTTTCCGACCCTCTCGGTAGCAATCTCACTTCTCTCCTCACCATTCCTTCTCTCGTACCTGACATTCTTTTCGATCTGCGTCCATTCCTTTGGCCTCTAGACTCCAAGCTCCGACCCGACCTACCACTCCGCTCAATTCTTTCCCCTCATCCTTAAACACGCCAGGTTCACGCACCTTTCAAGCGCACTATTGCGTAGCGAAGAATACAGCTTCTATTTGTTCCATTCGTGATAGTTGGCGTTGTGATCGGGGAGCGTCCTGTCGTCTGCCTCGCCGATCAAATACTCCTATCTCTTCTGATGTGTCCAGCCACCTGAACCTACCTCGTGCATGATAATGCAGATGGGATGTCAACTCCTCCACAATTTATCAATGTCCCTCATCTAAGCCTCATGATACTTGATACTGCTCCTGCCCTCCTCTGAGAATGGAGCATGTATCGACGGTGAGTTTACCCTTGCTCTCTTGTCAATTTCCCACCAGCGCACACCCGCTCTGTTCCCCGCCACTACTTTACGGCTGTCTTGGGGGCTTGCAAGCTATCGTGCTATTACTCCCTGCTTGTGCTATCGAGCTGGCTAATTAAAAACTTCAGCTCTGTGCGATTAGCACCGTCGGTATCGCGGCCACCGGCTTTGCGCTCGGTCGCGCTGAGCGAGCGCAATTTCTGGAGCCGCAACACGCTCCTTTACCAGCCACGTATACGACACCTCTTTTCTTTCAAAACAACGACTCAAGACCCTCTAAAACGTTTGCAACGGCCGAAACTGAATCCCCGGTCACTGCTGCTAGTTTCTCGGAAGCTCGAGAGAATGCCGCTCTTTACACGGAACAAACTGAAGATGGGATTTTTGCGCGCAGAAAAACATCATTTGCTGGAGTAAGATTGCGGCGCCGTGGACAAACCCTTACCTTGCCGCCTCTACGAACCGACGATAATACACCAACTTCCTCACATACCCGACGACCCTCATCTTCCTGGATTCGGCGGTTATCATTCCAGCCAGATAAACGTTTCTCACTCCAGACGCCAGACTCTCCGTCGTTCCCAGAACCAGCCAGCCCAGCCTCCTCCTCGTCCCGCCCCTCCAGCCAACGCAGAGCACCCAACAAGCTCGTGAAGCGGCCGAAATCTCAGCATTCAAATGCGAACCCTTTCTTCGCACACACGGTGTCTTCCCCTTCGTTTCCCAGCGCGCTACGCAGACCCGCAACAAGTTATCAACGATCGGAGACTTCCAAACACAAGGCAACTCACAGTTTAAGCTTTGAACCTAGCTTGGCTTTGAACACCGTTTTGGAGCCCACGAGCAAACCCCCTGGAAATGACGACTGGAGACCATATATATCGCCAAGCTCTGATACGCTTTCCGAGCGAATGACTCGTAGGTTTTCGACGGCGACGAAACCCAGGGATCCAAGTGTGCGGCGCATTCTTCCGCATACCGATACTGCTCCAACCCTTCTCCTCGCGACCTCAATCGCGAAGAAAGAGACCGCAACGGAAGTCGCGATAGACCCGTCAGTCGAGTTTCGTGACCCGTTCAAGGAAAGCCCACAAAATCCCGAGAAGCCATTGGGGGAGCAGGGTCAATCGCCACCTGAAGAACCATGTCCAAAGTCGCCAGCAGATGATGCAGCGCCATTGGATATTAGAGTGTTTCGTAACGGATCATTTGCAGGACCGAAGCGGAGAGCAGCGTCGACCCCTCTACCCAACATGCCTAATGTAGAAGGGGCTATCTGGGTTTCCCCGCGAGCCCCCGGAAGACGTAACATTACCGATCCCAACGTCTTCAGGCGGCCGCCGACCACGTCGGACGTTGATATCTTCAGCTCGGGTATCGTGGGCCGAAAATCTAAGGTGGTTTCGTCTTATCGCAAAGAGTATTCGGCTGATTTAGGCTCATTTCGTTATCGAGACGTCAGCCGTCATACTTCAACTGACTTGTATTCCTTGAGGGGCTCCCTTCGTCGGCGACCTAAACGCCATTCTCTTGCTGCTTCGGACCCGGCATCAACTGTCATTGGCTCTGACGACACCCGAATATTCACCTCTGGTGATGAGGATGACACCGACTTTTTGAGCGACACCGCGTTCGACTCGATTCGCACCCATATGACCACTGACAGTTCTTGTTTTCAGTCACCTCGGATCGAAACTATCTTTGACAGAACATTCCCTCCAGAGATCGTTGATGAGCCGCCCGCAAGGCAAACCCTACCCGGCTCTTTCGTTCGCCCATCGATTCAACCTAGCAACCTTGAGTCGCAACGGGAAGCGCCATTGACTCTAGTCACGCGAAATCTTGCAGAAGTCCATGAAGGAGACAGTCAAATATCGTTTCCCTCTGACCTGAGTGATGACGAAGATTCTCAAAGCATGGTCGCCTCGTTGCCGGGGGACAAAACTATCCGCCCTTCACTGGCACTAGCAAATTTCGGCGCAATGTCTTTGGGAAACAACGAAGAACTTAATCATTCAAATACACCAAATTTGGCGGCATTAATGGATGAGTGTCAAGATGCGTCTCGAGATACATCTCCGAGGATGAATATCTTTGACTGGTCCGAGCAGTCAAGGGCTGACCGCGAGGGCTCCGGGCCCGATGGGCGTCCGCGAACTGTACATGGGAAACATGGTCCTGCTGGCATTCGTGGCAGTCGAGCCACTGGGCGGAAAGCGCCCAATACCTTGCATTATCGAAGCCAGAGTGTCCCGGTTGCGAGGGAACCCGTCGTTCTTCACAACGAGTCCCGGCAAACATCAGGCAAATTTGGAACTTGGGGATTGGGTAGCAAAGGCGTCAGTGAAGACTGGGACAGTGACTTTGAGTTTGAAGACAACAAGGAAGAGACTACAATGAGCGAGAATGTGAAACCGAACAAAGAGACGAACCGTCAAAGCGTGGTGGTACCTCAAGCAATCATGGAGCGCCAAGCTAGCCTCCATGGGCAATTCGGGCAGGTTCAAGAACTGACTCTATTAGTTGAGGAGCTTAAGCGGCTCCGGCATCAAGCAAGCTTCCTGAACATTGTCCGGGGCCCGTCAAGTGAGCTCTGGAAAGAAGCTGAAGGAATCGTCGACCTAGCAACACTTGACGACGATGACGACAACGATGGCAGCCACTCACCCCCTCGATCTCCGACCTCGCTCACTTTCAGCTTCGATGACTCTGAAGTCGAGTCTTCCAATATGAACAATGATCCTTGGAAGCGTGCCAGCGGCGAGTCCTGGAGAGCGTCACTCTCGGAAAACACGGCCGCCCGCGCAACTACCTCGTTTGGGCCAGATCTAGCTGTGCTGTCTACCAAAACAAATTCTGTCTTAGATCTGATCTATCACCAGCGTCTCTCTCAGGACCCCACTGTTATGAATCCTTCTCACCTTCCACGGTCAAAGAAACTCCCTTTTGACACGCAGTCTTTACGGGACCTTGTGGTCCGGGCCGGTGTTGTAACCCGTGCACTCAAAGAAGTGGTCCGAAAAGCAGAAGGGGTTACGAATGGCTCCGAAGAAAACACACGCCCATCCCATCCGCCATTCAGCCGCATATTCGAGCATCCTTCACATGACGATCTTTCGAATTTTGAGACATCCTGCGTTAGTTGAGACGTTTGGCTTTTTCATGCTTTGCCGAGCTCTATACCCTTTTCCTCTCTATATCTAATTGTACCCTTTCAAATGTTTAATGACTCTTCCGAGCATATGGGACGACATGACCGACAATAACTGTTACAAGACTTTCCTCGCCTTATTCGACTATCCTTCTCTAACCGACCAACTTACATTTCGATTTCTGATTCGTTTTGCGACGGAGTAGGAGTTCCTTTTCTGGAGTACTCTGTTTCTTTTCTTTCTCTTCTTCCACCACTCAGATATGTCTCTTTTTGTACAACTGATCCTGTTGGTGTATATCCACACCCCTCCGTGGGCTCTGTCTTGTGTACCTTGGGAGGCTCTTGTGAATGTCTGGGCTTGTTGGTGTTACTACTTTCTTTCCTTTTTTTTCCTGTCATAAACTGGTGTATGATGGATGGATATCAGGGTTTAATGGTACATGATAAAAAAGAACAAAAGAGATAAGATGATCACCTGATGAACTGAATTTGTCTCTATAATACTGTAGAACCAGTATAGTACCTTGATATATCGGAAATGAATTTCACAGGTGTACCGCAAGCACCCGGTAAATCATAGTCGATGCCATATTATGTAGTTTGGATCAATATGTACGTCAACCCAAGCAACCAAGTATCACCAAAATCAAATGCAGCACAGGTTCCAACCCAGTTGAAATATAAGAAACAGCGGGTATCTCTGTCTATAAACGCGCGCACTTAAATGCAAAAGGGTATATCAAAATCAAAATGAACTGACAAGCCAAGAAACAGGAAGAAAGGAAGGAACTCGGGGAAATTGTGCTCTGGCGGGATATATCGCAATAGAAAAATGGATTTGACGCGGAGATTTTTAGGTGGAGTTGATGGCCGTTTTGATCAATTAGACGGTCTCACCAAATTGAAATCGGCGTTGTCGAAACGATGGGGATGCCGCTTATTCTTCGTCCTGGTTGGCTTTGGCGACGGTAGTATATTCAGCAGCAAACTTGCTCTTCTGTCGAATTCTAGAGCCGTAGAGGTAAAAAAGCAGAGGGATGGGCATGAGGACAACGGCGACGCAGCCCAGAAGGGTTCCGGTCCAGTTGACACCTAAAGCTTTAAACTGAAGCGATATGTCAGTATTAATAGGAAGAATATGGGTTTCTTGCCTACCATGTATGGAGCAAAGAGTGGGAAGCCTGCGCCGGCGAGGGACCGGAGAATGCTGTTCGCTGCTAGGGCGGATGCAGCACTGGAATTTGTATTAGTATCGAGATGATATCAACGATATATTGGGGTGGTCTAGCAAGACGGGGGGACTTACAAAACGAGGTAGGTATCAATGATATAGTTGAGGCACTGAAGGAAGATGCAGAGCAGACCAAAGCCGGTGAGAAGGCCTGATATTGTAGGGACAATCCAGTGAACGCTCGATTGATAGCCACCCCAGCCAAACCAAAAGAGGCCCCCTGCGAATGCTGCGCCGCCGATGATAGCCGGCGGTAATCTCCATTCAGGAATGGGAATGTCGTTGTTTGTAGTGAGCTTCTTGATATACCAAGGTTGCAGGGCGATGATGAAGAGTCCTCCAAAGAATTCTCCAATTATGAGGCCAAAATAAGGCAGTCCACCCACACCTTTGTTGAAACCGTAAATTTGCTGGAAAACGATGGGGTATGCTGTCATGAACAGGTACAAGAGGCCATAGAGGAAAGCCATGTAAATGCTCAGCAGCAGCAGTACCGGTTCGCTGAATAGAATCCGCACTGGCCGGCTGAAATTCTTGGTAATCAGCTCACGCAGATCGATCTCAACCTCTTCTTGCTTTGCATGGATGCCCCAATTCTTGGTTCTCCGACGGAGTTCTTCCGCCTTTTTGACCAGGACAACCGGAGGGTAAGTCTCTTCAACGAAGAGCAGATCAAGCATGAAAGCAGCTGCACCCATGATACCTGGGAGATACGCTGTCCAACGCCAGCCAAGATAGCTCTCCACAATAAAACCTCCAATAAAAGGCGCAAACAAGGGGCCGGTAAAGACCATCATGGTGAATATCGTGATGGCAAGGCCGCGATGGCGGTTATCATAAATGTCTGAGAAGACAGCAGCAACAACAGCCAAGGGGCATGCTCCGAAGAAACCTCCAAAGAAACGACAGATTATGACAGTCTGCAGATTCTCGGCCGTGGCAACTGCGAACTGGAAAACTGTGAATCCAAAAACACCGATTAGTATAGGTAACCGCCGGCCGAGGAGTTCCGACAGTGGTGAGAATAGTGTAGGTCCGAACGCGAACCCGAGTACGTAGAGCGACATTCCAAGGGTGCCAACTTCTGTCGATACATTGAACGTTGAGGAAACTACCGAATTTGCGGCCGAGAAGATACTGCTAGTGAATGTGGAGTTGAAGGTTGTAAAGGCGAGAAGCGCCGAAACCAGGATCCTAGCACGACGGGTTAGTGGTAATTTGACCATTACAGATATAATTGAATGCTTACTTCCTCTTGAACGACCAATTCTGTGGGTGTAGGGGGTCATCGGGGCCAACGAATTCCACCACATACTCCTCCTTCTCTGGCAGTGGGGGTGGGTATGGCTTGCCTGCTCCAAATTCGGGCAAGGGCTTTCTCGACGGGCGTGTCCTGAGTGCGCCAACAGTTGCAGTGTGCTGACTTCGTTGTGTTGCAATCCGACTCAACGCTGTAGGGTGGCGTTCTAGCCCGCAACCTGGCTGAGTCTGGGCGGTTTGCGTTCGCGATATGCGTTCGGCATCGCCATAGGAGTCAGAGGCGTCATCGCTAGAGGAAGTACTATAGGATGAGTACGATTCGGCGCGGTAAATCTGGCTATCGTTATCTGAACTGTGTTCAGTTTCGCGGCCCTTCTCAGGGTCTGCTGCTGAGTGCATGATGACTGATAAATGATAGAATCGTGAGGGGCGATATAAATCGGCCGTCGACCGAGGCAGTCGTTGTGGGGGGGATTGAGAACTCAAGTATATATATGTCTGGATCTAGACGATGGAATAATATTCAAACCGATCACAAAGTGTCTCCAAACTATCGCAATGCAATGGATTCCACGTTCTTGTTATAGATTTAGATCTCGGCATTAGGGCCGATCCAGAAAACTTTTTCATTTTAGCCCGGTGCATTGGGCGCCTTCGACAGCCTTCTAGCGCTCGATTGTGTGTCTCAATTTCTGCGATAAGTCGCCACTTAGTACCTCCTTGGGCATCGGACCAGCATTGGGAGCAAAGCTGGATCTATACAGAAATTCTTCAGGGAGTGATGACTTCTCAGCTTGATAACGCCGGCAGAGTTCCAATCTCACACTGTAGTCGACTCAAAAAAATATCGCCCTTTCACAGTGTTGGTATATGATGCCATCCGCTGGCGTTGCGGTCTGATCCACGGTCATCTTCATCTGCGCCGTCATCCGTGGCTTGGAGTCTCAACCTACATCTGAAGACTTCACGCATTGGGTTAGCTCCACTCCGCGGAATGAACGTCTTCGGGCAGGATCTTGAGAGGTCGAAGATTGACAGGTGGTATCGTGCATATTGGTCATCTAAGATATTAGCAATCAATGGCTATGCTAAATGATCCTGACGCCCTTGGAATGTTCACTTACAAGGTTGCGTTCCTGGAAGTAAGTCCGTCGGTTATCTCCACTGACGTCATCCTACCTGTCCGTCATGGTTCTGCAGCATGCATCGGGCATCGGGTTGGGGTTGGATCCGTTGGTTTAGTTATGGTAGCAATCCTTTGTCAGGCGGAGTGATAGGTTATACCTAGGTGTAACAGCTCCCGGGAGTAAGATCATCCTTCAGGACTTTAGAAGTTGGTTAGACAATGAGGATATCTTGTTATTTTGGGTTATAACAATAGTGCAATGCATCGATATATATAATGTCAAGCCAGCATCAAAACTTACGGTGCCCGAGGCCCAGCTGCCCAGAGCATACAACGGAGGGAGCCGAAGTCATGATACATATACACCGGGGCATTATCGTGAGTGTCAAGCGCGACTTGATCATCTCAAAGTATAACCCCCCAGCTACGGTTTCCACAAGTCAAACTATGTTGGAGGGGAAATGGCAAGATGCAGGTATTGGATCTCAGGATCTTCAGATATTGTTCGAGAATCGAGCCAAGCGTCACCAACGGGTTTTGTTGACAAACAAGCAGCGTGGCGCGCCGGTGTCTCAAGTTTGATTGAGTGGCATCAGAAGGGGAGCCAAGACGCGACAATTTACCAGTAACCCACCATTTATGCTGGGCCCTTGCTTACTTCTGAGAGCTTGTACTACCTGAGGGTTTTTGGTTCAGAGATAATTCAAGTTGTACTTGTCATTTCCAGACTTCCCAATGATGGAATGACATTAGGCTCTGCAAGACCATTGTTTGAGGTTTCGATCATAGCCCTGAAGAGATCGAGGGAGCAGTTGAACCGTCGAAGAAAGGTGTAAGAATTTTGATATGTGGGATCGGCGCGAGTGTACTCCGTACCATTGGCTGAAATAAAGGGGGTACCTGACGCTAGACCCTGCTTGGCTGTGTTCAAAGTTCGGGGCCTCAAGGGGACGGGATCCAGTTTTGAGACGCTAGCGCCTTACTTCCCCGACTGCGTGAGGGGACACAAGGGACGCCAAAGAGAGAGAAAAAAAAGAAAAGGGGCACCATTAAAGCATGTTGTATGAGCTACATATATACTACCCGCGAATATCTCAAGAGCGTTGAATTGTGTTCCTTATCTGAATGAAACCACCCAAGATACATACGTTGTATGTGCAAGATGAGAAGTGGACCCAGTGTTGTTATTATTACTCTGTCCGTCAATCAATGGACCCGCGCCTCAGGGGTTAACCAATTCTGAAGCAAACAAAGGGCTTTCCCCCTTCCACAAGTGACTTTTGGTCCTTGGAGCCTGAACAGAGGGAATAGATAATTGATGAGTTAACAACCTCCTGAATCCAATCAGAGGCGAATAATATCCTGTGTAAGAGAAAGCGTGTGGAAGAGCCCTTACAGGGGAAACGCGCCAACAGCGGCCCCCACAGGAGTGCAAAGTCATCTAGACCGCTACCAAGTCGTACTAGGACAGCCTGCTAGTCCCCCAGTTGGGGCGCTGCCTCGCTCAGGCGCCGCTCATCCTTTCCCTCGCTCTTTCTCCCTCTTTCTCCCGCGCACTTCACCACCTTCTTTTCCCCCATCGTTCTTTCCTCACACCAACGGATATCGACCTCTCGATACCTAGTCATTCATTTATAATTTCGCCTGGCCGCTGGCCGCCACGCTCATTTGGGAACTCATTTGTTCCGTTCACTCCTTACCAAAGCGTCCAACTACGACCTCGGTGTCGATCTTGTTCTCGATCTCGAACCCATCATTCTCGATCTTGAACTCATCTCACCATAGAAAGCTCTTATGGGTTGGTGCGATTCTTCGTTCTGAATGTTCAGTCGCGGTGCATTTGCCACCCGAAACTAGGCAGACATGCACCGTCATCACCAACATGCACATCACCATGGAGAATACCTGGGAATCCGAACTACCCCTCTCGATCCGGATACTATACCGATACCGACCCTCGTGAAGATATCGACCCCGGTGGAGACGCCAACCCTCGTGAAGAGAATGCCGGATGATTCTGAACGATCGTCGACGTGTGAAGATGGGGACAACTCGGCTCGATGCGAAAAACCCACTAGTACGACAAGTAATACAACATTACCTGTCGTCCTTGGGGCCGTGTATGAGGCACCGTGTCCCACCCTTGATAACTATGCTAACGTGTAGTAGAATCCCCATTGTCTGCGCTATCGTGGTCCTTTTCTTCTTACATCGAAGAAACGTGAAGAAACTCCGAAACGAAGATGCAAATGATAAGCACAAATCTCTCGACTTTGGCATGGATCTCCCCTCGAGCGGGGGGAAATCCATGCGCGAAAAGCATGCCCAACAAAATTATCACATGAAAGGGGTATCTCTCGACATTGGACCCAGCCCTTATATGCTACCTACCAGCATTCGCGGCTCTAAAGAGTCTTTGAACTCGCTATCTCGGTCAATTATGGCTGAGAACGAGAATTATCGGCACGTGCATCAATACTACGGTCAGGATGGTCAGTCCATCCATTCGCAGCGGAGAGGCTATGATGATGCTGTGAGTGTTGCGGGTTCGACCAGACGAGGAGCTTATGGCGACGACATGAATCAGGGCTTGATTGGAAATGCACAGAGGATATCTCGCTCATCCCCCCCTCTCTACAACGGATCAACTGAGCAGAGTACACAAAACCTCGCCAGCCATGCTCAACCAAATGACACTGGCTTCGAGTTGCACTTGCCCCGGAGTCCGAGTCCCGTCCATGTCCCAGGCTTGACACCGATCCACGAGACAAGCCCGGCGACTGAGAGCAATAAAGAACTTCATCTCCCGGCCTCTGGACCTGCACTATCCAACATTCCTCCCGAACACCAACCAGATTTCCCGCTCCGGAGCCCACCTCCAATTCATTTCGAATCAAGTCCTATGCCTACTCATGACACGCCAGTCCCAATGCCTAGAATTTCACTCCCATCAAGCGATGGCGCTAGCGATTATGGAGATGAAAGGAGGTCAAACCCAAGTGTTCCAGCTGTGAACGTCGAGAAAGCAGAGAGTCATCCTGTTCGCGAAGAAGATAACAGTCACACACCTGTGCCCAAGTTACCCGAGGAGCCACCGCAATCTTCCAACCTGAGACTCGACCCCCGTCGCGATACCCGCCGTATGACAATGGGCCTTCGCCCTCTGCCACCAGAGGACCCGGCTGACAACCCCGAGCAGCGTGCCAACCGCATTCGTTCCTTTTACAAAGAGTATTTCGACGAGAGTAAGGCTGGGCAAAGGGAAACATATTATGAGGACTTTGACCCTGACTATTACCATCACGACGACGACTACGTCTACGATCCAGTAACAGGGGAATACTTCGACGCAGTTCCAGCACCATACGCTGAACCGGTCAATCGTCGCGCCATGACTCCTCCTCCACGTGCTCCTCCCCGATTCCAAGGTGCAGCTCGTCATATGGCCTCCGGGTCAATTGGTGGTTACAGCGAGAGATTTCAACCCCCCGGGCCGCGTGCGTTCTCTTCGGCCTCGGGTCGGTTCCCAGGTGCTCGAGGCCCACGCAAGCCGGCCCCTCCGCCATCACCTCTCAACGTGCTTCCTTCCCCTCATCTCTTAAAGGACGATGCTATCATGACGGCCATCGACTTTGCTCCCGGATCGAGCTTCAAGGACCAGAGAGACGGCCGTCCCGAAACACCTCTAGGTGGCGTGCGGCCATACAGCCCAATGGTCCGAGCCCACACTCCTCTTGTATCTGTATTTGACGACCTAGCACCTATGCCTAGCCCGTGAGTTACATACCGCACCTTTTATGTTTTAATCTAACTCTCTTCAGACATCAATTGCGAAAGTCAGGCGCCTTCGACAATCTGGATTTCGCGCCTCCCCCTCGTTTCAAAAACCAAGATACTGCGAGCGACGCCGGTAGCATTCGCAGTACCCGCTCAGGAGTTTCAGCAGCCCATTTGCACAATATTCGCACTGGTGCGTACCGGGTCAGCCGCCTGCCCCCGGAAACTGTGGGTACCAAGGATGACTTGATTTCCAACCTTCGTCCTACATGGGACATGCGGCAATAAACATCAGAATCTTGTAACGATTTCCCATTCTATTCTGGAGTTCCCTTTGCCATGTTACGATCTGTACTATCAAGTTTCATTTGATGTTGCTCCTCCCTGAATTTGGTCACTTGGTGCCCGTTGCGTACATAGCATGCACAAGGCCGGTTGTTTCTTTTATTCTTGTATCTCTTTCATCAGGAGTCGGATATCAGTGGTACATCCTCGCGATTTGCTTTTGATACCAAGATAGAAATTGGTCGTCTTGATCCCGCGTTTTTGGTCATTTTGGAATTCTTCTTTTTTGGCTGGGCATGTTATTTATGTACATACAATTTTCTTTGATTTTTCCCGGCAGTCTCCGAAGTGACGGTGACACAATTGAATTTCTTTTTTTCAATTGAGCGAAGAAGATGTATTTCTTTTCACATGCAAGCATCACCTGATCTTGTATTCCGCTTTCACCGGCCCGTGTCTGGTCCATTTGTTGTCGGGGTCTCTTGTACAATAATGATGACAAAAGTCATGGCTTCCAATGGTGATTGCCAAGAGAATGTCAATCTATGGCCAATCGAAGAGCAGATAATTGGAAGAGGAACCGACGGATTTGAGGCCACGGAAAATTGGGTTACCTATGAGAGGACAAGATTGTTCGGCAGATGCCATGTTCGCCAGGAACTGGGTTCCCTCGACCAAAGGCTCGAGTCAAGCATGGCTGAGTCCATTCCCAGGCCAGCTTGGAAAGGTTGTATCTTTGTATAGTAAGATTGTGTGCTCCGCCTCCATTAGCCATTACCAGCGACGATTAGGCTGGTCATTCCGTATCCTCTGTGCGCAGTGGAATAGGCTTTTCAATCCCCAGCCCAAAGTTCACCAACATCTCCGGTAGCAGAGCATAAAATAGAGGCGGGATAACACGAACGATTGGAGGATTGCCTGGACCTGAAAAGGGGGCGCGAACAATCCAAATCCGGCCGCCCAGAACTCCTAGGTACTTACCAGTATCTGTCCAGTGTCGAGTGACTTCAGTCGAGATTCTGCAAGCAGCAGTGCCACTTGATTAATGGATTTGGCATTGACCTTTGAGAATAATGGAGAAGCTTAATGAACAGGCTGTGACCGGTTTCTCAGTAATATGCGGATAATCAATGTTTGGTTGCAGTGGGGTCGGCCGGACTTCCGATCGCAGCATGTCTCGATGGACTCGATATGGTGATCTGAAGTCAGCTGCTTAGTGAAGCATAATTATGGCCGGTCTGTCAGTTGCAGGGCTAGAAAGTATTCGATCATAAGATGGCTGAGAGAATGCATTCGATTTCCTCTGTTGGGTCGGCCATATGAAAGTCTCTGGCTCCTGGCAACCCGCAAATACGAAGCGTCCAAGGAGCGAATGACGAGGTGCTACTAAGAATAATAGTAGAGTGCCTGACCAGTGACCAGTGTTCGTTATTATTACAAGTCCGGAACGCTGTGCTTTTCTTGGAGATTCTCCACTTTTTCCCATCGCCCGCTCAATCTCAATCTCACTCACTTCTGGCCCTTCCCTCTCTTTTCTTTCCCTTCTCTTTTCTCGGACCCGTTCCCTTCGACATCCATCATCTTCGATCGGTGTTCGGACTCTTCTGTTTTTGATATGGAAATAATCGCATCATTTGAATGAGAATCGATCAAACTTCATAGGTGGGCCCTGGACCGAGACCCTCCTGTTGATTTCGCTTCGCCCCTGACCACTCGCCAGGCAGACCAAGGTGTCTCTGCAGCAGCACTGCGTCTCGCTGTCCTCGCGAAAATACCCGTTGGCTTTCATTGTCTGCATAATAGCCATTTAATTGCATACTTTGTTCATTTGTTTGCCGCTCCTCCTGTCGCATTTGATCTTTTCGATTAACTCGGCCTCTCGTCGTGCAATCGACCGGTTATTATTTGGTTCAATACGCATCGTTTTTTAGCTATTCTCAAACGCTGTTCTCAGTCACTGTTCACGGGCAAGTGGATTGCCCCAAACTCTATCCGCCATGAGTAGCCCATCGCCGGCCGACCCAACCAGCACGACGAATGACCCTCCGACCACATCTACCCCCGAGCCGACCGGGCCAACTGAAACCCAGCCTGAATCTACAACGACGACAACCACTGATCCTCCGAGCTCAACGGAACCGACGACCACGACTTCGTCGACCACCACCACCGAGGAACCTCCCGAGTCTACCGAGTCTACCGAAACTTCTGAAACTTCGACCACTACTACAACTACCCGAACCACCACCACCACTGATGCAGAACCCACGACTACTTCAGAACCCACAACTAGTTCCGAACCCGATCCAACCTCTACCACTTCAGACGATGTCCCCACCACTGGAACCACCACAACGACGATTACCATTACGGACACTTCAACTCCGAGTTCAACAACAGATGGAGGCGCAACCTCGACCATAGAATCTTCCGCGACTGCTACGCCCACGGAGGCAGGTGGCGGCGGCGGTGGGCTTTCGGCAGGTGGCACGATAGCTGTTGCGGTAGTTGTCCCAGTTGTTTCCGTCGCCATCCTTGTCCTCGTGGGGTTGTGGCTCTGGAGAAGACACAAGGCAAAAAAGGTCGCGGAGGAGGAACGCAGAAAGGAAGTCGAAGAGTATGGATTCAACCCGAACGGTGACCCGACACTACCTGCCGTCATGGGCGGTGCCGCCACGGACGACAATTCAGGATACCGTGGGTGGGGGACCACGTCGGCAGGCCGGAAAGCGTCCACCAATATGTCGAGCAGTGTTGGGGCCGGACTAGCAATGTCTGAAGCCGGAAGTCAACCCGGTTACCACCATGCCGCTACACCGAGCGATGGCACTATTCAGTTTTCCGATGGCCACGTGACTGAGCCTCATGGAATCCTCGGTGCTGCCCCGGTGGCTGCAGCAGCTACTGCCAACAATCAACGGAATGCTGATATCCACCGTGGACCGTCCAATGCGTCGTCCGCATACTCGGCGGGAAACCATTCAGACATCTCAGAGGAAAGTCACATGTCTGCCACTCATCCTGGCGGCCCATACTACGATGAGAACCCGTACTACACCGACGTCCAGCAGCAATACGGAGGGTACAGTGATCCGTACGCAGGGGGTCAGCCAGTGATTCGGGATGTTCAAGCACGTCGCAACACGCAAATACAGAACCCATCCGTGTTCCCTCGGCAAGGCAATGCTGGCATCGCACAGAATTTCTGAGCGATATGTAGACGATTGGCTTCGATTTCTTATATATATATATATTTATTGAAGGATCTGAATATCAACTTTCGTTTGCGCTGACCAGCCGCCGGACAGGGTAGAGCAGGGCCAAATATGAGCTGTGCGCGGCTATGAACCCTACCGCGCCAGCTTCCGTTACTTTCGTTGCTTTTCCAACTTGAAGTGACTTTACTGCTGATGGCCCGGCTCCGGACAGCGTCTTTTTTTTCATCTTTTCGAATGTGATACCAACTCCTGCGGCGATTTGTTTCTCTTTCTTCTGCCCTTATCTGCTCGTTTCGATCATAACCGCTCTATGATCACGCTATCCGGTGGCCTGTGGGTCAATGTCTTGTCGGGATGCTATCCCGTCTATCTTGTCGCTTTCTGCGTGCACATTTTGGTGACGGCTGTCCCTGTTCAAGCGCGCGTGCAAGAGACGTACCGAATATTGCTTCTTTCTTGTCTTATGCACCTTCTGTCTCTTTGGTTCGTTTCCAACGTTCGTTTGCTCTCGTCTGGATATTGTTCGCCCAGGGGCTTATTCCTGCTCTCGGTTTCCGCTTTCGTTCTCTGGCAGTTAATGAGCTGTATACATTAGTGAATATATACATGGAACTTTTGGCTAGGATTGTGCTTCTTTGGTGTTCGAAGACAGTAGTCAAGAGGGGAATGAGACTGATGAACGCTTTGGCGTTAATCTGGGGTGCGCCTGAGATATATATACTAGTCGTTCCCGATAAACGGAGAGAGAGAGCTAGGGAGCGAGGGATCTTGAACCGACCTATCACTGAGCAGACATCTAGAATGACCGAAGGCTACTCAAGACGAGGAGCCAGTCGCAACTCGCAAAACCCCCCAACGACCCTTGGCGATCCTGCAAGAGCTGATATCGTCATTTCCGCAGAGGTTGAAGCCGCATGGGTTACATCATCGATCGATCGGCAACAACCCGGACAAGATCGGTGATGCCGAGGGATCAGAAGAAGACAAGGGAAGCCAAGCATTGACAATTGGATAAGAGATGAGCAGCGCACGTTGCGATTGAGGCGGCTTTGGTTGGGCTGTTTCTCCAGGCCTACAGGCTTAGCGTGACTTCCAGAGAGAACAACGTGGGCGCGCTAGCTGCCGTGATTGGACCGGAGCCAGCTCCCCAGAGCTCCCCACCTCACCCTCTCTTTTCCTCTGCCCATGAACTTCGCCTGAACAGCCACGCTTCGCGCGCTCACCCATGTCTGTTGTTCCGGGTCGTCCATTTCTATTTGTCCTTCTCCCGAGTCACCCTTCGCTTCTGGTAGGGATCTCCTGGGCCCAGTCCATTTAGGTACGCTTGTTGAATGCCCACTACGCCCCGCCCTGGCTTGTCGTTGACTGACGGGCAGAAAAAGCAAAGCAGGCTTACTTTTGGTACAGTTACATACCTGCCAAATCGGTTTAGCAAGAGAAGGCTCGACAGTCCCTCCTCGCGGGTTGGGATATACGAATATACCATGCCTATTCTCTTCACGCTGCCTTTATTGTAGAACAAGGGATGAGAGACAGGTACGATTGAAGGTCCCGGACTCTGGCGTGAAGATGCTCAGCTTCTCCGCAGCACCAAGTATCACATCTAGTACCGCATCTTTGTACTAAGTCCCAGTACTACGATAGAACGGAGGAGGCTGCCCTAGGAATCAGCGTACTTGAGTCGTCATCTTACTCCTATCCTAGCCTGGACCCCACTGTCGCAACCTTCGAACGCCGCTTTCTGGATTCTGCTGCTGCTTGTCTTTCACTTGCTCACAAGCCGAGTATCTATCTGTTTCTTGCCCCACTTCAGGACTGTCCTCTGCTCCGACTCTGCTTTGCCTCCCCTCAATCAACATACCTCCGCCGAGGGGTAGCTTTGGTTACCCTTGGGGTCATTACGTCCACTTTTTTTCCCTTCCCCCTCGGTTCTTCTCTCTTCTATTCAATACCCTACTCTTCAAATCCTCAAACGGATTCTGCCATTGACGCATACGGGGTTGTCTGAATCAGCTTAATCGCTTCCTGGACCCTGAAGCTCTTGCTTGATCAGGCACAATTGCGCCGAGGGCCTGGTAGAAAGCCCTTGGCTCTTGAAGCTGGTACACCAACATGTAAGTACCTGCTCTCTAATACGTTGAAAATCGACGTCGACGAGTTTGATCACTTGGAATTTCTATAGAATGGCTAACCACTGGGCCGCAGGAAGTTCGGCAAGCAGATCCAGCGCAGACAGCTTGATCTACCGGAATATGCTGCCAGTTTCGTGAATTACAAAGCGCTGAAGAAGGTCAACATTTCATTTTTAGGGTTCACATTGAGTTCGAGTACTGACTGATACTGGACAAACAGCTAATCAAGCAACTGAGCGCGACCCCGACGATTCCCGCTCAGAGCTCGGCGCCTGTCCCTCAAAATGCGTCCGAAGCGCAGGCTGCCCTCCGGGCGAACAAGGAGGTGTTCTTCTTTCGACTGGTATGCGAACAGAGGAGATCTCAATAGGGAGTTTGCTGAACTGTCGGCTAGGAACGGGAAATAGAAAAGGTCAATGCGTTTTACCTACAAAAAGAGGCCGAGGTTTGTGATAATATGCAGTTATTGGAACACGGCAATGACTGACTCCTGACGGTAGTTCACTCAACGGTTAAAAACATTGGTCGACAAGAAGCGAGTTATTCAGTCAAGAACGGCGACCAACTCAAAGGCGCCCACAAACCTTGTGGCTCTCCTTGAAGGGCTCCAGCAGTTCGATGGCGACTTAAACAAGCTGCAGGTGAGGTCCAACGAATTCAGTGCAACTCCGGATGCTAATGCGCCCTAGCAATTTGTCGAAATCAATGAGACTGCCATGTCCAAGATATTGAAAAAGGTAAAGCAGCTACTTCCCCGACGCGCTGCTGTGTGATATGGCTAATCAAAGATCACTAGTGGGACAAAACTTCAAAGGTTAGAACCTCCATACCTATTCGCACGCCTATATCCTTTCCTGTATCCACCCTCAAACACTTGCTTATGAAAACAGTCTCGGATGAAGGAGCTGTATCTTCACCGCGCCGTCGAGGTACAGCCATGTTTCAATAGAGACGTGTTGCGCGATCTCTCAGACCGAGCGACAACTGCCCGACTGGAACTTGAAGCTTGGGCGGAGGGCGAGAATATCAATCTGGATACCACTCGCTCTGCCGAGCGGACGATAGGGCCCCAATCTTTTAGGTCGGAGGAAGAAGACCTTGACCTTCAAGTTCTGCAATCCGCCAGCACCGGAAACCTACAGACACTACGTGAATGGGCAGTCAAGCTGAGCTCATCGCCCGATTCTCACGAGCGGGCCACCCGAACGTTCCTAGCCGCAATCAATGAGTTCTCCGATGATGTACTCGCGGCTCTCCTCGAGAGTGGGCTGGTCGACCTATCAGCCGAGGATGACATCAACGAACGCAATTGCCTGCATGAGGCTGCTATATCTGGCCGGGACTTTGTCTTCAAGGCTTGCCTGACAAACGGCGTGGAGGTTTCGAGGTCTGACGTGTACGGAAGAATACCTCTACATTATGCTTGTATCCATGGTCGCGTGGAGATGGTGCAACAACTGTTAGCCGCAGATCCCAGTACGGTTGATATCATGGACCACGACAACTTCACTCCCCTCATCCATTCTATCGTCAAGAACCAGCTCGAATGTGCTGAGCAACTTCTCCAAAACAATGCCCGCATCGACCCAGCGTCCGAGTCTGACCACATTCCGCTGAACCTGGCATGTCAACACGGCTCACTTCCGATAGTAAAGATGCTCCTTGAGCGGGAGGCCCAGCTTCTCCCTGATGCAGAAGGTCTATATCCTCAGCATATGGTCGCGCGCGCTTCACAATCACCCGAGATCTTGCTACTTCTCAAACAGCATGGGGCCGATCTGAACCAGAGAGACAAGCTGTATCAATGGACTCCTCTTTTCCATGCGGCAAGCGAGGGCTGCGTGAATTGTCTACGGACACTTCTGGAGCTCGGCGTTGATGCCGATGTTGCAGATGAAAAGGGCCTGGCGGCCATGTACTATGCCGCCTGGGAAGGCCATCTTGAATGTATGCTGCTGCTTTGGTCGCATCATACCGAGTCGCGCCCATCGCAACGGCCGCTGGATATCCTAAACGGCCTGCGGCTACATGAGCCAAGCTCTACAGTCGTTGATTGGCAAGACAAAGCCACGGAAGCGGATGAGATGGAGACGATTGACGGCATTCCCATTTTATCCCTTCCACCCCCAATTATCCCGTTACGGCGCTATGGACACAATTTTCTAGACAAAAAAGTCTTTGTGCAGATTCTGTTCGACCCAGCCCAGTCGATCATCTTCGACCAAGCTGGACGTTACCCCGCTGCGCGGTTAACGATATCTTCGAAACTTTCAGACTTGATCCCGCGAACCGTGATGCTTCCAATCCAGGAAGACTCGCGAATGATCTCGTTCCACGTTGATACTCTCGAGACTTTTACCGTCGACTTTGAGATTTTCCCTACTTTTGGCTCAAAGGTGATTGCTAAAACGGTCGCGCTCCCGACGGTCTTCAAAGCCGAGAGGTCAAGTGCCGGCTCCTGTTGTTTGCCGCTCTTTGATCCTCGGCTACGGTCGATTGGGCAGCTTCGTTTCGGATACCAAGTGATCAAGCCGTATCATGGGGACCCTCTTGAAATCACCCATTTTGCTACCTACTGGAAGGCGACGAGTGCTATTGATTCCGAGCACAATGGTCTGGTCACGGGATCGAGTCTTTCGGGAGACCATATCCAGCTCTTTGTGCAGCTTACGAGAGATGGAATACCAGTGGTTTACCCACAATACACGGTGAAGCACTATGGCATTGATATAGCCCTTTGCCACCTCACGCTGTCCGAGTTTCAGGCTATAGGCAGCGAAAAGGGTGTGAACCGACCGGAAATCTTTCAGTTCTTGCAAACTCGCGCTTCTGAAGACCTGGCGCTTGCCCATCGCCTCTTGGCAGCATCCTTCTTAACTCTGGACGAGGTTTTCCAAAATCTGCCAGTGGACGTCAACATCAATTTGTCTATTCTCTACCCATCAGCTGCGGAGGAGCAGGCCTTGAATATGACGTCCATGGCCGATGTAAACAGCTTCGCCGATGCCATCCTGACAGTCGTCTTTGACCATGCCCGCACTGCTCGCGACCAGAACCCAGAGTTTATGCGCTCCGTCGTGTTCACCTCTTACAACTCCAATATCTGTATTGCGCTGAACTGGAAGCAGCCCAATTGTAAGTTATTGCGCAGCGTCCAAGCATGTAACTTAACTGTGCTAACACACCTCAGATCCCGTTCTCCTTTGCAACGATCTCGGCCAGATTAGGGACTTGGCCCGCGATGCAGGAACGCATCCAGATGTTGACAGCAGCGGCCGGGCATCGATGTCTATTAAAGAATCGGCGCGCATCGCTCAAAGCAACAACTTCATGGGGCTAATATGCCGATCTAGTCTATTGGTATGTTGCAGCTCCTTTTTCCGGTGACAGAGTCTAACAAGGTGTAGAACGTCGTGCCAGCCCTGATCGAAACTATCAAGGAACTTGGCCTTGTACTTGTAGCGGATACCTCAGATGAAGCCGAACAGCCAGAGAATAACCAACTAACTGGCTCAATGGGTGTGGCCGAATGGGCATACCGCATGCCCGATGGCGTGAACGGTGTGATGAAGGCCAACGGCATTCTGAGGTTTAATGACATGATTGATATGTGATGATCCAATTTATACCCCATCATATAATTCTCCACCCTTTCCTCATTTTCTATATATGTCAATCATGATGAGTCTGAGTAGCATTCCTTTATACATGTTTCCGGAGGCTCCTGTGTGTTTCATTGCATCGTTATCAACAGCATCTATATGATTGAACAAGTTGGTCGTCTTCCTTGAAAAAAATTCGTTTTCTAGACTTGGGACCGGTTTCTTTTTCTTTTTTTCCCCTCATTTCCATTGCTATCTATTCTTTTTTTTCTATCTGTTGAACCCCCTGACTCGGTGAGATACCCAGTGTGAGAATGCAAGAGTGGAGGGATTAGATCTAACAACTAATGTACAATGTACGTCCAAACCATGAGCACAACATCTAGTTGTACAACGCTATGCAAATAATCAAAGGCAGGGAGATGTGTCAGTACTGATGGGATGGATGGAGTATTGAAAGGGGCGTGGCTTTTACTTAGCCTTCGGCTTCCCCTTCAGAACATCCCAGCCCCATCTCCGGAGCTGCTTAACGACTTTGGGCGTGATCGCCGCCGTCACAGGGACACGGACAAAGATGAAGCTCTTGTGAATCGCATAAGCGAGAGCGAGCTGTGTCCATAGACCTAGAGAAACAAGACTTGTTAGCCAACCCACCGACCAAACAAGAGCGAAGAGAAAGAAAGAAAGAAAAGAAAATAGCAAAACATACTAGCCCCATCCCCGCCATTCTTCTTCTTCTCTTCAGCAGCCTGAGCCTCCTTGGCCTCCTCCTCTTCCTGCTCCTCCTTCGACTTGGCAAAAAGCCCCGGCCAAACCTTGTCCACGGCCCCCTTCAGCCCCTCCACAACTACATGCTCATAGTGACCTATCCTGTCCGCGCCCAATAAGCGCACGGCCGCAAAACAAAAGGGAAAATCCAGCGCCGAGAGAAACAGGTAGATCCACAGCGCAGACCAGCCGTACTCCTTTGAGAGCGTCTTTAGACGCTGCGAGAGCGACGGCGACGGGGTGGGAGATTCGTATGTGAATGAAGACGAGGAGCCCCGCTTGTTGGCGCGCGTGCGGGTGCTGTGGAAGGAGCGGAACGCTTGTTGATATTGGCGTTGGCGCTGGGTGAGAGGTGTTCTGAGCCGGGTTGCGCGTGTTGTTGGTGTTTGGATGTGAATGGAGAATGGGCGGCGGCTGGCGGCGCGCATCGTCATTGGCGCTTGCGAGGCGAAGTTAAAGTTTGACTTGAGGGGTTGCAGGACCCAGCGGCGGAGAGGTTGTTGGAGGGACATGATGATTGCGCGCAAAGTGAGCAAGCCGAAGGCGAAGCAAGCATCAAGATTATTTCTTCGTCGAGGGTTTTCTGTACGGCCTCTGCAGGAATAGACGGGTGGATGCGAGTTGTCAATGGCCGTGCGAGTAGTATAAATACAATAAAGATATAAGAGCAAGGTGGATTGAGACGTCGGGAGAATGCAAGTAATATGGTGAGATGACGTTTGGCGGCGAGAGAAAATTATAGGAAAGTCAAGTCTTGGCGCCGGAGGAGAGTCGGATCCTTCGGAACAAGTAGAGCCTCCCCACGGAGTTAACGTTTCTCTCCGGTTGCTTCTGGAAGGTTGCATACAAATTGTTTGATTGCAAGACAGTGAAAGTCGTATATAATGTAAATCAGGTAGAATTGAACCTAGAATCAAGATAACTACTCATAATTTACAATCTTGTTCAATAGATGGATGATGTTTGCCTAAGGCATTAATTCAGTCTACCGCCTTCCCAATCTCCACGAGTCTATCCGAAATTTCTCCCAGATCAACAATCGACGAAAGAGACAACCAGACAACCCAACCGCAATCATCATGCCGCCACGTCTGTCACGGAGGCTGGTACAGCTCCCGTTCTCTCTCGGGGCCGTCCTCCCGTCGGCGACCCCAATCACCACCTCAATCCGTACATTCGGCATCCGCTCCCTCAACCCACCCAAACCCTCCAAGTATGATACCGGGCCCGACCTGCCTTTGCTTCAGTCAACTCAGGCCGCAGCTCTCGCGCGGAAATCGGCTACTCTTCCGCTACGTACAGGAGCTGTCACAATCAAAAAGGGCATGACCGCCGTTTACGACCCAGAAACCGGAAACCGCATCCCCTGCACGGTCCTCCAACTTGACCGCGTCCAGGTCGTTGGGCACAAGACGGCAAAGGTACACGGGTATTGGGCTGTGCAAATCGGATCGGGCTGGAAGCATCCCAGCAACGTGACAAAGGCGATGCTAGGCCATTTCTCCGGGCAAGGTGTCTCGCCGAAACGACATATTTATGAGTTCCGGGTCAAGGATAAGAGTGGTCTTTTGCCTGTTGGGCAGCTTGTGAATGCGGATTGGTTTCAGGAAGGCCAGTTTGTGGATGCGCGGTCAAAGACAAAGGGAAAGGGCTTTGCCGGTGTGATGAAGCGACACGGATTTGGAGGCCAGGACCGCAGTCACGGTGTCAGTTTGACGCATCGATCGCTTGGTTCTGCGGGCCCTAGTCAGGGTGGTGGTTCTCGAGTCTACCCTGGGAAGAAGATGGCGGGAAACATGGGCAATGAGCAGCATACTGAGCAGAATCTCCAGGTCCTCAAAGTTGATGCGGAGAATGGATTAGTTCTTGTCAAGGGTATGCTTACCGTTCTACTGTTCTTCGACAAAACCGTTCTAGACGAAACTAACTCATCTTATAGGTGCTGTGGGTGGTCCTCGAGGCTGCATTGTCAGAATTCAAGATGCCATCAAGAAGCCATGGCCAACTTTTGAGCAAGCAACCGAGGTCTCGAAATAATTGCGTTGCGGTTCGAAACTGTATTTTTACATATCCTTGTTTCTAGAGCGGCGTCTGTATATGTTACATAAATGATATCCTCATTTCTTCAAAACCTCCCCTTCACAATTGGTCTGACTCGCTATAAGAATCATGCAAACCCAAACGCCTCAACCTAATGCACCACAAACATTCCAATATACACGATAGACGACTTCCCATGCAAGCAATTGCATGTCTATAGAGTTATTCACTGCTGACTGAACGGATCATGGTTGTCCTCAAGAAGCTGGACAACAGTCCCGTCCTCAGTTGTCAAACTCCACTCCTCGGTGCGGAACTACACCACAGAACCCATTAGCCAAGATATAGACTTATTTCCGGAAGAAACAAACTTACAAAGCTCATTCGATCCGGCCTAATACTCCGGAACCTCATTTTGCCCTGCGCCTTGGTCCCCTTCACCCAAAATGAGATATCAATCCGACCATGCAACTGATTCATTTCACCACTAATCCACGGAATTTGCTGCGCAAAGTAAATTTCGTCGCCGAGGATCTCACGCGCACGCGGAGACGTCCGCAGAGCGTATAATGTGCTGCTCACGACGCTGGACGAGGACTTCTGGTAGTTGAAGATACCGAGCATCGCGGCGCCCACGACGACGGCAAAGATGGGCAATGTGCGAATCCATCGGCGACTTTCGGTTTGGATTGATGGGAGCTCGCGGTCTGCGCGACGTTCTGTTATAGGGCCGGAATTGGCAGCTGGGGCGGGAATCAGGGTGCGTCGGGGGGCAAGTCGGCTGGTAACTGCCCGAGTCAAACTGTGGGTGGGCAAGCGCGGGACGCCGATACGTCTCTGCGCGATCTGAAGGACCATTTCTGGATGGAGAGGTAGAGTACCGAGCCTGTTCAATTTCAGGGAATTGAAGCGTGGCCGGCGAGCACGAATTGGCGATGAGAAGAAATCCGATGTTGGCGGAGTGGGACTTGAGAACCGACCAAACAAGACAAACTTGTGCGCATGATGCGGCGGAGTGATCTCTCTAGAGTTTCCTACTCACAAACAAGCTCTCCGCCTAAACAAAGCTATCTTCCTTTGAACATCTCTACATCAGAAGCCAAGTCTTGGTCAAGTAAAGGACTCGGCGAGATGGCATCTGCACGGCTTCGCAAGGCTTTCCGCTACCCGGACGATTCGGGCGATGACGATGCCCGCGAGGAACTCGACGAGGAAGGTCTGCAAGGCCCTAATCTTTAACATATCGCCTGTCCTCTGACGCCTATACTAGAGCAAGAGCGCGTCATCAAACATCTGCAGCAGCAAAATGACAAACGAAACTCCGAATATACTGTAACTACCTCATACCTCATCCATAAGCTCCAGTACTGAAGCCTAATGTCTAGCTCATCTTCTCTGCAATCCCCCTTCTATCGACAATAGTATTCCTCCCGTCACTGTCATCCTCAGCTTCTTTGGGAGTCGCGACACGATTCACTTCGTTGCTCGGCATCGCATCGTTAGTGGCCACCGCATATACAATGAAGTATATTCCGCCGATGCACCCAGACCCAAAGGGCAAAAGACCCATACGGAACCCGGACCTCTCAGCTCATATTCGCCAATACCTCATTCCTGCAAACTCTGCAGTGTGTGCCCTTCTGGGGTTGGCTTATTTGTTTTCCTCTGGGACTTCTGCTCCTGTGATGCAACCAACCGCGTACTTGGTTCCGGCCGGTATGTCTGATCTGTTCTATCTATAACAGGTGTAGGCTGATTTGCTATATAGCACTGCTGAGTATCATCCTGCTTGTGCGCCAAGTCATGGTTTCTGTCGATCTTGCGCCGCTTGGTGAGCTTCGATATGAGTACAAGGGCGCATGACTTATGTGCAGTTTAAATCAGGAATTCAAATGAGCTGTCTATAAGGATTTGGCTGCAATTCATAAGGTGCAACAAGTGGACGCTGATTTGTTTATGCCAACCACCGCGGATTCATCATATTATAATTAGAACTAATTGTGAACAGTATCAAGGCTAACCCAGAGAATCAACGGGCGCCAGGTGTGAACTCTCCAACGCTGGGTCGACGGGAATATTATCGGCATAGTCGGCATGAAAGGCGGCTTGGGCGACATGAGCAAGCTCCAGCTGACTGTAGTCATAAGGCTGTGATATGTCCGCGTAGAATTCCACTTGTATCGAATTATCCTCCAAAGCTTGATTGCGCTTCGCATCTGCTTCCTCCTGGTGCTTTCTCAAGCGGCCTACTTCGTCACTTCCGGCTTTTTTCAGCCATCCGAGGTTCGAGTGCCGAAAATCCACCAAGCTTTCGACACTCCTCGGGTCTGCAATCTTGCTAGTATCGTGGCCGAGTGATGTTGATGTCGGCTCGAACGGGGTCATCTTCGGGTTTTTGCGGCAAGCAGCACAGCTGCAGATTTTCCGACATCTGGGACATTCCCAGCGTTTCATTTCCAGAATTTCCTGGGGTAGCATATCGAAGGCTCTGTATAGGCTACCATAGCAGTACTTCAAAGAGCATTTGGGGTTCGAACAAGAAGCGAGTTTCCAAGTCGGTTCAATGTACTTGCAGATGTGGCACCGAGGGACCTTTGACTTGTCGGCTCGGCTAGTCTTCCTCTTCTTGGCGGGGGGACTTGTTTGCTCGGGCTCCTCCAGACTTTCATCAGGGACGACAGGTGCTGGCGCTGGTTTAGTAATATCGACCCACGGCCTCCGTTTGAGCTCCTCCTGGCAGACATGAGCTAGGCTTTTCCGGCTCATTTCAGCAATTTCTTCCCGCAACGGCCGGAACTTTCCCCCAAGAGCAGGATTTACCTTCAACAGCAGCTGTCTCCATGTTTCGTGTTTCTCCGTTAGTTCGCTCCAATGAAATTGCTCAGCCCATTTCAGCTTCGAGATGCATGCACAGCTCCGGCCCATAGCATAGCATTCCATACAAATGTCATACGCGTCATCTGGTCCTGTAGCGCATGAAGGGCAGGTCAAAAACCTATTGAAGATGCTGCCTCTGCAATATGAGCAGGTAATGTTGCTGTCAAAAGGGATGTATTCGACATTCTTTTCTTTAGGAAGCGTGGCCGAAAAGGATTCGGAGAGAATAATTTGATCATATAGGGCGAATAATTGTTCAAACTCGTTCTGCAGCTGCTGGATACGCGGGTGCCCAGCGTTGGCTTCATCAGCTCCGCCAAGGAGTATCGAATAGTGTTTGAGCGTATAAAACACAATCGCCTTGTTCTTATACTGCTCGTCACGACAGACCATCCGCGCACGTGGTAGCGCTTCGTTTAGCGCCCTCTCCAGAGTTTCCACTGTCGTCCGATTCCATGCAACTTTCATTGTCCGCGTCCCGCGGTTCCACACCTGGTGGGCCGCTAGGGGAGGGACCAGTATAAAATCGCCCGGTCGCTGTTCAACAAGGTAGGTTGTAAATGGCGCGCCCTTCCACGCATTTATTTGAGCAAAGTGGTCTTCAATGTTGATATCGTGGCCGAGTACAGAGTTCCAGTATTCAGACACAAGTTTACGGTCCTTGCTGCTTGTCATGAACCATATTGAAGATCCGGGTCTTGTGATTTCTCCATCCTCCATTGAACCATCTGATGCATTGACCATTAGGTTCTGTCCAAGGCTAGCACACATCTCCTGGTGCGCAGGCGTATATGTTCCTTCGTGGCCGATGTAGCACATCAGATTTTCTGCACGCATGTCAGGCGGGAGGCAGCTCATCAGATCACCTGCTTTTGCGACCTGCTGCTTCCCCATAGCATTATGACGCGTATTGGACGATCGAGCAGTTGTTTTTGCACCAGGGCCCTCAAAGGATTCCTGTTCGGCGGACTTGTTGAGATAGAATAAGAATGGAGGGATGACCTTTTTCAGGTAGTCATGCCAAATCTTCGGGCAATCAATGTCCTTCAGGTATAACCTCTGAAGATCCGGATCCTTGTAATTGTGACTGGTCCATTGTTTCGTGAGCATGGGCATGTTCTTGAGGTAATGTCCAATTGTGAGAGGCACATTCTTTTTTGCTGTCAGGTCTCGTGCTTGCTCCTCTATGCACTGTTAGCATAATGATTTTGGGTATCCGAGCGGATGACTCACGTTTCGCCGAGTAGTGGTTCCTCAGCCATTTCTCGGAGAACACAGCACTGTCAAGTTTCTTGTCAAACCCTTCGATGACAAGGGGCAAGCCTCGCACAATTACGTGCAGGAGGACAAGCTTTTCGAAGTTCTCGAGGCCATTTTCGTCAATAGCGTCGCATTGGATCCTGACAACCTGTTCAAAGTTTGGCGTGGAGTTCACAAGTTCCGACACGTTCAGATCTGGAGATAGAGGTTCAAACGCAGCCCGGGGTCGCTGGGCAGGCATTGTGTTGATGCTGTGAGGTTGTATAATCGAGAGCTTGTTCTTGCGCGAGACGGGTCGATGGGGTGATTGCGCTGAAACAATGTCTGCGGATGCGGGATACACTTAGAGTATTTATTTTTGGTGAGCAAGTTGTCCTCAGACTAGGCCGTTTGAATGTGATTTCGCTGAATGTGTGGGGTTGTGTTATGCGCGAGGCACTTAGATATTGTGGATGACTGAATCATTGTTGGAGGGGAGATTCCAATGTTAGGTTGGTCGCGGTGAAGGGTTGAGTGTAACCACTCTACATCATACCAGTGTTAATCACGACGTACCGCCAGTGGTAGCTGTGCTTCTTCACTGCAGACAATGGCGTTGGAGACCATCAAGCGGGCGCGGCGGAGAGTTCCTGGAGCACTATTCCCAAACGGGGGCACGTATTGAATCAATCACGTGAGCTCGTGAAGGGCAAGTCGCGAAAGGCGTAACTCGAAGCTTGCCTAGTACAAGACCAAAATTTTTATGTATTCAATTTTTCCAGTGCGCGCACTCGCCGCGGTGAACTCTGGAATTGCAGTGCTGAATCCAAATTCTCACGATCCTTGTTTCTAGAACAGAATGTGCCAACATTGAAACGCTTCTTTGCGATTATCTGGGCAATCTACGCAGCCACGCCATTCAAAACTTCGCTATCGGCGCCCGGCATGCGAAATAAACGTCAGTTGTCGCTCATTGATGTCAGTATGCGCTTTATAAAACCATATCAGCTGCGTTCTCTCCGGTGCTTCAGCCGGAAATCCGTTGCGCGCAATGGCCGCGCATTGACACACCCAGACGCTTTCCTACTAGAATACTCGAGCTGTACCAGACGCCTAGGTTACAGGGAACCACCTCCGAGCGCACCCGGACCCCAACCACTACCACCACCCTTGAGCAAGTTATCTACCGCGAGATATTCAACGGCCTCAACCCCTTCGCCAGGTATTTCACCCAAAGGGCAGGGACAAAGCTCAGGGATGAGCCAATACGTTCCCCCGCAGACCGGCATCATCGCGTTCCTTCCTCCATCATGGGTACCCTACGCAGAGTTAGTGCGCCTTGACAAGCCTGCTGGAACATACTATCTCTTTTTCCCCTGTGTGTTCTCCACGCTTCTCGCAGCTACCATGGATCCCTCAGTTTCCTTTTTACATGTCCTTAGCACTACAGGTCTCTTCATGGCTGGTGCTTTGATAATGCGAGGAGCTGGATGTGCAATCAATGATTTGTGGGACCGGAATCTGGACCCCCATGTCCAGCGGACAAAATTCCGGCCCATTGCGAGGGGGGCCATCTCCCCCCGGAAAGCTGTCATATTTACTGGTACGCAGCTATTGGCGGGACTGGGAATTCTGCTTCAATTCCCTTACCAGTGCTTATGGTATGGAATTCCCAGCTTGTTGCTAGTTGCGACCTACCCACTTGCCAAACGCGTTACATACTATCCGCAAGCTGTTCTAGGGCTTACTTTCTCATGGGGAGCCATAATGGGATTTCCAGCTCTGGGGATAGACCTTATTTCTAATCCCGATGCCTTGAAGGCTGCTGCGGCTCTCTATTCTAGCTGCGTATCCTGGACTGTCTTGTACGATATGATCTATGCGCACATGGACATCAAAGATGACGTGGCCGCGGGTATCAAGTCAATCGCTCTTCGGCACGAACACAACACCAAGGCTGTGCTTTCTGGTTTGGCCGTGGCACAAGTCGGCCTCCTTGCTGCTGCAGGCGTAGCTGTGGGTGCGGGCCCTGTGTTTTTCATCGGCACCTGCGGCAGTGCGGCTTTGACATTAGGCGTAATGATTCAAAGAGTGCAGTTAAAGAGCACCCAGAGCTGTTGGTGGTGGTTCAAGAACGGTTGCCTCTTGACCGGTGGAGGCATTTCGCTGGGGATGCTTCTCGAATATCTTGCCCAGGCCTTTGGCGTTTACGATAAAAGCGAAGTTGACTCACGAAATTGACCATGTATGACAGACCGTTTTGACCATTACCGATTGACAATTTATCCATCTCGAGTGCTCGTTAGACCTGTGTATTGCTCCACGGACGCAACAATCTCTCTCCAATCCATCATAGCGCCATTCCCGGTATCACCACAAGCCAAAGATTTTTCTACTGGGTTGAGGAGGTAGATCCAGCCGTCATTATTTGCTTGACTCCAGCCCCATTCTTCCCGTAATATCTTAAGCTGCTTTCCCGTAACTGGGTGGCTCCACATTGCAGTATTCATAGCAGGAGCGACAAATACAATGGGCTTCTTATCCTTGAAAGCCAGGTCTACCAATCCGGTGGTGTCCCATGCTCTGATGACCGAGAGAAGGAGATTATCCGCGATGCCGACTGTCATCTTGGCCATGGTGTTTGCAGAAAGCGGCGCGACGACGAGCAAATGTGCCCATTTTCTCAACTCAATATGCAGAATCGGCTCGCCGCGGATCCAGGGACTTTTCCACTCGTCTTCATCTCGGTATATACCGTCTACACCAGGCAGCTTGCGTAAGCTCTCCAGTGCTGGCTGTTCTTGGCTTTGCCCTATGAGGAATTTCTCGGCGGACTGTGTTATAATAATGCGGATAGACACATTGGGATGAAGACCGAGAGCTTCTGCGATATTGGGGAGCTTAATGGTGGCGACTGAACCGCTGGCAGCGAGAAGAATATGGACCTTGCCATCATCAAGGCTTTCTTTGGCCGAGAAAAGGCTCGCGTCAGGCATGATGGATAAGCAATCGAATCAGTCAAATACCATCTTTCTCATAAGTTGCAATGAAGTTTTGTAATTGTGGTAGCACCGTTGACTAGGTTACAGTAAAAACTGTCGAGAAAGCCGCGACTTGAAATATCGATGTCGGAATTGCGGGGAATCGGAGCTGCGGCGGGAATGATCTAATCGGCACGTGATTGCGACCAGTGATATACAAGATATTATTATTCCGATTTGAAAGCAAGCAATTCTGAAGCTCGATTTTCACAAGCAGCCCGCAATCAACCATGTTTGCAAGGACAGCTTTCGCCTCTGTGAGTTCATTGTCACTGATATTAGCTGATTAGCTGGATCCACACCTCTCGGTCATTTCGCTAACTTACTATCAGGCGTTCCGACGGCCTCTGGCCCGGCCGCAATTCACAACACAACTTCCCTCCATCATCATCCAAGCCCGCCTTCTTTCGTCCGAAACTAAAGCCGCCATCGACAAGGCAGTTTCATCTGCTCCCGTTGTCCTTTTCATGAAGGGTACGCCAGAGACTCCGCAATGCGGGTTCTCCCGGGCAAGCATTCAGATTCTCGGCTTGCAGGGTGTTGACCCCAAGAAGTTTGTCGCATTCAACGTTTTGGAGGATCCGGAATTGCGCCAAGGTATGCTCGAGACCATTTATATAACATATCTCTCGGAGTATGGCTAATGGGCGGCGTCACCTCAATAGGGATCAAAGAGTACTCGGACTGGCCAACAATCCCCCAATTGTATCTCGAGAAGGAGTTCGTTGGTGGTTGTGATATCCTGATGTCGATGCATCAAAACGGTGAACTCTCGAAGCTCTTGGAGGAAAAGGGCGTGCTAGTGGCTGAGTAGAGGAACTTTCCTATCACTCTTTGAAGACTGTGGGTAGTTTTAGTTCATGTAAGATTACTGTATGCGTATATTATTAGTATCTATAAAGTACTCGAACTTCCCTTCGGTGTTGAAACGGCAACCGCGTTCAGGAAAGCTGTGGTCTGTTGAGAGCTATACCTCCTTGGCCTGGTGATCTATCTATACAAAAACCTGGTATTATGTGCAACCCAAACAATATTTCATGGACACCACAAGAGGGTTTCCCTTGTCAACGTGCTTCAAGCCTCTGCCTCTTTCAACACCTCCTGTGACTTGAATTCTTCTTCAAGGGCACCCTTTTGCAGCTTCGCGCGCTGCCTTGCTTCATATGCCTCCCTACTCTTAAGAATACGGTCCACTATCTCGCCGGCGTTAACGTGTTGGAAATCGTGCTCGGTTGTTTCGCGGAAGATGCCCATTTGCTTCGGGGCGGTATAGGGGTCATATGTGAGAGGAATAAAGGTTGTGGGCCCATGGTAGACAGCGTCGGGTTGGCCCAGAGGCATAGCTTGGAGATACTTTTGGCTTGGGGAAAACGGAGCGGAAAAGATGACAGCGTGAATGTACTATATAGTGTCAGTAGCTTGGAACAAACTTAATAAGGGGGACCATGGGTCAAGACAAGACATACACGACACTGGAGGACGCAGAGGCCTCTTTCAAAGATATTCATGATGGGATAATTTAGCCCTTTCCAGTGGTTAATCACATCATCATCGTGGACACCAGCAACTACATAGGCCGGGCCATAATCTTCTCCATGGTCTTTAAGCCTCTGTTCTCTTCGGGCATCGTCGTACCACCCACGTCCTCGGCCTTCGGCTTCCTCAATGGCCAGAACCTGACGAAGAAATTCGATATGCCCCGAAGAGAATAGATCAAAGCCTCCGTCGACATAGATTACTCGCTGGCCGGGCATCGGCGGTTTCCCACCAACGAGGCTATCAAAATTCCCGGGCTCATCCGCCGTGTCTTCGAGTTTCGCGGTCTTTGAACCTTCCCAGACCCAGACCTGAGGACCCGGACGTAGACCGGTCTCATCGGTCGCATAATCCTTGAGTCTGTCTTGAAGATACGTAGCATAGCCTGCGCGCTCTTCCTCGCTTCCAGACCCCTCCTTCCCTGCGAGTGTGGCTTTGACGCTCTTGACAAAATGTCCCTTCGTACAGAGAAGCATTCGACCCACGAGGTCCGTGGTGGAGATACCGGGTGTTCGCTTGACCACTTTGAAGCGACCGGCAGCTTTGACAAATCGATAGCAGTCATCTCCGTTGCTATCTGATGTAATATCGTCACCATGCACGACGTATTTGCAGCCGTAGTGCGATACCCAAGGCAGAGACGTGACATATGGCGCAAAGGGCACGCATTTTGTCGCCCACCGACATGCTTCTACTGCGGCAACTCTGAAATAAAGCGTGTTCGTGTCAGTAAATCCGGATTCAACCGCAGGTTTGTATGTAGCTGTGAACCAACCGCTCCTTCAGTATCATGACAGTTGGGCCTTTGTTCTCTAGGATAGCTTCGTCTGAATGTACGCCAACTAGGAGTTCGTCTCCTAATCTACGGGCCTGAAGCATGGCTCCAGCGTGACCTACGCGTTGATGAATTAGGTATTATCATACAAGAAATATGGTGCTAGCAGAATTCCCTACCATGATGGCTAAAATCAAAGCATCCATCCACCCAAACGCGTTTTTCTGAGATCGGAATGTCTTCTTGAGGGTCCACGGGCCATTCCCCGCGTTGGGGAACTATCTCTTCTGCGGAAGTTCCCATATTCAAGGGAGTACTGGCGGCGTGTCGGTGGTACGTCTGGTGCTGTGGACAATTGGAAGCCGCGTTGTCTCGAGTTTCACAGTCGCACGGGATAAACTCAGTTGAGGGCCAGGGGGGTTGATCGCAGAATAGGGGGATGAGGGGCAGGACCTTGGCTGCGGAGAAAACCGTCCTGACCGCCCTTGACTCTGTTTATATAGGCGTCTCTCTATCATTCATAACAATCGATATACGCATTGCATTCGGCATTATTTGTCCTAGATTTTCTGTTACCTCTCAACCACTATCTCGAGGCGTGTCTTTCATCACCTGTGAGAGTCGAGCATGAGACGAATAATTCTCCTCAACACCACATGAAGGCTTCGGGTCTAGTTTGGCGCCGACTGTTTAACACGACAGACGTTTGATTTCAGTAATAGTAAGCTCTGGGTGCTATTCTAGTATAGGTATCAGTATTATTATTGTTTGAAAAATGGTTCCTGCTGGCATCGAAACCTAAATGCCTGTCAGAGTTTAGTGCGGGGAATTAATTGTTCTAGCCGTCCTTCGCCTCGGTCAGGGGCTATGTGGAGAACAATCTTATCAAAATATTAGGCACATCGATACATTTGACACCGACAGGACATTCTCGTTCTTGATTAGGTATATACCGAAGCTTCACCGTTTTTTTTTTTCTCTCTCTTCTAATACTCATTCTTGCACTCCTATGATTCACCCCCCGCCAAGCACAAGGCTCGGTCGGAACTAATATCGACATGATACCATCCACGTTCGCACCGAATCTCTCCCGCAGGGATACGAATAAATCTCTAGGCCATGAAACTATTCCAGGCTCAATACCTCCTCCTTTGATGAGTGGAGGCGGAGCTCTCGGTCCTCAGAGTGCTGCTGCAATTTATCAGCATATACAAGACATGGCCACCAAGCGAATATCTACACTCGACTACCTACGAAAAGCGTATACTCACTATTACTCCCCAGCTTCTGACCTTCAGTATACTGACATAAGTTCTCAGGCATGAAGGGCGGATATACTGGTTCAATACTGTACACTATACGCGGGCTGACATCAGCCGAATACCCTACTTCGATTCCAGAAAACTATCACGACGAGCAATAAATTATCTTCTCCTCGGTCTTTCGATACCCCCAATCATAGACGTCAGTTTAACGCCCGGCGAATATCTACGCACGCTGAATGCGCTGTTACTCGAATTTGAAGCATTCCAGCAGGTGCATCCTCCGGAGGGCAGTTCGTCGTCGACTCTCGCCAGAGCACGTATTCCGCAAATGTTCAAACGCGCCACACACGGAGGGACAAAGGCGAGGAGGGCGAGCTCGGCAACTGAGATTGGCCTTCCGATGCAGCATAGTGACCCTTCGGATTTGAAGCATATGGCCGGGGGTGCCGCCTCGTCGGTAAGCGCGGCTGCTGCGAGCGTCTCCATCCCTCATTCGGAGGCATCGGAGCTTTTGCCAGGCGAGGAATACTCGTACCTTCTGACCCCGTCATTACCTTTCGAGCCGGATTACTTTGAGACGTTTGTGACTCTCTGCGATATTCTGATAGATTGCTATACCCGACTTGTTGCTTTAATATCTACTCCCGCGGTCTGCACAGTCTCTCTAGGTGAGCTATTTACGAAAGCAGATGCAAAGCTCCGGAAAATTATTGTGGCCGGTATAGTCCGCGAGTTTGAAGATGCGAGTCGAAACAGCGCCAGAGCCGAGGTGGCAGGGGTCAGTCGTGTTGTACTAGGAGGTCTTTTAGGATAATAGGTCCAGAGTAATTAATGAATCTCAAGACAGTGATGACACACCATGATTGCAGTGGAAAATCAGTAGGGATTGTCGATTTTTTTTTGTTTCTCTATACAAGTACAATAGAAACGCTGTATATGTCTAGTGTATCGTGGTTGTGGCTCTGTAAGGGTCAAAATCGAGTAAGGATATCGGAACTTTTTTTCGAGAACGTGCCTCGTGAGCGCGGATAAGTAAAAATAACAATAGGTTGGGGG